CCCATCATCGAGACCATTCTGCCACAATACAACTGGTTTCCCCGACAATCCCGCAGTTGAGATATCCACAAGCATTACAATAAAACAAAACAAAATGGTATCTGGCATACAATGGTAAATGATCCAAACACGCTTGCGCAAGCGAGGAGAACCGATACGACGACGGGGGAATCTCGGGTCGTGGGTGGAAGACAACGGCAATATCGAGGTGAGTATTATTGAGCAGTGAGGCTTGTCTTGTGGAGCCCCCTCCCCCCCGAAATGATGCGTAAAATGAGCCGGGCAATGGCGACAGTGTGGCTGAACCCGCCGGATGCAACTTTTCCATTGTTTCTGAAATGTCTATGTGCTTGTGGTTTATTTCTTTACACGGGGCTGACAAAGAGGATGAGCGGCTGAGCAATAGATTGTCAACAGGGAAGCGCGGAGACGCGCAACAAGACATATGCCGTAAGCGTCATGTCAAGCTTCTTTTTGGTCTTTCTAATCCAACAGAGAGCTCGAAGGCTCTGAACATGGAGCGGAGACGTGGCGGAACTTTGAGGGCTCATTCGGTGATTCGGGAAGGCTGAGTATCCACTGACGGAAGACCGCGTTCACCGGAGAGGTCCCAACTTGCAGATTCTTTTCCGTAGCGAGGCTTGGAGTTGAGCCATTCCTGAATGACGGGCCGCTGGTTTGTCATAGGGGCTCTGTGCCACTCGGTAGTGGACGGTGACCTCACAAACATGGCGATTACAGGGACGAATTTTGGGATTCCCAGGCCCTGTCCGGTGACCCGCCGGTCTGTTGACTGCGGATACCGCATGGGGGCTAAGCCAGAGTCGACCTCGGCAGAGAGTGTCGCCGGGGGACAAATGAAGTCCGGCAACGAAATTAAGGTGATATCATCGCCGGCGACGCGTTGAGATTGCCATGCTCGCTCGCTCTCTGCGCGAAGTCATGACCAACTCTGAGGTTGAAGACCAACGAGTGGTACACAGTATTTCAAAGAGCATTAGAGGATTGGAAGACTTCGCCGAGGAGAGTTGGCCCGGCAGGGCATCGAGATTCGGCCGCAACGCTGATTGGCGCAGAAGAGGTACCATGGTGGGTGCGTGTGTCGCCATCTCTCGTACAGGAGGCGGTTTGTTGCTGTGGCCAAGGTAATCGGGAGCGTCGCGGTTGGCTGGTTTCCTGACGCCAAACTCTGAGGGTGTGGTGGCATGATGGAACAAAAGGGCGTGCAGAAAATTTTCAATGTGAAGCTCGACCAACCAGTGGCGAGACCATGGGCGAGACAACAGCTGTTGTCAGTCGATTCTTGCCAAGTTCCCTCACGCATCGGCGCGTGGAGCGACAGCTTGCAATCCTGTAATAGAAAGGGATGGATGCTGACAACCGAGCTCGTGATACCTTCATCGGCTTGGCCCTGGCATGTCCACCCTCGCACGGGAGACACGGCGCGTTTTGCCCAAGTGGTTGCCAAGAGGCTGCATCTCCCTCCTGCTGGTGAATCGGTGTCAATGCCTGCGGTTGCTATAATGATCAAAACAAGTGGCGCTATAGATGGAGCAGTGAGACGTTGCAGGTATGGATGAACGGATGAGATGGGATGGAATGGATCACTGGCATCGAAGAAGCGACTCCATTTTCCCTCCCGGCCATGGCACAGTAGAAGAACAGTTGCGGTGGCGGAAGGTGGGGGGGCATTGAGGTGCACGATGACTCTTCTTTTTCTTCCTTTCCCTTTGGTTCCTCCCTCAAGTTGCAGCATCCTGCCTTGCCGGCTTGGGGCTGGGCAGCAAGCAGCCATTCAGCGGTGCAGGTTGCCCAAAGTTACAAAGGATGGGCCACAGCAAAGAAGGTGTGTTGCTGGCGCACACGAGTGGTTGGGCAGGTCACTTAGGCTTGGCGGCGCTAGCCTTAGATGGAATGGCACCAAAGAGAGACAACCAATCAGGGAGGAGGTCTCGATGAGTGGACGCGGAAGAAGCCACGGCCAAAAGGCAGGAAACGTCCTGGTGGGAAGCGCGAGCCAGGGTTGGGCAGGAGCAGAACAACGCAACGCAGATGATGCAGGTGCGAAAAGACTCATCAGGCACCGGGCAGACATAGGCCCAGATGCATGGAACAAAGATGGCAGAGGCTCTGGTTGGAGACGTTGGGGAGTTTGGGCATGATCTTGGGCTCTTGGGCCAAGCAGAAACAGAAGCAGCGATACCTGACTGGACCTGGAAGGCCAAATACGAACAAGGCATCTATCTATAGGTAGGGTCGCTTGATGAATGAGCAAGCCGCAGACGAGAGAGAGACCCAGCGCTGGACGGACACAAGAAGTGGGCAGCAAGGTGGGGTCAAAGTATGTAGGTACTGTGTGTCAGAGTGTGGGTAAGAACAGCAACGGGTCCTCGATGAGCATGAGTAATACATGGCAGTAGAAAGAGTGAAGAGAAGCGTGGGAAGAGGCATTCTGAGCGCGCGCAAAAGGGAGAGAGACGGCAGGACACTGAGAAACTGAAAGAGCGTGTATGAGTCTGAGAGTGAGGGAAAAGTGGGACGTGGCTATTTTTTTGGGTTTCGATGTTGCCCTCACCCCGGGAAGGAAGACGACCAAGACCCACAATGCCTTGGGTTGCAGGCCAATCAGGCTACAGGCGAAGAAAGGACAGTGGACGGATGCTGAGACTCGCTGGGTGTCCGGCTGCATCCTCTTCCACCATCCCTCCCCCTCCCTCCTTCCCTCCAGCCCAGCCGGTGCCAGACAATCAGAGAAGGTCGAGTGAGGGTGGCAGTAATGCAAAGGTGGCCGGTGCAGTCCAGTGGGAGAGAGAGGACTGTCCCCCCCCGTCAGTTTCCCATCTCGACGACACGCAAAGGTACTTTTCTCCATGTACCTTTTTCGCGTACCATCGAATGTACCTGCCTTACCTCACCTTTTTCTTCCCACTGACCAGCATCCTGTACCGTCCAGAGGTGCTGCGAGTGTTTCCCCCAGGCATTCAAAACTATCGCCGCGCCCACATTGACATGCACTTGTGTCCTCCCCCCTTCCCCTTCCTCTTGCTCTATCGAACTATCGCCATCGCCATGTTCGATTCCAAGGTCTAAATTTGTACGACAGCGACTCTCCGAAGTCTGCTAGACGTGCCTCATCTCAGGAATACCTGGGACGAGACTCTAGGCCAACTCTCCGCTTATTCCTTTGTCACCTGGGTTTTTATTGTTGTGTTGCAACACCTCGCCTCTCCTCGCCATCATCAGTTACTCCCCGTGTCCTAATACCGGCTCCCTCTCCAAGAGTCATATCGGCCTTACCCTCTTGGGTCACGTTACTCATCCCGCCAATATCGCAACAAATCCTCAACACCAAACACGACGACAACACGCCCAATCCTCACCCCCATCCCTAGGGCCCTAGTTTGCGTCGCAGCGGCATTCACTTGTTCCTTGCGACTAACAAAGGCTTAACCTGCGGATACATTCCCATTTCCAAGCTCCACCAACAGCAGCAGCCAGGCAAAGCAGGCTTTCGACTTCCTTTCACGTTGGGATATTTCAAGATCAGTCTACAGCTTCAATCGAGTTATACTTCGACAACCATCGGATATCCTCTGCTGCCTACCTGCCTACCAGCGTTTCCACGCCTTCCATCTCCCAAAGTTACTCATTCCTTGCCTTTCAAAATTTCCGATACCCTGCAACCATATTTCGGCTCTTACCTTGTACTCACTCTTTTTTAATCATTTGCTCCGGCAAGGCTACGACGACAACTCACACGACGATTACGACTCATCTTTCCAACCTGGCGTCTCTGTCAACTCAGCTGACCCAGCACTTTCTTCGCCACACTCCTCTGTAGTCGCCAAGAGCTTTCTCCATCCGAGGGTCTCTCAGCACTGCCTGCATAGGTGAGTAACAAGACACTTTGCGCAGCACAGCACAGCACAGCATCCACAACACGAACGAGACAAGGAGAAGGCCAGGCAAGCAAGCAAGCAAGAAGCGCGCAGCCAGCAGCAGCAGCCGCAGCAACCTTCTCGCTTGTCTGTCTCTCCTCCTTGTTCGTTCTGGCCCCCCAAGAGCGATCACGCACTCAACCGGACCACTCGCACCCTCACCCCCCTGTTACCCCCGGGTCCCCTTCTCGGCCTTCCCTAGGCTGCCACCACTCCTCTCCCGCACACACACGCACGCACTTTCCTGCCTCTCTCCTTCCCCCCCATCTCTGCCTGCCACTTGGAGCCACCTGCCTGGGCGGCAACAAACCAGGTACACCCCCTTCGCCACCCCATTCCCGAAAGAGTCATCCACACCCAACTTGGGTCCCGAAGCCAGACTTGAGCCACCCAAAGGGGCCCTCCGACTTCGTCACGCCAGCCCAAGTCGCCCCTCTGAACACGTTCAAGATACTACGGCGCAAGGCGAAAAAAGAGTCACACATCATCCCATCCTGCTTGGATATAACCTCTCCTCGCAGCCACACTTGGCCGTACCTTGCATACCCTCGCCTCACTTCACTTCACCTTCTCCCTTCAACCTCTGCCCTACCCTTCCGACTCCGACCTCGCCTACAACCATCCTCTATCATCACCATCACCTATCACCATCACCCTGTCGCATCGCATTGCATCTTGAACCACATGGTGGCTCTGCAGTAGCTCACCAAATAACCAGGAACCCCCTCTCCACTCCTGTTAGATGCATTAAACCAACGATGCCTCTTCGAATTACAAACTCTACTCCAGTCGCCTGTCTTGTTTCGTCTTCCGGTTTGATCGTTCGTGTAAAGTCGGTTTTGGACATTCGCGTCTAGAAGCCGCCTTCCCTATCTACAACTCCCAAGAACTTTGCCGCAGCCTTTGTATGCTGCTGCGAGGTTCGCGTTCTCGATACGGTATCACGATCTGCTCATACGAACCCTTGAACGGTTTACCCGGTTGACTTAGCTTGACGGCGACTGGAGGTACGTCCTACTTCGAATCTCCAAACGCCAAACTCCCCCCCGCCTTACATCCAAGATGAAGTACGTCGACGATAATTCGTCGGCTTTCATCAGCACCTACCGAAACGATACCTACAGCTCCTCTGCCGAGTCCCTGACCTCGACCTCGTCAGGCTCGGCTTGGTCTGCTGTTTCCTCCCAATCCTCTACTTCAACTTCCCCCACCAACGCATCCGACTCTGATTCGACCGACTCGTATTGCTTGTCGCGTCCTTCAGCTACGTGCCACTCTGCTGTTAGATTCACAAGCCCCTGGGCCAAACAACCTGCCCAGCAAGCCCCCGTTGCTGTCCCCCAGGAGTTGCGACAAAACCCGAGACGGACTGGTGCAGGCAATACTCGCTCCGGAGCACCTCCGACTCTGGTCCGACAGTCGGAACGCAAGGTCAACTTCGTCGACAACCTCGTCGGTAAGCTACAGCAGGAGATAAGCGCGCAATCGAGATGTTTCCTGACCCTCTATCCCTTCTAGATTCGTCGACCCAGATTGTTGAGGCTATTTGGCCCCTCTCCTCTGTCGTCTGCCGCAATGAGCTTGGTAGCAAGGCGGTGCTGCCGCTGCGCACCTTCATCCAGGAGACCCTGCGCCGCTCGCGCACCAGCTACTCTACCTTGCAAGTTGCCCTGTACTACTTGATTCTGATCAAGCCTCACGTCCCCAAGCATGATTTCACGATGGAACAGCCCGATGATAAGCATGAGTGCCGCGCGCTTCAGTGTGGTCGTCGTATGTTCCTTGCTGCACTCATTTTGGCTTCAAAGTATCTCCAAGATCGGAATTACTCGGCGCGAGCCTGGAGTAAGATTTCAGGACTCAACACTGCGGAAATCAACCAGAACGAGATTGCTTTCTTGCTGGCGGTTGACTGGAAATTGCACATCACCGACGAGGTCTTCCAGCGATGGACCGAAATTGTCCTGAAGTACACGCCCCGTCTCCCCCAGCTCCCGGAACCTCGGCCCAGTGGTATGCGCAGCAAAGCTCGAACTGGAAGATGGTCATTCTCAAACTGAACCCTGAGTTGGACAACATCGAAGGCCTGATCCCAACGGCGCACGCCAACCCCACCCCCCGCAGCTTGCCCCGCCATCGCACCATGCTTTCGGCTACTCAAGACGTTCTGGCTGCCACTGGCGCCTGCGGATTGGGCTATGACTCGGCAGAGCTTACTCCTACCCCGCGATCATTTCAAACCCCGACCATCATGGAGCCTACTCCGGCCACTGTATATACTCCGGGTCGGCTGGCCCCCGCTCTCGGTCTGCTTCCCACCCCCGGCTTACGCCCCAGTCAAGCGGATACAGCACTCCTGCCGTGAGTGCTGCGTGTCACATTGGTAGCAAAGGTAGCTCCATGGGTCTTGCCATGGCTCAGGCTTCCTGCGTCAGTGCTACGCAATGCCTGGATCGCTGGCCTGTTCAGAACACCTCGTCGCCTCAGGGATATTTCCCTGTTCGCCGATCCTCTCTCGCCACCTCAATCTCGACTGCGTCTTCTCCCGAATCTATGGTTTCCGATTCGTCGCGAACTTCGCGCTCTTCCTCTATCTCATCTGCTTCGTCACTGGCTAGCGCGCCGGCCCCCAACTTGGGTGTCCAGGCGCGATTCCGGTCCGCGAAGCTGTGCAGTGAGAGGTCGAGCCTGAGACCGACGATCGCCTCGGTTCCTGAAGACTACGAAGAGAATTGCATCACGTCGTCGCCTGAGTCTTACACCGGCCCGGTGGGAAAACTCGGCGATATGTCGTTGGACACTCCTTTGGCTCAAAGAGAACGCGAATTGGACGACATGGTTCACGATCCCGCGAACGATGCCGCGCGAGCACTCCAAGAACTCCAGAACTACCGCTCTGACGACGCCACCCCGACTGCCATGTCCTCGCGCAAGCGGGCTCGTGGTGTCTCGATCGTCGACACCTCCCTTCAGGAGAATGTTCGTGATATGCTGTCGGGCAACTACTCTGGCAAACAATGGACCCAGTCTCTGGTTCGCCCCAGAACTGGCGGCCCCATGACCATGAACGAGCGAGGCTCCCCTCGCAAGCGCGTATGCTGCGCCAACGAAGCGACACCGGCCTACGAGACGGCCCTTCACTCAATCGATGGATACCGCGGACCTGGCATGTGGGACGGGATCCTCAACTAAGCACGTTTTGTGCAAACTTCCCGAGATACCCCACGGTCAATTGTCAAACGCACCTTGACCTTCTTGTGCATTATCCTCCTTTTCCTTTGTTAAAACGAAACTTCACACGGGGCGGCGGGGAACGGAAAGAGTGATACCACCTGGCGGTTCATCAAGTCCTTAGAACAGCTTAGATGGCGTCAGGGAACGGCACGAAAAGCGTGGTAATCTTGCATGCATCATCAAAGGACCCAGGCATTTGGGAGGTGGATGGCGAAGAGGGATCTTATGGCGGTTGTTTGCCGCACTTGTGTGTTTGTACGATCACCCCAAGAAGAAAGTCGATTTCGCGTTTGAATTATGTTTCCTTCGTTTGTTAGCCCGATGATAGCAGGACCTCGGCCTATCTATCTTTTGGGACGGGGATGATGGGTCTTTCGAGTCGAACCGCCCGCGATCAGAGTCTGGGAATGTGTGATTGGGCGCTCGACGGGAGATCCGAAAGGGGCGACCAGAACGAGCCCAACGAGACACATCTCATTCGCTGCGCGCGGAGACAAGTCACCCGCCGCGGTCATCGAAAAGTTTCACACAGGATCGAGACGACATAGCACGTGTTACTACAACTTCAAAGAAAGCGATGAAGCTATATTCGAGAGATTCATAGCTAGCTTTTTGGACCAAGAGACGAGTTGTTGCTTTGTCAGGCCTATCAATCAAAATCTACCAGATTCGGAACCGAATGATCTCGTGTGTACCCTTGGCCAGAGACGGCCTCGTTGATATGTGCTCCGTGAGAGGGCAGGATACTGGTACACCCGGTACCTGTCCGCTGCTTACTTGATGCAACGGGAAACCTCCGATACGTATGCTGAATGAAGTTGGTAACGCGATGTGAACGGTTTGACTGATGCGTTGGACCAGGGCACTTGCACAACGGAGCCAACGATGACGTCTCGCGACTTTTTTGAGGCCTGATGTTTTGGGGCGGTCTGAGGACAGAGGCAATCAGAGGGAACCCAACTGACCAGGCCAACCGGTTTGGTGAAACCAGGGTGAGGGGCAACGTAAGATGTCATTCGTTGGTGTTTTGCTGGCGGTGGTGCGAGCGCCCCCGGCATAGCAACACCGATGGTTCGTCGGCGATAATGGCGCGCGTGTGGTTTGAAATGTGAGTCATACCGCCCGCCCGCCACTACACACCAGCTACCCTCGCTTCCACGCGGTGGGTTCAACACCCCCCCTGGGATCTGTCCAGGAAGGGTAGGTAGGGGCGGACAACTCCTTCACTATGCGACAGGGCAAGGTGTCTGTCATATGACTATTGCTGTTTACGCTAACTGGCCCGAATGGACTGGGCCGGCCAACGCACGAAGGGGGTCCAAAGGGGAGGGGCCTGGTAACGAACGGTCTTCACGGTTGGCTGACGGAAGGTACTTCGACGATTGGCACTTTTGGCCGCCCGGGAGAGGTATCGAACGTTAAGGCTACGGTTTCGAAGAGGGTCCTGGGTGAAACGGTGGCCTGGCGCCGTTTGAAATGGGCACGGGAGATGATTCATTCTGATGCGTGAGGGCATCTCGGGCAGCGAGCCACGCATTCACGGAACAGGGGATGATGAAGAGGGGCGAGGGCGTTCGATTTGTTTGGTCTGTACCGCCGACGTGGATGCCATGTGGGATGGCCTAGCGTCCTCAACAGCGCTTGGAAGAATGTCACCGAGTGGTGTTCGGGATGTTGATTGACGTCGGGGAGGCCTTATACGAGTGTTTGAGGCCTACGCTCAGAAAACAGCGAAGTCCGCGTCGTACCCGCTGTCCTCGGGACGCTGTGTAAGGGGAAGGGGAAGTTTACCGATGTTACGATGGGCCCAGAAGCCTGGATTGCGAGGTTACCTTGGGAGAAAGACACAGAGAGGTTCTACAAGGTCTGCTAGGCTGCGAGGCAGTGTTTGCGGCGTGGTCGCTGGCGGTTGTCACAAGTTGGTGTGTTCATCAGGTACTGCTTCCTGCCTGCCTAGCTCGCGAGCTGGTGGGGTATTCTCACGCTGCGCGTGGATGTTCTTGGAAGTCTTGCGGGAATGTATGAGGGGAGCAGTTGCGCGGTCGAGATGCCAGATGCCAGGTTGGGACGCCGGAGGTGGTGGCGATGGCTTCTCGCTCGACATCTACCCCGAACCGGGCGTCCTTCACAGCGAGTTCCTCTCGGCGATATCTGTTCCTTCGAGGTTGAGACTCTGGCCGGATGGCTCACTCGGCAGCGGAAGTCTTCGACATAGGGCTGAGGGTTATCTATGCAAGTGCACACGGCATAACGGTGGGCAGTCTGAGCTCTGCCGACCTGCCTGATACGGCTCGCCGATGTCTTGTGGGGGACATGTCACACAGCACGTCGGCGAGACGGATTGAGGATGTTTGGGGAGATGGATGTGCCCGAAATACGCAAGTGCGTGCCGCGGGGGCTGCAGAGGGTCTCTGTCGGCGACGTGTCAACGCCGGCCAGATGTTGGGAGCCGGGTCTTCCGGATGATGTATTTTCTGAGACGCGACGCTCCTTGTGAGAACGCGTCTCGATAGCCTGTCTCGACGACACCCTTTGGAATTGGAGTGCATGTGCGCGGCAAGTGGAACGTAGCGGCTATGAGAACTGTGGGCGAGTGTCCAGTTCTGCTTTGTCATTCCGTTTGAACCGGATAGTTCGATGTCAGAAGGGCCCAGAGACGGTAAGGACCAGTCGCATCTCACACTCCACGTCCTCTAGTCTGTCGCACTTGTTAGGGCGTAGACGAGGGCGAAGGTGCCAGGTCATCCTGAGATGCGGTCGAAGTAGACGCAGTTGCACCGAGCGCGCGTCTGCCGGTGCTTCAACAGGGGAGGCTTAGAGAAGGCCATCTGCTGTTATCACGGCGCCTCACCAAGTATTTCCATGTCTTTTGGGGCCCAGCGTTGCCAAGGGCTGTTTCTCGTCGTTTCCCAGGTCGTGGAATTCACAACGGGGTTTAAGTCCATGATTCCCATCACCAATGGTGCACGGAGACTCTTTGTTGAGTACGGCTCAAGCCGTTTTTGCTGCGTCCACATCGTATTGGCACTCTCACCCCAAAGGCGGCTCGATGTCCTTCCAGTCCATATCTCTCATCATTGGCATCCCATGAGACCACCTCATGGAGTTTGGCTCATCCGATTGACTGGCTGCCAAGGAAGGTCTCGTTGACTCGAAGCATGTTGGCCTGGAGCCTACGCCCAACTTGTTGGCCCTGGGTGTATCTTCTCACATGTCAAGCCTGCCAAAAGCGCATTTACATCTCCCCTCAAAGCCAGAGGAACATCTCTACTACAGGATACACGTTCGAAATTGGCCATCGTATAGTGGGAAAGAACAGCCACCAAAATCTTTCTTTCTGGTCGGCGGTGCTCGAGGGGCTCGTCCTTGCGCATTCCAGTTACACGTCCAGAGAGACGAAAAGGAAGCATCTGTAAGGTAAGGTCTCGTACCTGACATTCGGAGACAGGGGTTTTCTATCCAGATTTGGCGCATCCTGAATCAGCAGTTGTCCTTGTCTTTACGCTTCAAGGGGATATGGGTACCACTACAACACTGACCGCTCATGGCCCAGTCTGTTATCTCTTTTCTGATGTCTCGCCAGCGTACAATTGCCCCCCTCAGCTGGCCGAGGGCGTTCGTCCACATCTTGTTGGAAACATAAGGACCTCTTCATAAGCAGAGTGTGCTCGAAATTAAGGACACAGAAACCACTGGCGCTCAAGGTTGTTCGGCATGCTCTAATAAGTGCAACTTGTTGGCCTTTTGATCCTACTAAGCGGTTGCAGCTCGAGTACAATATCTCTTGACAGCCCGCTTCAGTTGGATGCCAATATCTCCTCCCCTGATCGAGCGATGGTCTCATTTCACAGACTTCTCGGTCGCAAGGACATAAAGTCTCTTTGCCGCTTCTAGAGGAACGTATGTTACAGTGGCTTTAACCTCATACACTTATCGTCTGACTGCGATCACAATGGTTCGCCAAGTATCAAGGTGGTGACTCCTTTCGTTGGCATTCCTCTTGTACTTCAGGTTCGTTCGGAGACTCATCGTAGGAGGTTTGGCGCTCAGAGCCGAAATATAGGGCGACGGAGCTTTGAGTTGTCATTTGTCTCTTCTCATCCGGTGCGTACTTTGAGCAACTACTCGGAAGACTGGGGACTAGAGTGCCAGTGTCACATTCTCCAGAAGAGATGCCATCTCCGCGACAGGGACCAAGTGGTCAGGGGCTTGAGTGGGGAAGGCTTACATACCATCTGCGATAAGGGACTCGGAAGGAACCAAGCACAGAGTTCCACATCTTTGAATTGAACCATCTTGGACTTGATGCAGAAGAATGGCCATGCTTGATATGCTGCGTGTTGCTTCATGCCGACCTAAGAATGCAGACTTGAATTGTGAATAGGAGCCACAGGTGCAGAGGTAAACCGGGTTAGTCGGATTACATCCGCAACAACACACAAAAAAGAACATCTCCGAACCCAGAATCGAACTAGGGACCTTTCGATCATCTTGGAAACCCATTACAGTCGAACGTGATGAACCAACTACACCATTCGGAGGAAACACGACTGGATCGTGTGAATGATTGGCTGACTGCTGGTCAACGACGGCGGGTTGTGGGCTCTATATCCTCAGCAAGGTGGGCGACGGCTGCTTGCGATCAAACACCGTCGTAAATTATTTGCTCTTGTGCTCCGAGGCATCTACAAGGAAAGGAAGACCCTGGAATGCCACTCAAGGCTCTTCACAGGTCGAGTTGAGGAGTTATGAGAATGACAGAGTTGGGCACTAGCGGACCTGATTCCTGGTAGTGGTTGGTAACCAACGACAACGTAGGACAAGAAAGGAGGCTCTGATACACCGTTTTGGTCGTTTCGGTATGCTAGCTTTGATGCCCATCAAATATGAGTGCATTTCATCTCATAAAGACACCCAAGCCCTTGAGATGCTCTCAATACCTTAGTATTAGATGACCTCCCATCGAAGCCTCTTCCTCGCGTCTAAAGCCAGATCCCTCCTCGCCCGGTGCATTATATTAGACAACAAGAATCATTCCTCAGTAAGCCATGGAGATGTATACAGAAGCAGACCATGCTCCTTGCGTATGTACGGTTCCTCCTTCTCTGAGTCTCAGTGACTTCTTTAACGAGGCATGAAACCACCAGCCAGCATCGAGTGCGGCGCTAGACGTTCATTTCGACTCAGTCTCGACGTGAGGAGATCGACTTCGCGTCGGTGGTAGTCAACCATGCGCTTCTCAAGTTGGACGAGCTCGGACAGGGGGCCGGCCTTGCTGCGTTTCCTGGCCTCAAGCAGTGTGACCACTTTGGCATGTTCCTCCTCCAAGACATCTAGCGGCCAGAGAGACAGGTTATCCTCGAGCCCTTGCGAGGGGAAGAAATCGTCCAGCAGGAGTAGCATATGCATCAGACGTCCGTCCAGATTTCCTGGATTCCGGTGGGTAACAGCGTTCTGAAGACCAACCCGCAGAGTCTGCTTGTCTGTCAGCTCACAGCTCACTTTTCAAGTCACGTCGAAGGGTCAGTCAACTTGCCTCCCAGGTCTGATGTTCAGCTTGAATCTTTGCGCCACCTCTCCGAAGCCAAAAGAGAAGTTTCTGCTGCTCTGGCGTCCATGGCCCCGTAATGAGGCCATCGGGGATAATTGTCTTTGGGTGCACATCGACATAAAAGTCGAGAGCGGGTTTTGAGCCGTTGAGCCCGTACGCGAGCCAGTCATAGTCGAAGCAGCCCCTCGAATCAAAGTGACCAAAACCGCCAACTCGGTCGTGAGGCGAGTCTAAGGAGCTGACCTGGTCTGTCTCCTCGTCTTTTGGACCAACGTGAGAATGTGAATACCACCTGTTGCGAGCGAAGCGCCAGGCCCAGACCTGCCGGGCGTCGAATACAATGTCCACATTAACCCAATGGGATGCTAACACAGAAGACTGAGAGCTGGTTAGTGACCTGAAATTTTCTAGTACGAGCTTGCCATACCTGTAAATCTGGATCTCCTGGAAAGAACTCGGGAAAGCTCTCATGTCGCCAAACTCTGCTCAAGTCTTCTGTGGCGCCACGCTTCAAGGCCGTCTTTACCAGCCGCCTGTGAACACCAAACCAACAGTCCCAAGTAGGATGGAATGCCGCGATGAGGAGGTTGACGAGAGTGGATCTCCCAGAGAGTAGACGACCGACGAGGGGGCTACAACGGGGGAAGTTGAGGTTCTCGCTGAGGACAAAGATGCGCTCGATAATTTCGAGAGGCAGTTGTCGCTCCAGGAGCGACTTGCGCTTGGATGTCAAGCGACTCGAAAGCCGTGAAGTCCGTTTCTGCGCCGGTTGTTTGACTGGTGTCTTTGACGAAGGGGCTTTGCCACGCTTGCCTCTGACTTTGATAGGGGTTAACTGCATGATCCGCCAATTTGGCCGCCCCTTTCCGCTGGCTCCCGTGTCCCCAAAGTGAACCTATCTCGACGGTGTCATCTCAGAAGAAGTTCTGATAGAGCTGCCGAACTTGTCAAGCTGAGTTGAGTGTGGGGTACGAGGGCGGTTCAATAGAAAACCAGAGCTGAAGTACGAATTGTGTAAGTGAAAAACCTTGTGTCTCCTAAGTTTGGCCTCTTACGGGCCAGCGACGAAGTGGTTGACAATTGAACATGCGAGAAAAAGACATAAGGAAGAACGTCGTAAGTGAAAAGGGAGACCCGAACGTTGTTGTCTACGAAAACATTTCATCGTCACTATCGTCAAAGCATTAGTGAGAGGGTCTCGAGATTTCAGTCAGTGGATTCCGCCGTACCGTGCGACGACAGTGCAGAATGATGTCAAAAAACAGGACGTGTCACCTGAACCGTGCACGTGGACCCAACTTGAATGTTGCTGCGCGGTAAAACGTCCAAGAAAAAAAAGTGTCAGTGGCAGCAGAGAGAGAGCTTGCGTTGCCAATCGTCTCGTCACTCGAGTTTATCCGACAGTAAACTGACGACCTCCCAAGCTCTCACACATCTCCGGACAAGGGGACTGTGTAGCGTCGGTCCGTCACAATGCCTCCAGCGATTCGAGCCCCGGTGCCCTCGACGAGCCTGCTGCGGTTTCTGCGATCGCAAACGGAGGCCTCTTCGATTTTCAGTCGGACTCAATGTGCTGAAGCAGCGGCTGCTGCCATTCGACCCAGCTCAGTCCGACCGGCCCCGAATCCCCAATGCCTTGCAAGGAGACTTTCTAGGATAGGGACGAGGTCGATTTCGACAAGCTGTAGGGGACCCGAGCTCCTCCCAGCTTCACCTCTCAGCTCCAACTCCGTCACCACCCGGGTGAGCCGCAAGCGCAGGGCAACCGAATTACCCTCCTCGCCCGTCGCATTCTTCAGCACAACCTGCGCGAGACGAGATGCCTGCGGCGACGACTCCTCGGCGCCGCCCCGGACGTGGAAGGAGAGGCTCTGGGGTGTAAGAGGCCGGAGAGGAGCCAAGGCGCTGAAGCCGAACGACCTCCCCTTCCACGACGATGGCGAAGCCGGCTCCATGTTCAACAGCCGCCGCATACTGACGGCGAAGGCCGCGCTGGAACCCAGATTGCGATGCACTGAGGTGGACGAGAACGGCGAGGTGATTTTGGTGGATGGCGAGTTCAAGAAGACGGAGCTCATCGCAAAGGTAAGGCTTCAACACAAAGATGGGATTTCTATAGACGCTGACGACGGGATGACTATAGTACGGACTGCTACCCCGCGACCTGCGAAAGATTGATTCCTCCAATCTGCCTCACATCCTCGTCCGCCAGTCCGCGATCCTTCTCAACTTGCTTCACCTGAAGGTCCTGATCAAGAAGGACCGCGTGCTGCTCTTCGACGTGTACGGCTCCAAGACGTCATACCCGCAGTCGGCCTTCATGTACGACCTGCAGGGCAAGCTCAAGCAGAAGAACGTCCAGGGCGGCGTCAACGGCCTGCCGTACGAGTTCCGCGCCCTCGAGGCGGTGTTGACCTCCGTCACCTCGGAGCTCGAGGCCGACTTCGAGTCCGTACGGGACCCCGTCATCCGCCTCCTCAGCGAGCTTGAGGACGACATCGACCGGCACAAGCTGCGTGTCCTGCTCATCCTGTCCAAGCGGGTGAGTACCTTTGAGCAGAAGGCCAAGCTCGTGCGCGACGCCATCGAGGAGCTGCTCGAGGCCGACGACGACCTTGCCGCCATGTACCTGACCGAGAAGGCGCACGACCTCTACCGCGGCATCGACGACCACACCGAGGTGGAGCTGCTGCTCGAGTCGTACAACAAGCTCTGCGACGAAATCGTCCAGGAGGCGCAGAACTTGGTGTCTGGCATCCGCAACACCGAGGAGATGTAAGCCCTTCTCACCCGACCTTGTTCGCTGTTCAAAGAAATGTCTTTGCTAACATGAACCACAGCATCCGCGCGATCCTTGACGCCAACCGTAACGCCCTTATGCTTCTCGACCTCAAATTCAGCGTCGGCACCCTCGGCTTGGCCATGGGCACCTTCCTCGCGGGCCTGTACGGCATGAACCTCGAGAACTTCATCGAGGACACTAACTGGGGCTTTGCCGGCGTCACAATCACCTCGACCATCTGCTCCCTCATCGTCTGCTGGTACGGCCTCGTCAAGCTGCGCAAGGTCCAGCGCGTCAAGATGATGTTTGACGAGCGCGGGCCCCTGACCCGGAGCAGCCGGCAGTTGACTTCGTCGTCGGCGGCGGCGCAGCCGAGCGTCAGCGCGGGCCAGCACTGGTTCCAGGACGACGGCCCCGTGGGCCTGCTCGATGCCCGGAACCGCGAAAAGTTCCGCCGCGTGACGAACCAGAAGGCCGCCGCGGCCGCCAACGCAAAGATGACCACCAAAAAGTGGTTCCAGTGAAGCGGGCGGGGGTAAAAGAGAGAACAACGTATCAAGGCGGAGGCAAAGGGAACGAAAGCACGCTAGGTTTTCCTGCTTGCTGGCGCGTACGCCGTAAGCGTTGTAGTGCCCCCCTTTCTCTCACGAGGTCCTGACCGGTGGAGATCCCTGGGCGAGAGACTGACGCAGATGCGAAAACCTTAACCTTTGAACGGTGTATATACGGCGTTCCGGATGGAGGCGGATGGACGCGAAAGAGCGAAGAGGGCGGAGCAAAAGGGCGACCTTGAATCGACAAGCGACACGAGCAGCATGCCCTCACCTCACGGCCTCGTTTCTCTCCTATACTATAATTTTGTACCATATGTACATACACACACACACATACCCATATCTGTATATTGCACCAAACCACATGTGGGAACAGCGAATCCCCCACCCATCTTCTCAGCTCATTGTATGGAAAAGGGTCTCCCCAATATTTACTTGCCGGCTTGCGGCGAGGAGCCCTATACATCAGGAAATGTACCTATACCCCCAGCCAGTAGAACAACAGACGAGGCAAAGTTTCGTACAGGAAATGAAAAGGCTCCTGTAACTCTCGGAGTCCGGCTCTTCCAAGACACGTTGCGTGTCTGTGACCAAAATGTGTCAACAAAAAAAAAGTGTTGCGAGTTAATTACGTCTGGGCTTTTGCCCCCCATTACCAGAAACCATTGGAAATCATTCCCAAAAACTAGACGGGGAATGCCCGCCGGCTCACCGGAGGAGGGTTATGACGCCGGTGTCCCCGCCGAGCCAAATGCGGCGCCTGGTGGCGGGCCCCGGCTCCCTCTCTTTTCCCAATCCATCGAGACAGGGGGGAAGGAATCCGAACGGAGAACGCTAGAATGAAAATAAACAAAAGGTTTCTTTGATTGACAGTTTGACGGAAAGGAATGAGAGTAGGCCGGAAACGGCCAGACCAGTCTAGCACAGAAATCTTTGCCGTGACATGAAATATGTGAAAGAGATTGCAACAAATAGAAACCACCAAACAAAACGTCTCGTCTCGTGAGATTGTCGGCCCCTCCGCCTCTGAAGACAAGTTTAGCCAATCGCCTCGACTATGTGTCACCGGAGTCGGAATTTGACTCCTCGCAAGTCGAACGAATTGGGCGAAGCTAAAGTTTGTGACAGCCAGGAGAAGGCTAGTTTGCTGCTCATGAGCCGACAGATCAGCAGACGTAAGGCACTAACGGATACGGTGGAAGAGGACAGCAAAATGAAGAAGGGGCCGCAGAAGGACCAGAGCTCCTTGCATGAGCGGCCAGCAGTTTGGCAGACCTGGACTGCGATCTTGCATCGAGTCTGCAACAACTTTCGAGGAAGCTCGGCCGAGACGTGGCCAGCCAGGGCTAGTCTTACTTTGGTGTCCCGAATGGCACGCACAACTGACTCGGACTCGACGAGCATGGACTGACGAGATGCCGGCCGGCATATCTGAAGAAATGATAGTCCGCTGTAGACTGATAGTGGGCGGTGTGCTTCAAGACCTTGATGCCTTTGGCCACGCGTAATTCCCATGCTAGACTCGAACCCCTGCGTGGTTGAATACGAGTACCGCTGAGGCATCAGTCGTTGACGAAGAGCTGAAAGATGCAACATCAAGTCTTTGCTTGAGAAAAAACCCTCTAGTGCTTACCGTGTGGACGATCAGAGGGACCATGCTAACTAGGCTAGTTTCTCCATGTCGCACGGGTACATCGTGATGCGGTACCTCGTCTACGTTTCCTGCCTCCGCTATCTTGCGCCCTGATAGGACCGGCTGGAGCTCCGAAGCGAAGGCGAGAGCGAGCGGATTGATCTCGGACCAGTATCCTCAGCAAGATTGTATATGAGGAATGTGCGTTTCTGCAAATACACTCCTACAAAGGCCCTACAAGTTGGGCGTTGTTGTTCTCCATTGCTACCTTTTCTGTTTACTTGGCGGTCGTCAGCAGCTTGGAAAGGCGTGACGGAGCTGATTCATAGCAACAACCCTCGGGTATGGGAGGCACAGACCATCATTTCCCATGTTCGCTGCCAGTTGATAACGGGCACCGGATCAACGGAAGAGCTGCGAGTTACGGCCAAGGGTGGGAATACACGATTCCCTACGAGGACGACGTATCCGACTTGTGACAAGGATGAGAAGCGCAATTGCGAAGAGCACAGATGATTACCCTGTAGATTGCTGAGAGCTCGAGCGTGAAGCCATAGGTTCGCGAGCCTGGCGAGTCCATATCAAAGTAAGCAGTAGCCTTAAGAATGGGGGCCGGATATAAGCCCGGAGGTCATCCGGCCAGTGTGGGTCCGGAACGGAGTGCGCACTAGTAGTGGAATTCCGTACGACTTTCTGTGCGGAGTCAAGCAAAGATTGCAGCTGCATGGTTTCTGTAGTAGCGCAATTAGAGTTGAGGAATCAATGTTGATTGGAGCTTCTTCAGAATGCATAATCTGGAAACGAGTCAAGGCGTTAGTCTGCCGGGGGGGAAATGGGCAAGCTCCAGAGTCATGGTTGATCGTAACCCCTGCAGAAAGCTAAGGAAGCTTAGGCCACCAGCCGACCTTATTGCCGATCCTGTGAGTCTCACGGACGTTCCAAAAGCTAAAATGGCGAGCGGTTGACATCCAAGGTTTTCAGGTACCGCCAATACAACTTTTGGAGTCCAGACCTTCGAAGTTACTGCCCTTAGTGGGGGAAATGGCAATCGCGATGCCACGGGGGGCTGCCGGTCGCCAATGGGCAACGAAGGGCAATTGAAAGAACCCCGACGTTGTTTGTCTATGCCTTATACGCCTTGGTAGAGTCAGCAATTGTTAACCCAATAGCATATGCGGACGTCCGTGATACAATGGGAGACTATGGCCGAGAGGAAGCTGAGTAGTGCCGGTCTAACGATTGCGTATGCCGGCGGCCATTCGAGCTGCATCCCGGTCGCGCAGAGCTGGGATGGAGGTTCTGTTGGAGGAGTGAGCTGATGTTCACGTCCCGTCCGACATGCCCCTTTCCAGCCAGAGTCGACAATGCGAATGTCTGCACACTGTAGGAGTGTTGACCAAGCATTGACCTTCGGGTTCGGTAAAGCTGCGAAGGTGTCCTAGAACCAACGGCCAACGACGACTGGGGGAGGTTGCTGGGGACGTCGCGGATCGACGACGGTGTGGTAAACAAACTGGGACTAGGAACATACAAGGATCGAGGAAGGGAACGGGCGAGACAAGCAAACAAGAATGATGACGAAGAAAGAGGGACACAACCGAAAGGGAAGGACAGGGGGCCAAGGGTGTGTAGTGCAAACGACTCGGATGCAATTATGTAGACTTGGAGATTGTACCGGCTGCTTCAGAGCCTGTATCTGTCTGGGGAGACGGTCGTGTTTGCTCATAGCCGGTCAACGGTAGGCCGTCAAGGAAGCCGATGAAAGGAAATAGCACTACCGGCAGCCTCCCGTAGGTTTGGCACTCTGAAAGTATTCGCAGGGCGGCCCGTTGCTTCGTGTACGAGGGAGCACTCGGCGCCTAACCCGGCTCCGTGTTGTCCATCTGTTAAGAAGAGGAAAGGAGAAAGGGGCTCGTCAAGGAGTTCGACGGAAAGCTTGATTGAACGGGGAGGTGAGTCCGTGAGCAACAGGGAATCATTGATGCGGCGGCATGAGATGCAAATCTACGATTTCACCATGCCCTGCAACAGGACCATTTCTGGTCGGTGGTTGCCAACTCGACAAAGCAAGGAAGGCGCTGCTGGCGCCGCGGCGGGGCGGAAGGTAAGGCCGGGCCAGGCCGGGCCAGGCAGGCAGTCCTGGGATAATCTGGAAGTGTCCAGTCGTCGCATGCTAGAAAGAGGGCAAGGCATGCACGGCATGTACGTACAGGTAATAGCATAGTGTAAGGTGCTGCTAGGGTAGGGCGGTACGTACTCATCCGTCCGTGGTGGGGCGCCTGATCTGCGTGTGTATCTGGGTAGCGAGGGTACCTCGTCTTGCATTGATTTCGCCGGGGGCCCATCCGTACTGACAGTACGGTGCATGTACCTCGTTAGCCACTCGAGCCATGCGAGAGAGGTACGTATCAAAATCAGGCCATGTCTGATGTGGCGCCAACAGCCGGAAACCCAAGCGCTATCCACCTTTGGCCTTGCCTTGCCGCCAGATGTCACTGGCTTCCCCAATCTTTCCCAAACCAGTGGCTCTCAGTGCATGTTGATGCTCGGCCTCTGATGCTCATCTGGACGTCTTTGTCATCTCTTACTGGCGGCTCCGAGGGGGGGATCCCACGCTTACGCGCTGTCGCTCTTCCTTGGCTCTTCTCCTTCCCACTTTTGCTGCAGACGTAGTGCACCCATGTAGTGTAGTGTAGAGCACAGCTCGCCGTTTCGGCTTGCGCATTTCTCATCGCCCAAATCCCCAATCCCCAATTCCCAATCTCCAGTGCCTGGTGGCTGCAGTGTCGTGGACGCTGTGCATGACCGTCGTCGTCGTCCGCTGCGGATATAGGTTTCGTTCGATATTGAGATTCCGGTCGACTCAATCTCAGTCCCATTCCACCGTTCCATGAGGCCGCGCGCTGTGTTTTCGGCTGCCGCCCGCCATCCGCTGTCCTAGGTGTCCCTCCACCGTCCACCGTCCACCACCCAGCGCGTCCATTTGCACTTGCGCTCTTGAGCAGCAAGAAGCAAGGACTGCACCGTCTTCTCTCTTATCATATCAGCCGACAAGCCAGCATCGAATCAAGTACCAGTCCCGCTCTCACCCGACTCTTCCTTGAAATTGCAGAATTAGAGAGCAATAAGAAAGGAAGGAAGAGGGAAAGGTCAACAAGATCGATCCCACCCGCTCCATCCGCCTCTTCCATATTTCACCTCCCTCTCCCCTTCGTCTCGGCGTTACCATTGCCGCCTTTCATGTCCGGATTCCTCAGCAAGATCCAAACATCGACCCGTTCGGCCCTTGTCTTCAAAACGTTAGGATCGGGACGTTGCCAATTCACCGACAGACAACCTGAGAGGCCCCTATCCGAGGCGGCGACTCTTTCCCACTAATTCCACACTGCACACCCGCATTGCTCCCCTCCTTCTCCCCAGCTCCGTCCTACCTAGGCTGTCGCCCCCTCGTCATTCTCAAGGGTCTCCAAGAAGCCCCCAAGAACGACGGCGCTTTCGCCCTACCGTCAGTCACGCATTGACTCGATCGTCCGTCTGGCTACTCGAGGCCTAGTACCCCTCCCTCCCTTTCTCCCAAAACCTTGCATTATTCTCCCATCCCGTCAAGTCAAGACATATCCAATCCGCGGCCCAGGCCCATTCCCAATTCGCTCCTCGCCTTGCTCCCACACCCAAAACAAGAAGAAGCAAACACCTCCACGCGCGCTACAGAGTACCTACCACAGAGTACATACCGGCTGCACCTCCTTCTGCTTTCCGTCCTTGGGCCCTCCTTGCCCGTTGACCACCACCCAGAAACCTTCGCCCTTCTCTCGTCCTATCATTGCCGCTGTCCACCTCACCTGCTCGTCAAACCTTGTCGTTGCCCTACCTCGTGGGTTCATCCTTTCTCCGGCTTCACTCGATCCGTTCGATGTCAAGCCAATACCTGCAACCACCGTTTCAACCCCTCTGCGCATTAATCGAGAACTAATCGTACGACCTTCACCCACCTGACTGGCCGGCGAGGTTCGGAGAGCTGTCCAACGCACCGGGTCGAACCACAATGCATCTGCTCGCGCTGCCTTGATTTGATCACTTTTCTTCCTTTCTCCGACCTCTCTGCCCGCCATGGCTTCGCTCGCCGGCCAGACGAGCTCGACGCCCGACATGGCTCCTTTGACGACCGCGTTGCCGTCTCCAGAGGATGACGAGGCAGAATACCTCGCCCAGGTCCTGTGCCTTTCCCCAGAAGGGTCGGAGGCAGCTATCGAGGAGGAGTTGGTCGCAAAGGCAAAGGCCCTGGGTATCTCGATGTCGAGATTATCCCACGAGAAGCGCATAACCTCGAGCGCCGAGTCGCAGACTTCCACCATTGCGACGCAGCATGTCCGGACCTTCTCGACCGCCTCGTGCGATTCCGGCAGCACAACCCTCACCTCTCACCCGTCTCTGGACGCTGTTCCCATCGCCGCCGACGCACCTCCGCATTCTCTTGCCAGGAAACGGTCCAAAAGCCTCGGCTTTTCGCAATACGACAAGTACTTGTCACAGATAGATCCCAACATAGACCAACCCAAGATCCAAAAAGCATCTCCATCCATCGCCCACGACACGTCGACGCACAGCTTGTTCAGTGTGTCATCACGAAGGAGTTATTTCAGTATCAAAGAGGGCATCCGGAAGATACGACGGAAGAGGACATCCGCTATAGTCGAGTCAACAATGTGAGCATGGCAATCCGTCATCATTCATCCCTGGCCGCTAACAGAAACTGCAGTTATTGCATATGCTGTCGCAACGAATTCAACAAGTCGAATGCTTTGCACAGCTTGCCTTGCGGCCATACGTACTGCGCCGAATGTCTCGGCATAATGATCCAGCAGTCTACGACGGACGAATCCAAGATGCCTCCTCGATGCTGTACGCAGCCGATTCCAGGGTCCCTCGTTCAGAAGATTCTCAACCGAGAGGAGCAGCATGCCTTTCTGAAGGCAGTCTTGCAGTTCAGCACGCCGTGGGAAGCTAGGATCTTTTGCCCGAATACGGCCTGCGGTGAATTCATCCCCCCTCGCAACCGAATCGATCCGAAGCATCCTTTCGATGTTGTGTGCCGCAAATGCCGGACTCGAGTCTGCGTCATGTGCAAACGCAACGCCCACCCCATTGGTAAGGATTGTCCGTCTGATTGGGAATTGGAAGCGGTCCTGAAGATGGGCGAGAAATCGGGCTGGCGAAGATGCTACAAGTGCAGAACATTGGTTGAATTGAGTCAAGGCTGCACCCACATGACCTGCAGATGCAAGGCCCAATTCTGCTACATCTGCGGCGCCATCTGGGATCCGTCCGTAGGGTGTCCCAACTTCTGCAATGGTGACGAAGAACTGGAACGAAGGAGGATGGAAGAAGAGGCCAGAAATGCTGAGCTTGAGGCAGAAAAGGCTGCCCAAGAAGCCGCCGCCGCCGCCGAAGCCACTGAAAAGATCGAGGCCGAAAAGCGCACCAGGGCCGATCCGCAGTTCACCAATCTGCAGGGCGAGATGCGTGAAGAATTGGACCGATTCCGGACGTACACGAGGAAGATGAAATGGGTCATGTGGACAAGGCAAGCCGAGAAAAAGCAGGCACTGGCCGACAGGTACTCGGATCAGATCGACAAGATGAAGGAGCGCCATGCGAAGACGGCCGCTCATCTAGAGGAACGCCAGATCGAAGCCGAGATCGATCTGAGGTCAACACTCGACCAAAGCGAGAAGAGCGTCAAGATTCGCCTGAAGCACATGGAGGCATACTGCGATGGACTCGGTCGCACTTCGAACGCCGACCTGCCGCCCCGAGTCGTCACGGAGAGAGACCTTCGCTTGCTGGGGCAACAGTACAATGTGCGAGATGGCATGGAGCGTTTGCACCAGGCAAAAATCAACGTTTTGCGAGACCGGCAGGCCAAGCGCATGGAGGAACTTTTGGAACGACAGGAGCAAGAACTCGAGAAACTGACCGACAGGAAAGAGCAGGATATAGAGAATCTGGCATCGGATTTTGCGCAAGAAGAAGATACCCTGGTCAAGATTATTAATGACCGCAAGCAGAGGCTGCAACGACGTTGGCTGATTGCGATCGAGATTTTACGTAAGGAGCTGGAGGAGCAAACCGGAGATCGATATGCGTCTCTCGCACTACCGGCGTGGCCCGACGACAACGAGACGCAGGACGAGATCCTGGCATCACTCCCCAATTCTCCCACAAGCGAGGACTAATTTTTGCTGCCGTCGACTTGGGCCGACGTTTGCTTTCGATCCTCACGGCATCACTGGCAACCCACCTTTTCTTTTTGTCTTTTTCAAGTTTTGCGCACAGATACCTATGGTGATGGTGTTTACAAGGAGTTTGGAAGGACTGGGACATACCAGGCATGGATACCACTCATTGGGGGGTTTATACCTGCACAAGCAGCATTTTGGTACAGGGGTTTTCTTGAGTCTCCAAGTTAAAGATCATTCGAATTTTCCCGGCACGTATTTACGATTACGGACGGAGGACAGACGGATGGCAGCATTTTCTGATACAGACGAGCGGATAATGTAGTTGTCGGCTAGCGAACGCGATGGACGAGACCAGGGAAGAATGGACGATTTATTTGATATTTCTTGTCCCCAAAGCACGATCCATGTTGACCTCGACCAAGCACACAGCAGCACAAGGGCTTCGGGTGCAGTCCGAAACCACCAGTCATTGGGGGCGTTTGGAACTGAAAGATTGGCCCGAGGCTCATCCCATGAACGGCAGCTTGTGAAAGCGGGCCGAGAATGGCGGCGGAACATGGCGGCCCACGTCCCTCTTCGAGTAAGTATTCATCTGTGTCGAAGCACGTTTGGAAGAATGATGAATGTGAAGGAGACTTGGCGTCGCATCAAAAGGTGCGACTCTTAACAGAGTCGGATGTTTAGACCAGGAGAGCGCTGGCGCCCTGCTATATGATTTACGTTCCTGCCGCAGTTTACGTAGTAAAGGGTGCGATGCTGAGTAGGGTCGCCAGCTTGGCAAATTAACCTCTAGATGGGCTTTCTGGGGGAATCTCCGAGCGCTTCTCTGCCGTTGGCTGGCTCACCGTAAGTTCCCGCTCCTACCGGGGTTGATTGCTTTGAGGCTCAAGGCGGGGGACAAGGGTCGGCCTTGCATGGAACATGTTGATGATGTTTCAGCTCTAACCGACTCGAGGCCAACGCACCCCTCCATCGCAACAACTCAAAACCATTTGTTGTATCTGAGAGTTTTACAAGAGTGGGATTGTGGCGGTACCTATTGGAATGGCCAAGTGGTTGGTGGTGCCATCACTTTGCAACCATCCCATCTTGATAGTCTCGCAAGGCCCGACCTCATCCAGTGACGCCTCGATGAGGCCGTTCCTGAAGTATAGTAGCCCATTCACTTCCTTTGGGTGTCATGCTCCCCGGAAGTTGTGTCGTGTGGTGTAATACAACGCTCTGGTTGGATGAGCCGCCAAGAAGAGGAAGAAACTCTTTCTTTCTCTTTCGTTATCCCAAGGGCTAAACGCCCTGACGTTGTAGGAAGTTTTGTTTGTTCGGCCCAGCGCCGAAATGATCGACTCAAACTCCATAATACTGTTTGTACGGGTCCTCCGTACCTATAGAGTTATTCGAATGGAGCTAACTAAAGATTAGGTAGAGAGATTGCCCGAAAAGGATCTATAATACAGATGCGACACCAGGATCAAGTCGATCCGAAGCCGCCCATCCCACCCAAATCATTCCACCCCCAGCACCCGCATGAGTTGACCAATGTGGTAATATTTCCAATCCATCCCTCCTTGCCATCCATACAGCGCTCCGTGCGCTCAAACAGTTGCGCGGTTCCACATATCGGCCTTCGTCTCAGATTGGACCGCTCGTCTAACCGCGGCCGGCCTATGACAGAGCGCTCGCCCCTCGTGCCAACCTGTCACGCACGGCGACGTGCAGCAGTATAACTCCAAACGCCCACCGCTACCCTTTCCGTCGAACACCTGTCTTCCTTTCTTGGCTAAGCGACTGTATTCCGCGGGGAGGAATACGAAAACGACTGCTCATCAAGTGATTTTCAGCGATTGGAATTGGTCGGCATCCTTCACGATAGATCATCACTCTCGTCTTGAGGACGATTCAACAGACGGAGACGACGACAACTCTCGACAACTTGTACAAGTGCCTCAGAAAGGATTTTCAAGATGGCGTCAAAAAGCGGCTGGACCGAGTCTACGGACAACCTCGCTCATGTGCAGAGGGTCGAATCCCCAGAAGCCCTGGTGGTGGGATCGTCAAAACTCTTCGATGGAAACAACATTCGCTTTGTGCCGATGCCCACACCGGACCCCAAGGGTCAGTCTTCAGCCACATGAGTGATGTGGAGAGAATTTGTTAGAAGAGTATGCTGACTTGCGTCGGTGGACAGATCCATTGAACCTCCCAACCTGGAGGAAATGGACCGCCATTGCAGCACTTTGCTTTTGTAAGTTATATATGATGTGTGACTGGATGTTTGACAGATTCTAACCCGTTCAAAGTCGGCTCACTGGCCCTCGCCGCCGAGTTCATTGTCGGCGCCTTGGTGCCCGTGTTTGTGCTGGAGTACTCCGGCATCGACCCTCACATCCTGAGCCAGATCGACATTTCGGCTTTGAACAAGCCCGGTGAGGTCAACTTGGACCCCGTCAAGATCCTTGCTGGTCTCGGTGGCCCGCCACTGTACCAGGTGGCGCTTCTGGCGTCCGTCCCGCTCCTGGTCAACGGCCTCAGTTCTTACCTGCTTGTGCCGCTTTCGATCGCCATCGGCCGCCGCCCCGTCCTTCTGCTCTCCGGCTTTCTTGCATGGACCGGTGGTCTCTGGGCCGGTTTCTCTCAAGGCCTTGGTAGTCATCTGGCTGCCCGCTGCTTCCAAGGTTTCGGTGCAGGTGCCGTTGAGGCTCTGATTCCCCTCATTATCCAGGACATGATGTTCATCCACCAGCGCAACAAGGCCATCTCCTCTGTTGGTGCCTCTCAGGGTCTCCTCATTGTGAGTTTGGGTATCATGAGGTGCGTCTTCTGAAACTATTTCCGCGAGGCAAAGGAAAAAGGTTGAGCTAACTCTTCTGAAACAAGTCCCATCATCGTTTCTCGTCTCTCCTGGCGCTTCATCTACTGGATCACCTCCGGTGTTGGTGTGCTCGCCTGGATCGCCCTCATCCTGTTCGTCCCCGAGACTCGCTGGATCCGCAGCGACGATGAGCTTGGTAGGTTTAACACACACGTGAACATGATAGAGATCTTTGCTGACGATACAAACAGCCGGCAAGGAGGTCTACCCTCTCCGTCCTGGTGAAAACCGCCCTCGCGTCGATGAGGTGGCCTTCCGCCCTCGCTCCAACTGGGACGAGTTCGGCCTCTTCAACTACGGCTACGAATGGAAGGAGGCGAAGCAGTCCACCATTGACATGGTCAAGACAACGTTCTTCCCCAACATCATCTGGGTCATCCTCATCAACTCCATCCTTGTCTCCATGCAGGGTGCTGCTGGCCAGGTTGGCTCCTCGCTCCTCATCGCCGCCGGCTGGAAGTTCGAGACGCTCGGTTTCGCCGTCATCCCCATCGTCATCGCCAGTCCCTTTGTTTGGTTCTTCGGCGGTTATGTCGCAGACTGGATTTCCAACTTCCTTGCCAAGCGCAACGGTGGTCAGCGCGAACCCGAGGCCCATCTCGTCAGTCTGGTGTTCCCGCTCCTGGCTTCCATTGCCGGCCCGATTTTGTTCGGTTACGCTGGAGAGCACATCCGGGAGCTCCCGTCGATTGTTGTGCTGGTGTCCATCTTCTTCATCGGCTTCGGTCTGTTGACGGCCAACACCATCTTCGCCGTCTACTTGGTTGAAAGTTATCCCCGATATGCCGGGTATGTGTTCCGCATTTTCCGTGACGCCCTGTTCTGTTCTGTTGCTAATGTTGTAATCAGTCCTGTGCTTGTCAACGTCTCCTCGTCCCGCCTCATCATCGGTTTCATCATGTCCTTCAACGTCACCACCTGGATCGAGCAGCTCGGCTTCCTTAAGAACTTTGGTATCTACAGCGCCGCCCTGGCCGGAATCTCCATGCTCCTGCCAGTCATGTACATTTACGGCAAGCCGATGCGTGCCTGGACCGCCGGCCGCCTCGAGCCGAGCGTCAAGCCGGCCAAGGTTCTCGACGACGATGACCAGTACTGGAACAACGGCGACCGTCCGGGCCAGTGGCAGGACGAGAAGATGGGCACCCCTATTGGAGTGGCCCGGCCGATGTAAGTGTCAGAGTTGCAATACTCGATGGAGATTGGTCACTACGCGGCAAATTGGAAAAGAGCAATTCGTACATGGCACGCAAGCGTACGACAGATGAGCATTTCAGCGTCAAGTACAGAGATGGAGCCAAAGCCCGCAACCGACAAGCATCGCTGCGTCGTTATTGGCAGACGCGCGGGCCGGATCTTGTGTAAGGATTTCACCAGAGAAACCATTCGGGGTCTAATTTGGGTGCGTCTCCTTGACATGACACTTTAGGAAAGGCATCAGCATCCCGGAGAGGGGACAAATCGGTGGGTTTGCTGCTCGGCGTAGGTTTACCTTTTGCGTGTTTCGATCTCCTCGAAGTTTCATTTTATTTCATTCACGCGGCATTCCCTTGACCGGGGAGAGATGCCGTCGCGCACGCCTCTCTCTGTCTGAGCGCGTTTGCGACGGCGGGTTCTCCCGCGGATGGAGGCTGTTTAGACCCTTTCGCGTCCGTTGCGGGACAGGGGACGTGTTCTCTAAGATACTGCAGGCATGTTTCTGGCCTTCGCGCGGAGGTGAGGTGATTTAGAGAGTGCGATATGAATACCAACCCTCTTTTAGTCTGTTTCAGGACTCCTGGCTTCCCCGACGTGAGTGGTGTGCGCAGATCGTGATGTCCTGATTGGTGTGTTCTTATGCTCAGACATCGTGAAGTATGTTTTGTCCAGGTCACGTCACGAGCGTAATCCGCAAATCTGGAGAGAACACGAAACGTGACGACTGTCACTTTTCCTCCAAGACATAATAACAATCATGCCGTTCTATGTGAAAGGAGCCGACTCTATCGAAAGCACCACTCGTGTCACTTCGAATACAGAAGGATACGGAAGACAAGATCCTATGGACTGGCCGGACACAATGCCCAACGCCAACGCCGACGGTCGTTCACAGCCTCGAGCCTTTCCGCCGGCCACCCTCCCCGTCCATAAGAAGAACATCCCATGAGTGGTATGGAGGGAAGCCGATTCAGGCAACGATCGGAGCTCAGGAAAGGAGAAGGGGGGAGGGTCGACAAAAACAACCCCGCGGAGCCGACATCCGAATTGAGCACATGTTCGTCCCGCAGCCTCGGCAACAAAAGTGTAAAAGGGACCCGAAACGGAAGGCTCCCAAGAATACATTGACTCTCGAATCCGTACAGAACGAGTCGCACCCAGGATGGGTAGATCCCGGCAGGGTGGTCGACGAGAGGGTGCCGTTGGCACCGGATCTGGCTGCCCGGGACGGGGGAAACGGGTCTTTCCAGAGGAGGGGGACGGAGGGAGGGAGGGAAAGGGTGGTGGGGTAACAGGCTCGTTACAACTGCTCTCGTACTCTCTCACACTGCAACGCAAGAGCCGCCTTGATTGGGCGAGTAAAGTTAGGTTCATCGAACTGTAAAATCAGCGTGTCCAGGCACTTTCTTTAAACTTCGTGAGCCAAAAAAAAAAAAAAAAGTATTGAACCTCAAGTGCATGAACCGTCCCCCACCACCTCCACCACCCCCCTAGATATCAAGGCAAACTACACACAGAAGGAAGAGGGTGTGCGGGAGCCCGGATCGTGTAGAAGACCCCCGTTCAATACACTTTGCCAGATTTCAATGGTTGTTGCGGCGTCCCCCATCGCACACGCACATCAATCCTCAATCATATCGCACGCACACACATACATACACACACACACACAGCCCCCATCCTCCTTCGGCAACCGCTTCGCTGAGCCGAGGCCCAGAGCGATCCGGCGCGCACCATCGACCGGCTTGTGTGTGTGTGTGTGTGTGTGTGTGTGTGTGTGTATATGTGTGTGTGTAGGTGATGGACGTACCAGGGTCCGAAGGAACCGCGATGGTGGGTTTCGACGTGTCTGTATGTGAAGCGGCAAGGCGGGTTCCCTTGCTTGCAGCCCACCGTGTCCTGCATGTCAAAACACGACGCGGCTACCTAGCGCAGCGAGAAATCGGGTGTCCGTGGGAAACCGGACGATTGCGAGAGCTCAAACTCTGTTCCGAAGCCTCGGCGCCGATTGGCTTCACATTGGCATTGGTGTTTCGGCCCTGATGGAGACCTGGGCTGTAACACAATCGGCCAGTTGGCCATTCCTCCCCATCCATTCGTGGCATGTCTGCCTCTCGCGCCAAGCCAATCATGTCCAGCCCTTTGCTTGCGGCTCAACATGCTGCGCGCGACTAACTCTCAACAGCTTGGTTGACACCAAGTCAGGATGTGGGTTTGTTCGAGAGGAAGCCCGATGATGTTGGACCGGATCTTGGACACCCCTGAAGGGTTTACGTTATAAAATTTCAGATGTTCATTAAACGCCTTACCCATGACCATTAAGTGGAAATACTCCCAATGTGAAAAACAGAATGAGCGTGCCATGTGTGCAACAACCCCGTGCAAGCAACCTCTCATCAGCGCAATAATCCAGCAAGGGCAGCCGGGCCGGTCTTGGCTCGGCTGGTACTTCCCAAAGAAATCGGCATCTTAGGAAAAAAAAGCCCCAAGACAAAAAGCAGTCTACGTACGTTCTTCGGTAATCTCCCATCCAACGAGCGCTTCTCCATTAACGGTTCAAACCAAGAGCAGCCATGCACATTCCGGAGCACCGGGTAATTTTCAACAGCACCTCACCCCCATCGTCATCACACAACACCTAAAAGATGCTGTTGACAATGTTGGAACCAATGGTGGCACCGGCACCGAAGATGGCGGCGTTTCCGAGCTTCTTGCCAAACTTCTTGCCCATCTCGGCGCCCTTGCCCTCCTTGCCGCCGGTGCTCGACTCGGCGACGGCCTGGGGTGGCACGTCGGCGTTGTACGGGTTCTGCTGCGGCGGCGGGCCCTGCGGCTGGGCGTACTGGGGCTGGGGCGTGCCGTACTGCGGCTGAGGAGCCCACTGGGCCTGTTGCGGCGCGTACTGAGGTTGAGTGGGCGGCGGGGCGAAGGCGCCCTTGGCCGAGTCCTGCTCGACCATGACGTACGTCTTGGGGAAGATGCCCTCCTGGCCGGTGCGGAGGTTGCGGCCCATCCACCAGTCGGCGTTCATGTACTCGTGGATAGCGATGCGGTCGTCGCGCTCGAAGGCCACGTCGCGGGCGTCGGCACCGGCGTAGCGGTACAGGGCGCGGGCGTGAGCGATGACGGGCTTCTCGTTGGTGCGCGCCGGCAAAGAAGGGGGCCCGGTCTGGGCGTAGGATGGCGGCGCCGGAGACGGGTTCGGGTTGACGTTCAGAGCCGCCATGGCCTCGGTCGGGGGAGGAGACGTGGGGTTGTTCTGGACGGGGGTTGCGGCGTTAGGGGCGGCGCGGGATGCGGCGCCGTGGAGGGGGGTCTCAGCGGGGAGGGTGGCGTGGATGTTGTCGTAGGCATCCTCCGAGATGACGCCCTTCTCGAGGAGGCTCTCGAGTTCCTGGGAGGAGTCAGACATGTGTTTCTGCGGTTTCACGGATCCGCGGGTCGGGCGGGGGATTGAGAGACGTTGCGTTGAGCTCGATCCAAATCGAGCTGTCCACTCGCCTCATCTCCAGTACCCTTGACGGCCCGGTGACAAGAAACTTACATTCTTAATGGTGCGCAGCGACCGGTTGGTCTCGATGATGGTTTGTCTGTCCATGTTGCTTGCTGAAAGGTCTACCCCACTAAGGCTTGGGCTGGGTATCAAAAATCGCTCTTACGGATTGTGAGACGGCGGCTGTCGTCGAATTCGAGGAAGAAAATTTTGAGGTCTTAATCTGTCGTCAAGCAAAGAGGGTATAGGTCGTTGAAAAATCCAAGGAGGCGATGTTGTTTCCGGAACAAACAAAGACGAGACGGAGTGTAGTTAAGGCCCGAACAGGAGGCCGACACGGAGTAAAGTGGCGCTTTGGTGGAGGGCCAAGGTGAGTGGCAGTGCGGCTTAGGTAACCAACCCATCCTTCACCTGTGTGGTCCCCGATGGTAGTCTAGAAAACGAAAAGTGTATGGCCTGTGAAACACAAAACAGCCCAGCTCAGCGAACTAACCGTTCTCTTCCCCCCGTTCCACCCGTTCCAGGAGAAAACGCCCACCAAAACCCCACTGGACGAGCCCGCCCAGGCTCCAGCTCATGGAATGGGGCTTGGCGATCATCAGGCTTACGAAGAAGCCAATCATTTCCCGATTAATCCCCGGGAGGGACTGTCGCGGTCCCGCGGGCCCCTCCAGTTGCACTTGTCCGAGTTGGGAGGGCGCTTTCTGCAGGGCCTCGTCAGCGACGAGCCGTTGGCGTGCCGCTGTGACCGACGATACTCGTATTGCCAACCTCTCTCGCCAATCCGTTTCGAGACAATCGTCCAGGTGCACGACCGGCCGTATCGCATACGACCTGACACAAGAACCACGGAGATCCGTAACACTCAAGATGATCCAGTGTTGGAGCGTCAAAGTACTATTTGTCAGATTTTCGTATCTAAATCCTGTAGAAACATAAATTCTATATTATCCAATCTTTTTTTGTTTCATGCTTCATACGCCTAGACAAACTTGCTGTCCTTGACGACGTATAGGTCAACGTACTCGTCAACGGGAGTGGCCTCCAGTTCCTTGGGGTTCAGGCCAAGGTCGACAAGCTGCTTGACTCTGCCGGCGTCGAAGTGAGGCTCCAAGTGTCTCTTGTACTTCTTCAGGATCTCGGGCTTGGCCTCCTCTCTCCTGAGGCGATGTCCAAGAGGCGCCTCGACGACGACCTCCTCCAGCACGGTGCCGTCGTTCAGCTCGACCGTCAGGGCGTTGGAGATGGTTCTCAGGGCGGGGTCGTGGTAGTCCTTGGTGTACTGCGGGTCCTCGACGCACTTGATCTTCTGGCGCAGGGACTCGACGAGAGGCGAGGTCGCGGCCTCGCTGCCGTCGACGTAGTCGGTAGCCTCGAGGCGGCCAAAGACAAGCATGGTCGCGGCCATGTACTGGATGCAGTGGTCACGGTCGGCGAAGTTGTCCATGGGCTTAAACTGCTTGTCGATGATGCGGATGCAGGCCTCGTGGGTGCGGCAGGTGACACCCTTGATATCAGCCGCCGACTTCCCCATCTCCTTGAGCTTCTGGTGGATCTTGGACGACGCCTCGACGGCTGTCTGGGAGTGGAATTCGGCTGTTGTTCTGTCAGCTAACAGGCTTTGAAGCATGATCATTGACCTTCTTACCAGGGTACGAGACTTTGAAGAGGACGTTCTCCATGACATAGCTGCCGTAGGGGCGCTGGAACTCGAACTTCTTGCCCTTGAACAGGACGTCGTAGAAGCCCCAGACGGGGGCAGACAGGACGGTAGGGATGCCCTGCTCGCCCTTCATGACCTTCAGGGCCAGGTTGACGGCGCGCTGGCAGGCGTCACCGGCAGCCCACGACTTGCGGGACATGGTGTTGGGGGAGTGGCGGTAGGTTCTCAGGCTCTGGCCGTCAACCCAAGCCTGGGTGACTGCGTCGGCGATCTGCTTCTCGTTGAGGCCGAGCATCTTGGAAATGACAGCAGTGCTAGCAACCTTGACCAGAACAACGTGGTCCAGGCCGACCTTGTTGTATGAGTTCAGGAGAGCCAAGCAGCCCTGGATCTCGTGGGCCTTGATCATGCCCTCCAGGACGTCGCGAATGGTGAACTGTTTACCGCCGGCAATGTTACCACCGGCCTTGTTGGTACGAGTGATCCAGTCAGCCACAGCGAGGATGGCGCCCAGGTTGTCGGAAGGGTGGCCCCATTCGGCAGCAAGCCAGCAGTCGTTGTAGTCGAGCCAGCGGATCATGGCACCGATGTTGAAGGCGGCGTTAACGGGGTCCAGCTGGAAGTCGGTACCAGGGACCTTGGGGCCATTGGGGACAACGGTGCCGGGGACAATGGGGCCCAGCAGCTTGCTGCACTCCTTGAAGCGAAGGCCCTCAAGACCGCAGCCCAGAGTGTCGAGAAAAACCCATCGTGCCGTGTCGAACTGTTCTCACGAGAGTGACGGTTAGCGGCGGTGATCTGGCTGTAACGCGGGGTAAATGTTGGGCGGGTCGGGTTGCCAGCCCAGAGCTCGGCGACGAGGAAGACGAAGGTGAAGAAGAGGACAGTAGAGAGGAAGAAAAAAAAAGGCAACTTACGGCAAGATCGGAATCGATGTTGTAGTTTTGGACGTAGTTTGCGATGTCCTTGATCTCAGGATCGTACTCTCTCGCCTCGGACGCCATGGCTGGTGCGGCACTCTGTCTCACAGATGCGGTGGAAAAGTTGTGGGAGGGTTGAGATGCGGAGCGAGCCGTGGAGGAGGCGGCAAAGTTAGTGGAGGCGACTCCGGCGCGGAGAGGAGTAGCCAGGCGGACGCTTCGCGATTGGAGACGCAGCGAACGGGAAGCTGTCCTGAGACCTCGGTTGATGGCCGCAGACATGACCGCGAGGAGTATGCAAGTCAATTGATTGGGAGGAGAGATAGAAGAGAGGAGGCTAAGAGCAGATGGCAGCAAGAGGGAGGGGGAGATGGCCCTGGGGTATCAATGGTCTCTCAATCTTCTTTCAATGTCACTCGCAGTCTTCCGGTCGCTCGAATCAGGAGGAGGAAGAAGTTGGGAAGAGGAGGAGAAATACACAAAACGCCAACATGTACTTTTTTTTTTCAAGCCGTAGCAAAGCTGGAGCTTGTCTCGCTCAGATGGAAGGGGGAGAATGGGTTTGCCGCGGGCTGCCGAAGCTGGTGTGGCTGTTTGATCCGAGGTTGTCTGCGCCTATCCCTGGCGGAGCCATGATGACACTGGGGGGCACAGAGAGGGGACGGGACGGGAGGAGAAGCAGCTGCTTCGCTGCGGGCTCTGGCACGCTTGGCCTGGGGCAGGCGGCGGGGGAGCTTTGACATCCATCTGGGCGAGGTTGGGGGAGGAATGTGGAGAGCCATGGTTTCTGCCGCGACCCTGGTCCAACACTCTGTGATCCCCTCATTGCTGCTACTCGTCACATTGGACTCAAGAGCGGACGGATGATGCACTGGAAACTTTCTGGCTCAGTCGAAAGTCCAATTGCCATAAGTAAGGAACTCTGAAGCCTCCTGAGGTTGTCCAGAAAATCCGGCACAACCATGTAAACGTCCTAGGAAGCACCAAGATCGCAGACATGCCCAGCCCTTTACGCCGAGCAAAACCCGCCAGGCCCCTCGGCTAGCGGCGGCCATTGGATAAGAACCAGCTCAATCCTTATCGCAAAACCTGGGGCTATGGCAACAAGGCGGATCACGGAAAAAGGCCTGTACCTCCGCCCACGCAGCTCTACTCAATCCCTCTCCCTTTCAATCCTCTACTCTGGCATTTCAATGAAACGACTGGGATTTGAGAGTACGAAACTTGTTCCTGGTCAAAAGGTGACAACGGTATCACAACAGAGGCGACAATCTAAAAACACTCGTTAACAGCACATACGACACGACCAAGTTCTTCAACGCAAGGAGCTAGTGATGGCCTGACGTGTCCCCCACAAACTCTGGGATCGGAGATGAAGTGATCAATACCTTATGTGCTTATGAGGTTCGTTTATTTGTACCACTGCTCGAGCTTGCATTAGACGCAGTTGTATCTTGTGTTTCTTTTGACTCGCGAAGCCCGTGGACCTAATGCAAGTGCAGTGGCGCTCGCCCACAGTGTAGAGTGACAATTCTACGACATATTGCTCAAGAGTATGTTACATTGATTCCCTACAATTGATGATAGCCGTTGCTGGGCGTGGGATATTGTTTACCGTATGACTAAAGTTATATTTTGGACTTCCAGATGAGAATGCTGGCGCGATTCTGATCTAAAAAGTTGATGTTTAAGTGAAAGACTATTATCTAGAGCTTCAATTGGAGAACAAGGATCGTTGATCAATTAGAACCAGCCATGTAGCGAGTGCGGCAGATGGTCCTGATGAGTGTCGAAGCCGCGCGGTTTTTTTTTTCCTTTCCAGAGTTGCGTTGGTGTCCTTCACGTTTGCCAAAAGAACAGGGTTGAGGCCGATGCATCTTCATGTTGTCGTCGCTGATTAAGGCACCCAAGTGTCAGCCCGTTTCACAGTCACTGGGTGTGGCTGTGGATCTAATTGAGGTGCAGTGAATGGAAACAAATGGATGAGGCGGCAACATCCTTCTCCAAGACTACAATCACTTTCTCCTCGACATCTGGTCTCTTGCCGTCTACATCTTCAACATTGAACACCAAGCCGAACTGCGGGAAAGTTGCATTTCTCCAAAACCGAAGTCCGTATCTCGAATCGCATCCCCTTTCCCATCACCCTACCATCGGCCATTGTTTTCCCTTACTCTTGCGCCCCTCTTCTTCTCTCCCGCTAGACAGCTGGACCCCGGCCAACGTTCATCCAAGCAGTGTAACCCACCTGCGGTCTCGGCCTTTCCGCCTAACATAGGTAGTGCAGCGCAGCGCAGCACGCGCAGCCTGTACGGAACAATTTCAAAGTTGCAGGCGACTTTAGCGGAACCACAGCGGCAGCGCCTCGAAGGGACCTGTCCCCAGTCCAATCCGCCTCCATCTTACGCTGTACCTTAGTTCACCACCCTACACGGCCGTCTCTCCCCACTTCCCATCAACGATCATCGGCCTGCCGTCTTCCTCCACCCTCCTTCCCTCACATCGTCCTCGACCTCTTCCCGTGTCGCGACAGCCGCCACCATGTCGGCTCTCCGCCCAAATCACAGGGAGAAGGCGGCCCCCAAGTCAGGGGCCGCGAATGGCCTCATCGACCCGACCAAGACGGGGAAATATCCCGTGATCCTAAGCGACACTCTCCTTGGACGCACTCAAAAGGAGGTCTTTACCGCCGTACGATGTAGGCATCTCCCAGGTCCCCTTGTTTATGACCAGCCACGGGGCAGTAGACTGACTTCTTGCGCGACCTCTCAGATAACCACAAGCCAGAACTCTCCTCTGAGCCCGCGATGGCAAGGTTAAAGCCCGAAACTCCCGGCAGCAAGTCCGACTTCGACCTATCGTTTCCTGACGGCAACAATGGCATGTACGGCTACGCAGGCACCCGAACCATGGACGACAACCAGTACGTCCTCTACTTCGACCCCGCCCGCAAGGCCTTCATCCTGGACCAGGTCGACTCGACTTTCCACATGAACGTCACCCGTACCCCGTCAAACGACAACCCTGAGTCCCTACGCCAGCAGTTCGAGCAGCTCGACACCTCCATAACCGCCACCCCCGAGGTCCGCAAACCCGCCGCCGACACCAAAGACAAATCTCCCGCTAAACCCGCCGCAAAGGCTTCGTCGGGGCCCAAGAGGCCCTCGGCCAGCAGCAACAAGGCCGCCGCCAAGCCGCGCAAGCCCGCGGCAACGAAGAAGAGCGAAACCATCCACCTCGCCCTCCCAACCAACGACGCGCCGCCCGCGCCGGCAAAGCCCACCGCACCGGCGAAGAAGAAGGAGACGGCACGGAAGGCGGCCGGCTCCGACGACGAGGAAGACGACGACGACGACGATTTCGGTCTGACGATAGAATACCCCGACGAGAACAAGAACAAGAAGCCCGACTTTTCGCCCGCGTTCGCGCCCAACATCCAGGTCCGCAGCTTTTCCGATTTCCTTCGCGACTCCGAGGCCGACGACGCCGATGGCGAGTCGGACCTGGAGGAGCGTGATTTCGCAAACTTTAACCTACCGAGTCCGATGAACGGCCAGGCACAGCAGCAACAGCAGCAGCACGACCAGTACCAGGACCAGGATGGCGACGGCGAGATGGAGGTCGATTCTGAGCCGGATTTTGAGGATGCTTTGGAAGACGACCTGGAGGCGGAGCTCGAGAAAGAGCTGGAGGCCGCAAACAGCGGCGACGCTGAGGAGAGTGAGGTGAGCGAGGAAGACTAAGGTCTTATTGCCTCTACGTTGGATAACGTGGAGAGAGTGAGAGAGAGTACCGTGACTTTGAGACACAAGACTCGGCACCCGTTTGAGCGGCATACTGCCTGACAGGGATCTAATGACGGCGTTACTACCAGGACAAAAAGGAGTTGTTTGTACATTTGGTTGATTTCCACATATTCAGGGCGGCTACTTTCCAAGAGCCCAAGCTAGTAAGAACAGCGATATACCAGGCAGGATATCTTACAGTCCAGATGCGATTTGCTTCTATGCGCATGTCGACAAATCAAACTCGTCAGAAAAAAACAAAATACATTGTTGTTGCACTCTTCACCGTCCCTCAATCCTCGTACAAGACGACGCCGTGCCGCGTATCCCTCTCCATCTTCTTCCCGCGCAGCATCCCGTCCGTGACGCCCGCGACCTCATTGGCGCACCACACGTGCGTCCTCGCGCCGGCCAGCGCCCTCCCAAACCCCTCATCCCGCGTCCCCTTCGCGCCGCTCCCGTCCTCCTCGTCGCGGGCCCGGCGCTCCTCGCCGAAGAGAAACTCCGGGTCGATACACCCGACAGCCAGGTCGAGGGTCGCCTCGTCCTCGGCGCGCCAGAAGAGGAACGATCCGCAGGCGGCGCAGAAGCAGCGTTCTGCCGAGGGGGTGGCGCGTTAGGACCTCAGCGTCGGGGGTGGCGCCGTCGCGGGTCCGGCGTCGCGGGAGCCGGTGTTGGGGACGAACGACAGGGCGGACTTTGCGACGCTGTGGAAGGGCATGAAGAGCGAGCCCGTGGTGCGGCGGCACTGCGTGCATTGGCAGGTCTGGCACTGCTGTCGTGTTAGACGAAGCCACGGTGGCCAGTGACTTGCTGGGAGGAGCAGGGCGAAAGATGATGGCAGCAGCATGTAAGGGGGGGTGTGGGCTTACGGCTGCAACGAAGTTGTGAGATTGTGGAAATTCTACGCGGTAGCGGATCGCACCGCAGAGGCAGCCGCCCGTGATGGAAGTCAGCGTTGGAAAGGGTTCTGTTGCCATGGTGTAGCTACGCGTTATGGCCAGGTATCAATGAACAGTCATATCACAGCCAGCAGATGAGGCGAATTTCTAGGAGACACAGATCCAATAGTAACAACAAGGATATCCTACCAATCAATGTACTTTAACATAAGGACCAACACATCTTAAGCTGTATCCCTCCTGTCTGAACATTTCCCTATTTTCGAACAGTATTTCCACCATCAAACATCCCAATTGCCCGACTTTATGAGCATTATTCACCAACCAGAACATCAAAAAATGGTTATTTTGCAACACTATTGTTTTCTCAATGGTAAGATATACCGAACAAGACGTGCTGCAGGAAACCCACGATGTTGACGACGGTATGTGTGAGACACAAGCATCTCGTACGTACCTAGGGAATACTAGTGACGCCTACTTATGACCCTATGAAGGGTGCAATAGCGAAGAAGACGTCTGCTGAGCACCTCCAGCGGTATCTGATAGTTATTATACCAACCAAGGGCTTCCTCTCTTTTTGGCTCAACATTTCGATTAATACTCCAGGATGTATACCCCGTAGCACGGTGCATCTGCCGGCTTCGCCTTGGTGATTAATACAACTCCTATCCCGTGATGCAATTATCCAGTACTGCGAGAAAGCTAAGACCATACCCTTGGGATTCCCACCTCATTCCACCTAAACCTTGTAATCTCTAGACGTCGTTGTTTTCTGGCCATCAAAGCATGACTATTTACAGCAGTAGAGACTTCAGTACGGGATGGATATGTAAGTATCACAAAGCGGGAGTTTCTTATCTGCGTATAAAGTATCCGGAAGCAAGCATTTAATGAAAACGTGCATAATCCAGTCACCTTTCGGATGGTTTGGTATCTATCCTTATGACACTCTTGTTTGTCCATAATAAGATGGTCTCACCCAAGGGGACGCCACTCTCGCAGCCACGTAGTCATTGACATTGAGCGTGTCTTAGGTAGTTCAAGTTGACGCAGTGTTAACCTTAGCAGCACCTCGGGGGCTATCAGGAACAGTAACGCTACGAGAGACAGGATTTGACATTATATTGAGGGCACTTGACGTATTCCAGTTGTTCGTTTAAAGGACAGTGGATTAATCGAGCAGCAACAAGAACGTATTTGCTTTTCTTGGAGTCGGCCCTCGCGGTAGTTGCTTGGCTAGTAGTAGAGTCGGTTAGTGGGAAGGAGGAGTTTACGTGAGATTGGTAAACTGAAATTAGTTAGGTGGGTTACAGCAGCAATAACAACAGCAGTGGCAACAACAACCTTTGTCTTATTCCTTCTGTTATTTTCTTTCTACAGCTGATTACGTGTCTCAGGATCTCTCTGCCGATTTCCCCCCGCCCAGACGGCAGTGTTATGCTGAGTTTCCTTTCCATCTCTATCTATAACCACCATATCTGCCCGCTGCGTAACTTCTTGGGTAATCTGTTCCCTCCCCTGCATAATCTTGATGATCTCGTTAGCCAACCCAACAAAGTTGTGAAGGGCAGTTACTGCGTATACGATTCGAATCTTATCAGCAAAATAGTACTCAGGTGGCACTGCCCGCAGGATTTCCCATTCCCTTTTCACCTTACCCACCACCTGCTCAACAACCACGCGGTTCCTTGAATGGTGATGACTTACAATGCTCAGTCCTCGCATACTTGATTGCAGTAGCCGTTGGTCTTATCATCATACTAGTAATACTAATAGTTACAAATGTATAGTGATCAATCGTAAATTCAATTCGACCTAGCTTATATATCTTCACAATAAAGGGATACATGAGAGTCACTTACAGAAGAGTAGTTCATCAAAAATAAATCGTAAAAGGCTATATTGGATAATTTTGAACCGCACCTGATTACGGTCTGTATTTTAGCCCGTCTTTCTTGTGGCAATATCTGGATGTCTGACACAATCCTCCTGGCAACCGTTCCGGATCTTACAGATGGAATGGACTGCGATAGGTGCCGGGCAAATTTCACGGCGGCGTCGTCAAGTGACGCGGTCAGACAGTCAAGCAGAGCAATGAAGGAAGTGAAGCAGTACTGACAAGACAAGGGGCAAGTGATGATACAAGTAAAGATAGAACAAGCTGTTCGTAAGCATTCATGGTTGACCTCCCTCTAGTCGAGGTAAACCTAGAAATGGCTAATCACTCTATGCGCACATGTAATCTCACATGTGATCAACAGTGGATTATGAAGCTTACAGCGTCTTGTGGCAACCGCTATGATCTTCAATCATTATTGTAATAACCATGCTTTTCCCGGTTGCTACGTTGAGAAAGCTAGGTTACATCCGGATGTGCTTTGGGTGAATCATCTGCCCGAGACATTACGTGGGCCGTACAAGCTTCCAGTTTGAAGCCATCTTCTTAAGTATGTGGAAACATAGCTAGAATACGTCTTGCAACCTCGCTTGGCTTGGTCGGAGAGCGTCTGCAGGAACAAAGTCCGGAGTACTTATGTCCGTGGCAACGATTGTGCGAAAGAATACCGTCCGGACCTCAATATTCAGACATCAGTACCGATTATTGGACAGACAGCAAACTTTCAAGCGCAGTTAAGCTCTACGTCGTCAATTCACCGACGCCCGAGGCCCAAATCCAATAGACCGAATTCTGGATCCGAGGCCGCGCATCTTAAATCCGGGCCAAAATCTAGGATCCACCGAATAACTAGTGACTACAAGTGTAAAGTAAAATTAGATACTCCGCATAGGCATCGTTCGCGAAGACTTCGAGGCTGGTACCGGTAATTAGTTGCTCGATCAGCCTCTCACGAAGCTATTGGTGCTCAATTTGGTTTGGTTTCGGGCGTCCGCGGGCAGTTGCCATGCGTGATATTCGGCCGATGCAGACTTCATAAGAGGAAGCCTACCTATGGTGACTGTTCGGCTGCCTCATCAGGCAGTGTACTTATTTATCCCAGAGCGTTAGCATCGCCATTCTCCAAGGAATCTTTTCGTAACTGTACGTTCTTTTCCTCTTCTCCTACACCTATGCCAAGGTCTATCGCACAATCAGCAATACAGCCTTGAAGCAGAAGTTGTATGATGCAAAACCAAATGGAAAACGCATTGCCATACCCCTCCTTAGCCACCGCCACAGAGCGGAGTCAGTCCATTGTCTCTCTTGCCCGCCGGTTGACCGCATCCTCGGTCACGCTCGACGATGAAGGAGAAAACAATCCTATCAACCCAGTCAAGGGCAGTCAGCTGGATCCCTTTTCGCCCCGGTTCGACAGCGTCAAATGGATGCAAGCTTTAGTCCAGATGTTCGAATCTGGTCTAGAATCTGCTCCTCAAAAACGAGCTGGCGTCGCCTTTCGGAATCTAACAGTGTTTGGTCATGGTTCCGAGGTCCAGTACCAAAAGAGCACTGGAAACGTCCCGTACAGTATCTTATTATCGTTGCTTGGCAAAATCACCGGTCGTAGTTTCAAGCGTATCAACATTCTACAAGAGTTCGAGGGCGTTGTGCATCCTGGCGAGTTGCTACTTGTGCTGGGCCCCCCGGGATCAGGATGTTCGACCCTGTTGAAGACTTTGTCTGGCCGGACCGAGGGCTTCAACATCGATCGAGATTCATATATTAACTATAGGGGTAAGTCTTTTTTACTATCCCCAAATCCGAAGGTGAAAAGCAGCACTTAATGGCGATTAGGAATCAATCCACAACAAATGCACAATTGGTTCCGTGCCGATGTGCTTTACAATGCGGAAGTCGACGTCCACCTCGCCCCTCTCTCTGTTGGCGACACACTCGAGTTTGCCGCTCTTTCCCGTGTGCCAGCCAAGGTTCCGGGGGGGTTTTCCAAACGCCAGTTCGCACGAGCTTACCGCGATGCCATCATGGCCACATTCGGTATAAGTCACACATCAAACACCAAAGTTGGAGATGATTTCATCCGAGGTGTTTCTGGTGGCGAGCGGAAGCGTGTCAGTATTGCCGAAGCCGCCCTCACGGGTGCCAAGCTTCAGTGCTGGGACAATAGCACCCGAGGACTAGACAGCGGGAACGCCATTACTTTTTGCAAGTCTCTCCGAGCACAAGCAGATGTGATGGGTGTTGCCGCCATGGTCGCCATTTACCAAGCACCACAAAGTGCCTATGAGGTAATTACCCTGGGACTGAGTTCCCGGCTTCTGATTCCGAGCTAAAGGCATCAGACCTTTGATAAGGTGACCGTTCTGTATGAGGGCCATCAGATCTATTTCGGTAGAATAGAGGATGCCAAAGCCTACTTCGAGAATTTAGGGTTCGAATGTAAGTATATCTTCTCAACAATCTAACATATATACTGCTGAGAGAATATTCGCTGACGCGCTGCTTAGGCCCCGATTCTCAGACGACGGCGGACTTTCTAACCTCGATGACTTCCCCTCAAGAGCGCCGAGTACGGCCGGGATTCGAAGGTCGTGCCCCTCGCACGCCTGTAGAGTTCGCTGTTCACTGGAAGACTTCGAATGAGCATACAGCGTTGGCGGCAGAACTGGACAAATATGAAGATGAGAATCCGTCTGATGAGCGTCTAAGCGAATTTGTCCAGAGTCGAAAGACAGAGCGAAACTCCTTGCAGCGTCTCATGTCACCATACGCGACGCCGTACGTTGACCAAGTTCGGCTTTGCATCTGGCGCGGCTGGAAGCGGCTTCTTGCAGACCCGGCCTTCACCGTTTCTTCATTACTCTTCAATCTTATCATGGGTTTTGTGCTTGGCAGTGCCTTCTACAACCTTCCCAATGATACAAGCAGTTTCTACCATCGTGGAGGCGTGGTGTTCTTCGCTCTCCTATTCAATGCTTTCGCCGGCGAACTCGAGGTCAGTTAAGCAGAAAATTCCATTTCTGGCAGAAAGGTTGCAGAATCTGACGGAAGTTGACAGGTTCTTACCTTGTACGCGCAGCGACCGGTTGTTGAGAAGCACCACCGCTATGCATTCTACCATCAGTCTGCCGAAGCTGTCTCAAGTTATATCATGGACCTCCCCTATAAGTTCATAAATTGTATCATGTTTAACACCACTATCTATTTTCTGGTTCATTTGCGTCGCGAGCCCGGCAGATTTTTCTTCTTTGTGCTCACCAGCTTCCTTCTCACGCTGACAATGTCGGGTCTGTACCGCACCGTAGCCTCAATCACTCGTACCTCTCACCAGGCTTTGGTTCCCGTATCTCTAATAACTATAGGTGTCATGATATATGCCGGCTTTACTATTCCAACGGACTACATGCCCGGTTGGTCGAGATGGATGGGATACATCAACCCTTTAAGTTACTGCTTCGAGGCTTTAATGGTCAATGAATTCAGTGGGCGTAGTTTTCCTTGTAGCGAAATCGTACCTACTGGGCCTGGGTATGATAACCTGCCCTTCACGGATAGAGTTTGTGCAGCTTTGGGGGCCATCTCTGGCGAAATGGCTGTGGATGGCGACCGTTATCTTCAAGCTAGCTATGGGTATTCCAACGCCCATAAGTGGAGGTTTGTAATTCTCATTGCAATCGAACCTTCCCTATTCTAACAGTACGTCAGGAACATTGGGATTCTCTGCGGGTTCATGGTGCTCTTTATTGGCACTTATCTTCTCGCAGCAGAATACGCCAAACCGCCCAAGACCAGCGGCGAGGTCCTGGTCTTCCGCCGAGGGAAGATACCATCTGTCCTTGGAAGTGCATCAAAGCAAGATGCTGAGATGCAAAGTCTCGAGCGTCCGATAATCGAGAAACCTTCATCCTCGATTGACACCGAACCTCAAAGTCATCTCAGCCCAAGCTTATGCCAAAAACCAGTATTTCATTGGGAAAACATTTGCTATCGCGTTAAGATCAAGGGGAGCGAATGTCAGATCTTGGATCACGTGGATGGATGGGTTCAACCTGGTGTCACGACTGCACTCATGGTAAGATTTCAGCGCTTCGCTTGTTGCGTAATGTGTGGGTGCTTACAAACTCGTCAATAAGGGTGCATCCGGTGCAGGCAAGACCACCTTATTAGACGCGCTCGCAGCCCGTCTCAGTGTAGGTGTTCTTACCGGAGATATGCTCGTCAACGGCAAGCCAACCAATGCTTCGTTCTCCCACTCAGTCGGATATGTGCAACAACAAGACCTTCACTTAAACACCACAACAGTGAGAGAAGCTCTACAGTTCAGTGCTCTCCTAAGACAAAGCGCCGAAATCCCCCACGCTGAAAAGCTTGCATATGTCGATGAAGTCATCCAGATCCTCGAGATGGAGCCATTCGCAGACGCTATAGTTGGCTTTCCTGGCGAGGGTTTAAACGTTGAGCAACGAAAGCGGCTGACAATTGGAGTTGAGCTCGTCGCTCGACCAGAGCTGTTGGTTTTTCTGGACGAGCCAACATCTGGCCTCGACTCGCAGACTTCTTGGTCAATTTGTGATCTGATCACAAAGCTTGCGAAGAAAGGTCAGGCTATTCTCTGTACTATCCACCAGCCTTCGGCAATGCTGTTCTCCCGGTTTGATAGGCTTTTGCTGTTACAGCCAGGCGGCAAGACGGTATATTTTGGAGGTAAGCTTTCATTTGAAGCTCATTCATGCTATCAAGATCTCAAACATACTTCAGATATTGGGCCGGGGTCCAGAACGATGATTGAATACTTCGAGCGAAATGGAGCACCTAGATGTCCGCCCCAGGCCAATCCCGCTGAGTGGATGCTCAAGACAACACTACCGTCTACCCAAACTGTCAACTGGTCCGAGATCTGGCGATCATCGCCTGAGTATCAAGAAGTTAAAGCAGAACTTGGCCGCCTCCGCCAAAGTAAGAATTCCGTATCACAAGAAAAAGAGTTCGCGTCGCAGCACCGCGTGTTCGTCACGTCGTTCTGGTCGCAGCTGCGTGAAGTCTTGCTCCGAACTTTGAAACACTTCTGGAGGTCCCCAGTATACACTTGGTCAAAGCTTTCTGTGACCGCTCTGTTTGTACGTTATCATCCAAAATGTTGTATAACTCAGTCAATCGCTAACAAGATACGGTAGGCTCTATACCTAGGGTTCAGCTTCCGAGGTTCCGGCCGCAGCCTCCAGGGCTTGCAAAATCAACTTTATGCCTTTTTCATGGCATTCCTCATTCAAAATCCTTACAACAAACAGATAATGCCTTTCTTCACACCCCAGCGAGCCCTTTACGAAGTTCGCGAAAGACCGGCCAAGATATACAGCTGGTCAGTCTTCATGCTATCCCAAATCATCACCGAAGTGATTTGGAATACATTTTGTGCCGCTCTGTTTTTCTTTTGCTGGTACTACCCAGTTGGCTTCTACGAAAACACAGGCAATGATACTAGCAGTCGCGGCTTCACGGCATTCCTCTTTGTCTGGCAACTGATTCTCTGGGTCTCTACCCTCTCACAAGGCGTCATCGCGCCATTCGAAACTGCCGATTTAGCAGCTGTACCCGCCTCCCTCATCGCTATCCTTTCAATGACATTCTGCGGCATCGGTATCACCCGCGAGCAATTACCAGCTATTTGGTCGGATTTCATGTACTACGTCTCGCCTTTAACCTATCTTGCCTCTGGTGCACTGTCTACTGCGCTACATGGCATCAACGTAACGTGCAGCCCGGACGAGATTGTCCGAGTACCGGTACAGCAGGGCATCAGTTGTGTCGAGTATATGGGCCCGTTTGTTCAGAACACCGGAGGCATACTAGTGGATATGGGCTCCGTAGACGTTTGTGGGTGGTGTTCACTGCGGACTTCAGATGAGTTCTTGAAGCGTTTCGGCATCTCGTTTGGGGACAGGTGGAGGAACTTTGGTATTCTCTGGGCTTACGTCGTCTTCAACATCGCAGCAGCACTTGGATTGTACTGGCTAGGGAGGGTGCCAAAGAAGCAGGAGTTGAAGAGGGGGCAAGGAGCTTAATTTTGCGACATGTTAGGAATAATCGCTGGGAACGACTCACATTAGAATAAGAACGGCACGTAATTGTAAATCGGCACTACAAAGCAACTGCCAGCCAAATCCTAGACGGTTGGCGGATCAGGATGTATCTGTTGTATCGGATGTTTGAGAAAGGCGCCATTCGCTAGAGAATTATTATCAGTTTGGTTCAAGTGTATACCCAATTGAGCCACAAGCCCAAAAGGTGTGCCAGTGCTTGCACGCTTGCAAGCACTGCTGTCAACATTGCCTAACTAGGCCAAATGACATAGATGGCATCTCAAAGACGGAAAGGGAAGGGGGACATCAAGAGGTAGGCGTACGGGTTTCGTTTGGTATTCTATTTGGGTATATATTCCCTTTTCTCTTTAATTCCCCTGCATGCCCGCGCCGCCTTGGTGCTCACGGTCTTCTTAAACGGCGCCCTTGCGACGACGTCTCGTCTATCCGTCGCTGGCGTTGATGTTAGATATGTGGAGCCAGCCAGCAAATGCAAGCCATCCGTGTTGCATCGCGCAGTTGTACGTCCGATACGTCACCCGGCGCCCTGAGCTGCAGCTGGGGGCAGATCAGTGCCTCCACTCATGCGGGTCGCGGGTACGCCACCCACCATCAACCGTGATCCCTTCACTCAGCTACCCTGAACATCTCGTTGCGAGTGGGCCTGTGTGGCAGCGGCGAAGAGCTTTAAACAACCTCCCACCGCGCAATCCATCCGACGCTCTCCCCAGCGTTACGCACAACACACACCGTCCCCTCCCTCCCCGCCCGCCGTCCCTCATCGCCTCCGCAGCCCTCTCCGCGGAAAGGCAACCCACGGCCGTTGCTCGCCCCTCGCTCAGTGAGTACGCACCCGTCGTGACGAACCCGATCAGGTCCGCCTCGTTCGGCACGAGCGGGTGCCCGTTCATATCCGTCTGGTTCGGCTTTGGGGGCGGGTACGCCTCCGCGGGCGCCGCGATAAGCGTCTTAGCCAGCATCTGCTTGCGGGTCTGCATATCTGCGTTTGCAGGCAGTCGCTTCTGCTGATTCGACCTGCTGGTGTTCTTGGACTGTTGCTGGTCGGGCAGCGTCGCGAGCCACTGCTCGCGAAGGTCGGCAGGCAGTCCGTCGACGGGCTTCGGCGGCGGCGGCGGGGGGACCGTTGCGGGGACTTCGGCAGAGGAGGCCGGGTGGGCGGGAGCGGGACGCGACGGGAGGCGGTAGATCCTTGCGCAGGTTGTCGCGACGCCGCGGTTGAGGATTGCGATATTGACGTTGATTACGGAGCGGGGCGGCAGGGGGTTAGATGCCGGTGAGGATGTGTGCGCGCGGAATGCGTCTTTCCGGAGTTGATGGAGCGTCTTGAGGAAGCTTCCCGGCGTCGACGTGGAATCTGGGGCAGTCTCCTTTTCTGGTGAAGGCTTGTCCACGTCCATTGGGTCCGGGGACGCCGCAGCCTGGCTCTCGTTCGTCTTTTGCTGAAACAAAAGCTCCACATCGCACGCCCACCCGCTGCCGACCTCTCCCTTGCGACCGGCGCCCAAGTCCAGAGACTCCCACGCGACCCTCTTGCTCTTTGGTCGGCGTTCCCACTCCTCCTTCCTCTTTGTCCGCTGCTCCAGCTCCCACTCGGCGCCGGCGTCCGTGCCGAGGAAGTCGAAGGGGAAGCACGGCAGGTTACGCTCGAATGCGACCTGCCTCATCTCGTTGAGACCCGAGAAGCGCGGGTTGCCGCCCGAGCTCAGAGGGAAGTGGACGAGGCTGTGCCATAGCGGTTGAATGCATCGCCACGGCGCGAGGACCGTCCAGTTCCCCTGGGTCTGGGTGCCGTTTGAGCGTGATGCGAGCAGGAGGACGGGGATCGGCGGGTCCGCGTCGGAAACCTCGAGGACCGTTCCTGGGCGTCTCGCTCCTTTCCGTTTGTCTATCGACTTCTGCGACGGTAAGCGGATTGCCGAGGCGCGAGCGTCTCTTTGGAAGAGGTCGTATGGCTTTAGATTAACGTCGGCCGGCCACTTCGCCAGCAGCTCCATTGACCTGCTTTGCTCTGCTTCATCCTCAGGGTTGGGCTGGCTGACTTTTCTCGGTGGGTATCGAAGCCGCGGGTCCATGATGGAGAATCCCAGAATGGCGTTCATGGGAAGTGATGCCGGGTTCATAACACTGCTCAGATCCCCAAACATCTCCGCGTGCTGTTCCCTGGATCCCTCCTTTACGTGGTAGGGGTGAAGGATTCCGAGGAGAGTCTCTGTTGATGCTGGGCCAGTAAGCTCAATACTGCCGACCTCGAACCGCAGATCCTCGATATAGAGTCTGGGGCTCTGCATCTTCACCAGCCGGAGGAGCTCGTTGAAGACTTCAAGAAATGCGGAGGGGTGCACTCTGATATAGACCTGCCTTTGGGTCTTGACTGCCTGCGTCCCGTCTTCGGTCCCAGCTTGCTCCGCGACCACCTCGGGGTTCCAGATAATCATCGCCGGACAGACCTCCCGCCTCGCGCCCTTGAAATCTCTGTTCAAGAACCCAGTCCAGTGTCGCGTACCTGCCCTCCACTTAGCTCCTCTATCGTTCCAACAGCCTTCCTGCGTGATACCAAGCCTGCGCAGAACTTGCTCCACACCCTTAGCCGCGCCGTAGAGTCCGATCGTGCTCATATAGCTCGTATCCCAAACAACGGCGCCCTTCTCGCCTTGCGATCGATGCGTCGCTCGGTACGTCTTTTCGTTGGGTGTCAAGGGTATCGCGAACCTCCACAGAGGGTTCTTCGGCTCGGTCATTCGGGCCCTCTTCGCATGCCACAGATGCGTCGGCAACCATGTCTTGTTGATTTGGCGCTTCCTGAACTTGGACTTGCGCCGCGGAGGGTCGTTGAGCTGGTTCCGACGAATCTTTGGCCTCGGCGGCCGGGTCGAGACTGTAATTTTGCTCTTCTCCGGGACTTCCTCCTGCTCCCCGCCATCCTTTGCCTTCGCCTTGGCGGCCTTCATTTGCCTCCTCCGCTTCTTCTCCGCGAGGATGCCTAACCTCTTGGCCGTCTCGGCACGGATCCGAGCCCTCGTCGTCTTGGGCTTCCGCTTCTTCGACACCACCACGGGCGTGTTATCCTCAGCCATCTCCTTGAGCGCGCGCCTGCGCAGCCGCTTCGGCACCCTCTTTGCGTTGTGGCTCGCCGTCCGCCGGCGCATGCCGCGAGGCACTTGCTGAAAGGCGCGGCTCGTGGCCTCAGACTTGGTATGCCGCATGCTCTCCTCGAGGGCCCTAATTTCGAATTCGCGCGCGTTGAGAAACGCTTGAAGGTCGAGCTCGCCATCCTTGAGGGCCGCGTCGGAGGACTGTGCCGCTATCTCTCTGTCGTTGCGGATCTTGACGCGCTTCTGCGCCCAGCCTCCGCCGCCATTGTTGCTTCCGTCGCGACCGTTGCCTGGTCGTGAGCCATTGTCGCCAGAGGGGCCTTGTTTTCGTTTGTTCGCGAAGGCGGATTTCAATGGCTTTTGATTAGGACCTGCTGCCGACATTGCGGGTCATGGTGCGTCTGCAATGGCGTGGAATGGCTGTCTTTGACTGGTGTCGTCGCGTGGTGACTCCCCAACTTTGAAAGCTTCTCCAAGGATTGGAAAAGAAGAAAAAAGGCGTTATCTTATCAGACATTGCGCATTAAGGGCACCCTTGGGGCAGAATACTGAAAATGAGGGGCGACGTGGGGTAGACTACCTACGTGTGGCCATTGCCTTATTCAGTACGCAGCAAGTCTCCTAAGTCCATCACCCAGGACAGACGCATTTTGATGTTTGCTCAGCTATTTCGGATTTTCAACTCAATCTTTTGGAACCCCGTGTCTTTCCAATCCATGAAGAGCAACGCTTGTCACTTTGAGTACGGGTATTTCGGGGTAGGCGAAATGGTATTTCGACGCACCTAGCCCCTTTTCAGAAGCGATGCTTAGTCAGCAATCTCATCACCAAGTATCCTCACTAACAGCAACCATCATAGCCGCTGTAACTATTTAACCATAATTTCCTCACCAGAATCGTGTTCAAACACCAACTCTAACCATGTACCTAGTATCATAAACTGATCATAACCAAGTATATATACGTTTCGTTCCCTTCCGAAAGTCAAAGACTTGAGAAGATCTCTTGTGAGATCAAAGTCTTAGAAGGTGTCAATGCTAGAATTGCAAGGATCCAGGCACAGACGTCATATTCTATGTATATGGACCGTGCAGCTAAAAGGGTTAGACACATCGAAATATCGATTCGCCTACGGTACGTCGAAGGGCCCGTTCTCTGCTACTTTAGGCAGTTGAAGCCACAGATCATCGGGCAGGCTGTAAAACAATCCTATAAATATACCAATCCGAAGAATGCGAAAGACACGGAAAGACACTGCATAAGCCCGTAACCATAAGCAGCAAGTCCATCCAACGTTCATGAACTGGTTTCGTAACCAAACGTTCATCTATTCTACACGGAGTCATTAGTCAATACCCAATTTGAATTCACCGGTCTCTCGCGAACCCCGATCTTCTTCTGGTTTTGGTCTGGGCGGTAACATGTAAACTCACAGACAAGGATCACATGTGAAGTAGGTAGTAGTGTATGTACAATTAGACGTCTGGTCATGCAAACACAGCTACCTAGCGCAGATTCATTCAGCGGCATGGGGGCCCTTCACGCACGTATCACTGTTGAACCACTCTTAACTACAGGTCAGCTAGGTGCAAGTACAAGCCAAGGCATGGCCTCGTTCCACTCGGCTCCTCCTAATCTGGACGCAAATAGATTTGTTTTCACCGAGTATCAAATAAAAATCACAGTCGACGTGTGTTTAAGAGACCTTGGTTAAAAGAGACTGTTGTCTATATTGTGTATAAATACATCTTCCAAGACTCCCGCCTCAAGTTATGTCATGACAAGCAGCAAGCCAAAGACACCATTGAGTTAACTTCGTTTCTACTATCCTTCTAGATTGGCAACGGGTTTCCCCATTTGATTCACCACACCTCAAACCAAAACGCAGCATGCTGCCATTACTCATTCCAGTCCTATTTGGGCTGCTCTCGGGGTGAGTTTGTAATAGTATTTTGACAGGAACTCTCTCCTTCCATGCCGAAGTGAGTGTGGACTAATCAGGAACTCGTTTCTTCAGCGTCTCCGCACAAAGTGAAAACTTTCGTTTAGCAGGGCATTGCTGCCAGGTGTCTCTCACTGAAAACATCGATCCTATACCATTCAACAACTACACTGAAAAGTGCTGCACTGTGCCGACTGTTGTAAAACAACCGGAGGGATGGGTAAAGAAACGCCTACCAATTGATGGCAGCGCATATGCTAATGATTGATTGGGAATAGAAAACCTGTGTATTTAATATCACGACCGAGCAGCCGCAAAGGGCAATGTTGTCATGCTGCGGGAGGTTCAGCGTACCCGGTGCTCTGCAATACTCCCGTTGTATTGACTATGCAACCCCTTGAAAGCATTTCCGATGGGTGAAAAGGGCATAGCAGTCGCGCTGTTGGCAATTTAATATCTCGCGCCCAGTTGTCACCCCCAACCACCACGGCAGGTCCTCAGGCCACCCGAGGGCGGAGCAACAATGGTCATTGCGTGAATAATTAAGCAGAGCTTTAACCATTTCAACTCCCTGCTACAGACGTGTCGTCGGGGCAGCTTGCAGTTTTCAGTCGAGTTTTTTGCTCGCCGTTTATGAGCAAGGTCACGACTTCCGCTCCGTCACATATACTACCTTTGTCGAAAATTCCTTCATCGCAGCTTTCAGAATGGCGTTGCGTATTGTCAATGACATTGTGAATGTGGAGAGAACGATAGTTATACTCGACTCCAACAAGATGCACCTGACGGTTGTCGTTCTGAGGTATTGCAGAAAGGTGGGGTAAATAGCTCTCTTCATGTTAGAATCGTAGCGCTACTGACGGTGGTACACTGCAAGCGGTAATTCAAGCATTGTCGGAACAGGTAAGCAGGTGACGGACAATTGCTGGTCAGCTTGCATTTTCGTGTCGCTCAAATTTCAACCTCTAAACAGTTTAGGTTGAATCGAATTCCGGCTTCATAACGTTCGTCTCCAGAGGACTACCTTAACGTCGGCCAGAGCACATTGGGCTGAGCAGCCCTTTTGAAGTGCTGATAGGGAGATCGAAAGCTTTCAAGGGTGGGTGGGGCCTTGACTACGTACAGGGCTCCGGGGTCGTTCAGACTTCGATCGGCCCAGGAACTTATCATAAGTGCTCCGGTTGACGGATCAACGGCACGTATGTATGTTATCACCGCCATGTACCGGCCGAATCCTTCACCGGAACTTAGTACTTCCCCAACCGCTGCTCCAAGTGACTCACCGGACCGGTGACTCTTACAAGGCCAGCCCGGTTATACTTGTTATAGCCGGCGCCTTTCAATTGCCTTCCTGTTTGTGAAAAGGCTTCGCATCTGACTTTCTGTACTTGACGTGGAGCACGTTTCCCTGCATCCTGGCTTCTCAGGGCCTTCCTCCAGTCTCGATATGGAACCAAAACCCTCCAACCCAGACCTCTGGCTGGAGCCCCTCGACACAAAGCACCTCGGGGACTTCCGTGAGCTTTGCTCCGATGAGCAAGCTGCTTTTTGGAGGTGCCCCCCTTTTCCAATCATGGTCCCTGTGTATGTGACTTACACCCCGTCTCAGCTCCCAACGTCACACAGACACTCTCGAAGCGGCAGCGGCCCGCCTGTCCAAGATCTTTGCACAGAACGCAGAGAAACCATGGTTCTTAAGCTGTGCCATCATGTTTTCAACTTACTTGCCTCCAGGCACTGATAATGCCAAGGCGGCGACAACAACAACAACAACAACAACAACAACAAAGTTGATCGGCGTGATCAGGACGACGCGGTCGTCGCCGCGGGGGCTGCAGATAGGCTACAAGCTACGGTCGGACTGCTGGGGCAAGGGATACGCCACGCGTGCCGTGTGTGCATTTCTGGATGTCTACTGGAGCCGGCCGCGCTGGGTCCCGAGGGAAGAGGTGTTTGTTCCGCAGACGCAGGGTGGTGGAGAAGTTGGCTTGGACATGTTGAAGGATGGGCCGTCGAGGAGGGGCGAAAACGTGGTGACGAGGGCTGCCGGGCTCGGTGGGGAGGATGACGAGATCGAGATCACGCATCTCATAGCCCAAGTGGACCCGGAGAACATTGGCAGCATGCGAGTGGCGGAGAAGTCTGGTGGGAAGCTCGTTGCTGTCGACAGGGGTTGCGTCAAGGTCTGGCGGTTCCCGGAGATGCGAGATATGGCTACGTGGAGGCTAGACAAGCCCCAGGTCAACTTTGCATCAGCTTGACCGGATGGTAAGGCTTCGATATTATGAAGCAGATTGATGAATATTTCATGCGAGGTTGCAGGTATTTGTCAACTGAAGCGAGAAATTAGACATTCGTGACGGTAGCGAACTGCTATCTTTCTGTCTTTTGCAGGACTAAACAGATAGCTGAATGCATTAAGTTCATACCATGTGGAACGTGTCTCCTTTCAATGAAGACACGGATCCCAGACCGAAGCAGAGGCCCGAAAAGTTCATTATGTGAGATTTGAGAATCAATGTACAAAAGAAGACAATAGGATTACATCCTGCTTTCTGTGGACAAGCTCTAACTCTTGGTCACCTTGGTCACGCAGTTGATGTCGAGAAGGCCGGTGTCCAAGTTGATGCACAACCACTGGGGGTTCTTGCCGCTCGGGGCCTTGACGTTGATCTTGGAGGCGTTGATGTTCAGGCATTTCTGCTGCAGTGTTAGTGACTTGTGTTCACAAGTTCAGGGGTGCATGAGTGACTAACCGCAGGGCTGCTGCAGACGAGGCTTCCCACGCGAGGGTCGTTCTTGGAGGAAGCCGTGCCATCAAAGTTCTTGAAATAGATGTCGCTGATGGTCATGTTGGACTAGGGAGCGTCAGTACACTTCTCACATCTCTCGTCCGGGGCAAAGCGCTTACAGGATACTGGTTGCAGATAGTCTGGTTCTTCTGGCCGTAGCACTGGTCGATTGTGATGGCGTTATCGTTGTTGGAGTTGTGGAACGTATCATACGTCACGTTCTTGACGTATCCCGAGCCGCCGCCGCCGGAGAGCGAGGGCTGGAAGGGGGTGTCGATGCCGGGCCAGACCTTGATGCGGGCACCATCGGAGGCGTTGGACATGGTGGTGTTGTAGACGTATAGGTTCTCGACGATGTCGAAATTGCCGACATACTGGCCGAGAGAGCCGACGGAGATGCCGTGGGAGCCGTTGCAGACGAGGTTCTGGATGACGACGTTTGTCGAGTTGGGCTTGAAGGAGACGCAGTCGTCGCCGTTGTTGATGTGCGAGTTCTGGATGACGACCGAGTCGGAGCGGTAAATATCCCAGCCATCCGTGTTCTTGGCCGGGTTGCTAGAGGTTGAGCCGACCTTGATGGTGATGTCGGAGATGAGCACGTCGGTGCTGTTGGCGATGAGGTTGAACCACTGCGTGGGAGTTAGTGACGGATGGCCTTGGGAGGGGGGTTGAGAGTCTGAGTGCTCCTGGGGTCTTACTTGAGGCGAATTGACCATGTTCAGGCCGGTAATGGAGCCGCCGTGAAGGCCATCAGTGACGAGCAGGATGGGTCGCTCGAGGGTGGCGTTCGAGGCGAATCGGTCGTACCACTTCTGGCCGTTTCCGTTGAGCGTGCCGACGCCGTTACCGTAAATGTTCACATCCTTGCCGCCAAACACCCACATGGACGAGGACAGCTGGAAGACGTACTTGAAGGTCCGTGGCAGCCAGTGGTCAATGTCATCGCAAAAGTTGACAGTACCGGTGATGGCGACGTCGACGGCGTTCAAGAAAGTCAGGTCCAGGGGCGAGCAGACGTTGTAGGTCGAGTCGAGGACGACGGTGCCGCCGTTGTTGCAGTCCTTGAAGGCCTGGAGAATGGCGGCGGCGTCATCGCTGCCATTGGTGCCGGCCTTCACGGCGCACGTCTTGGTCCTCGGGGCCGAGGCGGGGAAGGCGTGGCCCGGATGGAAGGGCGCGGCCTTGATGTCTGGGCGCTTGGGGGCGACGGATGAGGCTCCTGCGGCCTGGGTAAGGGGAACCAAGGCGGCGGCCAGGAGACCACTGAGGAGAGTTGGAGCGACCATGATGAGGGGAAACGAACGTGGTGGCTGGCGATGGTAAGGATTACTGCGCCAAGGGATTGCCAAGCGATACCGAGCTGTATAATACCAGTTCGAGCCTGGGTGCGACTGCCACCCTACGAGGGGCAGGATTTATATCATATGTGCTGACTGGTCTTGAGAGAGCTCTCGACGCGTCAAGACACGCCCGGGGTATCCACCATCAATGACACCGAGATAGGGGAGCCGAACTACTGTAGGTGAAGCATGACACTAAGATGGGAGTCTAGCGAAAGGAGCATACGACATGGGTTGGAATTTTTCCGTCCATATGAAGGGCACAATAGGGGACAGCGGACGGACAGGATGTCAAGGCTTCGTGACGAGGGGAGCAGAGCGAGCCGCGACTCATTCCATCGTTGTTTGTGGGGACAACGGACAAGTCAAGCTTTTGGCGGCTTGTAGACGATGCCGGGGGCCATGCTGGTGACGATTCGTGCGGTTAATTCCGCCGTTTCCGAGAAAAGCTTAACAGGAGGGAAACTCGACCAGAAAGAATACCCAGGTACGTGTTTGCGGCGAGTTGGACATGGAGTCCCAGGCGGGAATTCAGGGGAACATGTTTATTCGGGGGAGAGGAGAGAGACAAGAGTGGGATTTGGGCGGCTGGTGAAGCCGAGACATGGGACGGAGACCAAATTGGTCAATCACAGGTCATCAATTACAGTGTGGGCTAGCGCTAATTAAGGGCAGGCAGAGGGGCTCTGCTCGCATACCGTTGTTGATTTGGCCACTGTCCCTCCGCGGACAGGCACTAGGATACCCCACGTCGTCGTGGAGGTTCGTTCCTTCCGTGGCCATTGTGGGGGGACCCCAGGCCAAGCCGGGTTGGCTTATTCCAGTGCCGCGTCTCCGAAGGCTTGGTTTGCTTGATGTGCTTGATTCCGCGTCCTCTTCTTTTTCCTTGGACGCCTCCATCTCGACTGCTTCCCCCGCGTCGTCACCAAGCATCGATCGTGGCTAGCGCAACGGCCGAACGACTGCTAGGTAGTCCAGGGACGGCTCTCGGCTCGTGCTGTGGTTCGTGGAAACCGTCGTCTCGAATTCTTCCATCTGCAGAGCCCCAAAGTTGGGGTCGATCTCCTCATTTCCCCCCATTTCCCCCATGTCGCCATGTGTCCCGACCGTATATCCTGCGTCCAACCTCACAGCTGACCGCTGCATATCCATACATTTCCCCGTGGGCAATCGTGATCCTCTGCCTAGGAGGAAGGGCATTCTGGGGTAATACTGCCGTTCCCTTTCCCCGCGTTGACAGGCCATGACCAGGGAATTTGCCATTCTGGCATCAATGCCGCGCTGCCGTTGCTAGCGCAACTGTTCACTGCCACTCTCGTCCACAGCTCGTCCCTCCTTGGTGCCGATTCCGACACCGGGCTCTCTCCGGGAAGGGGATGCTCGGAAAAGCTGCCCCTGGACCGGATCTCCCGGGTAAATCTATCAGGGAAAACGCTGCTATAGCAGGTAGCAATGGACAGCGGGAAGTTGTACAGTATATATTCGCAACCAGATCTCCGGCTCCAGAGTTGGATCTGGATGCCCATCGACCTTCCTTCAGCTCGGCCAAGTAGCTTTCTGTCTTCTACACTACCCTGTTCGTATGAAGCTGTGTGACTATGAGGACCTCCATTTCCCTCCCCCTCCTCTCGGGGGCCCTCGCTTCCTGGGCATCCCTCACCGCAGCCGTGATCCCCTCGGGCCCGGCAAAGACATACGCAGCATGCCAGAAGAAGACATGCGACAACCCCCTTGAGGGCTGCCCTCCAAACACCCTCTTCGTCAGCAAGACCTCGAGCCGCGCAAACTTCACCACCATCCAGGCCGCAATCGCCTCCCTCCCAACAACACCACCCCCTACACCATCCTCATCGCCCCCGGGAACTACACAGAGCAGCTGAACGTCACCCGCTCAGGGCCTCTGACGCTGCTGGGCATGACAGACAGCCCCGCCTCGGGCGACCTCTACTCGGACGTGAGCCTCAACTCGACAGCCTCCAACGCCAACGAGGTTCAGGTGTGGTGGAACGCCGCGAATCACAACGTCGCGTTCCCGGACAACGCCTACACGAGCGTGCTGACCGTCGGCCCGAACCTCAACGCCACCCTGACCGGCTCCGGGCCCACGGGCTTCCCTGTCCCGGAGGACACGCCCTTCGGTTGCGTCGACTTCCGGGCGTACAACATTGACTTCCGCAACGATGAGTATCCGTTCTCCAACGGCCCCGCCCATGCCGTGGGCGTGAGCAGGGCCAACGCCGGCTTTTACTCTTGCGGGCTGTACAGCTACCAGGACACCCTGTACGTCGGCAAGTTGGGCAATGCCTACTTCTACGACAACGTGATTGCGGGCCAGACGGATTTCCTGTACGGCTTCGGCACGGCGTACATTGAGAAGTCGACACTCTCACTGCGCAACTGCGGCGGTGGCATCACGGCGTGGAAGGGTAAGTCTTCACATGTCCTTGTTTCCATACTTTCAAGCTGCGGACGATCGCTAACACCTCCCAGGCACAAACACGACCTTTGAGAACAAGTACGGCGTCTACATTTCCGACTCGCAGGTCATCGCCGCCAACGCCTCCATCGCCCAGACCATCCGCGGCGCCTGCGCCCTCGGCCGGCCCTGGAACGCCCAGCACCGCTCCATCTTCATGGAGTCCTACTTTGACGCGAGCATCAACCCGCAGGGCTACATTCTCTGGGGCACCACGGACCCGCGCGCCAACAACTACACCTTCATGGCGGTCTATGACGACCGCGGTCCGGGCTGGACGCCTGCGCAGATGGCAGCGAGCAACATCACAAAGGTTCTCGACGATGCGGCTGTCAAGCCTTACAGGAACCCCGCCGATGTGTTTCAGACGGCCGAGGGCGGGTTTGGCTTCGTTTCGTGGATCGACCAAAGTGTGTTAAGGAAGGCATGATGTCTGCATTGGAGGAGACACTGGCCCGCCGACCAAAAGAAAGTACAGGTGATGTGAGTCTAGACAATAAAAAAGTAATGAAGCATCCCTTTTATCATACCAGGGAGAGTTAGCCATTGGTACCCGTCATCCGTCTCTGGTGAGAGAATATGTCCTCTCTCCATGTTCCACAGCAGAACATAAAGACCTACCGATCTATTAACCCTACCATCACCTTCCATATCATTCCTGAAACCATCATTCTGTCATACCAACAAAAGCCAATCAAGCAAATCGTTCTTCATAAACCATGATTTCGTCAGCATCCATTTCAGAAAGAATGTGTACCAACATCCCTTCAGTCAAACACGATAGGCGTGTCTTTGCTGCCACCAGCTGGCATGGGCTCGGGGGTGCCTCCGATTGACATGGTCCTCGAGCGTGACCGCGAGCGAGCTGTGTACAGCGTCGCCGGTGTGTCCGGCGTGGTCGGCGTATTGGGGGTATCAGGAGTGCTGGGCGGCGCGTCGAGCACGTCGGCCATTTCGACATCGAGATCATGATCATACTTAATTTCGACCTGTATCTCATCATCGTTCAGCAGGATAGCGTCGTTTTGCGAACGTCCGATGTCCCGAAAGCCCGTCATCAACACTGGAGGGGGGACCGCGCGGCGCGGACCTTCCGAGACGAAGACCAACTCCCGGCCGCCGACGCTGCTTCGCATCTTCCGCGCCGGCGCAAGTCCGTCTTCGACGAGCAGCCAGTTCTTCAGGTGCTCACACAGGAGCCGTACGACACACGACGGGAACGCGTTGCCGATCTGCTTCTTTAGGGCAGACTTGGGTGCGTCGGCGAACTGGTGCCAGACGGGGAACCCCTGGAGACTCGCGAATTCGCGGACCGTATAGGATCTAGTGTTGGACCAGTGCATGTTCTGGCCACCCGAACAGGTCACGCATCTGCGAAGGATCTGGTCCGGGTCGCTGACGACTGATCCAAGCGGGAGGGTGTCCTTGATTTCCTCCTCCGGGTTGTGGAAGGTCGATGTGACCTTGATCTTGGCCAGAGCCTGGCGGATCGTAACGTACTTTGACAGACCGCCGGTGCCAGTCTTTGAGTGGGTCGCAGAAGGGAAAGGGGGCAGCTTTTCGCCCGGGCATGCGCCGATCATGATCAACCTCTTCCGGGTCTGAGGTAGCCCCCATGTTTGAAGGTGAACAATTTTCCAGGTGACCGAGTAACCAAGCTCGGTGAATCCTCCAACGAGAGAGCAGAAGAAAGGATCGTGACAGGACTGCAAGATGCCAAAGGTCTGTTCCAAAGTGAAGATGCGAGGTCGTAGTTTCTCCACAAGGCTCCGGCAGGCAAACAATGCGGCAATGTTCGCCTCGTCGTTGGCACCCGCGACGGTGTGCGCCGGAGACCATGTCTGACAGGGAGGAGACAGGTGCAGGATGTCGGTGCGCATTTGCGTATTCTTTGACGCCAGCATGAGCTCATCGATGGACATCTCGAAGAGATTGGTCTTCGGGAAGTTGAGGCGGTAGGTCGCGCAAGCTTTCTCCCAGTGATCGATGGCATATTCGATATGCAACCCAGCGCGCTCTGCTCCACGAGAGAATCCACCCGCACCACAGAACGAGTCAAAGACGGTATATTGCTGCTTGGGTGTATTAAGGCAGGCATCTGGTCCTCGGGCCTCAGGCATATGTGAGCCGCCCCGAATCGTCTGGCCTCTCCAACTTTCTCTGAGGGCCTCCTCCGGAACTCTGAACTCGTCTCGCACGACCTCGTGAGCTCTGATTCGTTCAAGAGACCAGTGGTTCGCTTTGCGGTCCCTCTTCGTGTTGGAGTTGCGGTAATGCACATAAAGCTTCCACCGACAGACCAAAGGGCCCTCTTTTTCGACTGCGGTGCGATGCCAGAATATCTTTGGATCATAGCGATGCTGGGGGTATGACGCGTTGGTCAGGTGCAGAGTTCGGGGTCTAAGAAGCGCAGAGATTGCGACTTCAATGCATGCTTGGTCTTCCGGGGCGCGGTCATCTTCTTCTTCCAACTCATAGATTGCAAACACTTCATTTAGTTTGCGAGGCAATTTAGCCATCAGCGTGCGAGACCGGGAGAAAGGCAATCCTCGAATCGTATACTCTTGCGTCCAGAGATTCTCAGATATCGCGGTGACTAGAATGAAGTGGTTTTCGATAGACAACTTTGGGGTGCACTCCGGATTGAGCTCATAAAGCGTATTCAGCTTAATCCAGAGGCCCCCGCCAACCTTAATCTTGTCATGGTTGCGCTCAGGAGCTCGTGGCGCAGGATCACGGCGGCGCTTTCGCGAGCGAACAATGATGACTGGGTCATCGTCAACGGTAAGGTCGATGAAGTTTGCAAGCTCTTCGCTGACGATATCTTCTTCTTTTTGTTCATCAAGACCACTGATATCAGTGCGGAGTGAATTGTTTCTGCTCTGAGGTCGATACTCGTGAATTAGACGCTCGATGTCGACGACGCGTTGATCTCCCACCGAGTAGGCTGGTTCGTCGCATTCAAGGTCAATGGCGTCTTGAGGGCTGTCCCCGGAACGTTGTGTACTTCCCATGGCAAAGACCCGTTGAGCTACGTAAGCCATGAGAGTTAGAAAAGCAATGGTTTCGGGCATCAATGGGCAACTCACTTGGTTGCCTAGGTAGCTCGACAAGCCGCTCAGGTCTGACTTCAGGATGGAACAGTGTACCTTATCCCGAAATAGGGAGGACAGTCGAAGATCACAATGGCTCTGAAGGATAGGTGCCTCAATTTCGACGCCGGATTTTCGTTTCTGGCAGCCGAAACCCAGCAAGGAGTTGACCTGTACCTTGCGCAAATCTTGCTTCGTGGTTCGAGTCTCGAGAACTGATGTGAGACAAGTCTGCGTCCCCTCTTTCACCAATACGGTATCCCGACAACAAAAATGAAGCTGAGAATTGAAGAAGCACGTTTCAGCCTTCAGCCGACAGTGGAAGACAAGATACAGTTGGGTTGGAGGTGGAGGTGAGAGACACTCACTTTGCGAGAAAGAGAGACGAAGTTGACAGCGCGATGAGGAACGATGGTGAAGGTGGGAAATACCGTTCATGGAAGGTAAGCTGCAACTCGAAACTAAATAGATAAAGTGTAAAAGGTGAGTTGAGGAGGAAGGTGAGGAGCGATTCCTTTCACTCTGTTTACCTTCACGTTTCTAGCCAAATATCAAAAAGTTTTGAGAGTTGGCAACCACGCGCATAAGAATTCATCGCCAATACCGACAAAAAGAAGAGCCAAGTAATTCATTCTTAAAATTTCGCTTTTGGTTGCATTCATTTCTTGATCTTGGAAGTTTGTGGTGTGGCTTTGGGGACTCACCTGACAAAGTCCTATCGATAAAGGCCAACACAGCCGAACAACACGTCGAGTTTTTTCACTTCTGATCGCTTTGAAGTCCAAAAGCTTGAACGTTGAGGGCATAATAGCCTCAGATGAAGAACCAACCACCAGAATGAGTACAGTCTGTTTGTGCTAATACCGCCATAGGGACAAGGGGATGACCGCGGAGCAAACAAGCCAAGTCAATATCACACTTTGACAGCAATTTTGACAACACCAAAGACAAGCTTTACCTCATTGCTTTAAAATCTCACGCTTTTATGCAAAGCCGTGCTCTCAACACTGCACCTATATCATACAAGAAGCTTGCACGTAAGTTTGAGCAGCATCTTGCTCAGAGATGAGTGTGAACAAAGCTGTAGCTTAGCTGCCAAACGAAAAGCAGCCAGCTGTGCATACATACGAGTCACATGTCATTAAATGAGGAAGGCCTAATAGATGATGAGGCAATAAATTCAAATCCAAGTCTACTTCAGTCCAATGCAATGTGACTTTTAGTTCAATGGAATCTCAGGATGAGGACCAGCAACACAATCCAAGCGGAAGCCAAGCAGATTCCTTTCAATTATCATCATTTCAGATGAATGTTGACACAAACCAAGCAATGAATGCCACCTGAAATGTTTCTTACAATCACTCCATCTCGGTTCAGTACTGCCTAGCCAGGACTTCATTCCTGGGAAGTTCTCAACTGTCGACTGTCCAATTTAGAAGACCGCCAAAGCTCCTTAGATATAGTATCCCTGAAGACTCTCAAGCCAACAATCATATGATTTCGAGTTCTTCTGTGCCGTGCAGTGATTTAGTGTGTGGCAGTCGATGACAGGATGCAAGCGCGACGGGTGTTGCCCCACCTCCTTCCCAACTGACATCGTCTCCCACCTCCCATGCCATCCGATTCTTCTGGCCTTGACACACCCACTGCGTCGAAGTCTTTTACCCAAAAACACCTCAAATTCCGATTACTGAACGGCCGTTAGTATTCCATTCACTCTTCGCCCCTTTCTCCACAGCTCGGAATCGATGCCCAGGGGCCTGTGTATAAGTAACTACAGCGTAATTTATAAGTGAATATAGCGCCTGGCCTTGCCAAACATGAAGCTATCAAGACTCTCTCTAACAATCTCTTTTTAGATTCCTCTTGCTTGGGCGAGAAACAAGACACAGTGAAGGTCCCGACGTCGACAATATTCCACCCGGACATGTGACAAGAAACTACGCGCAGTTTGGTCACATTCGTTTCTCTTGACAGAAATAGTCCTGCACAACGCAAGCAGCCATTTCATTTACAAGCAATCTGCAGCCGCACAGCGTGCTGTCTACGCCATACGAACAAACGAGGCACTAGAAGGGCTCTCTTATCTCCACCAGTTGAGTCATCAATCCAAAGCACTCCACTGTAGGTCCAACTTCACAATTAATAGAGGATTCAATCTAACTGTCCCACGGTGGCCTTGGGTACTCCGTAGATTTTTCGCAACGATGCCCCAAACCCGTAGCGCCGCAAAGCGCACTGCTGGAGCAGTTTCTCCGTTCGATGACTCTGCCAAGTCAGGCAACAAAAGACCTGTAAACATTACCCAGGCCCATGGGAAGACGCATCGGACTAAGCGCGCAAAGAAGCAAACCCAAGCGCCAGTCTGGTCAGCACAAAAGAACGTGTTAGTTCTCCCTCATGGTCTGGGTACCGTTCAGAATTCAACAATCCCCAACGATAATATCTGCAAGCCTCCCTCCATATTCAGTACAGACGGTGGCATTATAGCAGACAGGAAGAAAATGACGCTGGAAGAGCTCAAAAAGGCAGCAAGACCTCGAGGCCTGCCCAAGGAAACACCCGAGAACAAGTACCGATTGATGCCCGGAGCTACTCCGTTTCCTGACTGGACAAGGCCCACTCCTGAGGAATGTCAAACCGTCTATGATATTCTGGTAAAAGAGTACGAGGAAAGGCAGAAATCCAGAGGGCAGAGAGAGAAACAAAGCAAGGGAGCGGGCAAAAATCAAGGGACAGATACACTGTCCAAGAAGTATACACCACTCAGCTTCAGACCTCCGGCCAAAATTCAGCCACCCTCAACTACCGTCGCCGGTTGTGGGGAGGTGCCTGACCTGGTTGACGCCATGATGAGAACTCTTGTCAGCCAATCAGTAACGCGGGAGAGTGCCAACATGGTCATGGAAAGAATCACCAAGAGATTCGGCCAACTTAACTCTCAAGGAATCGGCGCTGGTAGCATCAACTGGAACGCAGTGCGTCTGGCACCCCCTGAGGATGTCATACAAACCCTTCACAAGGGTGGGTTACAAAACAGGAAACATGAAGGTATAAGGGGATGTCTCGACATGATTCACGAGGAGAACCAAGCTAGAAGAGCTGCGTATCTAAAGGAGGGGGAGACAGGGGTGACTGCTAACGTACCAGGCGCAGCGGAAATGACTGCAGGACAAAAAGCGCATCAACTCAAAAAGATTGAAGCTGGAGTCCTCACACTGGACCACATCCGCGTCATGTCAGCGGACGAGGCTATACTGGCACTCATCAAATATCCCCAGATTGGAGTCAAGACAGCGGCCTGCCTTCTTCTCTTCTGCCTGCAGATGCCCAGCTTTGCTGTGGATACCCACGTTTACCGCATGTGCAAGTGGTTGTACTGGGTCCCTGGCACAGAGAATGAGAACTACGTCTATATGCATTGCGACTTACGAGTCCCGGATCATCTCAAGTATGGTCTTCATCAGCTTTTCATTGAGCACGGAAGTGGGTGCCATCGTTGCAAAGGAAACACTTCGAAGGGAACTCCAGAGTGGGATAAGGCAGTTTGCCCGCTTGAGCATCTCTTGGACCGCTACAGCAAGAAAGAGAGTAAGTCAAAGGCAATAAAGGCTGTCGTTATCGAGAAGGAGGGCAGTGAGACTCAAGACGCCCCTGAATGCTCTTTTGAGACGGTCATCAAAGAATAGACTTCTTCAGCAACGACTGCAACGGAAGAGGAGACTACACACAGCACATTGGCAAGGAAGTCGGCCTACAGGTCGGCCCAAGACATAAGGCCTATAGTGTTGCTTTATGTGTGCCGTATTCAGTATTTCTCCTCTAGTCAGCATTCGCTTAGGGGAACGGCGTGTTACTACCTACTATTCCTTAACACTTGAGTAAACAGCTCAGTGTATTCTGGGAGCATTTTTGGGGAAAGGGTACTTTGAGCAGTTATGAAGTCAGAGAGGTCCCGGAGGGGTCAATGAGCGAGACAACATGTTTGTTGCAGATGGTTTGATAGAAAGAAAATCATGCAAAATCAAGAGGAAAAAGCACGGGCAGACATTGCAGGAATTTATTTACAGCATCAGGGAGGACCTATGTTATCTTTGCCTGTCTTTGATATTGCGAGTGACATTTGATTGTGATATCGTGTGTTGGCTTTGAAGATTTTGTGGGTGCACTGCCACCAAAGAGCTAAGATGCAGCGTTTTCAGGGCATCTGGAGGAAGGAGCAAACAAATTTGATAGCGCCCAGCAGCGCGTCAAATAGCTAGGACAAGCCAGAGGATCTTGACTGCGAGTTAAAGATCGTAAACGGTTGAGTGATTCAAAGGTGCAGTAGGATTTAAGGTATGGTCCGTGCACTAACAGCTGAACCCTTTGTGATACCTATGCCAGAGTACTCGACACAACACAAACAGAAGTACTCCTCCAGTCTGCAAGATGCCAGCCTCATTCAGGTACCGCGAGATGAGAAATGGCTCCATTCACATACACCCATCCCTGTCGACACGGGTTTGATGCGCTTTAATGGGGTTTTGGCGCCTGGCCGCGTCCTACCCGGGCTGGAGCGTGTCACTGCACTTTTTGCAGCCCACACCCTTCCTTGCCTTCACCTTCAATTGGTGTTTCCTCTTTTCCACCAACAACCAAACCCCCAAAGATCGTGGGCCTTCCTTCTTCCTCCCACGTCCTTTCCACCCTAACCTCGCCTCTTCCTTGATTGAGGCTTCTTTCGGATACTAATTTCTTCCTTGGCTGGCGAGGCCAGGTTTATTCTCATTACCCTCACAACGTCGCCCTGCTGCAGCGATCGACCGAGGCCCAGTACTGCGAGCATTGACAATCTATCGACTTGACTTGGCGACAAGACTTCTCCCCGATCTCTACACGATAAGCTGTGTCTTCTTGACGTTGAAACTTGCGACCGTAATCTTTCCTTCATCCCCCATCCGCGCGTAGCTTGCGGTTAGCGATTACCGTCTTTCGCGTTCTCCCCGTGGTGCTCGACGAATCTTTCCTGCCGGCTCCACATCGCCAAAGCTCCTTACCTCACCCTCGCATTCCGACATCCGCAACGCAACTTCGTCTACCTGACTTTCCGCCTTTGCAGCCTCCGTCACTCCCACGACATGCCTCGACGGGTTTGTTTACTGCAATAAAATGTCGTCACAACCAGTCGAGGATATCCTCGAGGAGAGCTACCGCAAGTTCGCCAACATTCCTCCAGACCTTCACCTTCTCTGTCCAAAGGTCGACGAAGATGACTTTGAAGACTATGACAACCTTGAAACTGCCGGCGAAAGCATCACGACCCTTGAGAAGAAGGAGAGGGTAGAAAAATGGAATGACCGCCTCGACATTGCCTACTGGACCAGTCTTCTGCTCGCGTACGGCAAGGACAAGGCTGGTATTTGGCTTGAACAATGGGGCACACGGATGGCTATCAATCTCCACAACTGCGACAAATGCGTTCTGAACTGGCACATGTACCGGAAGAAGTACATCCAGGTGTTTTCCGAGTAAGTCCCAACCCGCTCAAATGGTACAGTCAGCAATGGCCATTGGTGTTAACTGGATTTATAGGAAATGGCCAGAAGACGCCGTTGCCGGAATCGAAAACTGCCTCCACCGATTCGACTTCGACCGAATTGATAAAGGTCTTCAATGGGCCAAGGACATCATCGAGAAGGTCGAAGGCGAGGGCCGCCTGTTTCAAAGAGCTGACCTCGGCGAGGATCAAGGCGCAGTGCTTCTCACTGTCTATGAGGCTCTCTGCTGTATGGCATACCTCAGTTTGCCGGAAAAACGCAACCTCTTTCAATTTGTCTTCGTCCGTCTTTCGGGCAAGAAGCCATTGAAGTTGGGCGAAAACGTCTTACTTCCCGCCATGACCCAGTTCCTATTTGGGGAGGACAAGACACGACTGCAGTTCGCCGAGAAATCCTGGGAACGTCTGCGACCGAAGTCGCTGACCGAGGCGCAATTCAGCTGGGCTGTTCATGACAACCTGGTCGAGGCAATCCAGTCAGTCGCTCAGCGCAACCCCAGGAATCCTACAGACCTTCCAGAAATCGAGCGGTTCTGGAAAGCCGTCAACTGGATCATCAAGACCCTGGATGAGAAACTCTTGTTACATGGCCTTCGAAGCATGGAAGTCAAGCCAAGCCTCTACGACCTGCTTTTTGTTCACATGCAATGCGAGTCTGAGGCAATCCTGCTGCTCATCATTCAGGCTTTGACCGTCTTACTGGAGACGTCTCCTCAGGCTTTCTGGGACACGATCGGTGACGCGCGGCCATTTGTCGTCGTTGAGCAACTCCTTTCTCAGCGTCTCTTCAAACAACTGCTCGCCCAGTCCTTGACGTTCGCCATTACGTACGACGACGGCAGTGGCGGCAACGACGTTGAGTCGATCACAACATCGTGGATCAACACATGGATCCAGTCTCTCAAGCGTCAGCAAAAGAGCGACGCCTGCGAACAGCTGCTTCATTTACTTTTCGAGCAAGTCATCCATGATGCAAGCATCGGCGAGCAGGGCAGAGCTGCGTGCATTCGCGCTGGCCTAGATGCCTTAGACCACGTTTTAAGGTCGTTCCTGGATCCTTCCGTCAATACCGTTTCGAGTACCACCTCCGTATATATCAACTCGATCCTCAATGTCACCTTCAAGTACAAGGATATCATCAACGATGCTGCGGATACCAAGAGCCAAGAGCAACACACCCTTGGCGTGCCTAAAGCCGCCATGAGCGTCATCAGTGCTTCCATGAGTCTGGACTCTAGAGCGACTTCCGAAGAGCATCTCGAACTCCGTAAGAACGAAAACGCGGCTATCCAGACGGCGGTCACCCGCAGATCAGCAGACTTATGGGATGGGTTTCTGGAAAACCTCTTCGCTGGCAAGCTCCTGCTGGCAAAGACAATGCTCATGGCCATGGCTCCTCTAATCAACGTCGAAAGATTCCGTGGCCCACGCAAAGAACCCGACAACCTGACCCCGGCGAAGAAGAGCTTCAACAACCACTTTATCAAGGTTGCAGAAGCCCTTGGGCGAGTTCTGCAGCGTATGTGCGAGTTCACGTCGCCACAGCTCAATGAGCTATGTCTCATGGGTCAGAGCATTCGTCCTATCATTGCTTTCACTGTCCACGGCGAAGACGAAATCAGCAGCGCAAGTGCTGAGCTCATAAAGTCAATCACTGAACAGCCATCCAAGTCAGAAGCTATTACAGCATTGCTTGATCGACATCTCAGCACTACTCTGTCTTCCATGATTTTTGCAACGCGGAGGATCATGGAACCATCCAGTGTGGCGTGGGGACCAGCACGGCACATCATCAACACAGCCAAAGACGTACTCAAAAGTCTCAGCGATTTGTCGTCGGGCATTCTCAGATCCAAGACGCTTGAGAACAGCGAGCAGATCGCCGTCACTGGCTGGTGGGTTGCCCACTGGAGATACATTGAGGTTGCCTTTCAGTGCACAGCCACCTGGTCTCACCAAGCAGAAATCAACGTGATGCAGGACTTCTGCCGAGATGTCATTGAGCTGGCCGATGGCATGCTTGCTCAGGATGGCCTTTTCGCCTCGGCACTCCAGGCCAACAACGTGCAGGCACAACCACAAGACCTGTCCAAAATGCAGCAGCTTCTGAAGGACCCTCAGCGTCACCTCACTGGCATCGTAAGGATGCTTCGGCTAAGGGATCTTTATCTTGTGGAAGTCACTGTCAAGGTCGTCGCTAAATTACTCCTGAGACTCCGTGAGAACCAACTTGATATCCCGGATGAACCGAAGGCCTTTGTTCAAGATTCCTGCATCAAGTCGCCAGCCACCGGCAAGTATCCCATTAGCACCAATTTGAGCGATCAGCAGCGAGCAGAGCTCCTCAAAGCCCTTGGTGAAGACGACGATGTGGAAATCATCCAAATCCAACCGGTTTCCAAAACCGAGAAGCCAAAGAAGCAAAGCCTCATCGACGCTTGGTCTAAATCTGGCTCGTCAACACCCACTTCTCAAATTAGCCGATCGAACAAGGACGATGTCCTCGAGCTCAGTAGCTCTGTCGACAAGAAACGCTCGATTCTGGAGCAGATGGCGGCTCGCCAGAAGGCGTCTTCACCGAGTGTGTCAAAATTACCGCCGCCGAAGCCTAGACTTGAGCCTGTGGTTTCACAAGCCTCCAAAAATGCACTCATCGAGTCGCGCAAGAAGGCCAAGTTGGAACGGGCTAAGAGAGATGCCGAGATGGTCAAGAAAGCACAGGCTCTCCGAGATGCTGCCAACGTTGGCGAAGGTTCAGGGCTGAAGGGCCTTAGCGGTGTTGTCGGGAAAGATCTTGCTCCGCAGAAGAGTCAGATCCTGGTTGACAGCGACGAGGAAGAAGAGGACGACTCTGAAGATGAGGACCTCAACAACCTCATCAATAAGGGCCAGCAGGGCCAGAAGGCCGTCGACGAAGCCACGAGACGTCGCGAACGAGCGCTGCTTGAGAAGACTCGTGGCCCAGTCAAGAAGGTAAAGGTACAGCGCTCAGCCAAGGACATGCGTGCTCGCCTGATCCCGCCGATGGACCAGCTTCACCAAGCCATCTTGGAATGGGACATTTTCCATGAAGGCAATGATCCACCATCAACCTCGGCCTCCCTGGCCATCACACGAGTTGCAAGCACGTACGCCCACCCCCAGGAGTACAAGCAGACCTTCTTGGGCCTCCTGATTTCTGAAGCATGGAGATCTTTCGTGACTGCCAAAGATGAGACGACATCCAAGCCCTATGGCCTCAAAATTGCATCTCGTATGAATGTTGATAAGTTCCTTGAAGTGACTGCCAGCATCCCCAGCGCTGAAAGTAAAGAGAGAATGTTGTCAGAGGGCGACATCATTCTGGTTTCCAAAGGAAGCAGTCCCCTAACGGACAACTCTGAAGCCCATGCTTTGGCGCGAATCTGGAAAACCACCTACAAGAAAGAAAGGCTGGAAGTGACATACCGCTTGAACAGCAAGAACAACCCCCTGCTTGCTATCAACGCTCTTGGTGTTGGCTCTGAACTTCAAGCCGTAAAGATCACCAACATGACAACCATTGAGCGAGAGTACGCAGCCCTGGAGAGTTTGCAGTACTACGACCTCATGCTTGAAGTCCTAAAAGCCGAACCCTCGCCTATGTTGAAATATGGCGAGGAGGCTGTCAATGGCGTCATGCAGAATTACCAGTTGAACCCTGGTCAAGCAAAGGCCATTCTGGGCGCAAAGGACAATGATGGCTTCACTTTGATTCAAGGGTAAGACCGACTACTTTCTTCCTGTTTTCCGTGCTAACACCTCACAGTCCTCCTGGTACGGGCAAGACGAAGACCATTGTGGCCATGGTTGGCTCGTTGCTCACGGGCAATATTCAAATTCCTGGAACGGCCATCAAACCTAAGCTTGTGGGCCAGGCGGGCCAGAACGCCATGCCCAAGAAGCTTTTGGTCTGCGCTCCCAGTAACGCTGCTGTGGATGAACTCGTCTTGCGTCTAAAACAGGGTGTAAAGACGATGACCGGATCGTTCCACAAGATCAATGTTCTTCGCTTGGGTAGAAGCGATGCCATCAATGCCGCCGTTCGAGATGTCACTCTCGACGAACTGGTCAAAAAGAAGCTTGAAGGTGATACCACGCAAAACAAGGCGAAGGAGGAGCGAGACAAGATGCACAATGATGCAGCCAAGATCCGGGACGAGTTGGCAGAGATTCGTCCCAAGCTGGACGAAGCCCGTGCGGCCGGCGACCGAAACTTGTCGCAGGCTTTGCAGCGGTCCTTCGACCAGCTGAAGCGTGCCCAGATCAATATCGGTGCCAAGATCGACGAGGACAAGGCAAGCGGCAACACTGTTAGTCGTGAGGCTGAGATTCGCCGCCGGCAGATACAACAGGAGATTCTCGACGGAGCGCAAGTTCTCTGCGCCACGCTCAGTGGTAGCGGTCACGAGATGTTCAAGAATCTGAACGTCGAGTTCGAGACTGTCATTATCGATGAGGCTGCGCAGTGTGTGGAACTCAGTGCTTTGATCCCCTTGAAGTACGGCTGCACCAAGTGCATTCTCGTCGGAGATCCGAAGCAGTTGCCCCGACGGTGCTTTCCCAGTCTGCTGCTAGGTTTGGCTACGACCAGAGTTTGTTCGTCCGAATGCAGCAGAATCACCCCGACCACGTCCATCTTCTTGACCGCCAATACCGTATGCACCCCGAGATCAGTTTGTTCCCCAGCATGGAATTCTACGAAGGCAAGCTTGTTGATGGCGAGGACATGAGCGCGCTGCGCCGCCAGCCCTGGCACGCAAGCGCCCTCCTTGGTCCTTACCGATTCTTCGATGTTGAGGGTACCCAGTCGAAGGGGAGCAAGGGCCGTTCGTTGGTTAATCACGCAGAGTTGAGAGTTGCTATGCAGCTCTACGAGCGATTCAAGGCCGATTTTGGACGAAACTACGACATCCGTGGCAAGATCGGCATCATCACCCCATACAAGGCCCAGCTGCAAGAGCTCAAGTGGCAATTCTCGCGTCAGTTCGGAGAGGCTATCACCGACGACATCGAGTTCAACACCACGGATGCCTTCCAGGGTCGTGAGTGTGAGATCATCATCTTTTCTTGCGTTCGAGCTGATCCTACTGGCGGCATTGGTTTCGTCAAGGACATCAGACGTATGAACGTTGGTCTGACCCGTGCCAAGTCATCTCTGTGGATCCTGGGAGATTCAAGAGCATTGGTACAGGGCGAGTTCTGGAACAAGCTCATCGACAACGCGAAGCAGAGATCTCTTTACACGAAGGGGGATGTCATGTCGATGCTGCGGAAACCCAGCGTTATGAAGTCATTACCTGCCCCATCGAAGCCTACACCGCAGGATGACCTTGACGTTGAGAGGCTGGAGCAGCCTCGGGGCAAAGAAATTGACATGACAGACGCGTCAACGGCGCAATCACGAAAAGCAACCCAGCCTCCCCAGCAGCTGCCGACGAACTACACAGGTGGGGAGCGCCGCCCAGGCTCTTGGGAGAACAACAACCGCATGGAGCGGATCAACGAGAGAGGCGAGGTGCAGCCAGCCGTCGCCCGTAGCTCTGATCGACCTCCCGTCATCCAGTCATCGACGCCAAAGCAGGAGACTAAGAAGAGACCGTCCGATGCCAACGATGGGCAACGCGGCTCGAAGCGGGTATGTGAACACGAATCAAGCAATGATGAAAGCAGACAAGTTTCCCCTCAAGTCCCTAACACGACAACTACAGATGGCGACCGACCAGAACCGATCGTCCAGCAGACCGCCACCGACGGGGCCCAAGTCAATGGGCAACGCGTCGAAGGAGCCGAAGAAGGCGAAGGACCCGTCTGCCATGGTAGCCCTCGGTCTGACACCAGCTGCACGACCGCCGGCGGTGGAGACGACATCGAATTCGAGGACGCCGTCATCAGGTTCTTCTCTGCCGCAAAACCGCAACCTACCCTCAAGAGTAAGTGGGCCACATTTCCAACTATTGTTTTGGACACTGCTAACGTGGTTGCTAGCCTCCGGGGCAGAATGGACAGAACGGCCCCGTCATCCATAGGAAGAAGCCCAAGGCGGATCCCTTCATTCAGAGAAAGCCTCCTAGACGCTGAGGGGAGCCGACTCGAACACGCAATGATTCTTTGATTTTTGTAGATTAGACTCGATACAGGACCGGGCTCGGGGCAAAGGCTTTGCATCACTGTGGAGGGGACATTTGAACCCCTGGCGTTACAGGTCCAGGCAAGGGGCGAGGCATCTAGCATTGTTTTTGTTTTTTGCAAAGGGCAGAAAGACGTTGTTGCCTCTCGACATATGGTCTAGCTGTGGAAAGCATGGGCACATGCAATGGACAGGATGCATACGGGGGTTTGGAAAACTAGGGACGGCGGGGAAGGGTAAACCTTGGTTTCCTGCATGAAGTTCGTCCGAGGATGACGCAGACGTAGATCGCCGTAGTGTGTATGGATATGGGATTCTCTGCACCGCGTGTAGATAGGCATTGGGAAGGGGTCAAGAAGGCAGCAGCAGTAGCAGCATGGCGTCACCATGGTAGTGAAAAAGGTGAAGTGAACCAACGTAAGATGGTGGAGCGCGCGAACTTATGCAGGAGCCGGGGACCATAACCCGCCCTCCCGTAGTACGAATCTCCCTTGGCGGCTGCGCGACCAGAGGGCGATCGCTGCTGGACTGCGTAAGGCTTAAAGCTTTAGAGCGTAGGTGAGGGTGAGCAGTAAGGTTCCCAGGCGCAGGAAGCACCAAGACGGGCCCTACAATGCCACGACGAAGTGCAGAGAGAGAGAGAAAGAGAGAGAGAGAGACAGGGAGCGGGAAGCGGAACATCGTCACCGGCCACCCTAGCTAGCCCATCGAGTCCAGAGACTCTCCTGCGTCCTGGGAACTTTTGGATAGAGCTCGGGCGCGCAAGAGAGCCCCCCTTGCCATTCTTGATTTTTAATTCTTTATTTCTTGGTCTCAACCATGGCCAGTGAGAGGGCACGGGATGCAGCTGGGACCCAAGACATGCAGGGAGCGAGACGCGCCTTAGGGTTCAGGTTAAATCATGAGTCGCGTCGGGTGGCTTGTTCTCGAGCGCAGGAAAGGAAGACGAGAGGAGAGAGAGATGGTGTGTGTGGGCGTAGTCAATTAGTGACCGGGTGGAAAAGAAAGTAAGGGACCAGAGGGAAAAGGTCAGAAACTATGTTTAAGCCTCGCCGTTTGAGGTTTCCCGCCCCATTCGAGGAGAGGCAGCGATGAAGTGGTTGAAAAGGCGCGTCCGCCGCTTGACGACTAGCAGCTGTACGCTTACTCTTAGGCTTGGGACTTCGAAACTAGACAGCGGCGAGTTACCCGTGTTTCCCGTATAAACGGGATGGCTGGTGAGACGGGGCTTATATGAGCGCCGTTTCGCAAGTCTCGGGTTATGGCGCGGTGGTTTTGCTCTTATGGTGTGAAGGCTTCGAGGTAGTGCGCCGCGGGTGGGAGAGGATTGCCGCAGACCGTCGGTGTCAGGCACTGGCTGGTGCGCCAGCCGGATTTGGGCCGTATAGGTGGAACAGCTAGATATATGGTTGGCTGAGGAAGACCTTGGCGGTGCCGGTCACTTTGGTGGCTAGGTCGTCCACTTGTGTGTGTCCGAGTGCCGGCCGAGATTACGCACAGGACGGGGCTTTTCTTCCACTTTGTGTGTCTTTGGTGAGTGTTTGTGAGAGTAAAGAAAACGTGTGTGGGAAGAAGGAAGCAAAAGTTTCGACCGAACGAAACAAAGAAAGGAGAAAAAACGTGTTCGGGGGCGGGAAACCACATGGCAGTTCTGGCGGCGTTGTCTTTGACGACACGAAGATCGATTTAAACGAGGCTTGAAATAAACATCAGAGTCTCGCCGTTGGGCAAGCCCTGGAAAGGAAAATGGAAGCGGAATGGACGCCAAACGAAGACAGGAGAGCCAAGCTTGGGGTCACTCTGTCTTCTTTCAGCCCAAGTCCAGGTCTGGCGGGTTTTTGCCTCTTGCTTTCTTTTTCCTTGAATGGGGTTCTAGACTCTCGGGAGGAAGCATCCGTGCCTCTGAGTGACTCGAGACGCATGAATCATAGCTATGATGCACGCCGGGAAAGAGAGAAACATTATGTGGAACGCCGGCGAGGTGTGGAGGACGAGGAGGATGAGCGACTGGGATGGCACGAGGAGGATGGTGAGCAAAGCGACGACGGACACATATGTCATCCGCTCGTCTGAAGGTTTTGACGGGAGTTACACCGTGGATGGATGGGATGGATGAGGGATGGCGGATGGGGAGCAAGCGACATTGCCGGGGGTGGAAAGGGAGGATGGGTATTCCCTGTCTAGCTGGCGAGCTGGCGAACCATGGTGTCAAGAGGATCCCTGCCTCAGTCCTTTTGTGTCTCTCACGGTTGGAAATGCTTCAGGCTAGGCAAGCTGGGCCTTTTTGGGGTTTGGGTCTCGCTCGTGTGGGACAGCGTTCGGCACGGTGCACGCGGGGCTTGCGTGGGTTTTTCTTGTTTCTGGCAGCACTGTTTCGGCTCTCATTGGGGGCCACGAGAGGAGACGAGACGGAAGGGCCAAGCGGGAGTGTTGGGCGCACCGGGGGCTGACGGAGAGGGGGGGGGGGGGGGTATCTGAGGGGAGGTGATGATGTTGGTTGCGATCATAGTGCGTGATGGGATTTGTGATGGATTGATGGATGGGGGTCTGGGAGCGGCGCAAGGGACACGAACGTATGGAGCCGAGAGTTCAAGTTGGGAGGGTTTGGCGGTGGGGTTGAGACGCCTTTATGGATACCACTTGACAGTAGCATGGCGATCCGGTCGGCTTCTGAGGCGACGCGGCCGTCGTTCGTGTCGGCAGGGCATGTCAGGGAGAGGCGGGACGCGGAAGAGGAGAGGGAGAATGGAAGCGATGTTGGCGATGTCGGCGATGTTGAGGGACGAAGTTGGGAGAAGAGTGGGAACGGTGGGGGAATGGGGGATGGGGAGGAGGGCAGGGAGGATCCCTCTCGGGGGTTACGCCCGGGACGAACGGACGGGAGGGAGGAAGCAAGTATGGGGGGATGGAGACGGATGATGGAGAGATCTTGGGATAAGTTTAGCGAGCGGGATGTGCACCTGCGTTATGGTTGTTGTGCATGGATCGTCCAAGGTGCAGAGCTGATTTGCCGCGGTGGGTAGCGTGACATTGGGGGGCATTCAGCAGAACATGGGCCATGAAGCCTCGAGTACGAGCTGACGGCACATTGCAGAACCCCGGCCGGGGCTTCAGGTTTGAATAGCTTCATGAGCAGTACCCCTTGGACGAGTTGGACAGGATCTCCAGTCACTAGACGAGCAATGAATGTAACCCTCAACCAAAAATAGTGATTGCGCGTTTGTGCGCTGCATAAGAAGATAAGCATACCGGGATATCGACGAGCGCTCGTCCACTTTCTGGAATCGCGAGGACATGCTCGCCATATGAATCACGCTTGCCTGGACCTGGACCCTTTGATGGGCCAGGAGGGAGGGTGCAGGGCCAAGAGTGGACTACCGCTTGAGCCGCTGCCGGAGTTGGCACAGCGCGGTCTTGACTTCCTCCAGGTTGTCCGCCATACAGGCTGTTTGTTAGTGAGAGACGCATCCTCCGTCTTGCTTGTCCTGTCGTGCTCATCGAGGATGCGCGGGAAACGGCTGGAGCCAAGGTGCTGGGCGTGTCCATGCCAGCTCGTTTCCTGGTCGGGCAACTCTCATGCTTCATGTCGTTTATAATAAGATTGAGACACTCAGTGTACCACAGTGGGAGATTCCTCACGAGAGCACTTCATTTTCAGCCGGGGAAAAACGGCCGACAGCACTCTCCAATGGTGGTACCCTTATTTCCTGAGATACATGCACATGTCCCAATCAACAAGCCACAAGCGTCCTTCCACTCTCGCGGCCAAACATGCAATCGAGTGAGCGAAGTAATAGTCGTCTGCCACTGGCCCGCTTCCTACTGCTGTATGACCATTGGATGCTTCATTGCCCTTTTTGAATCTTGATAGCTGGTGCTGAGTCTGGGTTACTCCGGACAAAGAGTTGCTCTGGCCGATCAACGTGAGTTCCCAACCACGAGGGCACACAATGACAATACCGACAAAACGGACAAAGGAATAAAACGGTCGAGTTGAACACAGAGCTGGAGGTATCGGCAGATACACCCTCCTCATCATAGATCATTCGGCACAGAGACGGCAGCCCGACATGTTACGCCAGTAGACGGAACAAGAGACACACCAGAAACACAATCAGCCAAGGAATTCTCTCATACTCCATCCATCTCCGTCCCTCTCTCGTCTCGTTCAAACATATGCGGATTAGAGCGGTACCCTACTAACACCATCACTGCTTTGCTCGAGTAGCCGTGTCAGCCGGCCCCTGGTTGCACATCACTACCCACTGACCACTGCAGCGGAATTTCATCGCAGTCGCTTCGCATCGTCGCAGATGCTGCAGCTACGATAGCTGCAGTTGTGCGCGCGCACCCTTCGCATCCCTACCGCATATCCCTTGCTGGGGTTACCCAGCGTGCTGGGGCCGTCACGAACCTCACGTTCCTCCCCGGTACTCTTTTCCGGACTCCATCCCCCCCCCCCCCCCCCCCTTGCCCTGTTGCTCCTCTCGTCCTCGAGAATTGTACGATCGTTCCCCCCTTAACCGAGAGAATGGGTGACGGGCTAAGCCCCTCCCCTGTCCTATGCACGCCAAACGCGATGATCGTCGTTTCTTCTCTCCTCCCGGTCCGCCTGCCATTTTTGCAGCCCCCTCTTTCATGCTGCCGGCCATTCTATCCTGCTGGTCTGCTGTCGACTGCCTGCCTGTAAAGCCCCTTTCCTCGGAACCATGGCAGGCAGGCAGGCAAAGAGAAGAAGGAAAAGCAAGTTCTCCTTGCAACTATTGACCTACCTAGAGCACTCGCTGCGTAAAAGTGTCTGCAATCAGGGTCCTCTATGTCGTATCCTCTCGTCTTCTCCACAAGTTCTAGCTTTCCGCCCCTCGTCGCCGGTACCACGCCCCGTCACACCACAGTTGGGAACCGGGGGCGCATCGACCTTGCCTCGGCCCTTGGAGGCTGGGCTCGAGTCGTCTCTCGTCTCCTTCCTTTTTTTTTCCCTCTCTCTCCGCCCGAGCCTCTTCTCGATTCAGTAGAGTGACACACATTGGGTGCACCACACGTCTCTGGCCGGTGGACCGTCTGGCTGCAAGGCGCCGGGAGAAGAAACATCATGGCTTCAGTGTGGCGCTGTCAACTGGTCCTTCTTCCATCGGCCTCCTCCTCATTCTTCGTCACGCCTTGTTCGCGCCCCCGGGTTCCAGATGTCTCTGGAGAACCTCGTGGACGTCGAGCCCCGAGCTACCCAGACCAAGGGAAGAAAAAGAAAATCACATTTCGTAGACGAGGCATCCTGAACTTGAGTCTCAGCGCCACGAGCCCACCGAGCGGCCCCTAGACAACGGACTAAAGCTCTTAGCAACGACGCCCACTCCCTCCCTTGATCTGCCCTGAGGCTATCCCCTCCTCCCCTCCGCGTTGCGCGCCGCCGCCGTCGCTTCTTCTTCCCTTCGCTACAATCTTGTCCAACACTGGCTCAACCGGCTGGCCTCTTGCAGACAGAGGCAACTTGAGAAGTCTGACCGTAGCGTTAGTCCCGAAGCCGCTAGTACTCGTTCCCATAATTTTGCACGGACGCCTCCCCGCGATGGTTTGACGCTTCCACTGCTATCATCTGCCACCGTCTGCCTCCTCTCCCGCCTATTCGTCCCAACGGTCGCCCAGAGGGAGAGGAACATATATCGATACCACCCGTTCGCATCCTGGCGCTCTCCGAAAAAGAGCGAGGGATGATCGAAGTAGTGTTGCACGAACTCTGATATTGTGGTCTCTCCCTTTCTCCTCGTCTTTTACCATCCCTCTTCCCGCCTCTCTCTCTCTTTCTCTCTTTGCCTCTTGGGAGGTGATGAATCAACGGCATTGTTTCCAAGGCCCTAGAAACACGTCAAACTCTGATCTACCATTCACCCCGGTTACGTGACCATCATTCCATCCTTCCACGGGTTCTTCCACGAGAGCGTCGCCGAGCGACCCCGTGTTATTCAGACTTGCTTGCTGCGCCGCAGGCAAGTCGTTTATCGAAGGCATCCACCATCACCGCGCAACCTTCTCAAAGCATCTCGCGCACATCGAAACTTCGCCCGGCCTCCGGTGAAACTCCTGGGCATGCCGTCCCAAACCAACCCCATCTACATTATCGACGCCTCTTGACCGCTCAACGAGATGATCTTTTCAGAGAAGAACATGAGAGGACGCAGCGACGTCATGGTCGTCTCATCAGGGTCGGGCCCGCCACGGCTCGACCTGACACTCACACAGGGTCGTCGAGGCACCTTTGACAGCCTCAACAGCGACTTTGAACGGAGTTTCTACCCTCGCACAACACAGTCGTCGAACGACCTCTTCACACAGGCTCTCGACAGCATGGACATGACCGACTGCGAGTCGGAATGGGGTGCTGTCCGCGCGAGAGCCAGAGGGAACAGTGACAGAGCAGGTCTGGCGGACCTCATTGACTTCCTCAGAACCACTTCGCCGCCGGCGGACTTCCCTTCACAATCCGTCTTCGACGACGACACCACTGAACCACAGGAACAGCCCGAGAAATGGGGGCTTTTCAAGAAGCTGCGCCGTCCGCGCACGCGGGCCAGATCTGAGTCGCCGACCCGCCGGCCCCTGACCGCCGGCCTTCCCAACTCTGCCGTTGCGTCCAAGACGAGCAGCGGCAAGCCGCATATCGCAATTTCCATTCCGTTGGAGTATTGCCACGTAGGACCGGATTCTGATTGGGCTCTCGCAATCTTCAATGCCACACCGCCGCTTCCACCAACTCCTCCAGTGCGGATGAGCGACGAAGAAAACAGGAATGGCGTCGGCAGGCCTTATACTAGTGATCGTGCCGTCACTGTGCTCAAGACTGTCAGCGAGAAGGGGTCCATTTCGACCCTCAACACCGTCAACACGATGAGCACCAGGAGGGGAACCAAGGGCTCCGTGTCTATCTGGCCCAAGATCAACCCACATCCCATGAGCCCGCCGATGACACCATACACTACGCCGCCCGGAAGTTTACGTGAGACTTCTTCGACCAAGAAGAAACAAAACCGGATGCCTCCGCAGCCGCAACAGTACGCCGAACTTGCAGCAGACCCGGTTCCAGCAGGCAGAAGACCGAGCGGTAGTCTCGACAAGGGCTACTACTTCGGTAGGAATGAAGGCTCTCTCGTCCAGACGACAGACGCAAGCTTGCGGAAGCCCAAAGCCAAACCAGCTCCTAAACGTCCCGATAACATCACTCTGCCACCGCGCAGGTCGAGTATCAAGATAGTGAAGCCCCAAGCAGGCCACGTCCCAGACAGCCAACAGTCGATTGATGGCATGATTGATAGCGACCTTCGGCGCCAGAACGTGGCATCGGATGCTCCTCAGCTGAGTCCGGCGGCTTACTCAGAGTCGCACTCCATTAGTCCGAGTATTACAACGGACCTATCTGAACCAGTGGTCTCGAGTGCGCGGTCCGCGAAGACTTACTCGATGGCGTCGATAACGCGCCCAGAGATGCCGTCCATGACACCCAGACAATCATACATTGCCCGGCCAGGAAGCGGCGACACGATGCAGACCACCTTGGTCGGCGAGTCCTTGGCGTCTCGAAATGCCTCAACAAGGACAGCCACCTCAATGCAAAGTCGCAAGGAGCGCGTCAAATCTCTCAAGCAGCGGGACATGGAGGCCCTCAAAGCTAAAAAGAAGCAGCAGGCGGAACAAGACGAGGACGGCGAAGTGACTCCGAGGCCGAGGACCTGCGGCACTGCTATTAGTTCTCTGCGACTGCCTTCTCGTGACGGAACCTTTGGCTCCAATGATGATTTCCCGATGCACGGCGTCGAGACGAAGCTGTCCGCCACGAACCTGGCCAACATGGCCAAGTCCCATCAAAGGTCGTCAGATCATGTTTCTCATGGCACTGCAATCAAAATATCGCACTGGCAGGCCACGCAAGAAACCGAGACGCCGGGATGGGAGACGGCGCGAGAAGAGTTGACGCCTGGCTGGGAGACTGCCCAGGAGACACCGACGATAGACTGGGAAAAGACGCCACTCCTGCTCGAGACGACGGAGGACCAAAGGGACTCGGCCACCATCGGCACTGAAACCTTCGGCAACGGTGACATCAGGGACAGTACGCTGAGCTCCGAACCTCCCCGTCGGTGGGGTAGTCTTCACCGCGCCAGCTGGGCGAGCTCGGTACCACTCTTGGATCGCATAGGCAGCTTTGCACCGTCTGACGCAAGCGCCACACAAGTCGCGGACACGGGCAGCAGCCCCTTGCCCCTATGCCGGGCTCAGATGTCTCGTGCTGACTCTGCCACGCTCTCGCAGGCAGATGTGGACCGGCTCTACTTGAACCGCTTCAGTTTCTACGATTTTGACAACCAGGTCCGTATGGACCCTACCGAAGACGACCAGTCTATTGCGGGCAGCATCGCGGCGTTTCCCAAGCCTGGCTCCGGCGCTGGCCCTCGCTTGAGCGCCATCATGCCCGTTGCCGAAGTAGTTCCTTCGGCTCCCATCGACGAGAGGTGGTCGGCTTCCACTCTTAACTCGCCTATGACCGTGATTGAGGTTCCCCATCAGTCTTTCGCCGATGGGCAGACATCGCGGCAAAGCTCGCCGCAGGTGACTCGCCTTCACACTGCAAGCAACACGAGCCCGGCTCGTCTCAACGCTTCCAGGGACCACAGACAAACGAACGGGAAAACCAAACTCGGGCCTGTCCGCGTCGCCGTCGACGCAGACGAGGCAGCGACCTTGCGTGCCAATAGCCGTCTGAGGGAGGAAGACTCCATCGGCTTCCCAAACATGGCGGCCCGCGAGCTCCGCAACCACTACGCCAGCCTCCGCAGCGCGCGCGTGAACGATCTCGCGCACGAGATGCTCCTGAACCAAGAGCGTCTTGAAATCCGCATGCACCAGCAGGAGCGCAACCAGATGCTTTTTATTGAACGCCTCGAAAAGTGCATGAGTGAGCTTCAAAGTGAGCTCCAAAGCCTCCCCGGGCCCCCCTTTCCGGGCTCTAACCCTCTCGAATGGCCCCTTCACGACGACGAAGACTACATTTACGAGGCGCAGCGCATCAGACGGGACCCGAGGCATGAGGTCCGCGTACGTAGAGCGGCCCAGCTCGACGGCCACAACCGTCCGTTACAACCACAGCTGCCCGGCCCTCGCCGTTCGTCCCGTCAGGTCCTGAACGCCGCGGATGTCTTTGACGACTTTGCTGGCGACTTTGTCGAGCAGCATCAGCAGCAACAGCAGCAGCAGCAGATGCCGAGGCAGCCGTCGACGTTGCACGAGACGCCACGTATGGCCCGGGGCAGCAGGTACCAGGCCGTGATGGCATCGCCGATGATCACGCGCGGCGGGCTGGATGCCATGGACCCTTTGATCCGGGAGCTGCAGCTGGCGGCAAGAGTGAGCCAGGAGACGACGCGAACGGAGAAGACGGAGGCGTCGCAGGCTCGGGAGACGAGCGGTTATCGCTACGACATGGTTTAGTGGGTAATGAATTGGTGTCTTTCTAATTATTCTCCTTCTCCTTTACTTTTCTTTTTGGCTTGGAGGTGCAACTGTTGATCGCTGAACAGAGGTGCGGTCTATGAGGGCGGGGCACAGAGTTATGAAATGTGCAGTATGACGAGACTTCCTTTGTTCTGACGGAGATAAGGGTGGGCTGTTCAGGCGGTCTTGATGAGTGAGTATACCCAGTGCTCAGGATGCGTGTTATTCCGTTGCCATATCATGAAGCGTTTTGAGGCATTCTGCGCTGCTCACACAGCCGTGATGAATAAAAGATATGCCATTTCAATCGTATGATGTAATTACAATTACAGAGACTTGAGATTCCGAAAGCGAACGTGTTTACACGAGTCAAAGTGAGTTGGACAGTGTTATGTCGTCGATCTAGAAGCCTGATTGCATTGACAGCGCAACTCGGACGATGAGTATGCGTTGTGAAAGGCTCCCAAGGTTCCCGGACCTCTGGGCGAAATCCTAACCAATGACGTCGTTGGACCCCTTGTTTCCCCAGGGGACCTGCACGGGGTGCGTCGTAGCGGGCTCTTCTCCATCATTTCAAAGTCATGATGTCTTCGACTGAAGCTTGTGTGGAGAAACCCCAATTCGACAAACTGGGTGTTCTGTAGGTGACTTACATACAAATGATCTGACATCGTGTACATGCTCCCTCTGCGTTTGCTTGCGTGCCAAATCCCTGTGATTGGATCTCCCGTTCAGCTTCATCCTCCATTGCCCAGACAATTTCACTGCATGCCATCTCGAGTGAATCGCGAGCCGCACCAACGGCGCGTATAATCGAGACGACCGCAACCTCCAATCTCAACACACCCCAACCCCGCAGCCACGCGCAGGAGAAGCCATGTCCCGCCCCTGGATCCTCATCTCCCCCTCCTCCCGCGGCATCGGCGCCCACCTGGTCAAGCACCTGCTCCGGACCACCGCCGCCCCGATCCTCGCGACCACCCGCTCGCCCGACACCACGGACGCCAAGCACCGCTTCCTCAAGTCCCTCGCCCTGCCCTCCATCGAGACGGAGGACCTCGCCTCGCGCCTCAAGGTCGTGCGGGTCGACGTCACGGACGAGCCCACCATCGCCGCCGCCGCCGAGGAGGCGCAGAACCTGTTCCCCACAAAGACGCACCATCTCAGGCTGGCCCTCGCGACTCCGGGGATCCTGCACCCGGAAAAGAGCCCGGGCCAGGTCGAGTACGACAAGGCGCTCGAGACGTTCAGGGTCAACACGCTGGGGCAGATGATGCTGATGAAGCACTTCTCCCCGTTCCTCCCCCGCAGGGCCGCCTCTCTCTTCCCCTCGTCGTCCGAGGACGCGAGGGGCCTGCCGCCGGGCCACGCCGTCTGGGCCGCCATGTCGGCGCGCGTGGGGTCCACCTCGGACAACCTCAAGGGCGGGTGGTACTCCTACCGCGCCTCCAAGGCGGGCGTCACGTCCCTCGCCAAGTCGTTGGACCTGTGGCTCCGGGCGCGCAGCGGCGACAAGGCCATCGCCGTGGCGTACCACCCGGGGACCGTCAGGACGGGGCTCTCCGAGGCGTTCTGGGACACGGTGCCCAAGGAGAAGCTGTTCGAGCCCGAGTTTGCCGTGGAGAGGATGTGCAAGGTGTTGACCGAGGAGGTCGGTGTCGAAGGACGAGGACGGTTCTGGGATTGGCAGGGTAAGGAAATCTTGCCATAAGGCCCCGCTAAGGAGGGGGAGAAGACTGATGCGAAGGGAAGGCTTCAAGGGGCTACCTCAAAAAGATGGATACTCTGTGAGCATGGCAGCGCGAGCTTGTCAAGGCGGGCATCATGAAAGCAATCAAGTTTAGAATCATCGTTGCATGATAACTGACTCTATAAGTGTCGTGAAGAAATGGGTAATCGTACACTAGACACGAGACATCTACGTAACTCCGTGCTGTGAAAAGAACCGCAAACACCTTTGCTTTCAACTTCCCGCCTTACAAGGCTACATCCTGAAAGGACGCTCCGTCAGGGGAAGTCTTCTCCCCCTTGCTCGGATTGTCCCCTTCCCCTTTACCGTCCTCGCTGCCCGAATCCGAGTCAGCCTTTGGCCGATGAGCGAGGTTCTGCTCGTCCTTGTCCTCCAGCCGCACCTTCTGCTCCTCCTGGTCTGCGATCCTCTTCTGCTCTGCCTCCTTCTCCTCGTCGCCGGAAGACTCGTCGTCCTCTGCCTTGGACGGGGGCTTCTCGCCTTTGGGAGACGTGGCGGCCACCTCGTAGTTGTTCTCCGGCGGGTTGCCAGCCGGGGGCGTTGGCAGCTCCTTCTGCATCTGGGGGGTCTGCTGCTGCTGGGGCGGAGTCGGCGCCTGCTGCAGCTCGTCGCTCGAGGGGCCGGGTCTGAGAGCGTCGAGGTAGAACTTGGTCACGCCGAGGATGCGGCCGTTCTTCTCGCACGCCTCAACCCACTCGGGCCGCACAACGGGGATGTTTGTCTCGACGGCCTTCTCCCACGCCAGGCCGCGGCCCTCGGTGGTGACAAAGTGCGTCGTGTCGATGCGGACGCTGTCGACGATCTTGGCGCCAATGCGGTCGACGGCGGCGGCCAGCGCCTCCTTCGTGGCGGCGGGCATGATGCCCGTGGTGATGGTGATACCGCTGAGATCCGTCATCTTGTGGGTACGCACGACAACCTTGTCGGAGCTGAAGGTGCCGGCCGTGGTGCGTAGAATGAGGTGGAAGGTGTAGTCGGTGTCGACGGCGAGGCCGCTGATCTTCGTGCTGTGCATCTGCAGCGGGCGGGGGATGCTGCCGGCCTTTTGGCCGTTGCGGTACAGCGAAAGGGAGATGAGGTCGGCGGTCGCGAGCTCGATCGGGTCCCACTCAAGGACGACGGAGGTCTGCGTCGCGTTGCGGCAGCGGAGGATAGGAGTCGTGGGCGCGCTGGCCCCGAAGGCGGAGTAGATGCGGTCCTGGAGCTCGCGGAAGGCATGTTCGGTCTTGGCCTCTGAACCCAGGTTGCGGGCGACGGTGATGTCGACGATACTACCGGAGGAGATGTTGGGAGGGAGAAGGATGGAAGGGAATTCGATCTAGAGGGCTCCGTCAGTATGGAGCGTCAAGGAGAGGTGAAGATGAGCTTGGTGGATAAGCACGGGGGCTAGGGAGATGCCAAGTCTGTAGACGTCACGGCTCTCCTAGGGAGCTCCCCTATCCATCGCCAGTATCGGATGTGCATCGCGGACAACGTACTAGGCGCTTGTCCGGCGTCAGGAGTACCGTGACGCCGGCGTCGACCTTGCCGACGGTCAAGGAAACGAGCATATTGGGCTGTGCTTGCTGGCGTTAAATGTGTCTATCGTTTTCGAGACGTAGTACGTAATGTAGGTGTTTCCGTGCCGAGCCAAGCGGTCAATCGCCTAGAGAGATCGGTCGTCAATGTCGTAGTCCGTCCTTCAGGGGTCGTAGGTCCGGTTCGTAATGGCTTCGAATGGCTGAAGGGTGACAATGAGATTCGCGTCGCAGTGGTGTGTGTATGCGAGACACATATGCTGGTTTAGAGGTGCAACGCCAGTCACAGTTAATTACCAGGTTGGCAGCTCCAAACGTCTCGGCTGGCAGCTCTGCGCTAGCGATGTGATTCGTCGCCAGCAACTCTAGAATTGGCTCAAGACCTAAGGAGGCACTCAGTGAGGGTGGTTGGGTACGTACCTTGCCCCGTGCCTATACCTTTCAATCCTTCTAGGCGTATAACTCGTTGACTCCGATGGCAGATTTCTTCGACAGCCGTTGCAAACGGCTTTCTGAAGTGCTTGTAATGATAACAATCACTAGTATGTATGTGAAGACTCCTCATGCTCTTTAAATAATGCGCCGCTCAGAGGACTGCCAATTAGGACACGATCACGTTGACTTTGACATCTTCTGAGAAGTCGGAACGCAGCTTTCCAATGGTGTATTGACTTTTCTATATATTGGGGTATCATTTGGATGTTATTCCAAAGGCTCGAAGCCTTTGATGGCAGAAAGGCCTTCTACACGCCGGGAGCATGGCTGGCATCCCCCTTCGGAACAATTGCTTGTCTCTAAAGCAATCCCGAGCCCGGCAGATGTCTCTTTGTCTCTTTGATGCGTTTTCTCTCTATGCGCCGCTTGCGCTCCATGCGTTCCCCTTCAATGGGGGCGGTCTCCAGCAAGCTCTGCTCCTTTTCAAGTGTGTTTTGGTCATTTTCTTCCTCTCTCATCTGCGTCGTTTCGCGCATACGGATGAAGGCATCTACGACAGCATCCATGGCAAGTCGGAGATCTTTTTTCGGCAGCCTCTTTACGACGTCCCTAGGGAACTTGGCGACGCAGGCAATTGTCCCTTGGAGATTGCCGCGGAGAGTGGTTCCTATCCCCGTCTCGCTCTCGGAGTCAATTATACGTCCCTGGGCGTCGTAGCCCCGATGCTTTAGGGCGGCGTGGAGCGCGAGCTTCATGCGGTACTTGGCCATGCTCACGACAGCAGGCGTGTCGACCGCAAAGATTCCGTAAAACCATATCCACAGGGGTTTGTTCTTCTTGTCCTCCTCGTAGTAGTGCCTCATCAGGACTGCCTTTGGGTGCTCGTGCTTGTGCTCCGTAAAGTAGAACGTGTCAAACGCCCTCATAATATGCCGCTTCGACATTCTGAACCGAGTTAGGGGCACGGCTTTCAGGTCGTTGGGGAGACGTATCACTCGGTAGTTGTTGGCGGGTGTTCCGATGTCAAGCTCGTCGAAGATCTTCATCCAATGCTGCGATAGTTGCGCCTTCTCGAGGTCGTCCAGGCTTTTGGACTTGTTGAGTTCGGGCACGTCGGGTAGTTTGGCGCTCGGGGCGGCCGTTTGCTCTGCGGCTCTACGCTTTGAGCTAGAGTATCGAGCGAGAGGTGGCAGGAAACTGCTGCGCAGCGGCAGCTGCCGAAAGATGCGAGTCACATGTTGAAGTTGCGCCGGGATCATGGCGATGTTTCTGCCGGAGGTGGCTCGCGAGCAGTCAGACCTTGGCGGCAAAGGACTGACGACTGTGGGGGGACATCTAGCTTCTCATGGCAATAGAAAAGGTCAGAGTCATACAAATTTGCTCTGGGAGGCCGTATCGGTCAAGGAAAGGGACCGATGGAAGGCGAAAAGCCAAAATTGCGACTGCGACAAGCCTTGGTCGAAAAAGAAGCGATGCAGAGGAAGCTCTCCCGAAACGGCTTAGGTAATTGTGGTAGAGAGCCCAGGCCGCACCTTTGCGGGCCCCTTACTGCGAATCACATCTGTCCTACATGGTACACTACCGTGGATACTCATGTCCCTGTGGCTCATGATCACTTCACTGGGTGAGGCACACACCTTAGCGGATCATTTCTCCGTTAGTGACACGGCATGTCATAATAGTGCTACATACATGGTACAGTACCTATCCTGCTCCTGCCGCCGCCCACAGAAAACAGGTCCCCCACTTGACTCATACCCGCACCACTTTCTGCACAAAAAACCCAGCCTCATTCGCCCCCCTACCGAACTTAGCCCACAGGTGCCCAGCAAAACCGGACCCCTTGTTCCATCCATTCGAAGCAACAAGCACCCGACAGAGCCCGCAGAAGCCCAAAGACCATTTTGCGCTCGCGCACAATAAAGCCCCGTCAACATCACCACCCACTCTCGCTCTCTTCTCCCCTTCCCACTCCGACAACTTCGTCTTCCACCACCCCCCCTCCTCCATCAAATACCGCTGAGAACCGGAATTCTCACGAGTAGCCAAAATGCCCAAGAACAAGGGAAAGGTCAGTCCAGAAACTTTCCCCCAAAGATACTTCTCAGAATATTTCCCCTCCAAGCGGGTGCTGCGAAAACCACCCCTCCCCCTGCTTAGTCGGGGGACCCGCAAGGAACCCCGCCCCCTCCTTGCTATTGCTTGGAAACACACGACGCACATCGATGATGAAGCCTTTGATGATGATGAAGTTTGGTTTTGATCAAGAGGTCTAACAACCACACAGGGAGGAAAGAACCGCAGACGTGGCAAGAACGAGTCCGACCACGAGAAGCGTGAGCTCACCTTCAAGGAAGATGGCCAAGGTTAGTCCCACCGGTTTCTCTGTTCACCGAAACATACAATCACAAGAGAAAAAAAAATATACGCGCGACATCCCACCGCCACTTCGTTTTCCCGTCTCCAAACACTAAGCTAACCTATCGTCTACCCCTCAAACAGAATACGCTCAGGTCGTAAAGATGCTCGGCAACGGCCGCCTCGAGGCCCAGTGCTTCGACGGCGTCAAGCGCCTCGCCAACATCCGCGGCAAGCTCCGCAAGAAGGTCTGGATCAACCAGGGCGACATTATCCTGCTGTCCCTGCGTGAGTACCAGGACGACAAGGGCGACGTCATCCTCAAGTACACCGCCGATGAGGCCCGCTCTCTCAAGGCCTACGGCGAGCTGCCCGAGTCCGCCAAGATCAACGAGACCGACACGTACGGCGCCGACGGCGACGGCGACTGCAACTTCGAGTTCGACGACGACCGCGATTCCGAGGAGTCCGAGGACGAGGCTGACGGTGCTGGCGGCAAGAAGGACGTTGACATTGACGACATTTAAAAACGTCGCCTCTTGTCTCTTGCCTTTTCCACTTGCTCGCGTGTGTGTCGAGAAAGCCCCGAAACCTTCCCATCTCTCATCAAATCGTCTTCTGCTGCAAGGCCGAGGGTGGGAACGCTGTCTTCTCTCTCAAATCCGGTGGCCGTCGTCATTGTCGGCTACTGGATTCCGCGACAGTCAAGGTGTCAAGGGTGGTGCGTTGGACAGCCATGGTGGGAGAGACGTCATGGCTCGTCGGATCATCTGGACGATAGATTTACTTTTTCCCTTGCGCTTGATTAATTGAATCTGCTTGGCATGGGGTCCTCGGATCACCTTCCAAAAGTTATTCAACACTCCTTCATTGGGAAATGACATGTTGCAATGCACACAGTGATTGTACTTGGTATCCGCTGTTGAATATTTTTGATTCCAATCTCTTACATCCCAACTGGCTGGGTTCCAAAGCTCGTCTGGCCCTTCCTTATGGAAATCGCCAGTCATCAGATGCTACCATCCGGCCAGTGTCCCCATTATCCCGAGACTTTTGAACCGGAGGGCACCTCATCCACGCCAACACCAATCTACCTAGTCCCTAAGTATGCAGCTGTCGCTTGGGATAGCCAACTGAATGTTTAATATTGTTTTGTATCATTCGACGACGTTTAGAAATTGTGCCAGTCCTTGAAACTCGTTTTGCCCAATTTCATAACCCATGGGTCACTGGGCGCTCACCAGTCGTCGTTGTCACTTCTTTCGTCGTCTGTCGAGACATTAGCTTCGCACACAAACAGATCTGACTTTGACTTTGACTTACCACTTCTGCTGACCTTCTCCTTTCTCTTCTGCAACGCAGCGGCCAGCGCGTTGGCCATGTCACCACCGCCACCCGGCGCGACGCCAGACGGAGGCAGTCCACTACCATGCGGCCCCGTGTCGCTGCTGCCACCAACCGCCGCACCGCTTCTGTCGCGGATCTGGGTTCTGTCAACCTTCTTTAAGGCTCTGATACCACCAGCCTTCTGAATATCGCCTAGAACAGCCGAGCGCGAAGAATCTGGAGCAGGCACTGGGACACCAGATGAGTAGCCAGAGTCTCGGTTGGGCATGGGAGGAGGCGGAGGGGGTCCACCCAGAGCACCTGGGGGTGGAGGAGGCGGCGGGGGAGGAGCTCCCGCTCCTGGAGGCGGTGGAGGCGGAGCAGGGGGAGCGTTCGATGATGGGGGCAAAGGAGGTGCTGGAGGAGCGTTCGATGATGGCAACGGCGGTGGCGGAGGCGCATTTGATGTCGGCAAAGGCGGCGGGGAGGTAGGTAGAGGAGGCGGCGGAGGGGCGCTCGATGATGGAAACGGAGGGGGAGGCGGAGGGTTGCCGGCTGCGGGAGGCGGCGGCACAGGCCGTGAAGATGGGGGCGGCAACGGAGGCGCCTCCGATGCTGGAGCTTTGGGAGGAAGTGGCGGGCCAGCATCTGCACGAGGAGGAGGCGGCGGCGGAACAGGCCCCCGGCTCGGGGTTGGCGGGGGTTGGCGAGAACCGGAGAAGGCGGGCGGTACTCCAAACCTGTGACCGGCAGGCCTCTCCTCTTCTTGCATAGGCGTCTTCGGCGGCCGCGGTGGGGGAGGCGGGCCAGGGTTTGCGGGCCCGCGAATAGAGTTGACTGATCCTCCTAGAGCATGGGCAAGCTTGCCAGCATCTGGTAACGGCGGCGGCACAGCGAATCGATTCTTCGGGGGCTCTGGCGCAGCAGGCTCGCTGGGGGGTGTCGGTTCTCTGTTAACAGCGGGCGGCTCTGTTTTACCAGATCTCCTCGCGGGTGGAGGAGCAGGAGCAGCGCCACGTCTGGGGGCAGGCGGAGGGGGCGGTACCCGTGAACTGTCCGAATGCCCTCCCCCTGGAGGCGGCGGGGGGGGAGGGGCGCGCGCGTTTCGAGGTTCGATGCCGTTTGAATGGGGTGCTGGTGGAGGGGGAGGGGGAGGGGGAGCATGACTTCGGGCACCAGCCATTAGCTTCTCCTGCTCTTCCTTCAAGAATTCAACAATAAACTCTTGGTTCTCCTTGATGAAGTCGTCCGTCAAACCCTTGTCTCGCAGGTCTTCTCCAAAGTTCTCCCGCCAATGAGGATCAAAAGCATCAAGAACAGCGAATTCCGAGGAGTTGTGGCCATTAACGTTCCCCAGAGATGGCATTCGGCCGTGGGGCAAGTTCGATCGCGGAGAGTCTGGAGGGGTAGGTGCCGATGCGTGCCGGCTGCCGAAGAGACCTCCAAGCAAGCCGTGTTTGTGTCCTGAATGCTGGGCAGCTCCTCCAAACGGAGTCGATCTTGTGGCTCTACTTGCGTTTTTTTCTCTGTCGTCCATCTTCTTCTTGAATTGCTTCGCTTCCTTCTCGTCGACAAAGGATAGGCCAGCGAGGCACTCTTCGATTTCGAAACTGTGGAAATAAGTGCGGTCTTGGTTGTAGCTCCACGTCTCGAATATCTCCTGGTCCCAGATGACACCGCGGTTTCCAGACTGGATAGATGTCAGCCGAGAATATGCTAGTTCAGGAAGCGCAACTTACCGAGATATCCACCATCTTTAGCCAGTATGTGTTGCCCACCAGGTCATTTGACAGGACGATGGCGCCCTGAATCCCAGTGTTGGTCCATTTTCCGGGGTTCGGGTACGCAACGTATAGCCTGGCGACAGCTACGGCCTGGATCTTGTTCGTTTGCTTGGGGACGAAGCGCTTGACGGTCTCCTTATCGTCGTCGCTCAATACCGACGGCATGATGGCGGAGGGGAGGGGTCAGAGGAGGGGAGGAGAGTCGGAGCGGTCGGGAGGGCGAGGTGTCGTGGTTCGTGTGTAGTCGAATCAAGGTGGAATTGGGAATTGGGATGAGGTGGAGTTAATGGGTAGGCTCGTGTGCTTGCAGGTGCCGCGGCAGCGAAGGCAACAGCCACCGTAGTCGCAGCGGTTTGCGTCGTACGTACGCGTGTGTGGGCAATGGCAAATGGCGCTTGGTCCGTAGGTGGTGACTAGTCTGGGCAAACAAGACACCTCCTCTTTTGGGATGGCGGTTCGTAGGTTGGTCGCTTTCAGCAACGAAGTGGACAAGGTCCCTGGGACAAGTGGATGGAAGGCGATCGGTTGGATGTGTTGAGGAAGCAAGGTACAGTACAGCGAGCGTCCGTACTATGCAGTCAGTAACAGTATGTGAGGCAGCCACTCTGCGTCCAAAAAAAGCAAAGCTGCGCAGGAGAGCGATAAGCTTGTGGTCAAAGATGCCAGAGCTTCCGGGTCCGGGGGCGTTTCAAGAAATGTGGACTCGCATCACTCAATGGGGGGACCTAGGAATATCGTAAAAAGGCTCCCGGGAAGGCTGAGTAAAACGGAAGGTTATGCTGCACGAGGGTGAGGTCCGGGTGGTAGTGGTGGTGGTGGTGGTGGTTGCGGTGTGTTTTGTGCAAATGCGAATGGGATAGTGTTGCTCGGGACCTGATTGAGCGGGAGAAGGAATGGCACACGACTGATGGACTCACTCAGGTGTCCAACCCAAGGCGCCTTGCGCAGCCCACCCCAGTGCTACGTACACCCAGCGGAGGTTGGTGAGTGGACGGGGCTCGTAACCGGCCTTGGGCCACTGCAGGTGGCTGAGTCGTTCGTTTCAGTGGGCAGCCGGCTACCATGTTTCCCTCTCTCGGGCGCAGCTCGGGCGTCTGCTCAGGCCCGGGCCTCTCCACTGTTCCCCTTCCGCGGACTGACTGCCCATTCGTACCAGCCACAGAATGCCGAGTTTGCACCGCCACGTGGAATGAGGAGGAAGTCTGTCGTCATGGGTGGGACGCGCAACTGCCAACTGCAGCGTGCTGAGGTAGCATCCCATGGTTGCTCCCCCTCAAAAAGCCAAGCTGCATGGGTAGAGATGGGAGTACAGATAGATGCATGTCAACTATCCAGTTTGGTAATAGCTTCTGAGCATCATTTGTTACTATGATTGATCATTCAACACGACGCTTCAACACTGCAGTCATTGTTTCAACTCCATCAGAAAATGCGCGGTTTTTGTTTGCCCGGGGAACCCAGGTTGTGTAAAGAGTCTCAGATTGTAAGGGAATCGATTCATGAATTCATTGGCAGTATTACGACGCTATCGCCGACCAATTCCGAAGTCTTCAGTGCCTGATGTGTTCCCCTTTCCATTTCCATGTGCTACAAGTCGTGACTGGTCATACATCGTCAAGCATCCTGAAGATGCAGCCTCGTAGGCAAGTCGTCATTTATTTGTTCAAAGCCTCCGCCTTGGCACGGCGCTCCTCCTTGGTGCCCTCCTCCTGGGCGTTAAAGTCCTTAGGGATGGCAGGACCGGGGTGCGCCTGGTGAGCGGCGAACTTGGGGTCGGATGCACCACCCTCCTTGATGGGCTGGGTGCTGAACTGCTTCTCCTTGTCGGAGTTCTGATCGTACGTCAGCCTGAAATTCTTCGATGAACTGGTTCATTCTCTACATACGTTGCCCTGGGTGATGTTGTTGACGAGTTCCTTCACTTTGTCGGCCATTGTGAATAGGTGATTTTGTTTGTTTGGGTAAGTGGTTTTGTGTGTATTGGGTTTTGATTTGATTCAAGCGTGTTGTCTAAGCTAGGGAAAAGAGACGGAACAGGGCAGGACAATGGGCTGTTTATAAACTATCTTTGTGAGTGGCTTACATGTGAGTTGAGACGTCGCGTGCGGTACGTGGAGGATTGCGACGGCTGATGACGTCGTTCCCCCAAAGGGGGGGAGGAAGTAGTGACAAACCCGAGCAACACATCCCCGCTAACCTGGAAGGCCTCCTGAGAAAGAAAGACAACGCCCTTGCCCTTCTATTGGTTGCCTGCCTCGGCGGCCCATGGCTGGACTCCCAAGCAGCCATTACACGGGATGGGAAGATGCTGGCCAGATTCCTGTGCGTCACCGGCGACTTACGTGCATACTATGTATCACGAGGCCGCTAACATGTTGCAGGTTGGGCCAGAAACCTGACAGAGGACGGCGTATTGCAGTGACAGCACGCCAGTCTCCATAGCCCCCACGAATGCATCTACCAGTTATCGTTGCAGGGTCACGTCGATTTGATTGACGTTGGCGCTAATCATGATCGCTCTTGAAGATCCCCGACATGGGGACGGGTCCGGGCCTGCAAGGTAGCATTGTATCTGCGACCGTTTGGCCAGTGAGGACTGGCTGCCGCCGTATTTACTGGGTGGTGATGGCTGTACCAAGATGTATATGAGAGAAGTCATTAAAGTTGGATGATGTGAGAACGCGAAACATGCCTATTGCTTATATGGAAAGTATCCAAGCGAGAGCTTTGAGAGTGAATAACCTAACAGTCGACCCAGGGTGGCTGTTAGTTCATGCATTGCTTCCCCTCCCCAGGCCGTAGCCTCTCGCTCACCAGCAATCCGATAATACCAGTCTACAGCTATTCGCATTAGAGAACACAAGCTTCACTGCACGTTATGTCTCATTCAACGAGACAACTTTTTGAAGCTTGACTCTCTCAAACCTCCCAGTCTTGAGACGGCGATGTACAGTGCTAGGCGGGGAAGCCCGACGGACAAACAGTATATTGAGCTACACAGTTCTCACACTGTAGTACCCTGGGACAGTAAGGTACTGTGGTGAGGTCCCCATCCAGTTATGATGTCTTGCACTACCTTATGTAACCACCAACCTCACTTGGTACCGCTGCGTCTTCTCACACCCAGGCACGATGCACCATGTCAACCAACGCTCAGCCGGTCAAGCTCTCACTACCGCTTGTAAGTACCAAACCCCATGGCGATTACATCTCGTCAAGCTGACCCCGCCCAGGAATACCAGCAGAACCTCTTCCAAGAGCTAAGGATTGAAGATGAGCTGGTCGTCCTCGCCCGGGGCTTGGGGCTGATGCGCCTGGTCACGAATCTGCTTCATTCCTATGATGCAGCAGGCAACAACCTGATCATCCTCGTTGGGGCCGATGACCGAGAGAACAACTGGATTGGAGAGGCATTGGCCGAGCATGCCGCTATCAGCATGTCCCCCAACGCCAGGGGCCTCACAGTTGTCAACACCGACTTCACCAGCGTTGGCGCTAGAGAAAAGATGTATACCCGCGGTGGAATCTTCAGCATCACGTCGCGGATCTTGGTTGTCGATCTCCTGACCAACCTCCTCGATGCTGAGAAAGTGACAGGCCTTATTGTTCTGCACGCCGATCGCGTCGTGGCGACGTCTCTAGAAGCCTTCATTCTGCGAATTTACCGGCAGAAGAACAAAGCTGGCTTTTTAAAGGCATTCGCCGACAACCCCGATCCATTCTCAACCGGGTTTTCCCCGCTAACCACCATGATGAGAAACCTTTTTCTGAGAAAAGCTTCGTTGTGGCCACGTTTTCACGTGACGGTTGCCCAGTCGCTGGAAGGGAAAAAGACTGCCGAAGTCATCGAGTTGAACATCTCAATGAGCGAGGCTATGAGGGACATTCAAAACGCTATCCTGGAGTGTGTGGAGGTCAGCATCCACGAGTTGAAGAAGGGTAATACCGGCCTAGAGATGGAGGATTGGAATCTTGACAGCGCCTTGCACAAGAACTTTGACGTGATCATCAGAAGGCAGCTCGACCCTAACTGGCACCGAGTCAGCTGGAAGACCCGGCAAATCGTCAACGACTTGAGCGTCCTTCGAGGCATGCTTCAGTCAGTTCTCACCCTTGATGCCGTCTCGTTCTTGCAACATCTGGACACCATTCACGCTGCACATTCCCCGCCTCCTGGCTCAACAAGGCAGAACCAGTCCCCCTGGCTGTTTCTTGACGCGGCCCAAACGATCTTCGAGACAGCACGGCGACGAGTCTACTCTGCCAGCTCAAAGGCTGCCACAGCGGACGCGAACATCGATTCGCTCCGGCCTGTTCTCGAGGAACAACCGAAATGGGCGTGGTTGGCAGACGTCTTGACGGAAATCGACAACAGCATGCATTTCGATCCTCCGGTCCGCGATGACTCCAACGGTACTATACTCATCATGTGCGGCGATACCAACACTTGCCGGCAACTTCGCGACTACCTGCAAACGATGCACTTCAAACCAAAAGTCGACAAGGACCCAACCAAGGAAGATGAGGAAGACGAAGACCAGCCATCCGCCGCCTTCATGATGCGACGGAAATTACGCAATTATCTGAGGTGGAAGAGAGAATTTGCTCAAGTGAATGCGACGCTCTTCTCCGAGAACCAGAAAGCTTTGAACGGTGCTACTGATCGATCAGGCCAGCGGCTTCGGGGCAAGGCGCCGTCAAACAAGCGGAGACGGATGAGAGGCGGCGGTGCTGCGGGAACGTCTCTTGGCCGAGCCGACAATGGCAGCATTCTTCAATTTTTCGAGCGACCGGCAGAGGTTGAAGACCTTATGGCTGAGGTGCAAATCACGGAGGAGGAAGCAGAGCAGAAGCCGGAAATCGTTACCGACCCCCTAGAGAACATGGAGGACTACTATCAGCTGTACGAGATGCAAGACTTGGTCGTCATACACGCGTACGATGGAGACCAGGACGAGCACGTCCTGGAAGAGGTCAAGCCGCGGTACATCATCATGTACGAGCCCGATGCTGCCTTCATCCGTCGAGTCGAGGTCTATCGGTCATCCCACAACGACAGAAATGTCCGCGTGTACTTCATGTACTACGGCGAGTCGGTAGAGGAACAACGCTACCTATCAAGCGTGCGACGCGAGAAGGACGCGTTTACGAAGCTCATCAAGGAGCGGGCGTCCATGTCGTTGGTCATGACGGTAGATCCGCATGGCGCCGAGGACCCGCAGGATGCCTTTCTGCGAACAGTCAACACGCGAATCGCTGGTGGTGGACGTCTCGCCGCGACAGCGCAACCGCCTCGTGTGGTCGTCGACGTACGAGAGTTCCGCTCGTCGTTGCCGTCACTCCTGCACGGCCGGTCCATGATCATCGTTCCCTGCATGCTGACAGTAGGAGACTACGTCTTGTCGCCCAACATCTGCGTCGAGCGCAAGTCCATCAGCGATTTGATCTCATCATTCAAGGACGGACGCCTGTACGCCCAGTGCGAGACCATGTTCCAGCACTACAAGAGCCCCATGCTCCTCATCGAGTTCGACCAGAACAAATCCTTCACACTGGAGCCCTTCGCCGACCTCTCTGGCAGCTTCAATAGCATCGCGCCGACCAACGTGTCGTCCGACCTGCAATCCAAGCTCGTCCTGCTCACGCTGGCATTCCCGAAGCTGCGTATCATCTGGTCATCCTCGCCGTACCAAACGGCCGAGATCTTCGAGTCGCTCAAGACGCAGGAGGACGAGCCGGATCCGATCGCCGCGGTCCGCGCCGGGTTGGACAAGGACATGAAGGCTGAAGACCAGGCATTCAACCTGGAGCCGCAGGAGATGCTTGGCGCCGTGCCAGGCGTCAACCCCAAGAACATCATGCGGCTGGTCTTGGCGACAGAAAATCTGCGGGAGGTTGCCAACTTGAGCGAGCAGGAGTTAGAGCCAATGGTTGGTAAGGAGGCTGGGCGGCAGATTTATGGTTTCTTTAATCGGAACGTGTTGGAAGATTAGATGTATTACATAGGTAATGATATCCCATTGCAACATAGGTACACGTGCAGCGGCGATGTGCCCAGCGCCAGGCGAGAAATAAGATCATCTTCGCCAGACTCGCATGATTGAGTGTAAATACCATTGCAGGGACTGATTAATCAGCTAGAAAGAGTTCTGATTGATTTACGGCTATTGTGCAAGCACCAGCTTAGCAAATACTGATAACTGGTGCCATTGGAAACTTCACTCTCGCTCGATGGCTTAACATCATCACATCGTCAAAGGAACCAAGAGTTTGTGGATATCAGGTTATGCCATTGAAGCTAAGCTAGCTGGTATCTGGGTATCGTAAAAAGAAAAACTCGGGTATGCTGTCAAAGCTGATGCGCGCGCGCTCGATTAAAGCAGCCGCAGGTATTCATGCCTCCTCCCCATGATTACCTCCTTCCTCCCTTCTCGCGAAGAATTCGATAATCGTAAATGCTCATGTCGTTACTTGTGAAAGTCTCCCTCATCCGACTCGTGGTATAGTAACAACGCTTGATGCGGTGCTACGTGTGTAGGATGTTTGCAGACGAGGGACGGCTTAGACTCGACTTCTAGTCGTGGTCGTGTGGCGTGTCTTACGGCCACCGCCACCGCGGCGTCCGCAGTAGCCGCAGGTGAGGAAGCTGATGATGATGTTGCAGAAGGAGACGATGCCGCCGATGATGGCGGTGAGGATACCTCCAATACCGGAGACGATCGAGGTCAAGCAGTTACCGATGGTACGGAAAACGGATTGAATCTGAAGATTTGATTGTTAGTACTTTTGATTTAGATGTCCTTTTGAGTAGGATATGGAACTTACGCAAGAGACAACGGCGCCCATTTTTGCGGTTATGTGTTGTGTTGTGTTGTGGTGGTTTGGTAGTGATGATGGAAGTGTTCGCCTCGAAAGCTGTGGCTATTTGATTGCTTATTGAATTGTGCTGTGGTAAATTAATACTTCTCCTATCGATGGGGAAGAGAAAAAGGGTCTTATATACATTGTTCGAACCATATTCAACCAGATGCAGCCGGAATACGCACCCCCTTGTGACCTACCACACGGCCTTACATCACACGTGTGGTGACACAATGCTCCTCCAGCCCACACTGACGAATTTTCTTCTTTGCAGGCTACCCGTTATCACACATTAGATTACTCGTCGGGTTGCTAGATTTGGACCGGATGTGAGGTGTGAGGGAAGCGATCTGCTACCGGTACACCGCATAGTGACGTCAAGCTAGGTAGTAATCTCCCGTGATACATCACCTTTTTTTTTTCATCCCTCCCTCAATTCCTTTCGTATCCATTGCCGCCGCAGTACACTAACGCCAAGGATACATGCCGAACATTGACTGATGAAGACCAAATAAATTGAGATGAGGGCATGACTTGGCCGCAGCCCACGCGCATTGTTAGGCGGAGCCAAAGGGGCCTCCCAGTCATCACCAGACGTTATCTGAGAGGCTCGATGGAGCCAGAGCGAACGCACCGTCCCAAAGGGGCAGTGGAATAAGGTGTGAAGGGGGCCGTTTTGGGTGGCCCCCTTACGTTAGAGTGCAGGTGATTTTCTCTGTATCGACGTTGTGATTGCATGTTTCTGGCGTTTGCGTTGGATTAGAGCCTAAGAGCTCCATTGATGATTGGAGACGAGCATGTCATGGTGCTTTTCTGAGCCTGGACGGTACGTACCGCACCAGCCCCTCCCCAGCCAAGCTTGGAACCAAGAAAAACGTGGTGGCTGCTGTGGTTTGCGCGTGGCTGTCTTAATTTTTCCTCCTCCCTCCCCTCCCAAACAGGTTCTCGCGAAGAGATGACATAGCTCGTCTGGGCAAGAGGTACTGGAAAGCATGACGTATGCGGCTCGGAGAATTTCTTAGCAATCTCAAGCTTGGGCATCGCCGAGCCGGGGTTTGGTGGTGAGGTGTGGAGACGGCACTGCGTCACGCAAGCGAGGGACGGCCACTGAAAGGCGGCGAACGGGTGACGGCAGCACGGATGTCGAGCCCCGGGGCGGGTATTGCTGCTGGGTGTGACCCTCTTTGAAGGACTTCCACTCCGACTATCCCTGGTCGCTTGCTTGGCTTTGAGGCCCCTTTCGGGAGGTTTCACGAAGTGTCTGGAATGGCCCTTCTCATCTGGTTTGTCTGGGCGAGGGCGTAATGGCGGAGAAGTGGTGTGTCCTCGACGCCACAGATCGTATCGCGAATGCAGTCTCTCGTGCCTTGTCTTGAAGTTCGCAACGTGCACGAGTGACAATACAATTCGAACGATCATCCTGACGCACATTCGGCCTGTTCCGGATCTTTGGAGGCTTGGAAGGCAGAGCGAGACACTGGGCCTCGGGGCAGTCTCGCGAGAAACGATATTATTACTGGCTCGTTGTGTTCGTGCCTGAGCAAGCTGGGTTCGGGAAGCCATGAGGCCCTGGTCCAGGTTGTACACATCCTCTTCGCGTGTTGTCGATTTCGGGGCCAGGCTCCCAATGAATGGAGTTGAACCATTGGTATCCGGTCCGTTGTCTTTCGGGAAGCTTTGAGCCACCTTGATCGGCTATAGACCCTTGCGAGACTTCAGAAGGAGCCTAATCCTCACTTCCAGGAGCAGCGAGCGTGGGCCAGCTAGAGGATCCATGAGAAGCGTTTGTTGGTAAGCTGAGGAAGCTTGATACCCCATGTATTCAAGTTACCGGGATCGTAAGATCAAATAGCCAGGCCAGCGCTAACGGTCACCAGATGTGAGTTGTTGTCGGCCGAGGCCTCTCACTCACAGGCAACATGTCGATGGCCTCACAAACTCTCCAAGAACCCAATGTAGCTAGGGCTGCAGGCGGACGTCCACCGCGGTTGGCGGAATGAAATAGAGTTGCCTGCAATATTGTGCGTTCGGAGATGTGTCGCTGCAAAGGTGGGAAAGCAAACCGGCGGAACACACAGCCCGGCAGTCAGTGATGTTATTGTGATTTATGATCGAGTGGCATGTTTGAAGCCATCCCGTGGATCTTTGTTCAACGCCAGATGCGAGATTGCGACTCAATAAATGGGGGTTTAGCGGCAGCAGTGCTCTAACATGGTTCTGGCTATCATCGCCGGATTGGGATTAAAGCTCGATAGCCAAAGAGCCTCGTAGAGGTGACACCACTGCCATGGCGAGGTTGATGATGAGAGAGTTCGGCTTTGCAGAGCACGTTTGGCATTTTGCACTGCGATTAGCATCCCAGGCTCCCTTGTAACGGTAGGGATCCACTGTCTTGCCTTTGCTTCGGCGCCTTGCTTCAGTGGCAAGAGGTGCTTACGTACGCAAGCATGTGTTGCCGGACCTCATGCGCTACAAGTGAGGTATCTAAATGGCTGTCTATTTCTTATGAACGAGGATTTCACCTGATGAACAGATTCATAAAATCAAAATGTTGTTAGTATGATTAATATACGTCTTTCCGGAGCAATTACAGCAGAATCAGTTAGACACTGGCTGTTCAGCATTCGAATGGTAGCAGCGACACTCACGATGCTCGAGCGGATGTTCTGGTGTGGCGCAGGCTAATACAGATAGATCCGAGGATCCGTTGTGGCTCATTTCACTTGGCTCAAGGCACATGCCGTCGCTGCAGCGGTGTCGCCTGTCGGACGCCCAGGATGCCCAGGGCCATTGGTGCTGGCTGGCTAAGCACGCTTCCAGCATAACGGATGAGTTACGTAGTCGCCTGACCTCGCTCAAACTCTCTTCTTTCATCATCCGAAAAACAAGGGTTAAACGAGAAACTGGCACGAACATTTTTTTCCAAAAGCCATATATTCGTTTATACTCCCAGCCATTGTCGTCGAGCAACTGTCCACGACCCTTTTGCGATACTGTACATAATCCGACCCCCTTGTTTGCTGAGTAATTCCGCCACTGGACGGACTGGAACCCCCGAATTCCTGACCACCCCCTGTTCCATCCAAGCTCGCCTCTACCACTCTCTTGATCTCTCCCATCGACGCCCGCGGACGGACGAAGGGGGACGAACGTGCGGACGACGCACCGGTCAGATAGTCGGCGATTGGTCGTTGATCTCGCATGCAACCCCGAGCCTTTCCTTCAACGGACACCCAGAGAAAACTCAGGATCACGGTGCCGGCATCCCGTTATCTATTAGCCGTATAGACAGTTTCCGCACCACCCCTCTTCAGCCCCTCGTTACCGTATTATCCGACCATTCCGAAACCGAGCGCCGCTGGCTGACAGACAGGGCAAACCAGTCTCTCGTTCGTGTCGTTTAGGCCATTCTGCGTGCCTGCACTTGCGCCTGCATCTGCCTTGCCTATCCTTGCACGTAACCCGTCCGCCCTCATTCCTCCGACGCCGCGCGCGCGGTCCTCACCCCAGGAGGCAGGTATTATTAACCTGTTCCCCGACGAGACCCCGACCAGCCATGCCTTCCATGAAACATGGCTTCCTTGAGTAAGCCTCCATCATCTGTTCCCCTCTCTGTCTTATCCTCACTCATCGTTCGTCCCTTGTCGTCGAGGTGAATTTTCCTGTCGTCGTGCCCTTCTTGTATCCCTCTTGTTCACCTGAATCAACATTCCCTTCCACCACGTGGGCTGCTGTCTGCTCACCTTGACCTTGCATGAGGCTGAGGTCTCACTGAGACAACCCCGGAGAGAGCTTGGTGGCTTTTCCCTTCGCAGCCTTACTCACCTGTTGCTCTCAAACCAACATTCTCATCATTCCCATGTCTCTCCCTTGAACCAAGTCTTGTTGGGGCCCGGGGCTTTCAAGTCCCCGCCTCGTTTTGTTCTCGCTCTTGCTCTCGTCACTCTTCTTTGTCATCAGCGATTTATTCGCCAACATGAGTCCCCTCAAGAGCATGGCTAACGGGGGCTTCCTTCCCACAGTCAATAAAAACAGAAAGGTAAACCCTCACATCTAACGTCCTGTCGCGGGAAACTCAATCCGAAAGAAAGAAAAAGTGGAGGGGTTCGCGGCGTTGAGAAGGCGACCACTCAGCGAACGGTTTACGGCTGACATTTTGTGACGCAGCCAAAGTTTGAGCTACACCTAAAGGTGTGAACCCCTCCCGCCAGAGTTACCTCTCTGTAGAGGCTCGAGTTTGTTTTGCTGACCCATCTCCAGATCTACGACTTGAACAACGTCCCGCTGGTTTCCGGAACATCAATAGTAAAATGGCATCTCTCGCACTCCATCCACGCCGAGCACCGGGGGCGGACGCCGAAATGCCCCATCTCCAACCACAAGGTTGAGTACAACTACTCGAAGATGGTCAGCCACATCCGGATCAGCATCGACAAGAACAACAACCTGACCGAGTGCCCCATTGAATTCGAGGTTCTGCAAGAGTTCCCAGGCAGCGGCCGCGAGGAGAAGATCTCCCTTGGCATCGTCAAGCTTAACCTTAGCGAGTACGTCGAGGAGAGTGATGGTCTCGCTCGTGAGAGCGTAAGCTTTGACCGCGGCCACTCGCGCAAGCGTAGCAGTGGCACCAGCCAGAGTCCCCTGTCGCAGAGGGCTCCCATCACGGATGAGCCGGACGTTATGGATGGTATCGTAAGGCGCTACCTCATGCAGGAGAGCAAGATCAACAGCACTTTGAAGATTGGCATCCTGATGCTCCAGCTCGACGGCGACAAGAACTACTCTGCGCCCCCACTGAGGACTGCGCCTGTCTTTGGAGGGATTGCCGGCATCGTAGCAGGCGAATCGGTCGAACAGGATGACGCTGGACGTACGTTTGCCTTCCCTGGATTCTTGAATTTCTTCTGTTCCTATACTGATGACCTATCATAGAACTCCCGACCATGGCCAAGTCTCGTGACGCCTCTGAGGTGCAAGACATGTACCGTCGTGCTCTCGCAGCCTCCTGGTCCTGCCAGCCTGGCGAGCTCCCTGCTGACCAGTGCATCGAAGACATCTTCTCGGGTGGCGACGGCTGGCGGACAGGTCGCCAGGGACGTACCGGCAAAAAGACGGCGACCTTCGACCTCGACAACAGCGGCTCCCTCAGCTCTGATGAGGGCGGCATGGGCGGCACCCTCCGACCTTCAGATTTCCGTAAGATGGAGCGGAAACAGCAGCAATCACAACAACAGCAGCAGCAGCCGGACCCGCCTCAGCAGGACCACCTTCACCTTCACCGCCTTCACAATGGCCACCGCCACCACTCTCGCAACAACAGCGGCTCCAGCGACAGGAGCATACGAAGCATGACGACCGTCGTTACGGGCCGCGGCGATGGCGCCAGCAGTACCGCTGGAGCGAGCAATGTCGCCCGTCGGGGATCTAACAGCCGCCTGAGGGGTCGAGAGGGAGACGGTGGCGTCACTAGACGTAGCTACGGGCGCTCGAGGAGCCGTGACGGCAGCATTGTGAGTCTGGCGCCGACGATGGGGAGCAGCGACCGTGGACGCGAGGCGTCAAGACGAAACAGGGAGCTCGAGGAGTTTGACGTGCGGGACGATCTTGTCGCGTGGAGGCTACCGGGTGCTGTCACATAAGTAGGAGGGTGGATGGACATGGCAGGGACGAGGAGAGGTTTCCGTGACCTAGTTTTGGGCTACTTCTCAAGTTACAGCGAGGTGTTATGGGCAGGCGTACATTTGCATAAGCGATGCCCCCTTTATTTCCTTCATCAACAATGCATTCTCCATTTCTCCATGCACAGCCAGTGGAAACTTGTACTTTTTTTCTTCTTTTTCGTGTTGCTTGCTAATTGCAGCGGATTATGGATTCAGTCGCGCATTCATCGTGCCCGGGGTTCGACGAGACGTTTGGTATCAACATCCGGGAACCCCCGTATCCCAGAACGACTCGCGAGAAGTTCAATGGTCTATGACTTTCTTCAATGCTTTCTTTTCAAAGTCCTCAACTCTTGCTCTTGCTCTATATTCCAGTCATTCATTTCCATGTCTTTTGAGTCGTTTCCTTCCCCCTCCTAAGAAACCCATGTCTATACCAGAACGAGGGGGGAGGAAACACGGTCCTCCCCACCTCCTAGCCTTTTTCTACTTTTTTTTTACCACTCTTGCGCCTGGCCGGCCGTCGCTGACGCGCGCGCTTCTACAAGTCGTGAAAAAACAACTACCCCTCCGCGACAAGACCCGTTCAAGGAGCCTTGATGTTGCCGCGGACACCGCCCTTACCGCCAACCTCTCTCGCCGTTATCGTGACGCCCAGGTCGGCGGCAACGTTGATGGTGACCTCGACCTTGGCACCCTTGCTGACGCCGCGGACGGCGGCCTCGGCCAGGACAGGGCCGACCTTCCAGATCTTCTCGCGGGTCTCCTCCTCCTCCTCGTCGGAGTCGAAGTCGGAGTCGTCCTCGTCGCCGTTAGCCTCAGGCTTGGCCTTGGGCTCGGGCTTGGTGACCTTGATGTGGGCACCGCCCTCGACGATGCGGACGAGGACGTCGCCGCCCTCCTTGGGGCCGGCGATGTGGACGGTGCGGCGGGCGGGGACGGCCGTCTCGGCAGGGACGATGGGGACGAACTCGTCGTTGGCACCGACGACGCCGATGGCGTTGGCGATGTGCTTGACGACGGTGACGGCGGCGTGCGTGCTCTGGTCGATGTCCTCGGCCTCGTACTCCTGGATCAGCGAGGCCTGGAGGGCAGCACCACGGGCAAGGAGCTCCGAGGGGTTGATGGCGGAGGCCTGGGTAGCCGGGGCGATGATCTTGGTGGACTCGGGGAAGAGGTTGGCGAAGTTGGTGGCGACGCGCGGGGTGTGGGCGGTACCGCCGGCGAGGATGACCTCGTCGATGTCGAGGACGTCGAGCTCGGCCTTCTTGACGACACCCTCGACGAGGCGGTTGAAGCCGTCAAAGACCTTGCGGGCGACCATCTCGTAGCGTAACCGGTTGATGGTGGAGGTGAAGTCGAAGCCCTCCGCCAAGCTCTCAACGCTGAAGCTGGCGTTGGTGCCAAGGGACAGAGCCTTCTTGGTGGACTCGGACTCGGCCTTAAGCTTGGCCAGGGAGCGGGCGTTCTCGCGGGGGTCGGTGTTGTGCTTCTTGATGAACTCCTTGGCGAAGTGGTCCATGAGGACCTGGTCGAGGTGGCTGCCGGAGAACTCGTAGTCGTGGGCAGTGGCGAGGATGGTGTAAATGCCGCCGCGGGAGGCGACGACGGCGACGTCGGAGCGGGTGCCGCCCAGGTCGGCAACAACGACAATCTTGTCCTCGACCTTGGCCTCGGGGCGGGCATCGTAGGCGAGAACAGCGGCGACGGGGTCAGAGATGACCTGGAGCACCTCGAGGCCGGCGTCGTTGGCAGCCTTGACGAGGGCCTCCTTCTGCTTCTCGGAGAAGTTGGTGGGGACGGTGATGACGGCCGACGTGACCTTCTTGCCAAGGTAGTCGGTGGCGGAGCCGACGAGGCGGCGGATGTAGCGCGTAGCGGCCTCGGTGACGGAGACGTTGGTGGGCTCCTCGGCGCCCTCCTTGTCCTTCACGGCGAAGGAGACGGTGCCGTTGACAGCCTGGGGGTGGGCGGAGGCGTGGTTGTGGGTGGGGTCGATGGACTTGAAGCTATTTGTGGACGTGTCAGTCAGACGCAGTCAACGAGAGAAAGAGAGATAGGCAGAGGGGATAAACCGTACTCCTGGCCAAGGAAGTCCTTGAAGTATGCGATCGTGTTGCTGGGATTCCGGATGAGGAAGCTCTTGGCCTGGGCGCCGTAGTACTCGTCTCCATCAACGTAGGAGAGGATGGTGGGAATTTGACGGTCTGGCAGAAATCCCGTATTGTCAGCACTGCGTCCCACTTCGCTATCCAGCACAGCTCCCGCCAGCATAACTCACCTCCGTCCTCGTTGGCGATAACCTCGGCCTTCTCGTCCACGGTGTAGGCGATGGAGCTGTTGGAGTTGCCAAAGGTGATACCAATGACGGTGCGGTCGCCCGGCGCGGGCCGCGAGTCACCGTTCGCAGCCATGTCTAAAGGTCGCAAAGAGGATTTGAGGGTGTTGCGTCGGAAACTTTGCTCGAGGAAGGGCGAGAGGATTACGGGCCTTTTTGGTTGTGTTTGGGTTTCGCGGGTTCCTGTCGAGATCTCGGAGAGGAGTGTTTTCAATGGTGGTTAATGGTGGGGTTCAAAAGTGCCAAAATTTTGGGCAAGGGAAAAAAAATTCCCAGTCGCTCTACCGCCCAGTGGGACGCTCGCATTTGCCCACTCTTCCCCCACACACCCCGGGCCGTGTCCCAATCAAATCCAATTCGCTGGACGAGGTGGGTGCCCCGCCAAAGCTTTCAACTTCCTGCTGCAAGGCTGAATACAGACGGCGCAGAAGGCGAAAAAACGAGAAGAGATTCGGCTCTGACCCTGGCGATTCCAATTCAACATCACATCGTCCACCGACCAGAACTTTCGCGATGGCCTCTGCCGGCCCCTTTGTTCTCCCTGGCGACGAGATCGATGCCTCTTTGATCCCGTCACATCAGAAACTTCCCCTGCGACTCGGTCCCGGCCTTCGACATGTCCCTCCCAGGCAGATAGTGCCCACCATCGCCGGCAAGCTGGTCTCCGACCGCAAGAAGAACTCGATATGGGTTGAGCAGACAAGCGGACGGGTAAGCCCGGTCCCTCGAACAACCCAGCCTTACTGCGCGCGCTTTGCTGATAAATATCCAACAGTACATTCCCGCCGTTGGCGACCTCGTCGTCGGCACCGTCCAGCGCACCGCTGCCGAACTCTACTACGTCCTCCTGGCCGATTACTCAACGCCCGCGATCCTGCCCCAACTCTCCTTCGAGATGGCCACGAAAAAGACTCGCCCACAGCTGGCCTCCGGCGCCCTCGTCTACGCCCGCGTCACGCTCGCGAACAAGCACATGGACCCCGAGCTCGAGTGCGTCTATCAGTCCACCGGCAAGGCCGACGGCCTAGGCCCCCTTGTTGGCGGCATGCTCTTCAACATTTCCCTCGGCATGGCGCGCCGCTTGCTCATGCCCAAGACGATGGATCTCGTTGTATTGGAGGAGCTGGGTGCCACAGGTGCGGCCTTCGAGACGGCCGTAGGCCGAAATGGCAAGATCTGGGTCAACAGCGAGAGCGTCAAGGTCATCATTGCTGTAGGAAGAGCTATTCAGGAGACAGACGAACGAGGCCTCACAGTCGAGCAGCAGAAGAAGCTCGTAAGGTCCCTAATCAAGGATTTAAGTTAAAAAATTCCATGCACACGCCCCCCCGTGATGCTTTTTTGCCTTGTTCTACAATATGTATGTACCCTGGCCAGCCTTCGGGCCTCCAAACGCCCAACCGCTGCTTATGTGGCAGGTTCCGGCAAAAGAATGTCCCCGTCTTGCCTCCTGTTTCCCCATTCCTGGAGGCAAGCATGCTTTATATAACACAATTGCTCATGGGCAAAAAAAGAATGACACCCCTGAGTGTCGCTAATGCAGACGCAGATCGTCCTGATCGGAGACTGCTGCGCTGAACAACCGCTCTTCCGAAGCTTGCAAAGTGCCCTTGCTTCCTATTTGCAGACGAGCTGCGGTGGTGGCTTGCAAGTCACTCGTCTGTCATTTTCCAACAGACCACTTCCCAAGCGCCCTCCCGCCTGCTGGCTTGTTGGTTTCCCCCCTGGGTCGACAGATATTCCACGACGTTCTCTATTGACCTAGTAACGCGGCTCGCTCGCACATCTTCGCTGCCCGCTTCTCATGTTCCTCCCATTGCTTCATCAACAATGTCGGGTTCTGGATCACCCACTGGTGTGACTTGGTGTATGTTCACCATATGTCGCCTCCAGTTGTCCTTTCGAGGGAAGGACTTGCCCCCGGCTTTGGAATAGGGGCAGGTGCTAACAGTGCAATGGAACTTCTTCGTCTTCCTATGTTTATCGTTGATATGGCGATCCAAGTGCGTCTTGGTACCGAACCTCTTCCCGCAGTTTGGGTGAGCACACTCATGAGGCCGCTCATGGTACCGTTTGTGGTGACTGTGACTATTAGACTTGTAGACAACTAGGTTTTAGAGCTCAACCTACTTTAGTTTATGAACTTGATCAAAAAACCTGCCGCATTCATCACAGATGAACGTTCGAGGGGATGGTTGCAATCCAGGGTATGGTGATGTGCTATTACGGATATCCGAGCTGCCTTCTGATCGTGGAGATGGGCTGCTGTCAATTTGTGTGTTTGGCGTGCTTTGATAAGACGGTCCGGAACTAGCGTGACCAAGCATCGGCGGAGAGTGATCAGACGGGTCAGTCATGTCTCCGTCGAGGTAGTGTTGGGTATGTTGGTTGTCATCAGGCATGAGATGGATAGGGTCGACATGGTGGGCATCATCGCTCATTTGAACATCTTGGGTAACAGTGTTCACGTTGTTGCCGTTTGCGTCGTTCCATCTGTTCGCTTGAGCGTGCCCGTTCTCGTACAACTTTGGTACTTCATTCGAGTCCTGCTGGTGCTGCTGCTGGAAAGGATGATGCTGTTGTTGCTGCTCGAATCCTTGCTCTGGGGGAGACTGGGGCGTAGGAGCTTGCGACGGTTGCGGCGGCTCCGGAGCGGGCTTGGCAACGCTGGGGCTGGTCTAGGCGGTGAGTTGGCCATCTGATACAGCTGTTGGTTTGTATGCCAGTGATGCTCTGTTGGGTTTGACGGGGCCATGATGTCCATTGGGTTCACAGTTCCCGGCGCAGGTACAACGGGGGGCAAAATGGGAGGCGATTCGGTATGTTTGGCTGCTCTCTTTGCTTCCAGTTCTTGGGCGTGATCCGGCTCCCCTGGCTCCGACATGGGACTAACAGGAAGGTGGATGGGCGAGGCTAACTGCCGAGCTGATACGGCCCCGGGACCTGTCTCGCGGAATGACGGCCCAGAGAGTTCAGTGGGAGAATCTGAGAGCGTTTCGCTGAGAACAGGCTGCGAAGGTTGTGCTGGATGACCTTTCGTTCGGGTGGAGCCGGAATCCTTACTACCCATGCGGCGCATCATATTCGCCAGGTTGAGCTTCAGTGAGCTCCCCCGCGAGCTTGAGCGCCTAGGAGGCGGTGCTCGCGTTTGTGGTTCATCGGTTGGAGGAGGCGTGACCATTCCAAAGGCCTCGGAAGGAATGGTTGGGCTGTAGTAGGTTGCGCTATGCCCATGGTTGGCATCGGCGTAATCCATTCCATCAGCGCGAGTGGCAACCAGCTCAACACCAGCAGGCGTCCATGGGTAAGATCCCTCACTCTTCCATGTAGGGGCGCGTCCAAAAGAATACTCGGTAGTGCCGCGTCTCGTCGTCACACTCAGTTGGGTGCTATCGCCGGTGAAGCCGCGCTGGTGATGGTTGGCCAGCTCATCGCTTGGAGGGCGGTCGACGCCGTTGTGAGATGATAGGGTCATGTCCTTGGTAGACTGTCTTTCCGTACCCCGTAAGGTGTCTGTTTTATGACCCAACGAGTCTTTCGATGACAGACGGCTGTTGACTCCGGGTCCGGGCGCCGGCGCCTGTCCTAGAGGACCCATAGGTCCGGGGACGAAGGCCGTCTCCGTGTCCAGACGTTGGGGCGATCCATGCTTCCTAGCTCTTCTCCGACGGACGACGAACGGGTAGGCGCAAATAAGAGCGAGAAAGATGGCAACAATGACACCAACAACAACGCCAGCGATTCCTCCTCCAGATAACGCTGTCGAACGGGGCTCTAGGGTCGCGCGGCTGGAGAGAAACATGTCCCGTCTTGGCTTCAGTCGGACCATGTCAGTTGAGGGGGCTAAGAATGATAATGAGCTGTCGTCAGTGTCGCCAAGGTCTGATTGGGCAGTAATACCCTCAGACGAGGCTGCGGGAGGAGCCATTTTCGGCACCGCACGTCAGCACTCGCTGCACCACATGAATCGCCCAAGGGACCTGAGACACTCGGATGACGACGACGTTGGCGATGCGAAATGAGAAGACGAGCAATCGGCGCTGCCTCGTCTGCGAGCTGCGATAGTACGGGTACAGTCCTATTGATATGGTGTTGTGAGTGGGATGAGCGGTCGCCGTGATGGCGATGAGCCCACGAGAGAGGAAACGGGTGAAGTGCAGTCGGAAGTCAGCGCAGTAACGGGGACCGTTGGATTATTAGGCCAGTGTAAGCAGGTGGTTCAGCCTCACCAGAGACAGACAGGTGCACTCAGCAGCAGGCGGGCGGGCATGTTGTACGGGGGAAGTTGGAGTGGATCCAAGGTTGGACTGGGTTGCCTCCCGCCTCCACGCTCGCCTACGGGTTAGGGGAGTACATCAGTGTCCCTGTGGCTCGAATGAGGGAGGTCGGGGGACAAGGGCGATGAGTGCCAGTCTTTAATGATGGAAAACACCGGCAAAGAGGGAAAATTATGGCCACGTGCAGGTACTTCACTATCGGCAAGAGGCCCCCATAATCTCGCTGGGTTGGTCAATCTCGGCCAATGGTGTCCACGGGCTGCTTCACTGCCCCGCCACACGGCCTCTCCACGACCCTTGGTCGTCTCCGTGTCTTGGTACCTGTACTTGATGGCAGGGAACTGGAAAGTGAACAGTTGGGCCCCACGCAGCATTTCCTGATTGAGTGCTCCATCATTCGTGCCTCCCGCGGCCAGCGAGGAGAGGCGCATCCCTTTGCTGGGTTCCAGACACCGCTGCTTAATGGGAAAATTCAAGAAACCTTAGCGGTGGAGTAGATCTCCATCGTTCAGGTCGACAAGGGACGCCAGCGGAGATGATCTCAATCCGTCAAACCGACATGCCGGCACGAGAGCCCGCAGTCTGCACACAAATCGCTCACGTCGAATGTTGGGTTTTTGGCATGGTTTCTCACTCGCTCATACACACACACTCTCTCTCTCTCTCTCAAACTTGTGCCGCAGCGGCATTGGACGGCATAGGATGCATTGTCTCGACTACTGCCAGGTTTGCTCTAGTCTCGAGCGTCCGGGCGCACAGTTTTGTGACAGTGACGGCAGACGCCCTGGCCCCGACCTGGGACTTGCACATCTGGCTGGGCGCTGGGGAAAGAGCACAAATTACAGAGTACCTACAGAGTGGCCAGGGACTTGCTCCTGATGCGGCGAGGTGGCTGACGCACCCCTGTCGTGGCGGATCCTGCCCGCTCGAATTGGTTATTCTGCGACAAGGTCTTGGGTTAAAATAGCCACAAGACCCGGCCCAGCGGTAGGCTTCCGCCGACGATGAGATGGACGCAAACGACATAACCAACAACGTCTTGTGCAACAAGGGTGAGCAACATTCAGGGGACGCTGCTTGACGTTCAACTTCTGTGCAACCAAGTTCATTCCCATCCCGATTACTCCTGACTCTGGTTATCAAAGTCGATCTCAATGGCTCAAGCAGACTCTGCTTCACCGAGGCAAGGAACAATGTCGAGATTGGCAACCTCGGGAGAACTCCACATCGCTCCACTTTCTCGACGTTTCCTCATGACAACAATAGTGACGAGGTGATGGGACAAGATAGCGATGAGCCAGCTGCCGGTATTCTGGCGTATGAGGCTACCTGAAACATCGCGATGATGTTGCTGAACGCTGCTGGTTTTGCTTGAAACAGGATTCATGTTCCCATCTTCCATCGTGCAACACCTTCCATCATCTTCTGCTCTGTTGACATTTTCATCACGTGTCTAATATACCAGCTGAAATGCTTTCGAGGACGGGAGGATTTCGATGTCATCAACGTGCAGAGCAACTGTGAACAGTTCCGGACACTGAATATGTCATGGGTGAGGATTCCCACGCCGTCATCTCCCGTCTCCAAAGTTGGGTTTTGAGGCTGTTCCATTCTACAGCTGCCTAAATTCACAAATTTTCCTGGATTCCCATTGAAGCACAGAAGAGACAGAGATAGAGAGAGAATCATGGTCTCAGTCAGACCAATCTGGCTATCGCAGGCTTCGCCTTCCTATTTCTGTTGCTGCTCTCCGTTACTTTGAGAGGGAGGCGCCTACCTCATGTGTTCTAGCAGCGTCAGCCAGGAACTCATAATATTCAAGCAGCTTTCGTCCCTGGCTTTTAGCTGCTCTAAGTCTTCGAACAACACAAGCCTCTCGAGCACATATCTAGCACCTAGTGAGAAACACAACCTTCCTTTCTCGCCCATGTCGTGAGATCAGGCCTTCATCCCTCACCACCTACCGGCGGACGACACAGCTGGTGAACCTCACCCCAAGGCATTCAATATATGCCTTGCAAACCCTTCTCGTTGCTTCCCATGATGCAAGGGTTTCTCTTTCTCACAACCTCTATTTGCTCGATCAGTTCGCTCGGCTAACCACCCATCGAGAGCCTTTTGAATCAAAGCATTGCGACGTTTTCAAGTACCTGAGCAGAAGAGTTTTTACTCTACTTTTCTTTTCGCTTATGGAACTTATCTCCTGCCAACTTACATACTCAACTGCTTTTGCGCATTCGCAAAGTAAGCACCTCCCCACTATACCTACTTAGGGGGAAGCTGAATCACCAGGTCCTGAACAGCACTCACCTGAGGAAGGAGGTTCTCACCTCGTCTTTTTGCACCTTCCTCTATCTCTGATCTCGCGGGCAGGATTCGCACCTCCCCTCCAGAAATACAATTGCCTCACGCTCAACCTTCTTTTCGCCAACCTTTCAGCTCTTACATACAAGCCTTCGCAACGAACCCAGATCAGTCGCATCGTCTTCTGTTGAAACCGTCCTTACTACCACTCACTGTATGCGCTCTTGTCCACACAATACAAGACGATTACGACCCGGTTTCGGAAGCGACACCAAGACTATCTTCCTCCATCAAGCGTCTCAGTTTCAGGTTCTCTACACTATTGTCGTCGCCCGATTCTTGTGCTGACGACATTGGAACAGATGCTTCTCTCTACTTGGAATGTGGGCTATGGGCCTATCGACGAACGCTCAACCATCGACAACAGCTTTCCAGTCTCACGGATCCCGCTTTCTGCGAATGAAGTCCGGAAAAGCGAGAAGGTCGGCGAAGACGGGTGTGTCTATCCTACTCCAAAGCAGCCTGCAAGCATCCCACTTCTCTGTCTATTTTCGTTACAACCAACCTAATCAATTCAGCAGTTATCCGACCGATGCTGCGGCTTTCGAATGGTCCATTCATTCCAGAGCAGCCAAGAATTCGCTCGCGTTCATGGCGATGGCACCAAAGCCGAGATGGCCAGTGAAGCATTCGCAATCGATCAGTTCAACAAAGGGACCTGCGTGAGATACGCCTGGGTTATCGCACCAATCCCCGGCCCGTACTCATTGATTTCGTCAGATCTTCAGGAGAAATGGATCGTCCTCGTCGAGCTCCCGATAAAACCAGAGAGATATTTCCCTGACGAGGGAAATCGGTGCAAGATTACCTTCCTTCACACCTTCATCTTCGGCGGCATTACACAAGAACAAAGCATGCTCGTGGCTGAGCGGATTCCGAATCCATACGATGACATGCCAGGAGTACATCCGTATTCATCTTATGCGGTTTTCACTGTAACGACAGAGTACCTCGCCCACCCGGTTACCAAAGAGCGATTTCACCCCTTGTCTTCAATCAAAATTGATCCGCCCATTGACATCAACTCCCTGCCTACCCCTTTGACTTTGGAAAATGCAGTCGAGTGCAAACTCAAAGTCGACTCAAACCCGGCTACCTACGAGGCTGAGTTGTCAGCGTTGTCTATCTTGACGCAACCGAAGAAGGAGTCGAATGCTCTACCAACAACAACCCTGGGAACGTTTGAGTATCTGCTGGACTTTCGAAAAGAACCTGGTTTCCGAGTCAACCTTTTTGAGAAGATGCCGCACATGAACCAACCAAGCAAGCACCCAAACATCTTTTTGCAGAACACATACAGCCGGCTAAACCGTGATCACAAGTCTGTCTACGAACAGCTTCGTCAAATTCCAGCTGGCCTTGCTCTTATCCTTGGATGCCCGGGGGCTGGGAAGACAGCGCTAAACGCATTTATCTCGGCTATAGCGTTGTCCCAGCCCGTCAAGGAACTTCGACGCGATGGCAAGCAAAGACGCAAGCCAGTCAAGATTCTTTACTTGTTGGACGTTAATCATCCGTGCGACGATGCTGCTAACAGAGTTTACGGCATGCTGAGGGATGCTGGCATCCAGAAGTCAGTCATCCGGGTTCGTGGTTGCGCCTGCGAGATGAACAACAGCGTAAAGCTCCACCCAAAGCCGCGTGATTCGAAGGAAGAGACAACTCCAGACTTCACCGCAGGTTTTCTTAGGCAAGCTCGTCTGTCTAATGATGTACAGCGAGGTCACCGTAATGATAACCGAGCGCCAACATTGGATGAAGTGGCCTGGGACAGGTACGAGGCTGACCAAACCAAATACATGGCCCTGGCAAAGATCTTGGACAAGCTAGGCCAGGGTGCGACCAAGACAAGCCAGACGGCAAAAGAATTAAAGAAATCCGTTGCGAGGCTTTACTTCTCCGTCATAAGAGAAGCCGACTTCATAGCCACCACGCCGGTTGGTGCGGCCGGCTATCTCAGTAAAATGTTTCGTCCTGATATCGTGTTCCTTGACGAAGCTGCACACGCCAGAGAGCTGACCGCCATGATTCCGATCGCTCTGTATTCGCCACATGCGTTTATTCTTACGGGTGACACACGACAAACTCGGCCTTTTGTTGAGGGCGTCAGTGGTGCAGAGAAAGGCGTCCGAGAGAACATTTACGCTAGGCAGCTGACGATCAGCACAATGGAAAGAGCAGACCTAGCTGGAGCTCTGAGCAACAAACTCCTCATCAGTCACCGTGAGTCGTCCTCCTATTTTACCCCTTTGTTTATCAACCGCTTAACATGCCCAAGGGATGTACGGCAACCTTCAAGAGCTGGCATCAGAGCTGTTTTACGATGGGCTGTTGACGTCGGGTCTATCCGAGCCGCAGCGTTTCCCTGAACCAGTCCGCCACATCCAAAGATGGTTCTCAAAGGTCATTGGCGGTAAGGAATGTGTGGTACCTCGGCTTCTCCTGAACCACCGAGGCTCGATGGAGGCCAGCGACAAAGCCAGCTTCTACAACCCCGTCCACGAGGCCTTCATCCAAAAGCGATGTCGGGAGCTGCTTGAAGATTCGAACTTCAGGCGCATTGACCAGCCTGACAAGCCTGGCCGGATTCTTATCATCACGCCTTACAAGGCTGCTTTAGTGAGATATAAGCGGTTTATCAAGAATCTTCCATCCGAACTCCAGGGCAAGCTCGAGATTGAAGTGAAACTCAACGCAATGGAAGCTCGTACAATTGATTCGGCTCAAGGTCATGAAGCGGATTTTGTGTTTGTCGATACCGTCCGGACGAAGAGTGCTGGATTCCTAAACGACCCCAAAAGACTCTGTGTCATGCTCACACGCGCCAGAATTGGTGAGATGGTACTGATGCATGAGGGCATAACGAAGCGATGGGGCGGTGGAATGGGCTTCCTAGAAGCTGAGTGGACAACGAAGGTGTATGAGCACTGCCGTCGGAACGGTCAACTATATCATATTGAACGAAGCATGTAATGCGGGATTTGGTGGTAGACTTGGACAACGCTTTACAGGAGAAGGCCTCCTGTTGTAGCTGGGAAGTTGTTCGCAAGACATGCTGAGAAAAGGAATAGAGAAAAGAAGTGACTGAATGATCAATGAAATTCCTTGTCGGGAGATCCATGCGTTCCCCCCCCCCCACTGCTTTCAACTGTTGTTTCTGCTATCTCTTTGTCGGCTTCTTGGTCCCTTTGACTATCTTGCCCCGTGTTTTCTGTGTTGCTATGATCGTTTGAATGTCTTTGTACCCACTTGTGTTCCTTTCCCTGTGTGCTATGTTGTTGATCAGCCAGCCGGTGAGCGCCGCTGGTAGTCTATACGAGGACAGTCGCAAGATGGGAAACAGTGTGACTGAACCGCAACGGCTGTCTAGGCTTGATGGAGGTAGGTAGCTTCAGAATGATCAAATATAGGCTTGTGTATTAGGATGATATAGAATAGCAAAAGCCGCAAGTCTCCCGCTTTGTCCATGGCAAAACAGAGATCCAGCATGGTTTCCTCCTCGTCTCCCTTCTTTGTGGTTTCCCTTCCCGTGACCAAGACGGTAGCATGCCGAGGTCCAACAGTAAGGGATAGGCTACAGTCAGTGAAGCCCAAAAAGTACTTGAGGCCATCATGAAACAAGAAGCGACAGCTCTTTTCTTTTTCGAGGCCTTGACGAGCGCAACCTTGCTCATGTGCCCGGACGCCACAACCTAGTCTGCAATCACCTACATGGGCTATGAAGTTGCCGTATAAAATCAGGCTGTACCCTTCCTAGCCTGCGGCCCATTTCGCAGACCCCGACGAACAGCACGCTTTCAAAGTCCAATCTGTGTGGCTGCGTCTCTGCCAGGATTGCGATTCCCCACCACCAATTCGGGTTCAGACTGGGGTTTACCGTCGCCCTAAATCACCACCAGTCATATGCCGCTCTCGTGTGTCACGGCATATGTCGCGTCTCAGCCGACAGCCAGACGTGGCCACCATTGTACACGCTGACTTTAATATTATGGCCTGTGTTCGTGCCAAGATGATAAGAAAGGTCTTGGCCCCCCCCTCGCGCATATGGACTTTCCTCATATAAGCTAGGCATGTGCCCTTTCTTTGTAGCGTTCAACCCGACATAGCCTTGCTTCAAGACCTTTCTTGTCAGACCTGGAAGAAGAGCGATTTATTACTGTGTCACGAAACCGAAAACCAGCCAGAGCAGCAGTCGACTACTGTTGCAGACCGACCATGGCGGAGACATCGACAACTCTGCTGGCGACAGCAACCCAGTCATCTGCTTCACCTACACAAACGACCGAAGCTACTCCGCCATCGACAACCACGAACAGTGCGAGCGGGAATGGAACTACCATACCAGCTGTGTGCTATGAAATTTGCAGTGCGTACTTCCCTGGCTAACAATGTCTGCGACACGTATTATCGCTGGAATCCTCTAACTAAGCATATTGTGTAGACAATGCCTACATAGAAGTCCAGAGTATTGGCAAAGTCTCCTCAATATGCAACGAAAACTCGGCTTTTTCACTGGAATACCAGGCGTGTCTTTCTTGCGCCAAGATCAATTCCGATGATACAGATCCCACCTCCGTTGTGAACGTTGAAACGAAGTTCCAGCAGTTCCTGGACTATTGTGCTTCGCAGACATCACGGCCTAGCTATCACTCTAGCCTCATGACGATCAGGACGGTGACCCAGTTGGCCGATATCACTGCAATCAATGGGAGCATTGAACGGGGTGTACTGCAAACCAGGACGGTAACAGAAGTGAAGGCGGATGCCACGAGCCTGTTGACTAGTACTGCAAGAACACTGTCTCCGCAAACAACGATACCGAGCGAAACGACACCCACAAGCACCTCCACAACCGACATACAGCCTTCCCTGGAAATAAGCAAAGCATGGATAGCTGGCCCCGTGATCGGAGTTTTGACTACAATCCTGCTAGTGCTCGCCGGGCTCTGGTTCCTCAGACGGCGTAAGAGACGGAGATTTGGCCGGTCTGCCGCTGGGAACAAATTCAACGAGAAGGAGGAGTTTATGAAGGCACAGCTTCATTCGGATTGCGTTCTACGCCAGCCCGCTATAGAGCTTGAGGGTTCATATCCTAAACCTGTGCCCGAAATGAGCGCGAATGAGATCCCCGCTCAAGAGATGCTGGTCCCGGACGCCCGTCATGTGGAAGGAGTGACGGGGAGAAACAGCTGAAAAGGGCCGAAGCCGTCGTTTTTTCATGTTACCTTCCACATGAAGGTTGGAGTCACCAGTAATTCTCACTTGCGCGCAAATCATGGGCAACGGCGAATAATATGTAATCGAATCTCATTCTCTTCAACTGCCCTCTGGCGGTGGTATCACATCATGTCCCTCGTGAGTATCTCAACGTCTCATCCAATCATCTCGCGCCTCGCCCGTTGAGACCCGGTGAACTGCAAGTTCTCGTTGCCAGTAACGCCCGTCAGCACGTTCCCGATGCCCTGGACCTCGCCGTTCCCGCCTTGCATGATGGCGGCGTAGTTGTTGGCGACCAGCTGGATGCCCGACACGAAGCCCTGCTCGTCGAATGCGCAGTGCCCGCCGTTGGGCGAGTTGTTGACCGTCTGCTTGGCGTTGACCTGGTCGGCGGTCAGGCCGGCGCCGGTGGCGATCTTCTCGTACGCCTTGATGGACGCCGGGATCGACTGCTGCAGGTTTGAGAGCTCCTGGAGGGTGCTCTGGAAGTGTATGCGGGTGCCGGCGACGGCCTGGGGGTCCTGAACGGTGACCTGGGGCGCGAGGCCGCCGCAGTTCAGCAGTACTCCGTTGCCGGCGAAGTTCTGGATGTGTGCGGGCATGAAGAAGCCCGAAAGCATCAGCGAGCCGCCAGAGACGCCGGTGAAGAAGACGTTGGACTGGTTGAAAGCCATCATCTGCGGGAGGGTCTTCTGGATGAGGTCGTTGACGGCCTGGGAGTGGGCGACGCCGTCGGTGCGCTTGAGGCCCTGACCGCCACCCCAGAAGAGGTTCGGGTCCGGTGCAAGGATGGCAACGCCGGCGAGGTTCTGCTGCACGCCCTGGTTGGGCATGTCGAAGAAGGACTGGCCGCCGTCACCGTGAAGGAGAACGTTGAGGCCGAGGGTGCCCTGGGCTCCGGCCGCGGCCGCAGCGCCGGGGACGCCGCTCGCCGCGGTGAATTGGTCGGCGGGACCGCTGATCTTGAACCGGAGGTCGAGGCCGCTAGGTTCCGTGTTAGTCGGTGTGTGCCAGCGAGTCAAAGGAGGAGGGAGGGATCAAGTGGGCTTCTTACTTGACGTTCGCGGTCATGTCGAGGATCATGGACCCGTCAGTCGCCTGCGAGATCCCTTGGGGCACCTGCGCGGCCTGCTGCTGCGCCGTCTGTCTGTTCCCGCCCCTGTTCCCATTTCCTTTCCTGTTCTGCGGCGCGCCGTGGGCGACGCTCAGCAGGCTGAGCACGACCGCGAGGGCGGCGACGGGTGAGCGGACGGTCAACATCCTGTCGAGAGAGGGCGAAGAGAGACTGTATTACAAAGGGAGTATTAAAGAAGGAAGGGCAGGGAGTGATTTGCTGCCAAGCTTGCGGCGCACGAAGATCAAATCCTTGGTGTTCTTGGTAGCGCAAGTGAATCGGAATTTCCCAGAAACCCGGGGAAATCAAGAATCAAAAAAAAAGAAACCCAAAAGGATGGATGGGGTGGCAGGTTAGGCTCATCTTTAAAAGAAGAGCAAACGACTGCCTGCGAGAGCATCGACCATCTCATGGCCATGGGTTCGTTTTTTCCCATCCGAAATGGGAACAACGGGGCCATTCTGTAATGGGTCGGTCTTGCTTCTCAACGCAGGGTTGAATCGCCGCTGTCTTCAGACTGAAGGCGAGGGGGTGGGGAAGATTGGCAGCCATACAGGCCAGTTGCGAAGCGAACCATCTCAAATCGAGGGACGAAGGGGATAAGCTTGTGTAGTCTTTGTTTCGCCCGGACTCCGTTGTGTGAGAGTTGGGACAAGTCATCCTGGGTCTGACCATCAAATGCTTGGGTTGAGGATGGGGGATGCAGTCGGCAGAGGCCACTGGGGGGTTAGTCAGCGAGAAACCCTTTGCTCTACGAGGACATGGCTGGTTAATTGGAGCGGCAGGCATGGACTGGGCCGTTGGGGGGGGGGGGGGGGGGGGGGGGGGGGGGGGGGGGGGATGGATCGTCGACTGGAATTGCTGGGAGAGCGTCGCCAGTGAAGCCATGAGGCTCGACGACTGTTTCGCTTGGCGCGTCTCTTCCGACTCGGGAGCATCAGTATCCACGCGCGAGAAGGTGTCGCAGATGTTTGAGGTTGTCGAAACCAACCCCGGGCGCCCGGGTGTATCCTTGCCCTGCACCGTCTGCAACCACCAGGCACCCGCTTGGGCTGTCGCCTCAGACCCCCGGTCCGAGGGGAGCTGTCCAATGTCGTTCTCCCCTCGGAGGAACCCGCCACGTCCACGAATGACATCGAGCTGTTTTGTCACGACGATCCTTTATTTCGAGAACGTCCAAGATACCCTTGTTCCGACAGGAGGCGAGCGAGGCCCTTGGCTGTTGGGGTCTCTGTGACATCGGGTAGGCTCAGTGTCTTGGGTCTTTGTGGGCTAGAGAAATGCTTAAGAGCGACTAAGCATCAAGGCTCGTGAGGATTCTTTATAGGGGTGGGGGGTGTTCGATAAGAAGTGAGGGTCATGGAATGCAGGCACGAGGTTGTTTTGATTGGTTCTTCTCGGAAAAGTTTGGGCGATTCTGAAGCAACCCAGCCTGGACATTAGGTTTTGAGCTTCGGGTAAAGTCCGGTATGGTGTATTCAGACTTGTGATAAACGCCAGTAACACCAGAACACCTTGTTTTTTTCGGCATGAATCCGCCACGCTGGACGGCTCGTGGGAGACGGCATAGGGGCCTAGACGTCACTGCATTCGGAACCGCCTATCTGAACAACAGAAGCAGCACATTAACAGCTAGAAACCGCTAAATATAAATATTTCATAGCACACGTACATACACCCGAACTCGATCGTCTAATGCCAGCATCACATCCACAAACTCTGTCTAAACACGCCAGCCACAGCCGATCAAGAGAGTGACGGGCACGCTTTACGCTCAAAGCTTCGCACCCTTGGCCCTTCTGGCCTCCTTCTCGCGGTCGCGAAGGAGACGGCGGAGGATCTTGCCGCTGGGGCTCTTGGGGATGACGTCGACGAACTCGACGCCGCCCTTGAGCCATTTGTGCCGCGCCTTGTGCTCTTCGACGTACTTGCAGATATCGGCCGCAACTTCGGCGTCGGGCTTGGACGCGTGGGCGGCGGCGCGGACGACGTAGGCCTTGGGCACCTCGCCGGCTCGGTCGTCGGGTACCTGAATGACAGCCGTGTCCGACACGGCCGGGTGGGTGAGGAGGTGCGCCTCGAGCTCGGCTGGCGCGACCTGGTGGCCCTTGACCTTAATGAGCTCTTTAATGCGGTCGACGATGACGAGGTGCTCGTTGCCGGAGGCGGCCTTGCGCACGAGGACCTCGTCGCCGGTGCGGATCCAGCGGCCGTCGTCGTGCCAGACAAACGTCTCGGCGTTGGCGCGCTCGTTGTGAAGGTAGCCCAAGACGACCGAGGGCGACTGCACGAGGAGCTCGCCGGGCTTGTTGTACTCGGTGATCTCCTCGCCGGTCGCGGGATCGACGATCTTGCCGCGGCAACCGGGGACGAGTGAGCCTGACGATCCGACGTCGATGTCGGTCTCAGATGTTGTGCAGACGACCGTGCTGGTCTCAGTCATGCCTGGTGTCTTTTAGTCACGGCACATGGCAAATTTCCAAGGCATAAAATCATACCGTAACCTTGACCCACGTGCCACTTGGGGTATTGCCTCTTGAGATCCTCCACAGTTTCTGGTCCAAGAGGTGCTGCACCGGTGTAGATGAAGCGCACACATGTGAGGTCGTACTTATTGCAGAGCTCCTGGTTGCGGATGACTTGGATGACAATTGGCGGAACCTGCGCGCGTCAGAACAGTCTTCTTGCTCGCAGTTTCAGAGACATGAGCTTACCACTGGAAGGTAGCTGATCTTGAAGCGTTGAACGGAATCCAAAAATTGCTTGAGCTCAAACTTGGGCAAAACAATGATGGCATCGCCGCGCCAGGTACCACAATGTGCAATGACAACTAGGCCATAGATGTGGCTGAAGGGCAACAACCCCAGGCATACTTGTGTCTTGATGCCCAGCTCTTTCCTCGCAACGGACTCGTATGTGGTAAATTGCAGGACGTTGGCGATGACGTTTCTATGTGAGATCATGACAGCTTTCTGCACTTCATTGTCAGCAATCAGCCTCTCCAGTCATCGCGGCCGAGTTTCACTCACTGGCAGACCAGAAGTGCCACTCGAGTAGCACAAATAGGCAGGCTGGCGCGCGCCCTGTCCCTTTACCCACTTCAATGGTTCCAATTCTGGCAGGGACTTCCCCTCTTGAATCAGGTCGTCCAAGGTGATGTAGGGCGTTTTTTGGCTAACGCCGGGTACTGACAGCAAGAAGATGCGGTCATTGGCAAGGTTGACGGCCTTTGCGGCCTTGAGGGCGGTTTCTAACAAGGGAATACAGGTGAAGAGAGCCTTGGCGTTGGAGGAGCGAAGCTGATGCTCGAGTTCTTGAGCCGAGTACGCAGCGCTGGCGGGGGTGACGATGCCTGACAACCGGTGTACGGCATGGGTGAAGGGGATGTAATCGATCTATGCAGAGTTTAGTCCTTGAGGAACAATCGACCTTGAATGTATAGCCACATACTGTGTTGAGCGAGAAGAGTGCAACAACCTTGTCCCACTCTGTGCCCTCGTTCGGCGCAAAATCGAGCTTCTTTGCGATGGCTCTGGCCAAGGCGTCTGTTCGCTGCTTCACCTCGGACGCTGTGTACGACTTGCCCGACAAACCGCACGTGTAGGGATTTCTTGCTTCCGCGACAGGATAGCGACCATACTTTTCATTGCTCATGAACTCGGCAATGGTGATCGAGTCCGGAGGGTCTGCGATATCTCGGTGAGCAGAGCTCGCCAGCAGATTGCACGAGTTATAAGCCTCCAGGGTGCGTCTTACCTATGGGCAACTGAGGAACCCATTGCGGCGATGTGAACACCATATTGTGTGATGTAGTTGAGGCAGAAAGGCTGGATCAAGGGGTCGTCGTCGCGTTGACGCGTGTCTGAGTTGCCGTCGCGAGAAGCTTCGTTGCACACAGCGGCTAGTCGTGAAGATAGATGTCAAAACGTCGCGACGGGGAACGGGGGTGGTTCGGACTTTTGAACGAGGTCAAGAAGCCAACAACTGCCAGCACCTAACCGTCCGGGGGCTGCACAGAGTTTAGATCCTCTTCTTGCATTGCGCCTCGGCGCCCTCGGTGACGGACCCCCTGGTCCCCTCGCGGCTACGTAGGAGCAGCGACCCAAGACTTGGAGAAATGTAGCTTCCCCCACTTCTCCGCATTTATCTCTACGTATCTGTTGCACCGTCGGCAGACTGGCAAGATAGCGCGGCATCTCGCTGCCCTCTGCAGCGCTCTACGCTGCATTGTACACTAGGTACGGGGTTCCGAGTCATTCGCTTTGCTGGCGTCATTCCGTAGATCTCCCCGCGAGCGAGCCTGTTAGCATCTTGACTGCGGGCTGGTCCTCGATGACATCCGATGCCAGCAGCCGAAGGGTAGCGCCTGCAGCTCTACCCCGGTCTCTGAATTGGCTCGCACCCCACTCCTCTTGAGCTTCCCGTGATACATACAACCTTCACTAACTCATGATCCACGTCAATTTCCAGGGGCTCCAGGGCCCTTGTATTTGGCCGAGCAGCCGTATTTTTAACCGAATGAAAGAGGCTCTTAGCCGGCTGTTGTGCCTCGGTAAACAGTCGGCGAGAGGTCCACCCATTCAATGATGTTTGCCGCCCAGTGTCTTTGTTTTATAAGGTCGGTGAGCGAATTCGAAGGCTTCCCCAACTGCCATTCAACCATTAGTCACCTGCAACAACAACAACTTTCCAAACCTGCATTGAGTGCAGTGATTGATCTATGGCCGTTTCAACATGAGCCGAACGTGACTGAAGGTGAGCAGAGGATTATTCTAGGTTGGTCATCCTGAGCTTAGCCCTCGGCATTGTTCTGGTCCCTGGGTAAACTTGCCGTGGGTCAAATTGAGAGCATGTTCAGAGCGATAGTTGCCCCTTTCAGCTGACTAAGATGTACCTCGCTATATCCGTTTTGGTCACTAACAGAGAATGCCTCTGCCATGCCGGCACCATCTGGCGGCTGCTGGTGATCTCCATGCTCCAAGATTCTAGTAGTTGCTTCTGTGCCTGGCTTCTGACATCTCAGTATCACAAGACGTTATCAACCGGTAGCACAAATCAGTATCGACGGGCTGCCAGGAACCTAGCTGTGATGTCTATTTAAATACAAACACCGCACCCAAGGGCCGCAATTTAGGATCGTGGTACTGGGAGTTGGTCAAAGTGTCAGTTGGGCAATTAGTACACGGTGTAAAGTAGCCCTGCGTTGCAACAATACCTGGTCTTTAGGCTTTTCCCAGCGTGCTCGGAAACAATTTCTTTCTGTTTCAGTTGAAACATTCTTTGAAGGCGGGCTACCAATGATGGTTATAGAAGAATAAGCTTTATCTCATCTGCTATTACGGCTGGCTTGATAGAAAAACAATATCCACTGTGGCTTGGATAGTGCATCTTTAACCAAATCTATGTGAGCCCATCCGCCCCAGTTGCTGGCTACTGCACTGGCCCATCGAAACAAGGAGCAACAGTATACCCACAAGCTGGAAGCACTATCACTTTCTGTCCAAATTCTTTTTTGTCAACATCAGGCTGTTCCTTGACATTGTGGGACTGAAGGCAGTGGTGGCGAAACCCGCTTATAATGTTGATGTCAAGAAAAAAGGCGCAGGGTCACGAGCTCTTACAAGTATATCCCCAACCAGCGCTGAAATACTCCACGGGGCTTTTTTTATCTTGTTCTTGGAAATCACGACACCAGCTTCAACGAGTCCGGCGATTCTGAGTGAACAAAGTAACACCACATACCCAGAATAATCAAGCTGGGCTATGCTAATTGGTTCACAATTCCTGAGACATTTGCTGCAGTAGCTGTAGCCTACGATCATATCCCAAACAGCAATACGGACTCAACCGGCAATTTCACTAAGTTCTAGTCTTGCTTTGCTACTTGGCATAGACGATGGCAGACAAGGAAGGTAGAAGAAGGGCGGCAAAATAATGAATGTACTTTCCCCCCCTTGGGCTATTCCAGCTTATATTATGTGAACTTGAATTATTTGTGCAGGTTAATGAATTGATATTATCTATACTGTTTGGTGTTTGAATTGTGTGACTGAAAACACTATATGTGTTCTTAAGCCATGGTAGAAAAGTTGATTGTAGCTGAACAACTGCTAGTCTTGTATGAACAATCTGGCGGCTCAGAATATGTGAGACTCAATTAATATCATTACACCTCAAACTGCCGTGTAAAGAATACTAGGGTTGGAATACGGAGACGTGGACCCGGCTTAAGCTTTCGCCCATCGATATCGTAGACGCCAGCAACAAGCTCCTCCATCTGTCTCATTCTTGCTTCAGTGGACTTCTTGCCTCCCAGGGTCAAACGTCCTAAAACATCTTCAAACTGAAGCATCCTTCTGGCTGTTTTGCTTGATTATTTCATTCTTTATTGATTTGGTAACTGCGTCGTGAGGTTTATTGACATTTTCATTCCAACTTCTTGTCACAGCTCGGCTCTTATCTTGTTGAAGTCCAGGGGCCTGTGTATTCTCGGTGTTGGCCCATGGTTTATGACATAGGTTTCTGCTTGTCATCCCTGAGTTGAAGTTGCAACATTATTATCCCCGTCTCTTCCAGAGACCCAAACCTCTCTCCTCCCTGCTCACCAAACTTTGATCAGTTTCGCCATGGTTTTCTCATGACACCTATGAACAGCCAGCTGATAAATTTTGAGAAATACTTATCCTTGTCTTGCAAGCTCAACATTGTACTAACTTTACCTGTTCCTTGGAGGTACCTCATCAGTGCCCTTTTTCTCGTGGGTTGGAAAGTATTCTAGACCTCATGATACATGGTGATGGGTCTCCGCTTGCCCGAGCTGTTGAGCCGGCTATCTTCTTGTCAGATTCTCGATGACTCAACTGTCGCTCTGTTAACAGATTTCTTCGTCTTTGAGTTCCGTTAGCAAGTTCAACTTAATCATTGTGGTCATCCTCGCTAAGGCTGAGACGAAATGCCTCTAACCCTCTTCAGCACTTGTTGTCTTGTGAATCACCGTTCATTCCATGTCAGCTCAGCAAGCTCTTCGCCGCTTAATACATAAAAGACACCTACGCCATCTGCAATCATGTTGTGCTGCCAGCGACCATATCCATCCAACAACCTTTATATAAGTAGTCTTCTAACACTGACGACTTCAAAAGGTGCCTAACGACTTGAGACTGCTCACCAGAGATAACCAGAAACAGAGAGAACACCGTTGTTCGCATACCTGGTCATTGGTACGTTCATACATTTTGATTGTTCGATTTTTCGATCCTGCGATGAGACCGGCAGTGCACCACCGACTTGAACCTCCTTCCCAACCGACCCGTTAGTGTTCTCCATTGTACCTTCCACATCTCCTGGAGACCAAAGACCCTGCCCTAGAACTTTTTGGTGCTTCGCTCTTTCTCCTCCCAGTGTCTCCCGGTGCACCTCCCTCTCGACGCACAATCCCCCCATGCAAATACTTCCTTTCTGTTTTCTTTTCCCGTCCTGCCGCAAAGTCTCACCTTCTTCTACACATGTTTCTTCTGCACTACTGACGATCTTTATGTTCCCCTTCTTCAGCGCAGCCATACTTTCTTTCCTCCATCGTCTAACTTATTTCGCCTTTCAACATACATCACATTTACCACAACAGTTTCCAACGACTTCATCCCTGGTGCGTATCATCTTATCATTCGGTATCAACGGTTGTGAAGCAGGCGTGACAATCCTTTCCTCGACTTACACGTGCTAACGCCTCCAGTTCAACTGCAATCTATCACCACTCACAAGTTCTCGACTCCTCTCAGCACTCAGCTATAATCATGACCGCAACCAAGTCAACTTTGCCTGCCCCCCTTGGGAGTCCTCCCGTCTGGGCCGAAAATCGCCAAGCTCTTTGCGATGCCCTTCCTTACTTCAAGGCGCACGAGGGAAGCCTTTACACGAAAGACAAGATCATTAAGGGTATGCTCCTGAATGCATTCTCCACTGTGCGAGACTACTTGGGAACAGAAGTCATCATCACTACGCTGTAAGTTGTCGTGTTCTCCTCTATTGTTCTTGTTTCATGACCGCTGACTGTTGTTGTTCTTGACAGTGGCGGTGGCAGAGAGAGAGACAGCCAGGGAAATCTGGTCCGAGTCAAGCCGGCACGTCCCTTCGTGCTTGAATCTTGCCATATGGCCCTGGAGAGTGGGACTCCCATCGGAATCATCCTAGGTACTTCCATGCTCATCCTCTTTCTCTAAGAATTGTGCTCACTATCAACCAGGCAAACACTATCCGGACTTATCAATTGAAATCAAGCATGCCTTCAACGTCCTTGCATTCTTCACCATCACAGACATATGGTCTGAGAAGGATGACAGAGGTTTTGACATTCAAAAGATTCGTCTTGAAAGGACCGATCGATCTGAGCCGTCCTGGTGGCGGTCGATACCTGAAGTTCAAGACAGCACTAAGCTACAGGAGTTTCCTGCATTCCGGGCTAACTGCTCCAAGTGCAGAACTTCATCCAAGCAAATGTTCACCCAGGCCTGGACTTGCCTGAACGCCGAGTGTGAGGGATGCTTTTTCTTTCCTCCAGCTGTCGACATTTGGAACCTAACCGTTGCCTCTAAATACGCATCATCTCTTGCTTGGTGTGTCGACTGTCACCAAGGAAGCAAGATGATCTTCTCTCGTGGCTGGGCCTGTCTCAACAAGAAATGCGACAGCTTCTTCACTTTCCCTGCTGAAGTCAATATCGACAATCTCAAGTATTCAGAAGGCTTTCTTCTGGAGCGAACATCTCACCAGGTTCCACGACAGTCTCTTCAACCGAACCTCCCAGACACGACTATTCCAGGCTGTCTTGGGACAGAGAAGGCCATGCGTGAAGGCATCGTCTGCCCTAAGTGCCATCGCTGTGCAAGACGAGTGGATTGGACAAAGTGGACTTATGAAGATCCTCTTTGCGACTTCACCCTGCTTGCTCCGCCGCTGCCTTTCCCCCTGGCCAATGTTCATGCCGAGGAAAATCAACAAAGACGGAAGAGGACCTTTGAGTCCAGGGTTTTTGACAAACAAATCCTGGAGACCAGCAGTGAGGCCAACGGCTATTCCATTGCACAGTATCTTCTTCCGGATCCGCTGAATACAGACGTCGTCATTGGCTCAGTCACTGTCTTTCGAGCGACTCGGGCTATCAATGCTTGTGCTGGCGCTCCCGATCAGATGTGGGACCTCCTTCAACATGATACCGCAAGAGACTTTGGCTTTCAAAGAAAGCCGGCGATTCATCCTGGATGTAAGTTGTTCATCTACTCTTGACTAACTATCTTGTTTGGCTGACATACCTTAGTGCCTACCGAGAAGTTAACCCGTAACTTCCTCCAGAACTGGGGGGCACCTTACAAATTCGCTGTCAACGTGCATTCGAAGCCATTCTCAGAGGCGCCAGACTCCGTTATTGGAGCGCTCAAGAGAATGCAATGGGCTGGTCAAACGTCAGTCGCCATAACCAACGATGCCATGGACGCCTATGCCCAACTACCCGACTACAGCGAGATGGCCCGATGTGCCACCCTCACCGAGGACTTCGCTGACTTCAACGAGCTCCTTTCGATCGGATACATGGAGGAAGACAAGATTAGTGTGAGTTGCAGTATCGTCTTGCATTTTGTCTGAATATTGACCATTTTCGAAGTATCATGACGACGGCGAAGACACCCTGGGGCCCACTGTAGCCACGCTCTCTCTGGGAAGCCCTGCCTTGATGACCTTCAAGATGAAAAAAGCCTACGCTGGCAAGGAAAAGAAGGCTCTCCAGCTTACGATATTCCACGGCGACCTGGTGGTCATGCATGGTACCCGCATTCATCAGGCGTACCTGGTATGTAGCCCCCTTTTTGCCTTGTGAGTCCTAGCTAACACTTATAAGCACGAGGTTGTACCAAAAGGCAAACGTCGTTTTGCGTTGACTTGCCGAAAGATCGTGCTCGAGAACATCGAGGACGATGATATTCGAGCCGAGGCCGTCCAGAACAGCATGCTTCCAGAGGTCTCACAGCTCTGGGACTATCCGAAGGCCGAAGATGGCGAAGGTCGTGAAACGACTGCCCACTCTTCGAAGCGTGCCGCTGATGAGTCTCAAAGCACCACGTCTCGCGCTGCGAAGCGATGCAAGACCACGGCTTGAGCATTCGGCATCAAACAACAATACTAACACGCAAATTCTATCGATCTTGCGCTCTTCGAAAACATAGAAAGATAGTATGGGAGTATGACGGTTTCGAAATGTGGTGTTTTCTGCGGTGTTTTCTTCCGATTTCTGGGACAGCGTCTGATAGATGAGCGCGGTGGGTTTTCGATTTCTGATCTATCGTTTCTCACGGAGCAGTCATTCATTGCAAGCGACTTTGATACGAGAGACAATTAGGAGGAAACTGTTTTCTTCTTTCTTTTCCTGCTTTACAAGAGCATGGCTCACGTCTGCTGCTTTCGTAGTCTTTGTAGCATTGGCCGTATGCTCATAGTCCAGATACTCATAGTGCGAATGTTTGTTTGCTTTTAGATACCATCTCGGACTTTTTTTCGACGTGATTAACCGAGAGCGTTGAACGCTCGACCGGGGCCGTTTGCCGCACGCAAGCAAGCCACAGCATACAAATGTCGACAACTGACACCAGGAGCGCCTGTGTAAGAGGCTGCCAAGCTGTGAGCTGACGAATGAGACAAATGTCTCTGCTCGGGGGTTCACGGCACTAAAATTTGTTTCTCCCGTCACCCTGGGGACACGAGCTACCGGGGGTCCAAAGCGGTTCTGGCCAAAACGGCTCCTTGGAAAGCCCCCCTGAGGCCCAGCCAGGCCATTGCCGACGCCGCACCTCAGACACTCGGCGAACGGGAGAGAGCGTACGCCATGCTTCGGAAGGGAGACCTGTATCCGGGGGCGGAGCGCCACAATGGTTGTCTCTTCCAGATCGTCGGGGTCGGCGGCTGGGCCAACACAGAAGGGGGGGGGGGGCGCGCCGGATCGAGGTTGGGCCATGTCTCGGTCCAAGGCCCAGGCCAGCTGTTGGTATCGCGCTGCTGTGATGTCATTGGCGGATAAACGCAGAGATAGGACGCTTTCCGGAATTGAAACCGACGTGGTTATGAGGGGATTTCGTCGTCACGCCTGATGAACACAGCTGTGACGGCGCTAGAGAGCATTGAGCAGAAACATGTTGAACATTCATGGAGTTCAGGCCATTTCCCCACTGTTTTCTTTCCTTTTCATTTTGAAGAAAAACGCCGAAGAAAAGAGAAAAACAAGGAAAAAGAGAGTTGAGTCAAAAGTATAGTCTCTGTATTGTATTTTCTTCATTGGTATCGTAACGGGTCGTAAGTATGCGTCTAAGTAGACCCCAGCCCTTTCCAGCTTTTGAGGAATTCCCCGCTTTCACCTCAAAAAAGCTGCGGCTAGCCGGCTAGTAATCATGAAGCCTCCATCTGCATCCGCAGAGATATTAGTGGGTTCTCTCTTTGAGAACATGTCTCGCAATGCAAAAGAAAAAAAATTGAGTCGTTTTCTCCGCCCCAAATCCTTGGTATCCTTTCTGGGTATCCTTTCGTGTAGCATCATGTCCATTCTCTAATCAAACACTCCAAAACGCCGCCGCCAACGTCATCAAGCCACCCACAAGCAGACTCAGGAATCGCTCGTCGGTGAGGGATGAAGCAGCCGAGTGGGAGCCGGAGGACTCCGAGGACGAAGAGCCGCCCGTGGGCGATGCGGTCGGAGCGCTAACGCCCGTGCTCTTCGAGGGGGCCGAGGAGGAGCCGCCGTTCTGTGATCCTCCAGAAGGGGAGGACGAAGGAGGCGAGGCACCGTTTGTGGACGACGACTGAGGGCAAAGTGTTAATGCGGCACAATCAGAGAGAGTAACATAAGTCGGGGTCGGGGTCGGAGCCGGGCCGTTGTCCACAGTCTTGGTGATGGTAACCAGGTCGCTGGTGGGCAAGGTCGGGGTGTTAGGAGTTGAAGAAGCAGGTGGACTCACTGCAGACGTCGTGGGGTTTGCGTCACCGTCCGGCGTTGCGGGCCCCTCGCATAGTCCCATGACACCGCTGGGCACCGCGTCGCTACCCTTGCCAACGGTCACGATCTCCTCCTTGCCGCAGGTGCTTGCCTGCGCCAGGTGGACGGCTTGGTTGTCCCAATCGAAGACGAAATAGCCGGCACGCATCATGCTGTCGCCGAGGATCTGCTGGTCGGTGGTGGTAACAAGACCAACGTAGCACTGGCCATCGCTAGGACCCAGGTCGAGGATAAAGTCGCTCAGGGGCACGCGGATGGTCTTCCTGCCAAAGGTAAAGGTGACGTATGAGTCGGTGCTGCTATCGCGCAGGGAACACGCCGCAGTCCAGTAGCCGTCGCTATCGGTCGTGGCCTTCAGGTCTGCCAGGATGGGGCGGGCGAGGGAGGGGTGCAGGCGGGTGAGGGTTGTGCCGGAGTCAAGCATAACGTTCTTATCCTCAGGGGCAAGAGTGTAGGTCTTTGGAGAGTTGGCGATGTTCATGCCAATGCCGGTAAGCTCGACAGCGAGGCTTTGGCATTGTTAGTTCAAACATCCCTCGGTCAGGAAGGGAGGAGGCAAGGAGCCCTGAGATGAGTCGACTTACCGAGGCTCGCCCTTAACGCCGTTCACCATGGGAACTCGTAGAAGCTCACCGATGAACTTGCCCATGTCGACACCGCCGTAGATGAGTGCACCCGAGTCCGCAGACGCGTGACGCAGATCCAGCGAGAAGATGCGGCTCCCGATGATTCCCTGGTCAGCCAGGCTATTGAGGATCAGGCTATAAGGCTTTCCGTGCTCGAACCCGGCCTTCAGATCGGGAGCCAGGCCCATGATGCCTGTGGCGATGCCCTCGCTCTTAGTGACGACACCGAAGGTCTGGTTGGACAGAGTACCACCGCCCATCGTGATACTGTCGGTGTAGTAGGCGATCTCAGCGCTCGTCTGAGTGTTAGGGTCCGAGGGGTCTCCGTAGTTGAGTCTGCGAGTGCCAATGGGACCGAGGGGCGGGGTGCGGCTGTTCTTTGGGTTGTACTGGCCCGCGGCGCTGCACTGCTTGGCCTGGGCAGCCGACGGCGCGGTGCTGCAATCGGGGTTGACCCAGAGCTCAGAAGAGCCCGTGTCGAGAAGGACGGTCACTTGCTGGGCTGGGGTACCGATGATGACTATTTTTGAGCCGTTGTCAGTCGCGCCAGTATGAGCAAATAACGGGGGGTTTCCTCACTGTCCGTAGAGTAGTAAAACTCTCTGTTATTGAGTATAACTTGGATCGCGTCTCTCTTGCTAAGATGGCTCAGGTCGGGTCTAGTCTGCTTGACCGGCATGGCGATGTAGCCTTTATCCTCGGTAACGCGAGGGACGGATAAGGCAGTGACAGAGCTCACCACAGCTCCCACGACGGCGACAAAAACCCCAGACTTCATCTTGGGCGGTTGTGAATTCGGTGTTTTGGCGTAAGAAAACCCAGAGACGATGGCACTGGAAAAAGGAAGAAGGAAGAAATGGTGACAAAGAAGGTGAAGGGAAGGTCCCAAGAAGTGAGGCCGATGCGAACCTTGAAGGGGAGCCTTAAAGGAGAGATGAGGTTTTGTGTGTTGGGGAGATTTAGCAGATAAAGTAGAAAGTGAAGGTGAAAGCAAGAGAATAGCCACACGGAACCTCCAGCTTCTAGAGCGACGGAGTTGAATATGGTGGACCAGGTCTGGGGTGTTTAGTGGCATCGGATTGTGGTAGCTGGGCCCTTCCGAGGAAAGAAGGCAAAGCCGCATGGGCTTTGCTGCATGCACTCATACTAGCTGTCGTTGGCGTCGGTCGCAGGTGAAAGAAAATAAAGAGCAGTATGTCTCTCCTCCATTTGCCGTCTCTTACTTCAACGTCTGTTTGCGGTATATACCAAGGCGCAATGCTTGGTCCCGACCTCTGGTTCCTTGGCCAGATCTTCAAAGGGGGATCTCCAGACCGCGTGGCCAAGATTCTGGATGTTCTTGACCTTGCCTCGTTTGGCCGACCTCCGTGTAGGTGAAGTTACACAAAGAGAATCGGTCTACCCAGCAGGGAATCCGATTTCCGCATGCGATGTCTCCCCTGGGCCCAATGTTTCCATCCCATGTGTTCGTCCACGTGAGGTTCCGGCCAACGACCTATGAGACTAGCCAAGTCCAAGGTCAACATAGTCCGATGGAGACTGTTACAGCAGTTGATATCATCCGCCGAGACGGAAATATCCTTGCTTCACTTGCATCAATCCTGTAAACGGGCTCGGAAACTCTTCGCATGGGATGTGAGACAAACGCCTGAAGACGGCGATTAACGGCGGGCCGGCGCATACTTCCGTATCACTGGGTCACCCATACTCCACTAAACCGCTTAGAATCGTGGCTTTAGATGAGCAATCCATCTGTAAACCAAGACTCCATGGAAACTTCCGAGCCTGTACGTCATGGGATTCTCGGGAACATCCATGGTTCTAATGATACTGACACCCAGGGAGCTGGAAACTAGGACAGCATTACCTACCAAAAGGGTAAGTGCAAAAGCCTTGCCGCTTGGCCCTTGTCCCCGGCTCAGTTTGGAACCCCGTCTCTTACTTTGCGTATATAATATGGCTTCGCCTCCCATGCACAAGGACAAGGCAGCCTCTCAGTGGACGTACCATACTCTTGGAGAACGTTACCTAGATCCGATGTCTTGAAACACCAAGCAAGAAAAAAGAGAGAATGCCAACGAGGCAATGTGCAGGGCAGTCTATCTTGGTAGGTTGAAGCCCCTTCGTTTTAACGACTCGGTAAGCTCAGTGAACATTGCCTTTATCCTCGAGTCTGTGATCGACAAACGGGTTCCACTAACAAAGATTGATGGATCTGGGGGTGCGTTGCACTGCCTGGAGGGCCAATCAGCAGATGGCAAGCCAACCGCCCTCCAGTGGGACATCTCTCGACTGTCACGTCACATCCAAACACTTGTTTGATGTGTGTGGCACGCAGTCCTTCAGGTCCTCAAGGGTACTAGGGTAGTATCGAGCAGGCCTCCTAGTTGACTGAACACTAACGCCTAATGTCCCGCGATCCGACATACGTAATACCATCGCTAGTATTGCCATAGCCGATATCAGCAGGACTCGAAAGGTACGCTGATTTCCGGCTGCATAGCTGACGAGAACCAAAACGAGGGCCGACGGTGTTATTATTGGGTTAGTGTTTGACGTCGAGATGTACAAACACATTTGTTGTGAAATTGGAAAAATTCTGTCGAGTCGCTGCCGGAAATCAACGCACGACGCGATGTGGTGTTGTTGTCTTTCTACACTACGGTGCACCGTCTCGCCTTGTCCGCAGAGGTCTCTAGAAGGAATGAAAACTCGCCAGGCTACGAGTTTAAGTACTTCCCCTCAAGTCAGTAGTAGTACGAGCGTCAACGTGAGTGCGATGACGGCTAGGTGATGATGGCTGAATCCACGGTCGAAGCCATGATTGTGGGACGAAATGTGACACAGTCCCGAAGCTCAACATGCTTTGATGAACCCCAACTGATCTGGGGAGTAGCGTCAGCCGCACGATGGTCCGTAGCGAGCGAGTTTGTCGGAGTTTGAAAATTCCGGGTGTCGCGGAGGGATGCAGAGGAGAGGTACGTGACGTGGCCGGATGGTGATGTGATTGGTTGCAGGTACGGTGCGAAATGCCATTCCCAGGCGGACGAGCCGGCCGTTCTGACTGTCAATCAACCCGCGATGACGGTGTTGGCACCCACCTACATGCAAATGACAGCACAAGGTGGTGTGGGTGAGTGTCGCCGGCCAAGAACATGGGAGCAGCGTCACAGATGTAGAAGAGTGGCGGTTCCCTGTGGCCATCCGTTTGAGAAGAAAGCGGTCCGGGAGGATTCATGAAATCTGAAATCCGGGCCTGAGTTGAATGCCAGTTGCTGAGTTGGCAAAGGGCGGAGGGGTTGAGGAGGGAAACCGACTTCACATGCCACGGATAAAGTCTGATCATCCAACAAGGGAGCCGAGACTGGCTGGGGAGCAGCAGTTTTGGCGTGAGGCGGATAACAGTTAGGTTTCAGTCATGAAGCCGGCCGGCTAGGTCCACGAACGATTGTTGGGAAGGTCTACTTAGGCTTAGACAGTTGAGAATCTGCGCGTGCAGCAAAAGGTAGATGGGATGCTGCAATGCAGTCGACATTGGACGGGATGGCGGTGACTGCCGTCGCGGTAGACCATTGGATGAAGTCTAACGCAAGGCAAGAGATGCCGAAGACGGGTTGTGGGACAAATACCAACTGGTATTAAATGGTGGTAAAAGGCGCGGTTGCCTCCTGCCTTTCCTGCTTCTGGAAAGAAGAAATGCTTCCGTACCTAAGCGTGGAAACCACCAATGACCGTCTCCAGACGGAGGGCATCGTTCCCTAGCATTGCCCCCTCCCCCAAAATGTCGTCTCACACCTATCCTACCTTTCCGTCGACAAATACTAAGCACATGAAGTTCATGAATCGGGTAACTAGTTATGATCGTCCTGTAGTCATTTCGTCCCACCTGAAGTCAGCTAAGCAAGGTTCGTAAGGTGCAGGCACCTCTTGGAATTTGTACGGATCGCGCTCAATAAGGCATAACGTGGCCTGTGTGCATGGTGTCCGAGCACCTGTTGGAACCTTCCGAACGGACGGGATCATCCTGGGCACCTTTCCGTCCCGGGCACCCTGTGGACCGCATCTCTCGACTCCAAAACGCCTGCGAGAGGGTGGTCGGGGGGACCAAAATAGAAGGAAAGGGGAGATCGCTGTTTGTTTGGGCCCAAACACTTGGGGGGCCCTCGGCACCATGTAGTTGGTCTGCCGCGGGTCTCAGTGGCCTGCCAGGGCAGGGCAGAGGGATAGGGATGGGCAGTGAAACATACGTCCAATGACAAGTGCGTCTTGCACCACAACCTGGAGGAACGGTTATCCGTTCTCGTGGCTTTCACACCTCGTCATGTTCGTCGCCGATGGCACCTTGGACAACCAGCAGCAATACTTTGAGGTACGAGGCAGGACCGTGAGGTGCGAATGCGGATTGCCAAGCCGGGCGGCACATTGGCCAGTTCTCGACGGTATTTGATGTTTGATGTCTATTAATTTCTACAAGCCTGTCATTGCGACAACGCTGTAAGGGGAAAACAGCCACATGTCTGACGGACCACTACCAGGATAGATTGCCATTCCGCAGCCGTTGGACAGTACAGAGTAGCACAAACCGTCGAAGCTATCCAGTCATGTTGATCACCAAGCTCGCTCAGTGTTGTGTGAACCTAATGGACTAGCCAGTCCCCTTTGCCCCTCCACAAGCACAGGGCTGCAGGGGACTCGAAGGCTCGGGCCTGGCAATGGCGAAATGCTGGCGCCGAAGGAGAGGGACACGGAGCGATGGGAAGGCCCAGCCCCCTTGCGCTTGTGAATGAGAGGGAAGGAGCAACGAACGCGTCTCGCGCTGGGAGCCGGTACGCCGGACCTGGGGGCTGTTCCCCGAAATTGCCACTTCCTGGTTTACACAGGCGCTTGTCCGTCTTCGGATCGCAATCTCATCTCCAAGCCGCAATTCCCTCTCGCACATGTCTCTCATCCCAGCAGACTGCCCGGTACCATGGAGAACCTGCAATTTCGATCTGTTGTTGTCCGAACATGTGCTCAATTTGGAAGACTTGCTTTCTTGTCGTATTCAGTCAAGCTTTTTGATAGAAAAAGACCGCATCTCTGAAAATGAGATACTCTTGGACGGATCGCTGCGAACTGCAGTACGAGTCATCAGAGTATTATCCATGGCGGGACAGTTGGGCCCAAACGATGACGACGATGCAGCCCGCAGCAATGACGGGAAGGCGGTGCGGCACAGAGAGCAAATTTCGGCCCCTTCATGTCGAGCGTCCGCGTCCTCCGACGAGCAACGTCTCCCGTCGCATGCTATGTGCTGTGGTTTGGAAGCATATGGGTACCTAAGGATGCCACAAGGATGCGCAGTGAGCCAAGGTGCCTCAGCTGATTCCCACAGGCCAGCCACGTTTCTACCTATTATCTTTTCCTTCTACCCACCCTCACCTCACTTTACGGAGCACGTCCACGCTTATCCCCCCCCTGTGTCGAACCCCCCGTGCTGGCTTGGCCTAACCGGGCCTCGACTGGAATCCGTCTGTCGGCCTGTCTCGTCAAGGTTGTCTGCCACACCCCAAATTATCGCCCGCTGGCTTCTTCGGTACGCCTGCTTCCCACTCTTGATTTTGTCCAATGCCTCACTCCTTCTTTGCTTTTCGCGATCCATGCCGACGACGACGACGACCACTTCCTCACAGCTGATCCGACGCGCCAACGCCTCCTGTTGCCTCTCTCCAGAACCTCGATGCTTTTTCGTTCCCACCTACTAACACTACCGTCCACGAGGTAGTCTCCCGACTTCCCCTCGCCCATCGGGCTCCGATCCCACCGGCGCCATGAACGCGATCCAGCAAAAATGCCGCCCGAAGCACCAAGTGCTGGTGCTCAAGTGCTATCCGCGAACAAACAAGGGCGCCGTAGATGTGAAGCCCAACTCGAGCGAGTTGAGCTACCTGCTGTTCTACGCCACTTCCCGCCGCTCCAAGATCCAAAAGATTGGTTCCTTCCTAGAAAAGAAAACGGCCAGCGATGTCTGGCGTCTGCGCATCGGGTGTGTTTGAACCTACCCAAGACGTCGAGGGAACGTGTCGCTAACTCGAGCCCGTCCAGAAATGTCCAAGTCACCCTCCGGATTCTCACGGCACTGATCGAGAAAGCACCAAAGGACTTGCCGCTTGTGGCCCCAAATGTGCTCAAAATTCTCGATCTTATCCTCGGGTCAAAGGACATAACCATGGTCGAGTCCTCCATCCCTACCTTTGAGGCCTTCTGCGAAAACCACGACGCCTCTTCTTCCTTTGCCGACCAGGCCTATCTCGCCCAGTACGAATCGATTGTTCGCACCTACGCTTCGCTTGCGTCAACCCGGGAAAACCCTGGGAAGGGTGCGTCTAGCAAGCCTGTGCTGATGCGATGGAGGAATGCCGGCCTCGAGGCCATCAGGAGCGTCTCGTCTTCAGAAGCCTTGTCTACCGTCACAGGTCGTCAGTTTGACGTGATCGTTCCCGTGATTTTGGATAACCTTTGGTGGGACGACGACGAGTTGCTCGACACGCTGCTGTCGCGCATACAGATGGAGGAAAAGGTCCAGACCGAGAGGCTCCGCCGTAGGACGAGTGCCGGAACTGTCGAGACTGGCGGCACTGGCGGCGAAGCCAACCCTATTGCCCTGACAGGCACCGCATTTGATGTGGACAAGCTGGCAGAAGAGGACATCGGGGTTCTCGCCATGCAGTGCTTGAAGCAGATCTTCGTCGTACCCAACCGACCACAGATTCACTCCGCCACCGGCTGCCTTTTTCAGTTCATCGAAAGTCGTATCGCAAACGGCAACACTGTCCTCAAGACGGACGAGAAGTCTGGCAAGGACCACGGATGGGCAATCAGCATTTACAGCGCCATTGCACGATGGGCGCCCGTTCAAGACCGCTACGTCATCCTGGTAACCGCCATGGACCATCTGTTGAAATCGCCTGTCAAGGACGACAATCTGAAGCTGCATCTTACATTGACGGCCATGATTAGATCCCTTCTGCGCTCCGATATCAACTTGATTGGACTGAGCGCCATGGACGTTCTGTTGGGGCTTGTTCAGCATATGAAGAAGCTCATCCAACTACCCGGCGGCTTTGGTCGAGTGGAAGGGGAGGCCGAAGAAACCCCCTCTAATCTGCAGGGCTCCGGGGACGTGTTCGCACAACGAAGAGAACTTCTTGAACGAATCCAGACTTGCATTGGAGACCTTGCAACGCACGTCTACTACGCAGACCAGATCTCGGATATGATCTCGACGATCCTTCTCCGTCTCAAGCCCTCGAAATCCTCGAGCACCAGCTCCTCGCCTCAGCTGGAGAATGCCGAGCAACCATCCTCGGATGACTTGAACTCTAGCCAGCCTCAATTGGAAACCATTCTTTCCCGTAACGTAGGCAAGACGGCTGCTTTGAAGGCCATCAAGAACATCCTCCTTGTTGCGAACCCGCGGGCGCAGATGTCTGGCAATCTGAACCTTTCAAGAAACAGAGTACCGATTCAGGTCTGGGAAAACACGCATTGGCTTCTGCGGGATCCGGATGGGGAGGTGAGGAAAGCCTACGTTGATGCGCTGTTGACCTGGCTGGACCGCGAAACGACGCCGGCGGACTCGAAAGCACGAGACGAAAGCGCACAACATTACCGAGCTTCGCTCAAGAACAGTCGCGAGCTTCAGCCGTCCAATGTTGCTCAACGTGCCGCCTCAAACGCCTCAACCCGCGAGAAGCCGTCGCGGCGGCGTACGCACTTCCTGCAGCTCCTTCACATCGCAATTTACGACAACGCACTGCAATACGTTGACTACGATCCCGACATTGTGCTCCTCCACGTGCTGCTCACTAAGCTGGTATTCCAGTTAGGTGTCAATGCAGTCCAGTACGGGTTGCCCATGGTGTTCCGTCTTCAGGAGGACATCCCAGACGCGGATCTTCCAGTGCAAAAGGTCCGTCTTGGCAGTCTCTGCCACGGATACTTCTGGGCAGTGACTGAGAAGTTCGACATTGAGAACTCGGCCGTCGGGCGTGCAATCACCAACGAAGTCATCCGAAGGCGCAGCAAGCATTTCTGGACCGAGGGCGTGTCCATCCCCCCCCTGGACTGGATTTCGTTGGCACCCCTGGGGTTCCCAAGCTGCAGACGAAGTTGCCGTCCACCGAGGTCGAAAGTGAAGCACTGCTGCCATTTGATGATCGGGCATCGCTTGTTGAGAGCATCGCTGTGAGTTATGCAGACACGAGCATCTCTCCGCCAAACAGTCCTCCTCAATCTCCAGGCCGTAACTTCTCGCACCCTATTCTCAACTCCTCGGTCACCACAGCACCTGCAGCACCCGGGACAGAGTTACCCACCGCTTTCCGTGAACACATGCTTACAGACTGGTCAAGGGATGCGGCTATGTTGGCGCTACAGGCGGGAAGCAAGTCGGAGTCTTTGGCTGGTTCGAAAAGTGGCACTATGGGAACCGGCCGACACCACCTGACAGTCAACGGCGCTAACGGCCACGGGCAACCCGGCGAGTCGTCACCGCTTGGCAGCCAACGCAATCTCCGTCCGAACTCGGCCCAAGTGCCTGGAGGCTTGTCTCCCATGAGGCAGCTGCGCAAGTCCAGCGTTCGGAGTGGTGTATCGCCCTCACCGTCGGACTCTAGCCGGGGTGTAGTTCCGTCTGTCGACCAGCTGAAGATGGTCTTGACAGGCCAAGTGCCGGCAACACCCATTGGCACCTCAGCTGGGCTGCACCACGACAGTGATAGCGACAGCATGGTCAGCTACGACTTTACGCCATCCGAGCTTAGCTTCAATCCGGCGGCATCACAGACAGAAAACGGCGATGGGGCTCCTCTTGGGCGGCAACGGTCTTCATCTCAGTCACGCAAGGGTGGACCGTTGAACTCGAACCCTCTGTATGAGCACAACGAGGACGAGGAGGTGCCGCCTGTGCCACCACTACCCAATCATATTGGCGGGCTGGCATCTTCGATTTCAATCCAGGATTATGCGGTCAAGCCAGCGAAAAGAAACCTGAGTAGTCGCGGCGGTGATAGTTTGTATCACGGGTCAGCAAAAGGGGATGGGAGCTTTCCAATGGTCTCGGGCGGGGGAATGGATCTACACGAACTTCTCAACGGAATCGACAGCAAGGCGGGCGAGCTCAGTTTAGGGAATGTCACGAAGCCGCCCTACTAATGTAATGGAGACATAGGCGGTCTGTCAAAATTTTGTATTGCTACAGCCAGGCGTAGACGTATAGCGAGGCGTGAAGCCGAGGTTTTGCAGTTTTAAGAAGTATGTTTCCAAGATCTAGCAAATTGCCGCCAACGGCTAGACCCTGCATTCAATCATGTACACCGATGTCTCACCGAGCTCCCCGATAAGGTGGGCCCTGTCATCGGATGTCCACCCATGTGCCCAGCCAATCAGACCCATGTCGTTTTTCGGCGGAGCTTGCCGCGAAGCTCCCAAAAATTAATCGACTTCCACTTGTACTTTACAGCTCCAACGGCTCCTCCCAATCCACTTCCGCAACCTCTCTTTAGTGAATTACATGCGAGAGACGACACAACAATGAACCCCTCAACACGCATACCTCTTCGCCTCTTCACGGCGTCGTCGCCGCTGACAGCAACGGCCGGACGCCCGTGCTTCGCTGCCGCCGCCGCCAGAGCCATCTCGACAACGACGCTCAAGCCCGCCGAGGTTGCGCCCGTTGTTGGTACCGGCCCGCCGCCTGAGCCCCCCGTCCCGGACGTCGCCGCAGACGATCGGGCTGCCGTCGCGCGCGCGCGCGTCGAGAGGAGGCAAAGACAGGCCGAGATGCTGAAGCACGCCAAGACCATCCGCACGTCGGCGGAGGCGAAGGCAAGCAAGCCGGGCGCTTTGAAGAGGAGGTTCTGGAACGACGTTAGTGTGCAAGAGGTCGATGGTAAGTCTCCTTGCGTCCATGCTGGCGTCTACGGTTCCTTGGGTTGGACCCGTGCTAACAAAACACCTCCCCCATCAGGCGCTCTCCAAGTCCATCTCGACACCCGTCCCCTCCGCCACCCCAATACCAAGCAGATCATCCGCCTGCCCGCCTCGAAGCAGCACCTCGCGTCCGCCCTGGCAATCGAATGGGACCTCATCACTTCGGCCCAGCAGGCGACCAAGCAGCACCTGATCCCTCTCACCTCCCTGACCTGCCGCGCGCTCGACATCGCCGAGGACGACGCCGCCGCCGGCGCGATCCGCCAGTCCATCGCTACCACGCTGATGCGCTACCTCGACACCGACTCCCTGCTGTGCTGGGCGCCCCCGGCCGGCCCGATGGACACGCGCAACGACGCGGGCGAGAGTTTGAGAGACGTGCAGAAGCGCACGGCCGAGGCGGTCGTCGGGTTCCTCACGGCGCGGGTGTGGCCGGGCATCGAGATCCACCCGGTCCTGGACGGGCACAGCATCGTGCCGAGGGCGCAGGCGGAGGGCGTGCGAGAGGTTGTGCAGGGGTGGGTCATGGGGCTCGACGCGTGGGAGCTGGCCGGGCTCGAGCGGGCCGTCTTGGCGGGCAAGAGCCTCATCACCGCGGTGCGGTTGGTGGTGGAGTGGAGCGAGGGCCCCGTCGGCGAGTACCGCGACGCGAGGAGCCCGAGGAAGTTTGGCATCGAGGAGGCGGCGACGGCGGCGAGTCTGGAGGTTTCGTGGCAGACTGGGTCGTGGGGCGAGGTGGAGGACACGCACGACGTGGAGAAGGAGGATTTGAGGAGGCAGCTGGGAAGTGCCGTGTTGCTTGTCTCGGGCACGAACCGCAACTGAAGAGAGATGAGGGCGACAGCGGAAGACACCCCGTGGGGCTGTATCGATAGAGACTAAGATTTGTACATCAAAAGGCACATGTGGTCCCGAGGACCCGAGTGTGTTCGTGTAGGAGTAATTATTCGGACAAACCTCGACAGTCATTTTCATATGGGAGTCTGTCTCTTCGTGTAGAAGGTCTGAGCTCGTCGGGGAATCGCTGTCTACTACGTACGCGAGATGGCGGCAGCCCCGTAAATTGACAGCTTGTTCTCGCCGCTCCCTGTGGTTTCGGTTTCTCTTGCAATCCGCTTGGGATTTAGTCTTTGTTGTATTCGGGACACAACATAGCGGCATCGATCAAGGGCAGTTGGGCGTCGAATCATCTTCCCCTGATAGACTGAGTCCGGCCATTGCTATTCCAGATCGCCGCGGCAACGTCAGCATTGCAGTTCTGTCCGCCGAGTCCTCGCGACTTTCCCGGCCCTGTGTGTGGCACCCTTTCCCGAGGTTGGTATGGATATCCAAACTGGAAACCTCAACAGACAGAGATTCGGCATTCGAGCTCGCAAAGGCGGAAACGCTTCGGCCAAGTTTTTAAACGAGCCTTGAGGGCTATAACTCCCGACGAGGTTAGTGTTTGTCTACCTGCAATTGTTCGAGTAATCCAGTCAGTGGCATAAGATCCTATAATTTGGCGAAGAATTGTTTGCAGATTGACGCAAATCCATTAGATGTTTTCTCGGCCTTGGACACAGAGACGTCTTCGGGCTCGCAAATCTGCGTCTGACGATAGAGCATGGCAGGGGAGATACGTTGAATGACCCTGAGCTTTGGAAGTCGGGACCTAGAGAGCGCCATAGCACATAGCCCTCCCAGGCAGGAGAAACCAGGATCGAAGTGCAACGTTGATGGCCAACGTCGCACTGGAACACCTACTTCAACACGACTGAGAAACAACGTCGATTGGGTAAGGGCGTGCGTATCCCGACAAAAACAGAACTGGTTCTCTCAGCCCTCGACCCTCTCCTGTGATCCATGTATCCCATCTTTGTTTTCCTTGGAGACGGGAGACTCAAATCTCGAGGTTGACCCCAAGCAATACGAGGGGAATTTGCTTGATTCTCCAGATAGACTGATGAGACGCTGACGGCAGCACAGTCTGTTTTCTAGCACTATTGACACTAAGCAGCACGTGCCCCTGAACGGGGTGGAACACTATGATGCCTCAAGTCTAAGACCGGTTCTGCTTCGAAGAAGCCGAGATCTCTGCCTATGCGCCGAACGACCGAAACTGGGGTTAGCTTAGTCTCCCCGAGCACAAACCACGCGTCGAGGTGCTGACCACATGGCCTGTAGTTCATACACAAGCCGTATCAAGCAAGAATCGACTTGACCAAAATCCTTATACAGCAGAGCGGACGACGGCCCACGGCGACAAAACACATCACATCACAGAACAGACACGCATTCCGGGTAACAATCGTCTCATCATTGACCAGTCCGTCGTCGTCCACGCCACTAACTCTCCTGTTCAAGCCACTAGCACATATCTGACTCGAGGGATTGTAGTAAAGTTCGCCAAAGGAATTTGTTGTAATAACCGCAAGAAAAAGCGTAAAGCCCTCCCTTGTCGATCCCTTATTGTCATGTCTCTCCCCCTTTGAGCCAGCACCGCTCCACTCGTTGATTCCAACTGCTGCGCGCCTCGTCTCTGCGTCTCCTTTTCAAGTCTTGTTTCCCAACGGGGACACCGAAGTTCCCAACGTCGAAGCCAAGCTTTCTCGAAAACGTGGGGGAAAACAACAGTTATTGTACATTATCTTAAAAAAATGAAAAAAGAGGAAAGAGAAGAGAAAAACAAAAGAGTTAGGCACGTGTGTGCAAACTCGGCGATGTTCGTCCACCCATCCTGAATAGCAATAACCTCTGCGCCCCGGCTTGCTCTCATACGTCTATGGCCAAGAACAAGCAGGGAGCGGACGTGCTACGTAGTGTATCATCAGATGAAAAGAAGAACCCATGAATTCGGAATGACAGAAAGAAAAGCGCAAAAAAAAAAATTTTCAATAGCGGGGAATTAAGCGAAGGCTATTTCGTCATGAATACGTGGAATCATTGCGAAACGAAGAAAGAAGCCAACGCGTCGAAACCGAATTCCCTTAATCCGAAAACTCCTTCCACCGGCCCGAACTGCTTTTCGGGGGCAGTCAAAGAATGTACAATAAGTAGTCGCAAATGTCTTGCAGTCTTCATGTAGAGAAGCGAGAGTTCATGCGTCGCAGAACGCCAGACTAAGGCCTGTCAGGTCGGCTTTTCGTTTTCGCTCTATCATTCTCTGTTTGCTCGTCCACATCAAGTCGCTTGCGCCAGTCAGCCAGGCTTTCGCTAAGGCCCATTCCGACTTCTTCGTCCTTACGTGTGGGGGTTGCGGCGCCCTCGAAGTCGAAAGTGTTGCTCAGGCGGTAATTCTTGTTGGTAGCTTCCCAATGGGTTCGCAGAGTCTCGAGCTCGTTTGCTAGATTGTCCAAGGCTGTGCTGTTGCGTCCATCGACTCCACCCGAGACAGCCCCGTAGGTGCTGTCCACATCTGAGCTATCCTGGCGCTGATGGCCCATGTTTGTGCCGTTGGCGCCCCTCTCCGTCAACTCGGAAGACATGCTCGGTGCTTGTCTGCTCTGTCGGCGGTAGCTGTCGACCGAGGTCTCAACTTGATCTAGAAGGAGAGAGACCTTCTCCTCGGCATCCTGGGCTCGGCGCTCCAGAAGCGTATTCTCTTGTTGGAGCTCCTCCAGGTCACGGCGGTTGGCGGCAAGCTTGCGAGAAGCCTCCTCGGCATCCTTAAGAGCACCCTCGCGTTGCTTCTTGCTCTCCTCCAGTTCCTTTCTGACCGCGTTCAGCTGGTTCTCGAGCTTTTCGGTAGAAGCCTGCAGCTCTTCCTCGAGAGCCTCAATCTTTTCTTGCAAGATGTGGCGTTCGCTCTCCCAATTGGCGGGGGCATTTCCAGTCTTTGCAGCGGACGCCTCGACACGCTCTTCAAGCTCATCAATCTCGGACTTGAGCTTGGTGTTCTCCGCCTTGTACCTAGAAAGTTGCTCCTTCAGCTGCTTGAGCATCTTTTCGGTGCCCTTAACGTAGTGCACAGCAGACTGATAATCGTTCTCGAGCTGAGTGAGCTTTTCACGATAGGCAGCTTCGCTGGCCTCTTGCTGAGCCGCGCTGCGCTGGGCGTTCTCCTCGTGGGCGGACAGGGCAGCGTTGAGTTGATCCTCGAGATCCCGGATGCGTACTTGGTCTGGGGTGTTCATGCGGGGGCTGCCAATGCTGCGGGTCCGCGACATGCCGGTGGGGCTGATACCACGTTCGACCAGAATGTCCTTCAAGGTGTTGTGCTGCACAGTCATTGCGTTGGTCTCTAGCTGCTGGTTCTGAAGCTGGTGCTTCAAGTCCGAGTTCTTAGCCTGCAGAGACTGAGTGTCCCGCAGAGCCGCCTGGAGTTGCCTTCTGATTGCCACGCCTTCACGACTGGATTGCTCCTGGTACACCTCTAAGCCAGCGATGCGCTCCTCGGCAGTGCGAAGCTTGTCAGCAGCGGCATCCGCCTCTTGTTGGTACTTCTTGACCAAAGCGTTGGCTGCGTTGAGTTGGGCCTGCAGCGCCTTAAGTCTCTCAGTGTCGGCCTTGCTGTCGGATCCAACGTCTCTTGCGGTGACCTTATCGAAGCCGGCGAGTACTGCCTGCTGATGGAGTTTGGCCTCTTTTGCATGCTTCTCAGCAATCTCTTCAGAATCGCGCAGTCGCTGAGTCGCCGCAACAAGCTCTGCCGTGCGTGTTTCGTGCTCAGCCTTCAGCTTGTTGAGCTTCGACTCGAGTTTCTCCCTCTGCGAACGCTCCTCCTCGAGCTTGTTTTCGAGGAGCGCCTTCATCTCAGCGGAGGCCGCCATGGCCTCGCGCAGGGAGTCAAAAGTCTCGTTCTGCTCCTTGGAGTTCCCGATGGATTTGTTGTACTTGGTCTCAAAATCCTCTTTCTCAACCTTCATGAGCTGGACGGCAGCCATGGCTTCCGTGTACTGAACCGCCTGCTCCCTTGCCTCTTTCTGGACCATGTGCAGTTCGGCTTTGAGTTGTTCGAGCTCCGTGGAAGTCATCGTTTTGTAGGACTCGAGTTCGCTCATGCGCTTCTGGGAGGCATTCGTGGTGTCGTCGGCCAGTTGGCGGGCGCGTCGCTCAGCGTCGAGTTCCGATTTCATCATCTCGAGCTGTGCCTGTAGATCTTTCTGATAGTTGAGGGCAGAGGCCAACTTCCTGCTTATCTCCGTGGAACGGTCGTCGACATCACGTTCGCCATCCAGTTGAGGAGTGCTTGCAACGCTACCGCCCGTTTGGGCTGCAAGTCTTGCCTTCGCATACACCGCTTCTTGAATGGCAGCGTCTCGCTGCTTCTCAGCTTCTGCGATCTGCCTTGCAGCGAGTACAGCCTGCTTGTCAACAGAGGCCTGAACATTAGCGAGCTCGGTTCGCATAGCTAAAAGTGCCTCGATCAAGGGCTTGTCTTCATCGTCAAAAGTTTCAGTTGCCCTGCTGTCAAGAACGGGGCTAAGGCTCGCGTTGGGAACATATCCAGCCTTGCGGGCCAACTCAAGCTCTGAGGCATACCAAGCGTTGCGGTTTCTAGCTGTATCCAACTCCTTTAGCAATGCGACGGTCTGTGAATTGCGCCCTGAAGACCTTCGAGACATTGGGTTGCTAACTTGTCGCGTAGGAGGCGGTGGTGAAGCAGGGCGAACGGCTTGTTGTTGCTGTAGTTGTTGTTGCTGCACTGGGGGCTGCGGTAGTTGCTGCTGAGGAGGTTGTTGCTGTTGGGGCAGCGGTTGTTGCGGCGGCGGCGCCTGAAGTGGAGGCGTAGGCTTCACTTGTGCTTGCTGTGTTGCCATTGCTTTCAAAGCTGGCTCGGTCGTACTATCCACAGAGGTCTGAGACCTGCTGCCTTGCCTTGACCTGGGTTTAGAAGATTCAGAAGGCGCAGAATCAGACTTTGAGCTGGAGCCAGACCTCGCGACTTGCTGAGGAGTTCGTCGGCCGTTGGCGACCGGGCTCTCCGCGTCCTTGGAAGCTGGCTCCTTAACCTCTCGAATCACAGGCGATTGACTCGCCGCAACTCGTGGCGAGCCGCCAACGGAGCCGTCTCTTTCTGAGGATTGGCCGCGAACCCTGCCCAAGTTGCCAGTCTGCACCGACGGCTTTGCAGGCGTCGGACCTTGAGGAGGCGGCCCAGCGGGAGGTGAAGCAGCTGCGGACATTGGGGGCTTCGACATGTTGACGGCTGCAGGACTTCCGTCGCTACCATTGGGTGATCCTCGCACTCCATTGGTAGGGCTATTGATAGCCGAGGGGTCGCGAGCCGCCCCTCCAGCAAGCCTCTTTTGTTCAGGAGGGCCAGTAGAACCATCTCGGGACAGCAGGTTCCTCGTTTCAGCTGCGGCGCTGGGTCGTCTTGCTTGTGGTATCCGCTGCTGTCCGCCGGGCTGTTGTGCGGCTTGGGCGTCGTTCGGGTAACGAATCTTTGTGGTATCGAGCATGTAGACTATTCCGAGATCCCCAACGCTAGCCGGGGATGAGCTTGGTTCACCTCCAACGACCACCACAGCCTTGCCGACAGTTGTCATGCTGTGGCCAGATCGAGGAGAGGGCGACGGTCCCATATTCTGGAAAGTGTACCAGCGGCGTGAGGTGATTCTGAAAGCGGCCAAATCTCCCAAGTCGACACCCTCCTCCGTACGACCACCAAAGATGTACATTACATCGTCGACTATGGCTGCAGCGTGTCCTTCGCGAGGGACTGGGATATAACCGATACAGTCCAGTTGTGTCCACTCGTTTGTGGCGGGGTCGTAACTCCAGACGTCGTTGAACCATTGGTAACCGTTGGTGCCACCGAAACTATGACGGGGTCAGCATCTGAGCGTTACCAGGGCCTTCGAGGATACCTACAGGTACATTTTGTCGTTAAATGTCACTACGGAATGGTTGGTTCGAGCAGCGGGAATCTTGCCGACGGCAGGTCCACCACTGTCGGTGTTCTGAATAAGCATCTCCCATCGATTGTTGGGCATCTGCAGCTGGTTCAGGTCAAAGGCGGCGAGATCGTTCATGAAATAACCCTCAATCTGACCACCAAAAATGTAGATTTTGGATCCGAGAATGTTCAGTGAGTGGCCATAGCGACCAGACGGTCTGGTACCGGCAGGCAAGGCTCGCGACCATTGCCTCGTAGCTGTTTACGAATCAGTCGCCGTCGAATGCCTAAAGAGCCAATGTCACAGTGCAAAAGGAAAGCTTACAGGTGTTGAGAAGGTACAGTGTCTCGTCCAGAACATCCATCTCATCGACTTTGGTGTCACCGCCGTAGACAATAAAGGCGTTGCCAACAAGTAAACTTGCGTGGCCGACTCTTGGTCCCGGTCCCTCGGCGGTCGTTGCCAGAGGGTAGCAGGCCATGTTCTGCCCAGCCTCAATCATCCACAGGTCGCCCTTGACCGTTGAGCTGTTGATTAAACCTCCCATCACGTAGATATCACCCTCCTTGGACGACACGGAATTGACAGCGGCTCCATACCTAGGAAAGGGGCTCGGATGTGAGGATGTGTAAGTCAAACGTCGTTGCGACCAAGGATACAGCGACGCATTAGGGTTCGTCATTTGTTGTTGAGGAGGCAATTGGTTCTGCGAGGAGACGGGGGGCCATTGCGAAGCTGTAGAACGGTCAGCTTTGTTCAACGAGGGTGTTTCGTCGCAAGGAGTTGGCCAGACTTACGGGTAGATCGCTTGAAGGTGGTTGCGACGGTGTCTGGTCTACACTGGGACCTCGCTGGCGGCCATAGCCTTGGTCGGGGCTTCCAGCTCCGGCACTGCCATCGCGATCGATTGAGTTCAAGCTGCCCGTCGGCGTCGAGCGCTGGGTACCGCTCTTTTCTTCTCTGGCTATCCTCTCACGCTGGCTCTGAATGGAACCTTGGGAACCACCACCCGAGTTTCCATCGCGGCTTGCAAGGGCTCGATCCTGATTCTTCTTGGATTTGAAGAGGAACGCCATGACGGATCAGATCACGGCCTGCACGCTGAGCGGCAGATGGGGGAACGCTCGCTCGTAAGTCGTGTCCTCTGCGCCGTGGGTACTGGGGGTATCAATTGAATCGTTTCGTTCGTTGGAGAATGGGTTGTTGGCGTCACAATGATGAAAAAGCCCGTCCGTTGGTCGTGAAGGCGTTGCGGAGACTGAGATGCTGTCGCCCGTTCGCTGGATCCGAGTCGGGTGAGGCGCGATGGGAATGATGCAGCGGATGCAGGAACGCAGAAGCGCAGGAACGGCAAAGGGAGTCGAGGCTCGAGTTTGTGGATGGCTGGGTTCGCATCGGTGGAGTGTCCCGGGGTAGCGCGTGTTGCTGAGGCGAGAAGCGTCCTGCGATGTTGTTCGACCTCGTACTTTTTTTTGCGGTCCTCCTTGTCGGCGCAGTGAAGCGAGTAAGGTGGTAAGGGAGCGAGGGGTGAGAGAACGTGAGGAGGCTGGGTGTTGAGCGACACAGGACGATGGTCGACTGCGCGCGTAAAGAGAGCGGTTTTCCTGACGGGGGTTGGGTCGTCGAATTTTAGGGGATGGGTTACTTTTTTGGGCTCCTGGGCGGTCCCCTCTCGAACAGGTCTTTTTTTTTTTCTCTCTTTCTCTCTTCTGCTGTCCGTGGTCGTTTATTATTATCTCGCTCTCGGGCCTTTGGGGACGATGTCGTCGCTGCTGCAGCGATCGCAAAAAGAAGAAGGAACGTCGTTGAAGTTGGATGACGGGACGGCGCAGCAACAGAAAAGAAGGCCAGACTGTAATGCAGCAAGGTCTCTCTCTCGTCTCTCTCCTGCGTGTCAGTCAACTTCGTTCCCTTTCCTGGGGCGAGTGTTGAGAAGGGGGTTTGGTAAGAGGACGGTAACGGGGGATGGGGGAGCCAGAGAGAGGAAGGAGGACCCGATTGGAATTCAATGCAGCCCCGGGGCCAGGAGTAACAGCGGGCCCCAAGCAAATGCACTCAAAGCTGCAGCCCAGTGCTAGCAACATCGAGTTGCAATTGGCAATTGGGATCCTCCATGACAGGGCACCTCACTTCCCGTCTGTTTCGGGGCGCCTGTTCCTGCACAGACTGCACCTCAGTAACTGGCTCCGTCGGGTCGCTACGCTGGCCTTCCCAACTGACTGCTTTGGCCCGCCCTGCACGCTGCACTGACACTTCAGGGGCTCGTTCTTAGTTGCTCCCCGACCAATGGCATCAATAACAGCTTGGGCTTTCGATCGCCTGTACATAAGGGTGTGTAGGGGACAGCCCGGCATCCAAGCAGAAAAGGGAAACTTTTTTGTTTTTTTAGGGAGCACGGGGAGGCTGCAGGCCTGCAGGCGCCTTCGCTATGGTGGGGGAGGAGGGAAGGATCCTCGGACATCAGGCGGGACAACAGGAGTACTTCCGCGCAAGCTGGTTTCAGGCCATCGACAACATGTCACTGGCCAGTACTGTGCCCTGCACGGTGGTCTGCATCCCGTTTCCTCCAAAAGGGGCTGGTGGGAAACGAGCGGACGGGACATGTGCTTTGGACGGCAATCACATTTCGACCCATAACTGAATGTGCCGTCTCTCACTTTGCCTGATAGCCTAGCCAGCGCTACCGCTGCGACCAAAAGCCATCTCGTCAAGTTGCCGGATCCATCCAGGATACTAAGACGGCGTCCGTCATTGGCGTTGCCTCAACTTGGCTTGGTGCCGTAGGTATTTAAAGACCTCGATGGAGACTGTGTGACGTTCGGCCTTAGGTTCTATTAAAGGGCCTCATGGGCACGACCTGATGCGTCCCTTTGCCTGAGTCGGAAGCAGACCCCAGCTCTATTCCTGCCCCCCCCCCCCCCCCTCTTTCTCTCTTTCTCCTTCTCTCTCCGCCCTCCCCATACCAAACACCTTGTACCTTTTACTTTCGAGCCGCCGGTTATCAAGCCTCACAGTTTCACCGTGCTTTTGGAGCTGAAGCGCGCCAAGTGCCATGTGCGACTTTTGCTTCAGAGCCAAATCAGCCTTCCTGGCGCTGATCTTCCGGACATCCAGAAGATGTTTGGATTTAGTTTGGCTAATGCTGGCAACACTGGCCATTTCCTGTCTCCTTTCAAGGGGTGCATGCTTTTCTGGGCCTTGGTGGCTGCCGTCAGCCCCCCCAGCATCCGTTAAAACCTGCGGCATCTTTTCTGGAGACCTCAACGGCTTGCTCACATCATCATCGTGACATCGCCTCCACCAAAGGTTCCAGCAGCTCTCCCCAGCCCGATACCACGGTAGGTTGCAGATCCTGAGGTCTGAGTCGGGCGACCTCCGTCCTTTGTAATGCCTGCCTCTCGACGCTGAAGTTTTGGCACCCGTAAGAATCATATCCCCGTCTTGCCCAAGATCAGATGTCAATTTGATGCCCGTGGGCGTGAAGCGTTGCTTCTTTGACAAATATGAGGTCTCGAGATGAGACATGAGAGCACATGACGTCCAGTTACTGACATTCCGCCCCGAGATCCTGCCGCCGCCAGGAAACCCTGACATACCACAGACTCTCCGAGTGCTCAAACAGTTTCTCTAATTTCAGAGAGGACGGTCAGCTAGAGGCCGTGGATGCGCAGACAATCGCCTTTTCGCTTTCTCGGCGTTGGCACTCTTGCGTACTTGTCTGACAAGCAGCCAATGAGGCCCACTCCCAATGGCACAGGAATTCATGAAAATCCCAATCTTGCTCCTACCCATGCCCCGACGCCCGGGCCAGCCTACTGTGTAGTGTACGGGTACGGGATGAGAGAAGGACAAAAGAGGTAAAAGGGCGATGAGCCTCGGGGCAAAAAATCGGATTCTTCTTCGTTGTGCTGACGCGTGACAGAGCTGTTGAAGGCCATTTGCAGCCATAAGCTCGTGGCTTCAGGGGTGTGCGGTGCTCCTCCGTAGCAGTGAAAGAGGGCGGCGGTCCCATTGATCCATCGAGGATAATCTCCCATCAGGGGGATCCATCTGCCATGAAGTGGTGTGTTTCATGTTTCTCAAAGCTTCAACGCCATTAGCAGCTTCCAGTACACGGACTCCTTGACGCTTTGAGGCCCGGCAACGGACGCAATAATTGGACGGCGGCAGAGCAAGACGGGATCCCGAGCGGCGAAGAAGAGACGGAGGAGATACTAGGCTCCTCCTTAACTTCTTCTGCGAAAATAGGAAGCGGAAGCATTGTAATACATTTACACTGTGTAGGCGGCAAGCCACGATCAGGGCAGGGAGCCTGCTCCACACCACAGATGTTGAAGGTATGCTATCGTATCTTTCCTTGGCGTACGCTCGTCTTTACTAGAGGCCGCTTTGGAAGAGCAATGGTGCAGAGTTAAAGGCTTCGTTGGAATGGACACGGATTTCTGGCAAATTGAATGATGCGCTTGGCTGGGGTGCTTAGCTATGGCAAGAATGCTGTTCTTGAGATGGCGCGTCTGAGAGTAAGATGCGAGCATTCTGGTGGGTATTGGCGTTGGCCTGAAGCAGACGGGAAACGGAGCGCTTAGCCACGCGGCGGCATCCCGCCTCCGGCGTCGACGGCGGGAGCGAAATCCGACGAGTTAAGTTGAGGCTCGTGTTAGAGTAGGGTGCCTCTAGGCCCAAGATGAGTAAATAAGCCAGAGAGACCCTCGCGACCGTGTCTCTCGTGGCGCATGGATATATCGGCCGATTACAACCGATCAGCGCCTCTCATATCTCTTAGAGCCTTAAGAAAGATGCAGCGGCATTCGATGATCAGAGGAGAAGCTTCAAGCATAAATCTTTCGAACAACGAAGGACCCTGCCGCAGAGCGTGCGGTAAACCCGGAGCGTAAAGATGCGCCCCTTCGTAGTCGTAGTGATTGTCGTCGTCAGCATGGACGCAATAACTGCAGAACTGCAATCCGGAGTGGATCGATGGCGGTGAGCAACATGGGCGACGTGCAATACAGCCCGTATCACAGATCTTATCGTGGAAACGACATAGCGGTTTGCGGAGGTTAGCTACTTGGTACGCGGTATGACGTGCGCAAGATCGGAGAACAAGATGAGACGGTCCATAGAAAACAAAACAAAAAAGGAGAAAAAGGAAAAGGTATCCCCGCAAAATAAACGGAGAGAACAAGAAGGAAGGATAGGCAAGAAAAAAGAGGTGGGAGCCAGCCGTTTGGGCGAGACATTGTTTCTAACGCGCCCACCTTCCCGCCGGCCCATTCCCCACCGTTATCGAGTGATGTTACGAGGAATGTTATCTCCGATTAGCTCGCGATGCTGCGTTATCGTCAGCCGCCAAATTTTGGGGATAAAGTAGGTACACACACATGGTGGAGTCCTTGAGAGCACACGAAACTGGCCATCAAGACAAGAAGGGTTCCCAAATATTGCATCACAGAGAACGCAGCAGCTGGGCACTTCATTGGCCAAACATCGTAGTAGCCGTAATTCAATTGAATGAACCCAGACTTGTTGGCTGCACGAGGCAAGTCATGTGATGACTGCTGTAATTGGTGTTGACCATTCTGGGACTAGCGTCGTTTCCAGGGCTTGAACCGTGCACCCGGCCGAGGCCTACCTCACCCCCCCAATCTGAATGTGTTACTGCTGCACCCTGCGACCGACCAGCGGCCAGCGACTGGGAGACGCAGACAACCGGAGACTGGACGAATAATGCGGAGATGTGGAGCTGAAAGGCGGTCAGGGTCAGGTCACCCACCTCAGTCCAGTGCCTCTATCATGTTTGGCCCTACCCGGCCGCCTGTACTCTGTACTGATGCCATCATGGCTGGATGACTACGCCAGCGCGTCTATAAGACGAACTCCCAACTTGAATTCCAGCGATAGTATTGGTTTATCGGTATCGGCCCGTCTACATCATGTTGATATGGACAACAAGGAGCGCTGGTTGGAAGTGTTTAGAAGAAACTTTCGGGGCAAGTGATGCAGAGGCGACTCTTCTCCGACCCTGATAGGCTGGCGACCGAGCTGACCTCAGCTCAGAGCGCCATTCCTAAATTTTGGCGGGTATTGTGCCGCGGGCCAAGGCACCTACCGCCGCAATTGCCTACACTGTGAGCTGGAGTTGGGCGCGTGTTAGCCGCAGCGCAACGCCGTCAACCTGACCCAACCTGGACCTGTCACTCCGGTCACCTCTCCAAAAACTCCAAATTCGCGTCACCAACGCAATCGCCTGCACATCTCTATCCACCTCATCCGCGCGACACCCAAGGGCCGAAATGTCGCCGCGGTAAATGATTGACAGGTGGTTTTGGCGCCAACTACAAATCTCGACAGAGTCATTGACAATATGACTGCTGCCTCTATGCAAGATCACCCCCTTCCTCGCCCCTCACCCGCCAGCCATCTTCGACAGTCGAGCACCTCCAAGCCCTCACCATCCAGCTCCCAACCTCGACACTACGCGAGCATCTCGCGGAGGACGAACAGCACTGCGCTGCTTGGTGTTAATGGAAGTCCCACCAACATGCCGCCGATGCAGGGTCCCAACGGATCCTCCGCATTTGCCGATGCGACAGCCCAACAATCGCCGTACGGCGCTCCTCCGCCTTTAGCGCTTCAGCGATCAACGAGCCACGATGACGGCACTGCCAGGCGGCCGTCGAGTGCGCCTGGAAACAAGCAGAATCTCTCTGCCGGTTTCTCTGCTGGCGAACATTCGGATTCGGACCGACCGAAGCGGCCATCCATGAAGCCGCTCCTCATGCGATCAAAGAGCGAGTATGGAGTCAACCGCTCCGAGGAAGTCGACCACTCCGAGGACGATATTCCGCATTGGGGCGCCAGACACGGTTTCGATGAATATCATGAGTCGCCGGAAATCCTGGCCCAGATAGCGAATGTAAGTAGCAGCTTTTTCCATCGTCCATTATCTTTTGTCCTGCTTCCTTTTTTGCCCATTCTAAGCTCCGCGCCTCCCCACTTGGCGGCCTTGTGGCGGCACTGTCCAGCTGGACTGGTCTGACCGTAGTCTCTGTCTGCGCGCATTGCGCAAAGAAAGGAGACTTGCGATTTACCACTCGGCCTGTACGCCATGACCAAGTACTGTTGTTCGAGTCCCAATCCTGGGGGCGGCGCGGGGCATAATCTCATCCAGGTCAAGGTCTACATTCCATCCTGTCTGAGCCTCTAGGGCCATGCAGTCACCCTTTTGGGTGGTACCGATGGCTACTCCGCCAGCATTGAACTCAACTGAACTCAATTGCGATGTCGGCACTGCTTTGGGCTACTGGGACTTGTTGGTATCTTGTCGTATCGTGAACCGCGCTGACTCCTGTTTCCAGAACTGGTATATGTACTGGACCGACAAACGGCACGAAACAACCGGCAAGCCAAAGGCAACGTTACATGAGCTGCAGGACTGGCGTATGCGTGACAGACTCAAAACTGTGTCTGCTGCCCTGGCCGTATGCCTTAACATTTCAGTCGAGCCTCCCGACCAGCTCAAGACGAACCCCGGTGCGAAGCTCGAAGCGTGGACTGATCCTACGACCCCGCCTCCTCAGAAAGCCCTGGAAAACATTGGAAAAGCGCTCCAGGCGCAGTACGAGACCCTTGCAATTCGAACGAGATACAAACAATACTTGGATCCGTCGGTGGAGGAAACAAAGAAGTTCTGTCAGTCCCTGCGTAGGAATGCGAAGGATGAGCGAGTCCTGCTTCACTACAATGGTCACGGAGTACCAAAGCCTACTGCCAGTGGTGAAATCTGGGTTTTCAACAAGAATTACACGCAGTACATTCCAGTCTCGCTGTATGATCTTCAGCAGTGGCTGCACGCCCCTACGATATACGTTTGGGATTGTTCCGAGGCGGGCAACATCCTCAACAACTATCACCGATTCGTGGAGAAGCACGAACAAGAAGAGGACGAGGCCGCCGCAAGAGATCCGAACTATGAGAAGACAGTGTTTCAGCCTTATATCCACTTGGCCGCCTGCGGTGTTAAGGAGAATCTCCCAACGAACCCTCTCCTCCCAGCAGATTTATTCACTGCCTGTCTTACCACGCCTATTGAGATGGCTCTTTGGTTCTTCGTCCTCCAGAACCCTCTCAAGACGAATCTTACTCCAGAGCGCGCCAAGAAGCTCCCCGGAAGATTGCAGGAGAGAAGAACACCCCTTGGTGAATTAAACTGGATCTTCACAGCCATTACGGATACGATTGCTTGGACAACGCTACCCCGACATCTGTTCCGGAAGTTCTTCAGGCAAGACCTTATGGTGGCCGCCTTGTTTCGTAACTTCCTTTTGGCTCAGAGAATCATGTCTGTCTACGGGTGCCACCCCCAATCCTTTCCCGAGCTCCCCGAGACCCGTCAGCATCCGTTATGGGCAAGCTGGGATTTGGCTGTAGACATGGCTTTGGCTCAACTTCCTATGCTGGAGAGGAAGGAGAACGAAGGCATCGAGTATGAGTACCAAAACTCGACATTCTTCACCGAGCAACTGACGGCGTTCGACGTCTACCTTACCCGTGGAGACGCCATGTCTCAGAGACCACCAGAGCAGCTTCCAGTGGTACTTCAAGTCCTGCTGAGCCAACAGCACAGAGTTAGGGCACTAATTCTGCTTGGAAGGTTCCTCGACCTGGGTCCTTGGGCTGTGCAGCTCGCTCTGAGCATAGGTATCTTCCCTTACGTCCTGAAGTTGTTACAGTCTGCTGCGGCGGAACTGAAACCAGTTATGATCTTCATATGGACCAGGATTTTGGCGGTCGACATCTCGTGCCAGCAGGATCTTATCAAAGACAGCGGATATAATTACTTTGCTCAGATCCTCAAACCATCCGAGAGCTTGCCGGTTGTTAACGAGGCCGAGCATAAAGCGATGTGTGCTTTTATTCTATCCATGCTCTGCAAGGATTACAAGCCTGGTCAGCACGTCTGCAACCAAACAGACATCATGACGTACTGTCTGTTGCATCTACAGAACCACGAAAATCCGCTGCTTCGGCAGTGGTCATGTCTCTGCATCAGCCAACTATGGCAAGAACTTCCAGAGGCCAAATGGCGTGGCATTCGGGAGAACGCGCCTGCGAAGTTATCATTCCTGACCAAGGATCCAGTCCCCGAGGTTCGAGCTGCGATGATATATGCCATGACCACGTTTCTGGGCATTATTGACCTCACTGATGAGGTTGCTCGGATCGAAGAGTCCATTGCGTGGACATTACTGGACATGGCCAACGACGGCAGTCCACTGGTACGCCGCGAGTTCCTTGTCTTCCTTTCAAGGTTCATCCTCCGCTTTGAGAGCAAGTTCATTGTTGCTGCATATGAACAACTTCAAGAAGAGAGAGAATACCTCCTGTTCCCACCAGGGCAGGACGGCATGGACCACAAGATGGGGTTGCATTACGCCAGGAGAGAGAACCGGAACGCAGACGGGACCATTAAGCCCACGGTCCATGGCTTTGCACACAACACCGTCTTTTCTGCTTGTTGGAAGCATGCTTTGATGTTGAATGTTGATCCTCACCCTGAGGTTCAGCGTGATGCGACGATGATTGTGGACTACGTCCATCAAGCTGTGATGGCTTCGCCTGTAGGTGAACATGCCCAGATTCTCGTCGACGACATTCGGAAGAGAGCAAAGCGAGCTTCAACGAAAAACCACCTGAACTTGAGTCAACGGAGCCACGCCATTGGCGTCTCCAACTCTTTAGCTACTCCACCGCTGCCTTCTCCCAGTTTGTTACGTCGCACTGCAAGCTTGCTATTCCAGTTACCCTTGTTCAGCAATGATGGCAAAGCCGATGCCAACGAAAAACCCAATTACTCCTCTCCGGCACCCTCGCCTGGTCTGAACAGGGTTGGATCTCAGAAGATCAAGGCCCCGGAGCTTGCTGAAGCGCCCCCAGAGCAGAGTGACCCCACAGCTATCCATGCCAATTACCACGTTGCCAGAGAGCCTGTGTCTGCTGGGTTTGAAGACCGGAAGCCAGGCGAAGCGCCCTCTCTCCCTCTCCAGAGTACTTTCTTGGAGTGGTCAATCGAGTATTTCTGCGAGCCTCAGATGAAGCCAAGCGAGTCAGACGAGCCGGGCAGCACCGAATACAACGAAAGACTCTGGAGACGGTCTCGAAACGACTTCATTCTGACAGAAACGCAGCCACTCAAGCAGTACGCCGGCAGTCACAAGTGGAACAACCAGCTGGGCATCACCAACAACGGCTCACAGCCTGCCAAGCTGACGTTTCATCAGTTCGAAGATCAGCTTGCCGTTGCGGATGATGGTAATACGGTTTGTGTCTGGGACTGGAAGAAGCATGCTCGATTGAGCAAGTTCTCCAATGGTAATCCGGAGGGCTCAAGAATCAGTGACATGAAGTTCATCAATGAGGATGACCAGGCTTTCCTAATGACCGGGTCGTCCGATGGAGTCATTCGCATCTATCAAAACTACGATTCCGACAAATCCATCAGCCTGGCATCTTCTTGGCGGGCTCTTACGCACATGGTACCTAGTAACGTCAACTCCGGCATGGTGTTTGACTGGCAGCAGTCGCTGGGCCGTGTGTTGGTGGCCGGCGACGTACGAGTCATCCGGGTATGGTCTGCGGGTTCCGAGACTTGCATCATCGATATCCCCGCCCGGTCTGGCTCCTGTGTCACCTCCTTGACCTCTGACCAGATGACGGGCCACACAGTTGTGGCTGGGTTTGGTGACGGCGCTGTCCGCGTTTTCGACACCAGGATCAGACCACAGGACTCTATGATCAAGAAGTGGAAGGACGAGACAGACAGACAGTGGATCAAGAGCGTCCATCTGCAGCGCGGTGGACAACGAGAACTCCTTAGCGCTAGCAGGAACGGCAAGGTCAAGCTTTGGGATATCCGGATGGATCGACCCCTTCATGTTTACCAGACAACTCGAGACACGCTTCGAACGGCCAGCACCCATGAGCATCTGCCGGTATTTGCTGTGTAAGTCAAACCGACTCCCTTTTGAGAAGCGTTCGATACTAATTGCATCACTTGTAGTGGTACATCCGCACATGCTGTCAAGGTCTTCAACTTCGACGGTCAGGAGTTGTCACGTGTCGAGCCATACTCAAGCTTCCTGCAACAAAACAGGGGCTCTCCTATAGCAGCTACTGCGTTCCATCCGCATAAGCCTATTTTGGCCTGCGCTGCCAGAGGAGACTACCACGTCAACCTCTTCACTTGCGAGAAGTCCGAGTCACAATCATTGGTCGTTTAGCTGACATCCGAGAGAAAGTAGACGGTACTTTCCGCTGTATTCCGAATAGATTCTTGGGGAGGATTATGCCGCTGCTGTGTAACTACTTTTTCACTTCTTCATTTCCGGGCGACAGCATATCAGGACTGGCGATGGACGGCGTTTGATTTGGTCGCTTTATGCGCCATGGCAAGGGCGGAATTGCATGGGATACTAGATGGTAGCAGTTGGCCCATTCCGAAGCCAATTGATGTATGAAAATGAAACCTGTACCAAGAAAATACCTGTGGTTAACCACACGTGCAAGGCAGGATAAGTAGAAGTGAGGCTCATTTCGTCACCTCATCGTCCGGGGTTAGAGTCAAAACGAGCTTATCGATAAGCATGATAGGGCAGCTCAGCTCGGGCCCCACTACCTTCTCTGCTGGGTGCAGCGAGGGGTCGTTGACTCTGCCCCGCCATCGAAATTTCCAGGTTTGTGGTGTTACTCGATCAGTCACACCGAAATAAGGTCAGATCACAAGAGTCATCGAAGCGACATATAAACAAGTCGAGTCCGTCGTGTCGAATCCTCCAGCTCCGGCCCACTCCCGATTCTCTCCCCCATTGAATAGAAAACCCACAACCATGGCTGACGCGCCGACCGAACCCAAGCCGACCGAGTCTAAGCCCCCGCCCCTGCCCCCGAGGCCGGCGAGGGCGGCGAGGGAGGCGAGAAGCAATCGAAGAAGGGCGCGAAGAAGGCCGAGGCCAAGGCAAAGAAGGAAGCCGAGAAGGCCCGTAAAGCTGCCGAGCGCCAGGCCGCTGAGGCGGCTGCAAAGGCTGCCGGCGGCGGCGCGGGCGGCGAGGACTTGGCCAAGGACAACTACGGCGACGTCAAGCCCCAGACCAAGGTCGATGCCGAGCGCACCAGCCTGCGCAGCATCGGCGCGGAGCACGTCGGAAAGACCATCAAGCTGCGCGCGTGGATCCAGAACTCGCGTATGCAGGGTGCCAAGATGTGCTTTGTTGAGCTCCGCGAGGAGCGCAACTGGGCCATCCAGGGTGTCATCGCCGCTAGCGCCGAGGGCAAGCCCGTATCGAAGCAGATGGTCAAATGGATCGGCGGCATCGCGCTGGAGTCGTACGTCCTCGTCGAGGCGACGGTGCAGAAGCCTCTCGAGCCCGTCAAGAGCTGCAAGGTCAGCGACTTTGAGCTGCACATCACTAAGCTCTACGTCATCGCCCCCGGCCCTGAGGCCCTGGGCATGAGTCTGGCTGTCTCGAACCGCCCCATCAACAGCTTCGATGATGAGGACCCCAACGCCCCCGAGGCGGAGAAGGCCGTCGACGAGGTCAAGGCCGGTGTTGAGGGCGTCACCATCGACACTACTCCTAGCGCGAGCATGTCGACCCATCTCAACAACCCTGTCATGCACAAGCGTGCCCCCGTCCAACAGGCCATTGCCGATATCCGTATGGCCACCAGGAAGCTCTTTGCGGAATACCTCGACGCCCAGGGTTTCGTTCAGTTCGAGCCCCCTTGCTTGATTGGTGCCGCCTCCGAGGGTGGTGCCAACGTTTTCCAGCTCCCCTACTTCGAGAAGAGCGCCTGCTTGGCTCAGTCCCCCCAGTTCTACAAGCAGTTCGAGATTGCCGGTGGCAGAAAGAGAGTCTATTGCATTGGCCCCGTTTTCCGCGCCGAGAACTCCAACACGCCCAGACACATGACCGAGGTGGGTACATATAGGAGGCAGGCGTAAGGCCACTCGCTAACACAAAACAGTTCACTGGTCTCGATCTGGAGATGGAGATCGAGGACGACTACCACGAGGTCCAGGACATGCTTGAGAAGGTCCTCCTGCACATCTTCCGCGGCCTTAAGGAGCGCTGCGCTGACGCCATCGAAACCGTCCGCGCCGTCTACCCCTCGGATGACTTCCTGCTCCCTGAGCCCGGTAAGGAGGTCCGCCTCACTTTCGCCGAGGGACAGAAGCTCCTTCGCGAGGAGGGTCCTGAGGAGTACCGCAACGTCTCGGACGACGAGGACATGTCCACCCCTCAGGAGAAGGCCCTCGGCGCCCTGATCCGCAAGAAATTCAACACCGACTTCTACGTCCTCGACAAGTTCCCCGAGGGCGCGCGCCCCTTCTACGCCCTTGAGGACCCGGAGAACCCCAAGGTTACCAACGCCTATGATTTCTTCATGCGTGGCCAGGAGATCCTTTCCGGAGGCCAGCGTATCCACATCCCCAGCGTCCTCGAGGCCCGTCTGCGCAAGAAGGGCATTGACCCCAACAGCCAGGGCATCAAGGAGTACGTTGACGTATTCCGCAGCGCCGGTGTGCCTCCTCACGGCGGCGGTGGTATTGGTCTCGACCGTGTCGTTGCCTGGTTCTTGAGCTTGCCCTCTGTTCACCTGGCCAGCTACTACCCCCGTACCCCCAAGAGACTTGTGCCATAAATGGTTGTGTCGGCGCCAATTCAGATAGCATGAAAACTGCCGATAACGGCTATGGTTGAAGAATAAAACGCATTATGAAGAGCAAAGTGTGTGCTTTATTTGCCGAGCGTCGCTTTCTGTGAACTCCTCGCTGATGATTGGATCTGTATGCCCTCCGACACCAGCCAATGAATGGCGGTTCACGAAATGCGCAACAGGTGCGGCAGCGGCAGGCTGTGCGGCACGACGTGGCTTCGCTCCGCACGTTGGCTGTCGGCAAGGCAGACTCTTCAAAACATAAAAAACACCGGGTGCGCTCTTAAATCCCACATCGGGGAGCTTCACTCTTTCCTTGTTACAATTGGAGCGTCATCGATACAGTGAGCACGCGCACGATGAGTTTTGGGTACAGCGTCGGAGATGCGATCACCATCCTGCGGGAGGTGAAGTCGATTTACGACCGTTTCAAGGATGCCCCGAGGCAGTTCAGGACTATCAAAAACGCGTTAGTTCCCGTTTTTCCGTCTTCCCAGTGGCCATAGCTGATCATGTTACATTTTTCAGAGCCGAAGGTCTCGTCTTCGTTTTGGAGGACGTCCAGTAGGTTGAGAAGAACCTTATCGAGTCACAAAAAGCGAAATTGACTGCTCTTCTCGAAGATTGCAAGGATTTGCTCAAAGAGCTGAATTCTCTCATCAACGAGAATTGCTCATTAGAGCGACCGCCAGGTGCCTCCTCGTCTGGGAAGACGTTGTGAGTGATTTGGGACAGGTTGCGATGGGATCCGAAGCGCGTCACCGATCTTCGGTCGAGAATGTCCAATACTGTCCAGTTTTTGGAGGCCATAAAAACCTCTGTGGACAGGTCAGCAGTCCGAAATTATTGATGGTTTCTTGGCTAACCTATCTATACGTTTAGTCAAATGGTGAAGGACACTAAAGAAAGCGTTGACACCCTACGCCAAGCTCAAGACATCGAAGAGCGGGAGAAGATCCTGGACTGGTTGACCCTAACGGAGTATGGTCCTCAGCAAAGCGATGCATACTCACGGAGGCAAGAAGGCACTGGCCAGTGGTTTCTTGACTCGGACGAATTCAAAAGTTGGACCGCCGAAAAGGGTTGGACGCTGCTTTGCCCGGGGATGCCTGGGGCAGGCAAGACAATCATGGCTTCTCTCGTTGCGGAAGAGCTTTTTACACGATTCCGGGATGACCCAAACGTCGGCATTGCTTACATTTATTGCAACTTCAAGGACCATGACAGGCAAAGCACTCACGACTTCCTGTTAAGTCTAGCCAAACAGCTTGTTAGATCCCAGGCAACAATCCCTCAATCTCTAAGGGATATCTACGATCGACACCAAAAAGATAAGACTATCAGGTCTTTGAAAGAGACTCTTGACGTCCTACATGCCGCGACTTCGCTGTATACGAGGACATTCCTCGTCATTGATGCTTTGGACGAATGTCGTCCGACTAGCCTCCCAGGGTTTCTCCGCGAGGTCTTTCATCTGCAGCACCGTCATTCAGCCAGCGTCTTTGCAACTTCCAGAAACGTCCAACACATCGTTGAGTCACCTGAGTTTAATGGTAGTCTTATTCTAGAAGTTCAGGCCACCGACGATGATTTGCGCCGGTACGTTGACGGTCGCATAGCTGGGATGCAGGCCTTTATCCAAAGTCGCCTTGATCTTCAAGAACAGGTCAAAAATGGGGTAATTAAAGTATCCAAGGGAATGTAAGTTACACTTTAACTTACCGCGCGACTGGACAACACAGGCTAAATATGCAAGGTTCTTGTTGGCAAAACTCATCATTGACTCGCTCTCTATAAAAACAACCGCGAAGGCGCTCCGCCAGTCAATTGATCGTATCACCATTGATTGCGATACATACTCGAGCATATATGATGAGGCCATGGAGAGAATTCGTGTTCAACCATCTGACCACTGGCAACTTGCTATACAGATTCTTGGTTGGATAACCTATGCCAAACGACCACTGAAACTCGTGGAGCTTCAGCATGCCCTCGCAATCGAGCAAGATGCAGAGGAAATAGACAACGACAACGTTCCCCCTGTCGAAATTATCATGTCAGTCTGTGCCGGCCTCGTCACAATAAACGAGGACAGTGGCATTATAAGACTGTTTCACCAAACCACGCATGACTACTTTGTCACAAAGAAACACGACTTGTTTCAAGACTTTAGTTCCGAGATGACGACAAAGTGTGTTCGGATTTTGTCTCTTCGGTGCTCCAGACAATATTGCCAGAATCACCTTCAGGTACGGTCGACGAACAGAGAAGCATTGCAAGACTGTCTGGTCCCAGATAAGTGCATACCATTCTACGAGTATGCAGCTCGTAATTGGGGGCATCATGCACGAGATTCTAAGAAAGTCCCTTGCGGAGTTGTGGAATTCATTCGTGGGAAAGGCGTATCGAAGACTTACTTGCAGATCTGTAGAAGACTCAGCTGGCAGCATCCACATGATTCTTTCGATGCCCCTCAGAAAACTTCGCATCTAGCAGCGTACTTCGGAATACTCCAACTGTTTGAAAAGCACATTTTAGTTGAAGATGAGCTGTTTTCAATCGACGGAAATGACAGAACCGCATTGTGGTGGGCAGCTCACTAAGGTCACGAGACTGTCGTGAAATATTTCTTGAACAGTGGCGCTATCGAGTCAACAGCGGAGGATACACAATCCTCCTCTTCTAAAGAAAATTCCCCTTCAAGGTTCAGCCAACGCTCGATTAGGTCAGCCCTATATGAGGCCCTAGATCGTGGTCACTACATTGTTTTCAAAATCTTCATCGACTTTTACAGCAAAAAGAGCCTAGACATTGAGATAGAAGGCGACCATGGAAATTCCATCTTCTACCCGTACACTCAGGCAAATGACCTATTAACAATTGTTAAGTGGATTCTCTCTTCTTAAGAGAACCCAGTTGTATAATTATACCTAGTTTAAATATAAAGTAAATAAAGACATATTGTAACAGCACAACTCCCCTAGCCAGATGGTTGTACGTCACAAGGCATATAAGCAGTGTTAACAGTAGGGCTTGCACGCGTGCAAGCACTGACGGATCTTTTGGGTCATTTGGGTCAATTGATCATAGTCGCAGAGTCTAAAGGTCCTTGTCGCAGAGCGTCACTGTCAGCGCTCCGTTACATATATTTTCTATAGTTAATTATCTTCTTAACTATAAGACTTAGCTTTTATATATAAGATATACAATCTTATATAGTTATTCCTAAGTTACTTTAGTATAAATATATTTTAATCCCTTTACTTAAATAACTGAGGTTTAAGCTTTTAGTTTATACCTTTATCTATTGTATGAAGCTGCTCTTAGACAACGGCGCAAAAGTCACAATTGGCAACGAAAAGATGATGAAGACATCCCATCATGTTGGTAGAGTCGATTGGTCAAGGTACCATAGGCTGTTTGATGGCGCATCAAATTGGTCTGTCAAGGCCTTTCAACAGCTACTAGCTTCTGAAGACCCTGACCCGGATGCAACGGACTACAACAACCGAACGCCTCTTCAGTACGCGATCGACTCTAACAGAGGCCTGAGAGACCGAACAGAAGTAATTTTGTTTCTGTTAAGGGACCCTAGGGTTGAGCTTCGCCGTGTCAACGCGCAAGAGGTCTTCCGTAAGGCTGTCACTCAGAACGCTCGCGATTTGGCTCACCACTTGTCGGCTCGAAATGACGGGGATGTAAATTTGCCGGATGACAGGGGCGTAACCATGATGGAGGGCGCGATCATGGAACGGTGCTTGTTAACATGCAATCTCCTTCGAGATCTGGACGCCAAAATCACGGAAGATATGTTTGTGGACTTGGAGGTTTGCGAGGAGGGTCAAAGGCGATGCCGGATGGACGAGGGCTGGTTCTACTTCGACCTACAAGATTCGTAACCTGCTGAGGGGCTTGGCTGTTTGACTCTGATACATGTGCGGTTACTGCTCTTTTAGTTTTTCAGTCATCTTGTCTTATACACGTCATTTGAATCGTTTAACACACCATTCGCAGTTGAGCTTCAACTAGGCGTCCATCATGTTTCAAGCCTTGTAGGATCAAGTAAAGTGTTAGGTCAAGTTCGTGGGCGCCGTGGATACAAGGGGAAAAGTCTAACAAACGGTTTCATTATTCATTATTTTTTGTATTAAACTGATAGTTCTAGTCCTCACTTAGAAGTTCTTGGCGAAGAACTCGAGGACAGTCTTGTAGCCACGGGTGTACTCCTCCTTGACCCTGGGATCCTCCAAGTCGGAGCGGGCAGCCATCCATCCGTGAATCTGGTCTTTGAATATCTCGACGTGCTTGGCAACACTCAGGTTACTCTCAAATTTTTTGACATCCTCCTCGGGCTCGTCCTTGGAGGCGAGCATGATGAGAGGAATCTTGATGCCCTTGGCCTCCTCGGGGTCGACCATGGCAGGGTGGATCTCGGCCCCGACCTTGAAGGGGTTGCTATCGCCAGAGGTGACGAGGGAAACGACCTTGCCTCCCCAGCAGTACTGCAATTCCATCAGTCCATGCGCCACTGCCGATGAGATATGGAAGAACTTACACCGATAATACCAAAGGACTCGAGAGAAGAGTTCTTGGACTGGACGGCCTTGACGTAGTCGGGAACCATGCCCGCGATCTTGGGAGGCGGGAACTTCTGGAAGAAGCCACCCAGGTTCTTCTGCTTCTCCTCCGTGTTGGGAGGGAACCACTCAATGGGGCAGGGCTCGCCAGCGAACCAGTCGGGGATGAAGACGCGGTACTTCTCGGAACCGCTGGTGGCCAGGATGTCTGCTCCCTGAAGGGTTTGAGGGAAGTATCCAAAGATATCGTAAATAACGACAATTGCTTTCTTCGCGTCGGAGGGGCCGGTGACGTCTGGGATTGTGTCTGGTCAGCGAGGCTGAGTTCGCGGGTGGAAACATTGGGTGCGTGGGGGGAGCCGCAGGCCGCGGGTTGGAGAGTTGAACACAATTGAGTGTGAACATAGACCAACTTACAAGTCTTCTTGCCTCCAATCTCCTCATAGGTTCCCTTGGCCTCGTATCCCTTGGACACGACGGGCGGGATGTTGCAGCAGCCCACGGAGTGGCCGTGCTGAGCAGGCATGGTCGACATCTTGGCGGCTGGTGTCAAGGACGACTTTTGATACTGTTGTACGAAAGACGACGACTGTCTAGAAGAGCTGCAAGAAGTTGCAAAGCTCTTGGATGTGGTAGAGGTTGTGGGTGGTGTTGTCAATGTTGATTGAGAAGCTATTACTGGGGTAGGGGAGGATGGAGATTGTTTCGGGATAAGGGACGACCTGGATAATGCTTGGGAAGCGGAGCGGGCAGCTTTGATGGTGTGGGAGAACATTGTATTTATCTCAATGGTGCGGGCTCAATGATGGTTGGGTAACAAGCTGTTGGCGGGGTATGTGCCGGGGGCTCCGTTCGCTGGCGTTCAAGCTGGGGCGTAGGCTTCTTGCTGCTTCTGTTTAGACGACTTCGCTCGGCGCCACTGAAAGGCCCAATAGAGGGGGTAAACAAGGAGCCACCACAGCTTTGACGGGAGGGGTTCGTTGCGGGGTGATGTCACCACTACTTCAAGGACTAGGTATGGATGGGAGATGTCTCAACCCCGCCAGATGTGGATCTCGACGGCCCCATTATTTCGAACTATTGCCGGCGCCGGTCCCGAGGTCGGCCGGCCGTCTCGGTATGTAATGACAGCTTTTGAGTACGGGATGTGATTGCCAAGGCAGGCTAGAAATTAGAGACGCAAGATCGTGTCAGGTCCGCAACGTTCAGGCCACATTAAGCGGCATGTAGGCGACTGCAGAAGCGAGATGCTTGGCCGCATACACGCATCAGCACCTTCTAGTCGTCTTGAGGACCCAGCGCCGTGGTTCGCTAGGATTGAGGCACTCTGGCGAGAAATATAGTTAAAATCGTGGGAATGTATTGCCGGGGTATTTGGGAAGGGTATGTGATCGTAGGGAATACCCTGTCATTGCCTAGCCGCCATACTCACGTTAAGAGCAACCCATACCGAGGTCCACACGTCGTTTCCTCATGTTTCCTCACTCTCACCCACATGATGGTCTGGGTTAATGTTAGGGAACACATACAAGGGGCCGCAATACTCGTATTGCTCAACCAAAGGCGCGGGTATGTGATTCTTCAATGAATGAGGCTTCCCTAGCTGGCGTTCCGAGTAGTTAATCGAGGATAAATTTGATTCCAACCTTGACTAGAGTCTAATCTTACCAAAAGTAATTCTATGGTCAATTACGAGGATCGAGCCAACCAACCAAACACTCGTCAGCCAAGTTGCGCGACGATCCATGGGATCAAAAATGTTGCGTTGTCAAATTCAGTGGAAGAAAGCCAACACCGTGTTGAAGAAATTCATTTCAGTGCTTTCAAATCAGCCCCCCCCCCCCCCCCATTTGATGTTCGTGTGTGTCAGAAAACAGAGCACCAAGAAAGTAAATAAATGCCCTCCGTACTTACATTCGGACCAAGCTACCTGTGGATTACTCGGCCCTCCGTTTTGTTCTCATGGCCAATACATAACTTCAAGGCCGCAACACAGAGCCTTTCCAGATTAAGGGTCATACCCAGAAGCCCTTAGATCATCCAACGCCTTTTCAACGACCATTCCGTCCTCTTTAAACGCCAAAATATCAGCCGCTTCGGCGGCATCGACCCAGACCACATCAAACTTGACCCGATCCTCCCTGGTCCCCCCTTCCGACGCAAGATCACAGTTTCCCTCGGCCACGAAATAAAACACCATCTTCATCGCGCCAGAAGCCGGGTCCGGGTAGTGACACACAGCGACGGGCTCCGTGTCGACAACCTCCTCCGACACCTCCGGCGCTCCCGGTGGCCCGCCAACGGGCGTGGCCCTTGTTCTGAGTCGCAGGGTTACCGGCCTCACCGCGACACCCGTCTCCTCCGCAGTCTCACGTAGAGCGGCCGCGAGAAGGTCCTCGCCAATGTTTTTGCGGCCCTTGGGGAGCTGGTAGATGCGGTGGCGCTTGTTGTAGACCAGCAGCACGCGCCGTGCGCTCATGTTGACGGTGACGGTGCCGCAACTGATGATGAACTTGTGGGAGGGGAAGAACTTTCGGCCGCGGGCCATCTCGTTGATGGTTGATGCGTACATCTGTGGCTCTTCCGGTAGCGCAGAGGGAGCCATCTTGGTGTACTTTATTTTTGTTGGTTCACTGACTTGCGGTGAGCCGTCTCTCCCTGGGTAATGAGGTAAGCCTCGATAGTCTCGGCTCGGACTGAAATCTGGTATATGTCTGCTGTACTGGGTAGATGAGGATGCCGGGTCCGGTATAGGCTAGAACTAGTAACAAAGAACACCTCTCGAAAGCTGGATCGCATTGAATCAATGAAGCCAGATTCAAGCAGCTCACCGATCAAAGTGAGGACTTCCTCTTATACCTGCCCTTGACCTTATGGCGGTGAACCGTACCACGAGAAAAGACTCACTTGAGCTTACAACCATCCCCCTTCCGGTGTTCTCTGCGTTGTTCTCCCTTCTCTCCCGGTCAGCGTCTGGGCGAAATCCCAGCATCATCCACTGAACGGTCCCATTCCATGTAGTTGCACATCGTCACCCCTAAGCCAAGAACGAACCCTTCATGAAAGAGGTGTGAAGCAAAGATCTCAATGCGCCCGTCGCACCTCACTGAGACTAGTCGCCCCCGTATTTGGGGGCTCACCCCCGAAGTCGTAGCCCTAAGTAAACAAAAGAGAGAAGCCAGCACTGCAGGGCTAGTCCGGTGAGCGCTGACCGGTGAAGCAAGGGTTGGCCATCGGTGAGACTAGGGTGCAAGTGTACCACATGAGCTGGTCGCAAATCGCGGTTTGCTAAGGAGTTGGTAGTGGGAGAAACAAAGAAATATTTGTTCGCGAGCTAAGTGAAGCATAACGAAACCACGTGGAGGAGAACAAACCGAAGAAAAATGTGACGAGTCACCTCAACCGAGTAGTGAAATGTTCGACTTGTGGCTAAGACGCGAATGAGATCGGCTCTTCGCTGCCATAACCAGAGAATGTTCTTTTCGGGGCGAGTTTAGTCGCAGGTCGCCTAGAACACCACCCATTCTTCACATCGGCTGGACTAGCCAAAAACTTGTGAGATCGCTGGTACTTCTCGAAGCTGACAGAATGATTGACGGATGAGACTCCGAAGGGATTGATTGGTTTGCTGTCTCGAACAATAACGAGATTGGACGTCCACGTTGCACGAAAAAAGGCACGTGGACAACCGAAATTGTGGCCACGTTAATTCCGCTGATGCCTGATCTGCCAAATGCGCGGGGAGGGGTCGTAGAATGTCTTGGAGAGGGAACAGCTGCGAGGAGTTAATAGGTTGAGAGAAGACGAAATGGAAGGGGAGGGCTGGAAGGCAGGCCCGGGGCTTTCACCGCCGGCGCTCGGCAGGGGTTTGGCCGGTGGATCACCGGAGGCAATCCCGTGCGATTGGCTCTTCTTGATCCGCTACAGAACGTGTTCCCGTTTTCTCTGAATGAATTTCTCGATGCGGAAGCCCTCTCCGGAGGCAAACATGTTCTGAGAAAGATGCGATTCTTGAAATCGGATCAAAAACCCGACTGTGTTGTAATTGCGTCTTCAGCAGCCTGAATAAGGATCTCCATCCCGCCGCCGGATGCAACGGCGGGAACGCATAGAGAGATACACAGGTGGACCTAGGACACCGTCAACATTTACTGGTGGAACGAAGACTGTCACGATGTACGGTGTCTAAGGCCCTGCCGTAGTATTCTGGCCGTCAACAGATTTTCATACATCAAATCATGTGTTGCTCTCACCCCGAATTGGTACTTGGTTGGGCACTTGACGTTGACAAAACACAACCTAAAGGCTCGAAGACATGAGAAACAAATGGCTAATTCTGCGCTCCTTTCTCAGATGACCTGGATCTAAGCTCTTTACATTCTGAAAACACCGAATTTGGTATCGCCAGCTTTGACTTCGTTCCGACCTGACATGGCGGCCCGCAGACCCAAGCCCAGGTATTGACGGGTATGCTGAGGAGGAATTATGCCGTCATCCTATAAGCTTCGTTAGCAAGTATCGTATTGGTGACTAGCCGCGCGACTTACCCATAACCTAGCCGACGAGTAGGTCGCGTCGCTTTCCCGCTCTATCCTCTCCTTCAACTCGGGGTCTGCCTTGCCGACGGTCTCCATCACCGCAGCCAGCTGCTCACCACCCATGACACCGATGCGAGAGTTTGGCCACATCCACAGGAAACGGGGGCTGTAGGCTCGACCACACATGCCATAGTTGCCAGCACCATAGCTACCGCCTACTACAACCGTGAATTTAGGAACATCGGCACAAGCAACAGCAGTGACAAGCTTCGCGCCGTGCTTGGCAATGCCACCGCGCTCAGCAGCGGAGCCAACCATGAAGCCAGAGATGTTCTGCAGGAACACCAAGGGGATGCCTCGCTGAGCGCAAAGCTCAATGAAATGTGCGCCCTTCACGGAGGATTCGGCAAACAAAATGCCATCGTTGGCAACAATACCAACCTTGTAACCATGGATGTGGGCAAACCCAGTGACCAGAGTTGTACCGAAGTCACGCTTGAATTCGGAGAACTCGGAACCGTCAATGATGCGAGCAATGACCTCCTTAATAGGCAGTGGCTTCCTTAGGTTCGTGCTAGCAATACCGAGGAGTTCCTCTGGTGAGTACAGAGGCTCGGCGTAGTTCTGCACGGGTGGCGCTGTTGAAGGTGACTTCGTAGGCCAGTTCAGGTTGCTGATGCTCCGCCTGGCAAGTGTAATAGCATGAGCGTCGTCGACCGCCAAGTAGTCTGTCACACCTGAAACAGAAGAGTGCATCTTGCCGCCGCCCAGCTCCTCTGCACTGATCACCTCACCAGTAGCTGCCTTCACCAGCGGCGGACCAGCAAGGAAGATGTGTCCCTGGTTCTCGACAATGATGCTCTCGTCACTCATTGCGGGGACGTAGGCACCACCCGCAGTGCACGGACCCATAACGACCGAAATCTGGGGAATCCCCATGGAGCTCATCCTTGCCTGATTGTAGAAAATGCGTCCGAAATGATCACGATCAGGGAATACGTCAGCTTGATGGGGAAGGTTGGCTCCGCCGCTGTCAACCATGTAGATGCAGCTATGTATGAGTCAGTAACCATCGATCGAGGGGCAACTCGCGATTCCTTACGGCAGCTTGTTCTCTTGGGCCACGGCTTGTGCTCTCAAATGCTTCTTGACCGTAATTGGGTAGTAGGTTCCGCCCTTCACTGTGCTATCGTTGGCAACGATCACACACGTCACGCCTTCGACAACGCCGACACCAGTGATGATGCCACCCGCAGGAACGTCAGCCTCAGGGTACAGTTCGTGTGCAGCTAGAGGTGACAGCTCCAAAAAGGTCGTGCCGGGGTCGATTAACGCGGTAACTCGATCGCGCGGCAGCATCTTCTTTCTTGCAAGGTGTTTTTCTCTCGCCTTTGCCGAACCCCCGAGGTGTACCTTCCGCGTCAGGTCCTGCATCTTCTTCATAACCTCGCCCATGTGCCGCTCATTCTCCTTGAACTCCTCGGACGTTGGGTCGACATTGGTCTGGATTCGGGAAATGGCGCTGGCCTGGTGCGGAGGCGTGAAGGTCGCAACGGTGCGGGCGGAACGCGGGAGGCGGGGTGCTCTGAACCCCGGCCGTGTCAATTGACGCGACAGAAGCAGGACGTCCCTCGATGACCGCGAAAAAGACATTTTGAGACGTGTGCGAAGATGTTGCCAACGGGTGCAGCAGCTTGGGGTATGAAGAAGACTGAACTGCTTCTGCCGACGAAGACCCTTGGAGACGGGAAGGAGAGGTTCAAGGGCCGCTCGCTTGCTGACGGGATATCATTCCAGTGACGTCCAACCGTTCACCTCGGCCCGCAGCAAGCCGCCCGTAGCCGAGCACCTTCTTGCCCCGGTTGGACCTCAGCTCGGCATCTAGCTGGGGTAACTTGGATCATCAATGGGAGGGGGTTGAAGTTGTGCTTCCTGATTCCTTCTCTTCTTAACCCATCTATTCAATCTTGTTGAAAACTATAGCCATGACAAGTGTTCGAGCATTCAGATTGTTGGCGCGACCGGCGCGTCAATTGCGACCCCTCGCCGCCCCGGCCCTTCAGACCCGACACCACTCCTCCAAGCACCCCAAGGGGTTTGAGGCACCATCACAAGCCGACCTTGTCGAGCTGCGCGAGCGTGTGCAGGACTTTACAAGGCGCGAGATCACGGAGGAGGTCGCCGCGAACACGGACAAAAGCAATGCATTTCCCAACGAGATGTGGCAAAAGCTGGGTGAGGCTGGTTTCCTGGGAATGACGGCCGACGAAGACGTCGGTGGTCTAGCCATGGGTTATCAGGCGCACTGCGTCGTCATGGAGGAGATCTCGCGTGCTTCCGGCTCAATCGGTCTCAGCTATGCGGCGCACTCCCAATTGTGCGTCAACCAGCTCCAGCTCAACGGATCTCCGGAACAGAAGCAGAAATACCTCCCCGGGCTGATTGCCGGTACAAGTGTCGGTGCGCTGGCAATGTCCGAGTCTGGGGCCGGAAGCGATGTGGTGAGCATGAGGACAACAGCGACAGCCGTCGACGGCGGCTACGTCCTGAACGGCTCCAAGATGTGGATCACCAACGGCCCGGATGCCGATCTCATCGTCGTCTACGCTAAGACGGAGCCCGACAAAGGCTCCAAGGGCGTTACGGCATTCATCGTCGAGACGAAGACTAAGGGCTTCAGCTGCGCGAGAAAATTAGACAAGATGGGTATGCGAGGCAGCAACACCGGCGAGCTCAACTTTGACTCCGTCTTTGTGCCCAAGGAGAACGTCCTCGGCAAGATCAACGGCGGCGTGCGGGTGCTGATGGAAGGTCTTGACCTCGAACGCCTCGTTCTCAGCGCTGGGCCGCTGGGCATTATGCAAGCTGCGCTGGACGTGGCCTTGCCCTTCACCCACCAGCGTAAGCAGTTCGGCATCCCCATCGCCCAGAACCAGTTCATCCAGGGCAAGCTGGCGGACATGTACACAAAGCTTCAGGCGTCTCGTGCCTACACCTATGCCACAGCCAAGACCGTCGACGAGGAGGGCTCGATTCGGACACAGGACTGCGCCGGTGCTATTTTGTATGCTGCCGAGAGAGCGACAGAGTGCACTTTGGACAGCATTCAGCTTCTTGGCGGTATGGGGTACGTGGAGGAGATGCCAGCTTCCAGACTTTTGAGAGAGTAAGTGACCCGGCAACATTGCCTTGCTGAGAATGTTCACTGACAAGTTCCTAGTGCGAAATTGTATGAAATCGGGGCTGGTACTTCAGAAATCCGGCGAATGGTCATTGGGAGGGCGTTCAACAAGGAATATGCCCATCTTGCATAATGGCGAAAACGATAGACCGAAAAACCAAGAGTACTGTCACTCTTGACATAGACGCCAAACAAAAATTTCACAATACTTTCTGCGAATGTAAAGTGTGACAGGTTGGGCGACGAGAAGCCATGGCGCGAATGAAACCATTATCGCCCGACGCCACCACAATTTGCAAGCCCCGGGCCTATGCTCTTCACATTGTCCGGGTCTTGCCAGATAAACCTAGGTTGATACATCCGTAGCCGAAACCCCCCCTCGTCTTCTTGTACTTGAAGGGCACGTAGCAGAGATCCTTTTTAAATCAGCTTCTGAAGAAATGCCGGTAAAATCCATAGGGATTATCTGAAGAGCGCGTGAAACTAAAGTTCTTGGTATATCCTACAACTGCCTTCGACTCCCACTCCTCACATTGCCACTACCAGCTTTCAGGCCGCCCTACATCCTGTGCAAAATCTCTAAAGCGAGGCACCTAACTTCTGTCAAATCTGCAACCAAAGCTCGTCGTATATAACAGATGAAGATGCAAGCGTTATACAGCCGCATAGTTTACACCACTAGTGTAAGGTTGCATGTCTGAGAACACCAGAATCGAAGGTGCGCTTCCAAGACCCCTAATCTGCAAGGAAGGTGCAAGCGGATGGCCGAATGTGGTATTCCCGAGCCGGCACCCTAGTTCACCGTCCAAGTAGCCAAAAGTGTGTCTTTTGTGTCCGGGACCCGGGGGTGGTTCAATAGAACGACGGCGACAACGGAGCGGGATGGACAAGGTACGGTGAAGGGTGCGTGGTGGGTGACACGAAAATCAGTGCTTGTCGGTCAGTCAGCCACCTCCCTTTCCGCGTCTCGTGTTCATCAAGAAATATACTAAGAAGTGGGTAAGGAAGAGGACGGGCGAGCCAACTGCATGGTCATCCCAATCAACGTGATAGCGAGATAGTGTGGACGGGAGACAGACGGGAGATGCCAGCATGCAGCATGCATAAAAGAAACGTTGGACACAGCCTATGGCCGCTCTCCGAAGCGGAGGTCAGGACTATGGCGCTACGCGTTGCCCACCAAGTCACCGAGAAAAAGAAGGCCAGACCCTTGGCCCTAATCTCATGGCATTCTAGAACCTCCATCCCGTGCAGGAAAATTGGGGTAGCTGTGGGGAAAGGTCTTCCGAGAAATGCCCAATGTTTTGGCTCCAATACCCGAAAAGACTCTTAAAAAAAAAGTTGGAGCTTGGTCACAAGCTCGTTCACAGATTCTCGTCTTTTCTTTCCCAACCCGACTCCACAGGGTCCCTTGGGCAAGACCGGAAGGCATGGAGACCTTGACCAGGGTTGAAGGGGTTTCTGTCGTTTCTCTCCTGTTCCGTCTCCAGCACTAAAGGGGGGGGGGGGGGGGGGGGGGGGGGGGTAGACTTACCTGTACACATAACTGCGTACACTGCTGGGCATGCCATCCCCGTGGGCACTCCCAATTGGGCATCCACTGATTAGGGGAAAGGAGAGGAGGCTCAGGCTCTCTAGCCGGGCATCCCGGTAACAGCCCCCAAAGTGGTCTCGCCCACATCCACCCCCGCCCCGGGGTTGTGGTTCTAGTGTGGGCGGTGGGCGGCAGCATGTCCGCTCGGGCTCCAGCCTAGCTCCGGGGCAGCTCCTCGCGAGGCAGTGCGACAACGGAGGGAGGAAGCTGCCACTTGCAACCTGCAACGAGATGGTCGAGACTTTGCGACCCAACGGCCAGGACATGGTTTTCCACCCGGAAGCGACGAGACGCGTCCACCTGCCTCAGCATCGTGAACCGTTTTCCATACCCCTTCCTTGCTAATTGACCAAGTCACACCACCACCGATCCTGTCTTACCTAACCTCCTTTCCCGTGCCTGTATCCCAAGCTCATAAACGAAGCACTCCCTGCTCTTCTCCCCCTTCTTCTCCAAGCTTCCACACGTCTCTCTGCCAGTTCCATCTCTCCCGCCCACGCTCGTATCCTCTCCCCAACGAGCCACCTCCAACCGACCCCGGTTTCGACGGATTTCCCGATACAGACTCACTTCAAGGCGATCAGAGGCAATCGCCTACCTCTCTTCCCCTTGTCCCACGTCATCAACCCCACCAGTGCTCCTCAAGTCGTTGCTTTACTCAACTTATTGTGCCCTAAATCTGCTGGAACTGATCGCCAGTCCCATCCTGCCAGAGAAAGCTAGCTTCATCTCAGCTGGCCCAAGTCGCCGCCCTCCAAAAAAAAGGCTAGCACAGTGACATCATCCCGCCCGCCTCAATCCCAAAACTAAACGGTCCCCCAAAAGCCAAAAGGGCTGCCACAATTTGCTCTTCTCCCTTCTGGTTGGTAACCTTGTTTCAACCTCTGCCCGCCGCCTCACGGACGACGACAGTCATACCCATAGCGCCGGGGCGTAGGACACAGAACAGATAACTACAATGTTCCGCCCCCTTAGCACCCGCCTCGCGCGGACGGTTCGTCCCATCACTCAGCACGCCCAGGTACGCGCCAAGTCCTCCCAGACTTCTGCCACCGCAGCCCAAGCAAGCATCGCGGCCACCAAACCCCAGCAGCAACAGCAGTCAAGATCAATCAGCGGCAGTCCCAATGTTAAAGAGAAGCCCCATCCCGGCCAGTACTCGAGAACCGACCCCGACGTCACGGTCGAGTACCCCGAGGACCATGAGCTTCCCTCCAGTAAGCCCGTCCGCGGCCACGGCGGTGGCATTGGCAAGCCCACACTTGCATCCTTCTCTCTGGAGGGCAATGTCGCCGTCGTCACCGGCGGTGCCCGTGGTCTAGGTCTGGTTATGGGCCAGGGCATAGTCTACTCAGGCAGCGATCTCGCCATTGTCGACCTGAACAGTAAGCGTTGCCTACGGTCTTGTTTCGCATCCCACGAGGGCTGGTTACTGACATCAAGACAGAGGAGGAGGCAGAGCTCCAGGCCAAGAACCTGATCGAGGCATTCAAGAGAGAAAACCCCGAGGCAAAGAGGTACGCCCAATCAATATCTAAGTTGAACCTTGACAGAGGCAATTGGACCCTAACCGTGTAATGCAGAGCCCCCAAAGTGACTGCTCACCACGCAGACGTTTCAGACCCTGCGTCCGTCGAGGCATGCCTTGCCGAGGTCCTCGCTGCCCACGGAAAGATCGACAACCTAGTTACGTCGGCTGGCTTCACCGAAAACTTTGATGCTGTCAACTACCCGATCGACCGCATGCGCAAGCTCTGGGGCGTCAACGTGGACGGCACCTACCTCTTCGCGATTGGCGTTGCGAAGCACCTAATGGAGCGCAAGTCGCCCGGCAGCATGGTCTTCATTGGCAGCATGTCTGGCTCCATTGTCAACATCCCTCAGCCCCAGGCGTACGTCATTCTTTGTCTATAGTTCTCCGAGTAACGATTTGCTGACATGTAGCGAACAGGCCTTACAACGCTGCCAAAGCCGGTGTCCGCCATTTGGCCGCTTCCTTGGCCGTCGAATGGGCCCATGCCGGCATTCGCGTCAACTGCATCTCCCCCGGCTACATGCTCACAGCTTTGTAAGTGCCCAGCATTTGCCAAGCGATGTACATAAACGATTGCTAACTTACTGCTGCAGGACCGAGAAGATCCTCGACGACAACCCAGACCTGAAGCAGAAGTGGACTTCCCTGATTCCTCAGGGTAAGATGGGTCAGCCCAAGGACTTGATGGGTCCTGTGACCTTTCTTCTGTCCGACGCTTCTCAGTACGTCACGGGCGCGGATCTCCGTGTCGACGGCGGATACACTGTCACATAAGCGACCGATTGCACACTGGTGTTAGTGAGAGGAGAAAAAGCTGGAAAAGCGATGAAAATTATATCATAGTACATATAATGGGCGTTTTGTTACAAAGACATGGACATTTCTCCGTTGGCAGTCGAATTAGTGATACAACATCAATACCAACCTCCTCAAAAGTCAATTGATGGATTTCCGGCCAGACCTAGCATGTGAAAAAGAGCAAGACCCATAGCTGCACTCCGGCCATCCAATTTGGCGAGGCTCGTCTGCCGGGCCCGATGAATCCGTCCGCCCGATATGCAGTGCGACGAAGACCGTAGCACTGCGCCCGCCCAACGGACCACCGAGCGTTGCCGAAAACCGTATCCCACCGGTCCCCCTTTCCGACAGTCATGCGTCCGACCTCACCGGGCCCGACCCCCACCCTCGCCTCGAGGGCAGACGGTCTTGACGTTTCGGGGACGCGGAGTTGGCGTCGACGGTTCCGCAGGCGGCTTGTTATCGCCCATCATTGTAGGACTGCAGACCAGCCCCGCGCCAATATGTCACCAGAAACCGCGGCAAACACGATTAACAGCAGAGCCAGTAACCGTGATGTGACGAATGGAACAGTCTGCTCCCTCCCTCCCCCGTCCAAGCCGAGCCCACCCGCCCGACTGCACCCGCTGCCCGTATATGAAACCTCGCGCTCTCTCTCACGCACTACCTCGAGGGCTGTACAACCAAGGGAGCGCGGGCGCGCGGCCGGGGGGGGGTGAAAGTGGGTGGGAACAAGGTAAGATGGGGTGCATGCGTGCTGCACATGCTGTACATGCTGTGCGACGACGACGCCGGTGGGAACGGGGGCCTGGGCCTGCTGAGCGCCGGGTTGGCTTGCAAACTGGCTAGGGTGGAATATTGAGGGGGGAGGGGCCAAGGCAGGCAGGCGAGTACCGAAGCACACCTCGCCGCATGCACGCAGGCCTAGCCCATTGAGAGCTGTCTCGTCGAGGCCGAGTCTTGGGCCCTGGCCTTGGAGGGTCGGTTGGTTAGCGGTGTGCGTATGGGTGTGAAGAATGGAAGGCCCGGTGTGGGCAGCTGGACACAGCCTCGTCCTGCCAGTGCCAGACATCACGAAACCGCGGCGGCAGTACGACGGCTCCCATACCCTCGACGTGCCGTTGTCTCTGGTTGATCTACAGGAGACGGAGGCGAGAAGCCCAGATGGTGTTGGGACCGTGCCGCCGAACCGGAGGAGACAAAACACGGCCTTTGGGGGAAGTTGTGCTGGCGTACGATCTGGGAAGAGTCTCACCGCCGCCGCCGGCGGTTCGAGTCACTCGATGCCCGGGCGAGACTTCCTACTTGAAACTCGGTACCGATTTTTGATTCAGGTCTCAGCAGCCGGTCGAAAGGAGCGTCTTTGATGAAACCCAAGACACGAGTAGCCGCAGGGCCGTCGGGGGAAAATGTCACTCGCCCGCGAAGACGTTGCAATTTGCCTCTGCTGTCAGCACAGGTGGCAACATGTTCGTGGAAAGTCTGTACTGTTCCAAGAGGGGAAAAAAGGAAGTTGTATACAAAAAGCCTGTAATATGAAATGTGAGCAAGAGACACCTCATCCAACCCCTCGTTCGAACAGGGCCATAAGGGTTGCCGCCATCCCGCTAGTGTGTATATGTGTGTATATGTGTGTGTGTGTGTGTGGAGAGGGGTCTGGCTATCTTTAGTTCCGAGTTGGGAGACTTTGAATAGTCGGCAACCCAACAACCCGCCTATGAAGTCGAGCTGCCATTGTTGCTTAAAGGTTGGATTGGACGAACCTTATCCCCCCCTCCGTCACACCAAGGACCACAAGGGGAGACGATCTCTAGCTGGACGTGGGGATGGGATGGGATGAGATGGTACGTTACTGCATGTCTTAGTCAGCAGACGGTTTCCAACGGCTAATCAGCCAAAAATACTCCTTGAAGCTGTGAGCTAACCTCCCCCTCTCTTCCAGCTGGAGGTACCGTCGTAATTACCTACCCCGCAGCGGGCAGCCCTGGTCAAGAAGCTCCAGGGTAGCTTCAAACAGCTTCCCTTCCCATCCATCCAGCCTGTTGCCCCTCGCGCTCGACATGGCAGGTCAGGGGAGCCAAGGCGTGGGGGCATCTCGCGGCTGGGGGACCTCGCCTCGTGGGGTGGGCAAGCGTCAAGACCGGTCTGGAGAAGGAACCCACGGATCTCTGTCTCGATAGGTCTTTTTTTGCTTTCCAAGACATTTTTCGATTGCGTAATGGCTTGCGATATTAAGGCTTCGCTTTCTAGTCTGCCCACCGCCTTCTCCCTTGTCGCAGAATTTGAGCCTCGTGACCAGTTGCGCATTGCTTTTCTCACCTTCTCCGCCCCCTCTCTCCATGAGGAATCTGCCACCCCTCTGCCCTCTCACGCTTATCTTCAGTCTGAAAGGGTTGACCGGGCTGAGGGAGGACGTCCTATTGTCCACTTCCTTTCTGCGAGTCAGATCATGGGGCAGTCTTTAATATTCTCAGTAATACTTGACTTGTAGCGGCCGCACCTTGCGGCCTTGTTGAGTAGGCCGAGTCAGTCATTCACCTCAGAAATCAGCTCAGGTCTTTCTTGGACCTGAGCTCATCCCCTGCTGTGTCTCAGTCGAGACAACGCGCACTCATCTTTGCAATCACATCGCCAACACAAATGGCACGTCGGGCGTATTCTGGAGATGGGTTTGTTGAATACCGAACAGCTCTCTTATTCAGTGTGGTTCATCGGATCAGTTGAGCCGGTTGCCGTGCAGTGTCGATCCAGGAGCGAATCTCCGGTTCAACATTAACCGACCCCCTTTGAACGGTGTCGCCACCTTGCTGGAACGGCTGTAAACGCATGAAAAAAATTATCTCGCAACTCGCTCTTTTCCCTGCAATGCTTGTCGGGCCGTCGCCTAAGGGGGGGGGCCCTCAACCGCCTGTATGTAACAAGAACGCCTCATGCGATGCATATCCGCCGATCTACTCCCAATCGAGAGTCGGCCTTGTTGAGATGACGAAGAGAAACAGAAAACAATAAACGTAGGAGTTGGCCGCACTGAGCTATAACGGCCTGGACCGACCAACTCTTGGAATCAAAGTAGTCGGAGAATTCCGATTTTTTATCTTCCTCAAACTCCATAAGCCCCTTCCAATGCAGTTTGTGCTTCGCAAATTAGTACATAGATTATATGATGATGATGATTATGATGATGATGAGTGGCACTGCGCCTTACGGCCTCTGCCTCGGCCTGTCTCCGATGCGCTCTTTCTCGCGCTCTAGAAGTAGGGTCAGCTGGCTTCTCGTCCGGGCCAGTGGTACGTCGGGGGTAGAGCTCGGCATAGTTGGCGTGAAATGTGACGATGACGAAGTTCGCCGAGGCGTCCCCCTCGGTTCCTCGTTGCCGGACCCCAAAGCTTCCAAAGCCCGTCGATCTGGGTCGCCGGATATCGAGACATGGCCCATAGCCGCGACATTGGACGTGCTTGCCGTGGCGGTCGAGAGCAGCCCTTGAGCAGAGCCACGACCTATACTGGCCTCTCTCGGCCGGTACGTGTCTACATTTGAGTGTGTTCGTTCCATGCGTGGAGCCGAGAAGACGGAGCGCGATGATGAGAAGGACCCGATCCTTGGTGATGAAAGTACGGGCGATACAGCTGAGATACTCGTAGGCGACCTGGGGCCTTCGTTTTTCGCTCTGTTTCCCTCGTAGCCAGATAGTTCGCTTATGGACCTGCTCAGCGGCGCGGAGGCCGGCGCTGGCCCGCTTGCTTGGACAACGACCGGCTTCTGCCGCGCTTCAACGGTCGGAGGCGACTTGAAAGAGCTTGTAGTTTCCGACAATGGTCGGTTGATGGGTCTCTTTCCTAACGCTTTGGCGCTAGGGGGCTGCTGGACCGCTTCGGAACCGGAAATACTCTGGATTGTACCCTGCTCGGAATGAGGCGGCATCACGTTGTAAGTCCCAACGTGTTTGGTTCCGTTTGCAGAACCAGCCTCCTTGGCCATGACGTCAGAACTTGTTGAGGACTGTGAACTCATCCTCCTTGGAAGGACTGGTCTTCTCTTGTTCGCGGTTGAGGCCACAAAGCGTTTGGTCGGGGTCGAAGCCTTTTTCTTGCTCGATTTCGTCGGCGATGCTATTGATGAGATGCGCATTTCCAAGCCGCTGGCTGCTGTGCTGCCGGACGACGTCCCCTCACTGGTTTTGTAGTCCTCGTCAGCAGACTCATGTGGCGATACGAACCGAGCCGTTGGACGGGGTCCGGATTTTGAATCGCCCCTGGTTTTTTTCAGGATCGGGTGCGGCGGCGGCGGTCGAGATGATGAGGCCGAGAGCTCCTTGAGAGCCGACTGCTCTGAAATCATCTTTATGTCCTGGTTCATCTGCTGAGCGCTGAGAAGCGGGTCAGATTCATGCTGGCTGTTGAAACGGGGCGTCTGTGCATCGAAATCAGCAAAGGCCAATGTGGTGCTGGGCTACGGTGTGAAAATTACCGAGGGTCCCTCCCAGCGGTTTGGTGAGCCTCTGAGGGGCACAAAGGTTGGGCCATATGAAATGTGTTCCCAAATTTTGGCCACGGTAGCTGCTTTCAGCTTGCACCTGTCGCTGCCCATCACATGCCACCAAAGATTTTCCAGACGACGAGCGGTGGGATCAACCAGCTTGAGGTTTGTCGTAGTGTAGACTGCAGTGTGGCATTAGGGCTGGGGACCGGGACAACGCTGAGAATGGTTGGGTGTTGGCTTGGGTATGACTTACGGCGCCACATTCTTATGATGAAATCTGCCGGAAGAGGCTGCGTAAGTGCCGCAACATCCTCGTAGATGCGCCTGTCATCCTTGACCAGGCCCTTTGGTAAATCCATCTGAAGCTAATGTGTTGTCTACCGGGACCAGACGGCCAACGGTAGAGACGGCGAAAGACTAAAATGTAGAAAAGTCGAGGGCTCAGATAGATGGCTGAAAGGCATAGATAGCCCTGCCGTCGTGGGCAATCCTGCGAGTTGTGACGAAGATTACCTGAGTAGAACGGGGGTGTTCATGATCGCGCTACAGCTGAATCTGACGTAGTAGAAAGTTGGTGCGACGGGCAGTTCGGTTCGACAGCAGGCAACAAGACGCAGATGGCTGCAAGTGAGAAGCAAGCTGCAACTTGGGTTGGTCACTCGGCCCACGGCCAACTGCGGGCACAAGACAGGCAGAAGTTTCGTTGAGTCGAGCGTTTGATGCGATTCGGATTCGTGGTTCGAAATAAGCCAAGGTTGAAGCGCTGGGACCCGGCGTTTGCAGATTGTCTGGGCCCGGATGGCCGTTTTCACGAATTGGCGGTGTTGGTCAAGAGGATCGGTTCGCCGATATAGGGATGACAGCGGCATGAACTGGCGGAGTGGTGGTGATATGGGCAATGACTCGGCGTTTGTCAAGAGCAGTGAGACGCAAGAACCAAGACGAAGATGGATGTTGACGTTGAGATGAGATGGACGGTGAGAGACGGACGTCAAGGTACCGTCGGTACCTTTTGTTGAAGTCTGAGTGAGTGGGTGATGCGATGAGGTAAGGTGAGGTGAGGTGAGGTGAGGTGAGGTGAGGTGAGGTGAGGTTAGGTCAGGTTAAGTCAAAGACCCGGAGACAGAGGATGCCAGCCGCGGATGGCAGGCAGTGTTGAATGTTAACTCTGACAGGAGGCTAGACTTTGATGAACAAAAGGGGCCGGAGCTATCGGATTCGTGTCCGAGGTGGGATCGAATCGTTCGATAGGCCGGTCTACAAGAGAGTCAGGTCTGGAGCCCATGTAGGCGTATGTTCTTGTTGTTGACTGCGGAGGAGCTGGCATCGGTCGAGGACGGATGGCAAGCGAAGGATGATGAGGGGAGATGGCGTGGATAGAGCACACGCGAGAAGAAGGAAAAAAAAACGGAATATCCAGGCTCAGATTGGGGGACCGGGCGGGGGGTTACGAGGGCAGTCGGAGGTGAAGGCAAGACGCAGTACAGGAAGTACCTTGGATGACTGAAATGCCGTGCCGCGCCTCGGATTGCCCTGAGGAAGGGAAAGGGAAAGGGAAGAGAAGGGGGCTTTAGAGCAGAGAAGACAGAGAAGAGAGAGGCAAAAGGACGGGGACGGGAGGGAAAGAAATGGGTCAGGAAAGGGGACTTGCAGACTTGAGGCTTCTAAGCCTGAGGTACCTGACCTGACGTGGGCCGCAATCACAGTGCCTGTCCAGTGTTCAGCGTTCAGCATGTCCTTGTCTAGTAAGTGTTGTGCGCGTGTGGGTGTGGGTGGGTGTGAGTGAGTGTGTGAGTGGGTGCCAGGTGCTAGGTGCCCTGTCTTGAAGTCGGGTGCACCTCAGCGCCAAAGCCCTCGAGAGCTGTGTGTCCTGAACTGTGGCTCCTCGTGAGGTTCTGCTTTGGCCAACCGGGGCCTAGGTTGGAGTTTGGTCTCGAATGGTTTCTTGACTGGACTGGGGACATACCAGCGCACTCGCAGGTACAGTATACAGAGGAAGAGAGAGGGGGGGGAGAGAAAGAGCATGGAACGAAGGGAATATAGCCGTATGGTCTCGTCTGGTCTGGTTCTTGGTCCAGTGGCAGGTGAGAAATGCAACGCAATCTAGCCCGTCCGTGGTGGCCGCCTCGAAGTTGCCGCATGTTTACCCACAACTCCCACAACTCCCTACGTACCTAAGTACACATTTGGTCAGGATAGACAATGACAAGGGGTGCCATCCATGGTGTGTGTGTTCATTCTCTTCCATTGAACCCTCATGGAAACCCGACAGACGAAATACCTATCTCAAGAGTCTAAGCTTTAGTGGGCCTCGGCAACAGGCACTGTCGTCTGCAAAGAGCAGGGGACTCGGGTCCGAGGACACGGGCACCAAGGGGGAGGAGGCAGCAGGGGCAGGATGGCGAGCGGGTGGCAGACACAATGGACGGTGAACCTGCACACTGATGGGCGGGAAGAGGGAAGGGGAAAGGACGCCGGTCACTAATCAACATTGGCGTTGGCGACGGCCATGGCAATAGAAGCAGGCTTGTTTTTGCTGGTTGTTTACTTTATTTTTTTCGTCCTTGCGCTCGGTGCTTTTCCAACAGTAACAAGCAACAGGTGCAGCACGATACTCGAAGCCCATGAGCGTCCTACGTATGTGCACGTAGAGCAAGAACCTTTCGGGATGACCCGGTTGTCTCCTTCCAGTGCTGACCGATGTCCCTGTTAGGCCCTGAAATGATATTCTGTCGGACGAAGTGCAAGGCGTGAGACCCAAAAGATAAAGACGGTGGGTGACCTCGGGCTTCTCTTTTGGGCCAAGCACAACAGGAACAGACTGGTGGGCACTTTGACATTCTGTCCTGGAGCCTAGACAGGCAGCATGCTCTTCATCCCTTTGCAAGGAAAAGGGGGAAACGATATGTATGTAGCCAGCCATTATCTTCACGTTTGGGCTCCTCTGCTATTTCCCCAAAGTGGGCTTGGTTGCTCCCTCCCCCCTCCCCCTTGTGCTGTTCCAGTTTTCCGAACGGACGTTGCTCCAGGTCCTCGTAGAACCCGAAAGCGGCTGCCGAGTTAAGGGGGGAAACGGGGGAGGAGACGGGAAACAAACGGCGACGGCGACGGCGACGACCAAGACAATGTTCCCCTCTGGACTGTAGTGTACAGATGCAGATGAGGGAAGGCAGTGCATGCAAAGACAGCTAGCAGGAAGGAAGGCAGCCGGGGCGGCTTCTTGCGCACACTTCAGGTGTGACTTGGACGTTCACCACGGCCTCGCCGTCTAGGATGGAAGTTACCTGACGTTAGTTCCGTTCCGTCCAGGTACCTGAGCTTATCTGACCTTCCACGCCTTCCGCCCGGCAACTTCACCTTCAAGGGCAAGAGTACCTCGCCAGCACAGCAACCACCACCCGCCCGTTTCTGTATGTGCTCTTCTCCTCTTATCCGTCCCTCATGCCATCCGAGAGTCTGAAGGTCATCGCCAACTGAGATCGGACCTGGGCCTCGGTCCATCAAGCTCTAGACCGGTAGATCTGTTTCTTCTTCGGGCATTTCGATTCCCAGCCACGACGACTTACATCTCATCAACCCGCCAGCCCCGGCTCCATCCATCCATGCATTCGCCGCTATCCATTTTTGTCATGAGACCGTCGACGTTCTGCACTGTCCCGGCTGCAACCCATGCCTTTCCAGAGTCCGCAGGGACATGCGCACCTGAAGCTCCTTGGACATTGGCAACCCAGCGAGACGACGCACTCGTTTGATTATCCTACAGCCACTGAGCGCCCGACGATGGAGCCCTCAGGGCTGCAGCACTCTACTGTATATCAGATCCCTGGCCGTCTTGCGAGAAGGGACGGAGATCACCCACAGCCAAATCTGATTCTGCCGCCATCCCCTGGCGAGACACATCGTCCTGGGCGGGGGAACCAGAGCAAGCAGCGACAGATGGATGCTTGTCAAGATGCAAACCGTCGCGGCACATACAACCCTTTCCACGACTAGCATACACCGTCCCAAGGCACGACCTGATTTTGACCTTTCTCCTGCCCGCTGAGCACCGCCGCACATGCACGCCCATCGCCATCGCCCACTACAGTGAGCGACCGAGAGGCAAGAGACTTGCAGCAAGCACTACGGTATTCGCACAGAGCTACAGACGCCAGGATTAAACTGCGAAAATAATTCCAGCAGGGGTGCGGCCCCCACGTCCCCAGAAAATGGCGTTCTAGAACAAATTGGTGTGCCTTGGGCCGCCTCTGGTGGTGTTCGCCCCCTGGGACTTGGGAGTCGTCCGGCGTTAACCATCCATCCATCTGTCACACCCGAGCCCCAAGCCCCGGCCCAGCATGATTAGATGCCAGTCACATTTCGATTTGATCGCCTGCTGGCTCAATTAACTGATAGGAACCGGCCGAGTCCAATGGCCGTTCGCGCAAAAATCACATGAACTGAAGCAGCGAACTCCTAGCACCGCTCCCCGGCACGAGTGCTCATGGTTTGCTGAAGACGGGGAGGAGATGTAGGTCGCCTCGTGCGACACACAGCCCTGCGTCTCCTGTCTCAACTGCTTCTTCCGACCAAACGTCCATCCCGAATCAAGCCCGGCCAACTTGTTGGGACGATTCCCGGCCGGCGCCTCGGTAGGGCGTGCCCTAGTATAGTTGGGCGACATACACCCATGTATCCCCGTCTGCCAGGGCAGTGACAAGGGATGACTCTCCCCAGCAAGACTACACGTGTTGCCAGACACGCCGTACCTTGGCATGGCAATCCATCGTCTCGATCGCCAGTGAGTTGTGCGTGACCTGGCGCATCCCACTGGTCCAATACCGCCTCGGCCGAGACGAGTCAAAAAATTTCTGGTCCCACGGTAGCAATCATTGCTCTTCACGGCTTGCGCCAAACTGCTCACCTACAGCACAGCTGCCTTTCACACCGCCCCCTCTCTCTGGGGACAGCTCAAAAGCTGCCGGCTATGAATCGACGTGTTTGACAGCGGCTCATAGCGCAAGGTCCAAGTGTGGAAAAATCGGAGGTGTGGAGGGTGGGAAGGGGGAAATAGTTCAAGAGCTCCAGTCACATCGCACCACATATCAGGCCGTTTTTTTTCACCAACCACAAGACCGTTGAAACGACCTTTTGTCTGAACCAAACGAAGCGCTCTGCAGAACTCAACCGAGTGCGCCTAGCTGCCTGGGCTCGTAAGACAATCCTGGGGACCAGGGTCGGACTAGGCAATCGATGCTTCCTTTTCCCGACCTCGCGGCCCCGTACCGTTCCCCAACTTCCCCTGGTCGCTGTGGTCTTCTGATCTCTTTCAATGCGGGGGGAGCATCCGAGAACCACGTCGGGTGACCAGACGCCGCGACCTTACGACACCACAACTCCTCCCCAGAACAGCAATGCATGGAGTCATTGGCTAATCACTTGACGAAAGTCCAAACACAACCGCCCCCTCGCTGCTACTTTCGGGGATGGTGGGAGCGCGGTGCCGTCTCACGAGCAACACAGAATGAACCATGAAGACGGCCTCTCTTCCCGCCTCATTTCCTCGACCTACAAGCTCGTCCCATGTTAGTCGACTCACGCGTAGAGGTTGATACGGCAGAAGACAACTTGACGCCGCCGAAATGAGGCAAGACGACAACGGCCAAAGCTCCTTTTGCACCATTGGCAAATAGTGGCATTGCGCTACGTAACGCTAGCGAGGTCGAATACCAACAAGCCCGCCCGTGGCAAGACACAACCATCCGGCCCTCCGCTTTCTTTCCCGGCCGACGACGGCATGAAAGCCAAAGTGAGACGCCGCCAGTTAGCCATCCTTTCCATGACGACTAATGTATGGGACGTCGGCCAGGAGCTAATGCGCCAATGCTTCTGCGGAGTGCCGCTCGACACCTGTGCATCAAACCACACCGATGGAGGCCATGAGTCGTCTTGGCCCGCTTGGACTCTGGGGTAATATCCACCATGACGTTGCTTTGGTCCCTTCTCGAAGCACCCCTTTGACAAGGACAAGTGACACAAAGCTATCATTGAAAGCAGCTTTGACGGGTTGATCATATCCGTAGCGGTATGTGGTGATGCCGATACCAGACACGGCGCTATGCTGGAGCCGCCTTTGCTAGTTCATATACGATTTCAGAAGCCGAAGGAGCTGCTCGATTAGCCAAGACGTCGTCTTACCCGCGCAAACGAGCTCGTCACAGAGAAGCGATCGCTTTTGGATGGCTACCTCACGCCGCACATTGTACGGCTGACACGAGGATCTGTAATGAAGGATATGCGTTTGCGGGCTCGGTGGCCAAGTATCGTCGTCGTCGTCGTCGTCCTTGGCAATGGTCGTGGCCGAGAGTAACCCGCACCCGGGCTGCCGTTGCACAGTTCCTCTCACGAGGCTCATCCGGGGGGCGTGGCGGATAGACTCGGCTCTTTGGCCTATCCCTGTGAGAAGACGTAGCTTGCGCGGTAACGCGATGATGACCCACTCGCTCCAGACAACGGAAGGAGCAAAAGAGAGACCCCTTCCACCAATCTAACCCGGCTACTCACAGACAATAGCGCTTAATAATCATTCAAGAGTCAGTCAGGCGATGGCATCATATCGAGCTACTCCTGAAAAGGATGGTAACCGAACAAATCGGACTATGGCATTGATGATGGTGTTTGATTCGAGTACGGATAATACCCCGCGGTTGTTGTTTGGTATCTTTGTAATACAGAGAAAGAGCATGGTACACATTTCCACTTCCCACGCAGTGCCAGTCGTTTCCACTCATTCCGTCCCTCAACCTTTGGCGTGGTATGTTCTCTCTCTCCCTTCATCTGTCCCCGCGGCGGAGGGTGGGGCATACATTACTGTTGCCCGACTCCCCTCTGTACCCCTCATATTCGACGGCCTTCCTTGGCCGGCCCCGATCTCTGCAGAGAAGACTGTACTGTAACAAAACGTAGGAAAGTAGCAAGTTCGAAGCGTGTGTGCGTTGCGTATGTATGTATGTGTGCTATGGTGCGTGTGGAAGGGTGGCGTGTTCCTTCTTGATCCAAGTCGTACGGGGAAGCACAAAGAACGCCCGCTCCCGCTTTTGGTGACGATGTCGATAAAATGAATGATGAGAAATGGCCAAGCATCCCAAGGCAGAGAAGCTGGCTGCTATTAGATAGAAGATGTGATTACCTGAACTGTTGGAATGCCACTGTCCTCGGTGTGTGTGTGTGTGTGTGTGTGTGTATGTTTTGCAATGCATAGGGGGAAAGCTCGTCGGGGAAGCAAGAGTGCTGGTGATCAAGGCACGCAGCACGCCTCTGAGCACATCATGCCCGACGCCTAGTCGTCCAGCTTGAACATCCGCCGGAGCGTGCCAAACTTCTTCTTTTTCTTGCCGGAGCCGTCCAGTTGGACACTGCCCTCTCGGTCATCGGGCAGGCCCGAAGTGAGCACCTGGTTGGTGCTTCGGCGCTTCATAAACACCGGCCTCGACGCGTCCATCGGTTTGTGGTTGTCTGCTGTCACGGGCCGCTTCTCGTCGTCAATCGCCTCGACGAGTGGCCAGTTATCGTGGGTCGCCTGCTTCTGTACCTTCGGCAACGTGGTTGTCCCGCGGATGGCCGAGATCTCGGAGACGCTGCGTTCGAGTTTGGTGTCCATTCTAGCGCCACTCTCGCCGGCGGGGGGCCGCGAGATCTTGCCGACTTCATTATCCTTCTTGCGTCGGAGGACGGAAAGGAGACTGCCTCGGCGTTGATGACTGCCCGGCCTGGACATCACTTGGGTACCCATAGATGGCGTTGTAGACGTCTCGACGAGCGCACCTCGCCCAGACCCAGAACGGTGTAGCCCATGCCCGTCCGATTGAGCCTTCACAAGGCGACCATTAGCGCCTGAGACCTTTCTTGGCGAGACGGGCTTTTGCTGTACTGGCGGTGGCACAACCTCTTCATCGCTGCTGTCAGGCAGGTCCGGCGAGTCTTCCGCCTTCTCGTCATGGCGAGGAGGAGGGACCTTCATGGCCGCGGCGGCGGCGGAACTCGACGCGCGCATGCTCTTAGGCATGCTGTGAGCAGCAGGTGCAGGAAGTGGTCTTTCATCTTCATCACTAGATTCGGCAAAGCGGCTGCGGAATCCGGATTGTCCAGCATCCTCCTCGTCGCTTGAGTCTCCAAACCGGCTCTTGCCAGGCTTACTAGCAGCCTTCTTGGACGACGACTTTCCGAAAGTGGGCAGGCGCATGCGCTTCGTGCTTCCATCGCTGGAGTCGCTGCGCAATGTGCTGCGAATAGTCGTCCGGTTGCCCATGCTGACCGGCGGCGAGACGGGTGACGCTGGGGGAGACATCGACCGGAGGCTGAATCGCGAGTTTCTGCCGGCTGTCGGCGAGTCGGTCTCCGTGTTGGTTCTCATAGATTTGCGGAAACCGAAGCCCTCCTGCTTGGGTCGGGCCCGTCGAAAGCTGCTTTCGCTAGAATCGGATGCACGACGACGGAGAGTCGCTTGCATTGCCTTCGCCATCTCTACACTAGACATTGAGTTATCCATTGAAAGGTGCTTCGCCCGAGTGTCTTGGCTTGAAGGCGGGCCTTGGAGAGAGACCGGCCGGCTGCCTACTGCTGGGTTCGCCCGAGGTTGCGGTGCGAACCCTGCGTGAGGTGAAGAGCCGTTCTGCCTCAGAGACTTCTTCATGCCACCCGAAGTAGCAGGTTGTGATAGTTGAGCACTCTGGGAACCCGAGGTGTCAGATCGTAGTGTCCTTCGCATGCCTGTGCCAGATATTGCCGATGCTTGGGCTTGCCCGCCACGCATCGTCTTCTGAAGTTTTCCGTTTGTAGATACAGTTTCTTGGCCCTGTCGACCTCGAAAAGTCTTTCGCATGGTCGCGGGAGGTTCTTCATCTTCTTCGTCGATGGCTCTCGTTCCGGGCTGAATCTGATAGACCCGCTCTGGATTGACAGATGCCTGCTGTTGTGTAGCTGGGTCGCTTTTTCGAACAGACTTCTTTCTCTTGACTTTTACAGGCTGGACAACCTCTTCGAGGTCTCCTTCAGCCCCAGCCTCCTCTAGAGCTTCCTGTTCCAGCTGCTTACGCTTGTCGCTTGTCAGTCCCCTCCAGTAAAGTTTAGCCTTCTCCCAGTCATCTTCAGGTTGCTGCTGAGAACTGGCGGAAGGTTGTGTTGAACCAAGTACGTTTTCGGACGTGACATGAGAGTCTTCGGGCGTCTGCTGAGATGGGTTTGCCATGGCCTTCTGGTAAAGCTTGTGAGAGAGTTTATCAGAAACGGGCGACGCGACGACAGCGTTCAAAGACATGAAGCCATCACCGTCGACGTCTGAGAGGTCTTCATAGGCGTCACTGTAGATACTTTCACCCTCTGACTCAGACTCTGCCATAGGGCCTGGGTGGTGATCGGGTTTGGCAGAATGGTTTACACCATTGGATACTGTCGTCTGTGCTGGTTGATTGTTCAACGCCGTGGCCATTTCAGGCTGGGTACGACGAGAAACGTTGTCCTCGCTCTCGTCCTCCGGAAAGCCTCCAGGAACATCGAAGTAACCTTGCTCTGACAAGCTGGCAGAGCCATTAGCCCCCATCTCCTTCGGAATTGGAGTTGGTTGTATGACGGATATCAAAGGAACATCCTCGTCCCTGCGATTATTGCTCTTGCTGTTGTCAAGGACTGGCGCCGTCGATCTCGATGCAGCGAGAGTATCGTCGACCAACTCAGAATGAGCAGCTATAATCTCGTGCTTGACCTGTTCAGGGGACAAAGTAGTTTCAGGCTCCTGAACAACTTCTGAGTCTTGGAAAACTTCCTCTCCATCCTCGGCGTCCGAACTAGTTGTGCTGCTGGAAGAGTAGTACCCGTTACCTTCTAAGGACGTGACTACGGGCGGCAACGGCTCCCTGAACCTTGATATGTTCGCAGCATTTCTGGCCGTTTGTTCCTGGCTGAGTATCGCACCAACATTGTGATCGATAGACTGGCCGTTCGGGACTGGCCGGTCTTGGTTGCGTTCAGGTGTATCAGGTCCGGATGGCGAAGGGGACTCGAGAGGTCGGACAAGGGGTCGCTCTTCCTCAGAATCTCTTGGCTTCTTCTCGCGAACGCTGCCAAACGAGGGTAGAGCTGGCCGAGGCTTCATCACTTCATCGTCATCAAGAGCTACCACATCCTTCTTCCTGTTCCTACCCAGGTGGTTATACCAATGCCGTTTGGCCTGCTGTGGACTAGAAGGAGCTGGCGAGTCGAGGTCCGGTTTCGGGGCAGGTTGTCCCATGACCTTGGTGTTCTCATCGTCAAAACTGACCCGCACACTCTTTTTACGTGGCATCGGTGCCTCCACAGCAGTAGCCTCGCTGCCAAACCGACTTGGCCCTGAAGCTTCAGAACCGTCATCTGAAGGTGAGGCACCGCGCGACGGACTGGCCGAGTGTTTCATAGCCGACTTTCGGGGCGAGACTGATCTCGGAGGCGGCTCGTGCCTAATAACCAGTTGATCTGGGCCAAGGGCAAAGCGTGCAGATCTTGCAGGACTGGCCGAGTGCGCACGTGCATTCCTAACGCTGCCGGGCTGCTTCAAGTGCGGCGGACTTGATTGCCTTTGGGATGACACATTTACTGGAGACTCGACAGCCGTGCTTTCGGACGATAAGGATGGCTGTTTGGGAGGCGCCGACAACCTCAGGGGTACTGCTTCGAGAACATCAACAACATCACTATGCGCAGCCGATTGTTCAATGGGTTCTGCCTCATCGCCTGAGCTTGCCAACTCATCCTCGGATTCTTCCCGCACCGTGGATGGTTTCCTTCCCAGAATAGGGGCGCCTTGGCGAGGTTCCGAGTGCGGCATAATCGTGGCCCCGTCGCTTTTTCGTACATCCCGGACGACCGGCTGCTCGGCTTCAGGAATGCTAGCAGGCTGTTGATGAGCTGGCTCAGTGTCGACAGTTGTGGAAAGTCTGTTAGTTACAGGATGTGAACGAGCTGGTTCCTGTACGAGTGCCGGCGCAGGCTCCGGTGTCTGCCTTGACAGTGAGACCGGCTGCGCAGTTTCCTTGATCTGCGATTGATTCTGCAAAGTCTTTTGCTCGGGCGCGCCGGTAATAGCTCGAACTTGCGGCTGTTGCCTTGGCGTAATTACAGACGGGGCGTCCTCAGATGCGATCGCAGAACCCTGTACTCTACCAACGGTACCTTTGGCCAGGTGAGAACCGCTCCTTGCCAAACCTTGCTGCTGCTTTGACTTCTTGACGGGTTTTTCAGCAGCGTCCCGAACGTTCTGCTCCCTTACCAGCAGGTCCACCTTTGGTACCATTCTCCTGGAATTTGGGTCATAGACAAGCGATTGGTCCGAGGTCGTCGTCGTTCGCGAATTCACCGACTCTGTTCGGCGGGGCGAGGCAAGTCGCTGGCTAACTGTCATTGTCATGCTCTCGACGGTTGGTGATGCCGGGGGCGATGCGCCGGGCATCCTCGGGTATGAAAAGTTTATAGAAGAAGTTGGGCTTACAGCTCCCGGGCGAGACTCTGGAGAGGTAACGCGCACTGGGGCATCTGACTTCCTGACGTTGGCCAAATTGCCCTCGGCTGCGGCCCCAAACCATGATCCGGCACCCTCCTTGTTCTTTTGACTGGCGACGCGGAACGGCTGCATCTGCAGGCTAGTCGCTCTCTTGTGAGAGGAGCTCTGGCTCGTGATAGATCGCATGTCGTCCGGGATAGTCGGGACTGGCGGCGCATCCTCATGGGTCATCGGGGTCCGGTGCGGAGACGGCGAGCGAAACGTTCGCTCGGTCATGGAGCTCTGACTAGGGGATCTCTGTAGCCCTCGTCGCGTGTCCTGGCTCCCATGTGACGACACTGATGTGCTGCGTTTTTGTGTACGCTTCGTCTGTACTTCGGCCACATTGATGGGCGTTGTAGGCCGCGACCGTAATGCGGCGGCGGCAGCAGCGGACGAGAGGGAAGAACTGGATGTGCGTCGCGCGAACGCTGAGGCAGCGGCGGTAGCGGCGTTCGGGTTCGCAGTTGCGGCGGTTAACGGCTGGAGTCGTAGGATGTCAGTATCAAGTAATAATGAAGTCCTCGGAGCGCAAGCAGTGCCGGTCGAGAAGTGGGTGTGTTGCCGTAAACCGATTACATGCAGTGCATGGTGGCAGTCAAACTGTAGGCAAAGAAGATCAGTCTGCCGCAATCGTACATACCTGGCTGGCCTGCCGGTGGCGCCTCGAACCTCCAAACATGTTTGCTGGTCTCGGAAATGTCGATCAACGGCGCAAGGCCTGGGACGATTTCGTGGCAGGTCGCATGAGATTAAAAGTCTGTATGAACACAAAGGCACGTGAAGAGAAACTGGTAAAAAGAAAAAGCAGGGTATAGGCCTCGGTGAGTGGGGGGAAGAGGCGTTTGAGAAGAGAGTTCTGCGTTATATGAGGACGGAGCCGGCGTGGTGGTGGATTGGTGATGTCCGGGGGGGAGAAAAAGGCAAGCTGGGGTGAGAGGGAAGCTGGTGGATTAGAGGGACGTGGATAGGACGGGATGGGATGGGATGATGACGGAAGAGGTGAGTTGGGTTCAGCCACAATGGGGGGCCCTGCTCCGTGCACTGCTTTCATTTCCCAATTTTCGACCTTGGGGAGACTCGGGACCCATTCCATCTTCACTGACTGCAGCAACCCAGCAGAGGCCTGCACCTGCCCAATGCACCTTACCGCTGTACATGGCTCGACGCTTCTCTTGCTGGACAAGAACTGGAATCACCCTTGTTTCGGCTCAGCCGCCATTCTGTTTTGGGACGACACCAAGCCAAATTTGGCCCAGTGTCTCGCAAGAAGGAGGGTGCCAATCCGACGGGCCCTTTTGCTAACCATGTTCCTGCTGGCCACTGCGACTTGTCGCTGGCTGGCCCGCTGCGCAATCGTGACACCTTCGATGACCTGGCACCCTGTGTTTCGCAAGCATTGGCCGGCCCAATAAAGACAAAACTCTCGGCCCAAGGTGTCTGCTATACACGTGTAAGGCATCGTCACCAAGACACAGAGTCTGAGAGCCATTAGTTTTTGGACGATGCAATTGTGGAATGTTACGAAATGGGAACACAAATCAATCCGTGACGTCTGCCTGTTCTATTGTTCCGTCCGCTGCGCCCTTTGTCTTGTCTTTGACGGCTTTAAAAAAAAACATGCAAAGCTATCTGACTAGTCGGTTTAGTGAGGCAGCCGACCGGAGAACCAACAAGCCTCCCGTCCGCCCGCCTTTGAGAGAGCAGACCTCTCAGGGAAATCAGCTGGCGACGGACCACATAGGTAGACTGCCAGATGTACCTACCGCCTGCGGGTGCGCATCAATGATCTGAGTGCCGAACCTCCTGTGGAGCAACTGATCGACATCTCGCAGAACCATGGGGCGGTGGACTGGACAGGGTTGTTTCAGGCCTGACTGACAGCGAAGCTTTTCTGTCCCTCCTGTCCTCCTCTGGACGTCTGCTCCCCCCCTAGTCAATTTCACGCGGCCATGATTTGTTGGAGACTCTTCCCGCGGACAACGCGTAGACGGCTTACGCGGGACGGCTCTGGCGGATGGTGAAGCCAAAAGTTTCTTTTGCTCCTTCTTACCTTGTCCCAGGCGGATGGTGCCAGGCGAAACAGCGTCGAGAACTCTCCGGCATCCAATACCCCGCCGCCTTCCGGATCGGACCCTCCGGAATGCCACTCCGATCCATCCAGCATCCCCAACGTCACCACAACTCCATTCTCCAAAGGGCATTCAAGGTCCATGCATGCTCTGCCGACTGCACGATCAATGGCAGAGGGTTGGGGCAGATCAACTCTGGTCTGGGCCAGCTACGTACCAGGTTCCCAACTCCCGGAAGGCCGTCATTCCCGGGCGGGTAGCGTAGTTAGAGACTGTGGTGGTGCCACCTCCGGCTCTGCGCTGCGGCCTTCTCCGGTCGGACAAGCTACCTATTCTCAGGTCTACTAATCTTTGTATTCCGCCTAACGAAGGGCTATATTAGCTGATTGCCAGCCCCTCGTGGCAGCTCAGAATCGATGGCTGGAGCTGATAACGCACTCACCGCACCATGCGATCCAATCTCTTCCGACACAGTCTACTGGGCGGCACGGCAAAGATCAACGTAAAAGACTCTGAGCAGTGACGGGGACATGATCCATTAAAAGAGCCGCTTAATAAGGCAAGGTGCTGTGTCGTGTCATCAGCCTAACCTCGCGACGGAGGGAGGAGCCTAGGCCGGCCGCTAAGGCAGTCAGTGCAGCTATTTGTGACGTCATATCCGATAAATGCGCACATCAAGTCACTCACTATGCATTAACACAATAACTATCACTGACGCTATTGTATTTCATGTGAGTGTGGTGATTCCGCCAGAGTGGCTTCCGTGGTCTAAGCTAGGTATGTCTCGTAGAAACCTCCGCGAAAAGGGCTTTATGCAAGAGCCTCATGTCTAGACGCATCTCAAGGATCTTGCTTCTGTGATTTATGTTCTATTCCTTCGCTGTGTGTTCTCCTCGTTAGACAAGATATTTGTGGCTCAAACGCTCAGTATCTAATAGTCTAGTATGAGCCTGGTTGGACTCTTACTCGACGTTGCCGACTGTAATCCAAGACCGTTAGCTCATATTGGCTTGCTCGGGCCGCAGGGGTTGTGGTCGATAATAATGTTGGTTTGTCGTATTAGTGTCGATGCCGAATCCACAATCGAAAGGGAAGGGTTTCACAAGCGAATTTTCCAACCATGTCGATGGACCGCGCTGTTGATATTTGACGAATCCCCAAAGGCGATCGACGTTTCGCACACCTGGCAGCCATATATCCAGTATCATCCTTCGATTCGTGTTCTCCCAACCACACCGTATCCACTTCGCCTTAAAGGTGTCATGAAGGAAGGAGTTATGTTGCGTAGGTCAAAGAAAAAGAGATGCAACCACACGACAGTTGCGATGTGCCCAGCGAAGCCTTATCAGGCAACCTCTCAGTGCACAGTATCGCCGGGATCGTCAACTTCTTTCTCGCGTCCTCCGCAGTCGCCACACGTTGGGCATGTGCAATCATGCTCTTGATCGCCGTCAGGGTCGTCGCTCAAAAGCATCGGTGGATCCTCCTGAGAATAAGAATCTTCAAAGTCCTCATTGTCATGCGGATAGTCGTCGGCATATTCGTCATCATGAGTAGAGTTACTCACAGCGGCAACCATGGGCGCGTTGCCACCTTGGTCCTGGGACAGATTCTGAGGTGACGCCGTCTTCCCAGGCGACTTGGCTGGCTTTTTGCCCTTCCGGCTCTTAGCCTTGGCCTTTTCCAGAAGACGCTTCCTTTCCTCTTCCTTGCGACGGGCCTTCTGGTCCTTGATTTCGTATTGTCGAATTAAGGCGTAGGGAGGCTCGCCAAAGATTCGCTCATACTCGCAGAATTCGCAAATCCACATATCCTCAGGTTTGGGCGGGTTGTTGTAGTATTTGTACTCCGCTTCTTGGTGACGCTGCTTGGCTGCCATTCGAAGTTCCTTCTCGGCTCGACGACGGCTCTTCTTCTTTGACGCCCCAGGCTGAGCATTTGCTTTGCCAGTTGGCGCTGGAGGTTGGCCTCCATGCGCGCTAGCCAGGTCTGATGGATTCTGTGTCGTCATTGAATTATGTTTGGCTTTGCCGCCGGGGCCGTATCCAGGCTGTGAACCGGTAGGATCAGTCCCTGGCCACTGAGGCTTGGAGACGGGGGAGTCGCAGGTGAAGGTGAATTGCGTAGCAGTTGGGCTGGATTTGGCACTAGAGGAATGCTGATGCAGAAGGCTCACGTTCTCCTGTCCTGGGGTCGAGGGGAGCTTTTCGGCATTGGCGATGGCACTAGAAATGATTCCGTGGTTTTCGCCTGAAGAAAGCAAAAAGTCAGCAGCGCATTCTTTATGTTGCCAACGTTTGGCCTTTGTTGTGAAAGAAAGTACAAGAAAGCTGGTGGAGGTGCAGAAGGAGAAGGAAGGGTGAGGCAAGGTGAGGTAAGGTGCGGCGGCATATACTGGAAATCAAAGTGGGAAAGCACGACTGACCTGCAAGCAGGCGCGGCCCCCAAAATCCATTTCCAGCAGCATGTAGCCAAAGTGGCTTTGAAGTCCCGTTGATCCCGTAGTGCTTCTCACGTCTTTCGTTTTTGAAGAACAGAAAATAAGGCATTGCAATAGGGGGATTGACTTACTTGATGTTGCCCATTGAGGCTGCCGGATCTTGGCTCCCCTTCCGACCCAGTTACTTGTTGCGTCGGACAAAGCTCTCAGAGGACTTCTCCCATTCCTCGACCTGCCAAATCTGCCTCTCCCTGGCCCTGAGATGCCTTGGTTGTTGGCAACGAAGCTTCCAGCTCCATAGTATGACGACAAGACTGATCCAGCGAGGTCACCCTGGTCGTTTGACGGAGACGTTGCCGCTGACACACCCATAGAATTCATCTCGCCTAGCGAATGCACACCAGGGAGCGCTGAATCTCCAGCAGTAGGAATCTTCCGCTTCTTCTTGTTGTTGGTATTCTCAAAGGACTCGTAGCCATCCGCGGAAGATGTTGTCGAGGGTGGGGGTTGCGGATTCGGATGTTTGGAGTGTTCTGGCTTCGGAGGCATCGTCGAGACGCGGTTTAGGATCTCTGGTTGTGAACGACGGACAACTTTGCTGCTGCTGAGGGCCAACTCCTCCTCGTCACTCTCCCCGGTTCCTCCGCCGCCACCTCGCGGGCTGTTCTCGTATCCAACCCCGCTTCGACTCGTACCGTTTAGTCCTCCCGTCCTTGACGGAAGCTCATCTCGTACAATATTGGGGTAGTAAAACAGAGGGCTGGAGTTCTGGTTCGCCGGGGGGTACTCGATGGAATCCGCCACTTCGGGGGAAAGGCGTTCCCGCAGGCGACGTTTCGGCAAAGGACGGATCGGCCTCTGAGGGAACAAGGATGAGACGCTTTCGGGAGACATTGTTCGATTATGACCTGCTTCCAAGTAAGAGCCATCGAGGTTAGCAAGCTTCTTGGTCGAGTGATAGAGCCTTAAGCCGGTGAGCTTCAGAGGCGCATGACCTATGCAGTCGGCTGCCACAGCCAACTCCGGCATCTCATGCGCATATGAGGAAGCGCCTGACATACGGCGGAGGACAGCAGTGACAACGTTTCGCGAAAGCAGTGGTCGAAAGGGTGGATGTTGCAAGGGTGTGGCGGAGGTTGGAGATGGAGAAGAGCGAGGCATACCCATTACACCTCATGCTACGAGCCATCCAAGGCAAACCACCGCGGGGAAGACGATTCACGCAATGAAGCTCGAGGCTGCAAGCAGTGGCAGAGTTGGTTTCTTCCTCAACTACAGCAAAAGGCGCTCGGGGATGGCGGTCGGCGGGTTGGGCGGTTCGGGGTGGAGGGTCCGTATTAAATGGGGGGAGGAGCTCGTAACCCTTGATTCCTGAGTTTGCCCAACCATCAGCGTGTGTCCGCAACAGAGATCTGGCCAACACCCAGCCAGACAAACACATCCTGTACATTCAGCAAGATCCGATTTGGCAGCTTTCCCTTCCACTTGAAAGAGCCCACGGGTGTGCTGCGCAGTGAGGCGGTAAAAATACGGGCGGGCCTCGCCTTGTCGACAGAAGAGGGGAGCGGGCATACCAACTCGGTCCACCAGAATTCGGCTGGGTCTGCTCCGCGTTCGACTTTGGGCGCACAGGAACTCCAAAAGACAAATAGTGCAGCCGAACAAAAGACGAGGTCGAGATGCAAAGGGCGACAGAAACGGCGAATGCAAGCTCTGCGAGTATCGAGGATTGCGGAAAAGCCAACGTACAAATCGAATTCCCCAGCTTTGATTGCTAATGACAGCATTTGATAATGTCTGGTGTGTGATTAGGAGACGTAGGTCAACCAGGGCCGCTCGAAACGTATTAGGTCAGCAAGCCAGGGCTCCGCTGCGGATGGACCGCCGGGGGGTTGGGCGCAAGGTCGAGTGGTGAGTGGTGAGTGATGAGCTTGGCCCCGGTGAATGAGATTAAGAGGTCGAGGCGGGCGAGGGATAAGGTGGGAGTGACACTGCCTGGACGGAGCGCGGGTAGGAGAAAGGTGGCAGACAGCACACACTGTGTGCTCTACAAAGGCAGCTCGTTGCAATAACAGAGGCACGGGCGATTGAACCGGCCTCGAGAATACACGAGCACCGTTTAGCGCGGGACAACCGTGGACTGTAAGGCGATTTTGGCCCTTCCGGCGAGGGGTCGTTGCTGTGCTGGATGACGGGTTCGGAAGAAAATCCCTGCTCACTTTGTCTCCAGTACTCCATTTTTCTACCATTTGGAGGGTAATCTGTGGGCAAGACACAGTGCTATCCTGAGTCGCCGATACCCAGACTGTCATCGCCAGGTTTTTCCGACGGCACCAGACACAAATCCCATCTACCTTCGCTTTGTGCAGGGATTATGCAGCACAATTGGCACGGGTACGTAGCGAGAGCAGCGAGAGCAACCATTGACAGTGGCCCAGCCCCGCAGAGCTGGCTGTTTTCCCCCCTGGGGTGTGTCGCTCGGAGGGCACCTGAGCGGCAGCTCCCTGGCACTGCACGCCAGAGCAAGAGAAGCGGCGGCGCACCGCACTTTGCAGACCCGAAGCGTGTGGTGCTGCTCCTCCAGCCCGTCGCCTGCCTGTCTCCTTCACCCAAAGCCAGTCTCCGGGGCGCATTCACTTTCTCTCTGACCTTTTTCCCACCTCCGCACTCCGGCTCCTCTTGCTCTCTCTTCTCTCTCGACCTGTCACGACATGATTTTGACCTTGTCCCCGATTGTCAGACATGCGAACTGTTCGATCCCCTCAAGAGCCTTGTTGGAGTACCCGAGTCCTCTCTTCTCATTAGCCTGACGTGCGAGTCGCGCCTATTTCTTCCTACCCTCTCGCTCGCCCGCCCTCCCACCAAAACCACAACCACAACAACCCGCCCGCTCTCTGCCCACTCTCGTTACCTCACTTCTCCTCGCCTTGCCTCGGCGTCTCAATCTCATCATCTGTCTCCCAGCTCCGACGTTACCACAACTAGCATTCCCACTGCGTCAGTCACACGTCCCCGCCGACTCTTCCTCCTCCCTCTCCCGAATCCCTCCTCGCCGCCCTCTTCTCTCCGCCCTCCCGTTGCGCTGCCTCAATGGCACCCCCCTCTCCTCGACGTTCTTCACGAGCCCGAGGCAACACCGTCTCTCAATCACAGCAATCTTCAACAACGTCGAGTCTTTCGAGTCGGGGCGAAAGGGCCACCAGATCCCTCAACAAGACCTCTTCCGCTAAATCCACCCCGAGCGCTTCCCTCTCCTCCGAGCCGCCCGAAGACCTGGACGAAGCCCTTCCTTTGCGACGCAGAACTCGCGCCCAAGAGGACATCCGCGACAAGGCTCGCGTCGACCCATACGATATGGCTATCGGAAGCGACGATGTGCAAGAGGACGACGAGTCCGTACGATGCGTCTGCGGCTTCGACGAATACCCGGGGCCTCCACCTTTTGAGGAGGACTCCAAGCACGGGAAGCACAATCCGGAGCCAGGCTTTTTCGCTAGCATCGAGTTGTCAGATGAGGTCTCTGGGCTGTTTGTCCAGTGCGACGTCTGCAAAGTGTGGCAACACGGTGCTTGCGTTGGGATTTTCACTGAAGAAAGTTCTCCTGACGAATACTTTTGTGAGAAATGTCGAAAGGACTTACACAAGATTCATGCGGCTAGCAATGGGTAAGTAGCCTTCAATTTTTCCTCCGCGAGATTTTGTCGTCCCCTGCCATTGGTTACCGAACACTACAATGCGGAATGCATCGCATCCTGGATACCACGCCTCAATCGTTCTCTGTTTGCTAACGTTACTCTCCACAGGCAACGGTATTCCAATTACCTTCCTCTCAACCGCCCGTCGCGTTCTACATCTCGGGCCGCGTCGCTAGTCAAGGATGGCACCCGGTCACCCAAGGAAACAAGTAAGAATGGTCGTGCTTCGTCTGCGGCCCAGGCCTCGAAGAGAAGGTCGACGATGAACAGCCGGGACGCTGCATACGACGAAGACGAGCAGCTGCGACGCGCCATTGAAGCCAGCAAAGAAGAAACCGTCCCGGAAGCAACGGAGCTTGGCTCAAGACGAGCAAAGCGAGGTCGCAGTGGTAGCGAGGAGTAAGTGCTTGGTTGGGTTCTCAAACGGCTTTCGCTCACCGCTATAGGAACTTGACGAGTTTGAAGAGGCAGCGGACAAGCTCCCCTTCCATGTCGCCACCTCCCGAGAAGACCGAAGCTATCGAAGACGACACAGACGAGGAAAACAACACACGGAACGGCCAAATAAAGAAACCTCGTGCCGCCCGGACTCAACGTGAGAAGTCGGAGCGTGAAGAGCGTGACAGGCAGCGGGCCGAGGCAGCAAATCGACGAAAGGGTCGTGCAGACAGGAGGAGGGCTGAGGGTACAACCCCCGCGATTCCGGGTAAGGAACCTGAAGCTCACATGGGCGCAGAATCAGATCCGTCGGAAGAGGCCCCTCCCGCACCTCCTCGCCTTGCCGTCAAGCCCAGCACGGAAGCGGCGGTGCCAGCCGAAGCACCCCCATCCTCTGCGCCGACCCCAGACACCCCGCCAGCGAACCAGGTGCCTGTCGGAAGCTCGCATAAGAAGACCAGTCGCAATAACCAGAAAAGAGGAAAAGGCCGAAACCAATACACCAAGGACCGCGACGATAACGAAGATACTCCAGCGCGGTCAATGTCTAGAGATATTGGAAGGAATCATGACGACCATGCCGGCGCCGGTACAACAAGACACACCCACGCCGACCACCCCAAACATAGTGCAAGGAGCAAGGCAAACAGCGCCCATAGCAAAGTGTCGATGAACGACATGAAGCGTAGAGTTTCGGCATTCCTCGATTTCATATCCAAGACGCAAGTTGAGTTGGCAGGCGAGGCACTTCCGGGATCAAGAAGTAGCCAAAACAGCTCTCAGCAGCAAAGCCCCCGCGTAACGGCTGCGCCCGAAGCACCCAAAATCAGCGTTAATGGAGACACCAACGCCGAGTCGAAGAACTCCCCCATCACAAGCGCGGCAGCAGACGAGAATCGATCCGAAACGAAGGAGTTCAAGGCGCTCAACTGCGTAGAGATGATGGACGTTCTCACTCGGGATCTATTGCGATGGCAGAATCAGTATGCTTCCTGAGCGGGAATATTTGTTGGCTGTTTTCTTGGCTTTTATATAAGTGAATCGTCGCTCGTCCAAGATGAGAGAGTCTGTTTCACTTCGGAGTATGATATCAAAGGCCTATTGACGGTGGCATCCGACGGCCCTCTACGGATTGATGCTTATTGGCGTTCACGGTTTCTTGGGGGTGTTGAAAATGTATCGGAGCAAAATCCTGCTGAAAAGGTCATCTCGGGTTGTCAGAAGCTCCCCTGTATGCATCGGTTTGCGGTTCTATTGTCAGTTGATAATGTCAGGTTAGAGGAGAAATGTCGGATACCCCGGACACTTGCGAGTCTCAGTGTTGCGGGTGATTGTCCATGGTAAGACGGATCCACGTTGGGTCGGAGTTGGACCTTGTCTAGAGCTGTTCGAGCAGGATCTACTTTGTTTCTTTGACGCATCTGGTGTACAAAATCGCCTTCTTACAAACCAACATTTTGTTTACATGTATGATACATAGTGTGGGGTATCTCTCTATAGTTCCAACACGGACAGCTTGTCCCTTTGTGTCCTAAATCGCCTTGCTCTTATTGAGAGCTCTTTCTTTTCTTGCTTCCTTCTCTTTCCTCCGTGCCTGATTCATGCTGAGGGGGCCTTGGCCTTCTCTCGCAAGCTCTTTCTGCTTGAACGCCTCGTCGCTGATATCGTCGAGCACAAACTTGCCCAGGTTCCCGGCCCTCCACTGTTTGATGATCCAGTCTGCCGCGCTGTCCGCATTCGCCTCTCCGCCGGCCTTGAGCTTTCCCGTCCTGCGTGCAACCCCTAGGAGTAGCTCATTGACCTCGTTGGTCGGTTCGGAGTACTTTGCGTACGCGCTCGGGCCGGTGAGGTTGAGGCGGTACAGAAGGTAGTCGGCGAGGATCTCCATTGGGATGCGGTCGTCCTTGACGGAGCCCACGAGCGCGAGCTTCACCATGTTCTCGGCTTCCGACACATAGGGCATGAAGACACCGGGCGTGTCGAGCACGAAGACGCCCTCGCCGAGCCCCATGCCGCCGTCCCCCTCGGAGTCGAGGATGCGCACCGGCGACCCCAGCTTGCGCGTCACGCCAGGCTGCGCGCCGACTTTCGCGACGTTGGGCTTCTTGTGCATACCATGCACGCGGAGCTTGTTGAGCAGCGTGCTCTTCCCCACGTTGGGCATGCCGACGACCAGCGCGCGCATGCCCGTTAGACTGTCGACGGAGTGCGCAACGCTCCTGATTTCGGAAAGGAGCTGCTTCGTACTCGCCGGGTCATCTTTCCGCCAAAACACGACGCGCTGCGGAGTGCCGCCGACGGCGGAGTGGCCGCGGTGGAAGCGGCGCAGCGCGTGTTCGACGGCGGCGGGGCTGTCGGTGCCGAGGTCGCGGTGGGTATAGACGACGATGCGCTCGCGGCCGGCCACGGCGCGATCGAGGACAGGGTTCCAGCTCGTTATGGGGACGCGGTAGTCGCGGCACTCGAGGACCAGTCCGACGTCCGAAAGGCGTGAAGAAATGTCGCGCAGCGCGGCGTGGTGGTGACCGAGGTAGTAGGAGCGGGGGATGGATTCGGAGACGGCGAAGTGGAGGCGGGGCGCGAAGGCCCAGCGCGCGGCAGTCGGGAGCATCGTTTCGGGAGGATGAGGTGGGGGGGGTTTCGGAGGAGGGACTTGTTTCGAGTGCCCTGTGATAGGTTTATTCTATATGGCTTGAGCACGCATTGTTATGCGGGCGATTGATGGGCGCTTGGGGCCGGCGCTGATGATTCGGGTGATGATTGGAGAATTGCAGTTATTTCAAAATTTCTTCAGCCTGGCCATGGTGTCTCACAGCCTTGGCTGTTCGCGCATAATATGATTGGACCATAGGACCCCTTAACTCGGAGGGGCACTCTGCTGGCCCTGCCACCAGCCGTGACGTCAGATGCCGAGCCTCTCGTTCAGTAGTCTCAACCGAACTCTGCAAAAGATCCACATATGCCAAGAGAGCCAATAACAGCACGTGGGAATCAAGGCAAATTCGATTTGTCGAAACAGCCTAACCTTTACGCTTCGAGCAAGTGACACAGAGACCGGGAAACGATGCTGGGATAGTTGGTAGCGAGTTGGGACGAAAACTTAAATCTACTTGCCCTGGCCGCGTGTCGGGCAGCACCGTCTAATGGGTTTTGGGGTGTTTGGACTTCTCTCTGTTTTCTCTTTCACGGCGTTTAACATGATGCTTTTGCTGTCGTTCATGCTGTGTGTTTCTAGGTAAAACGTAATACACTGGGCTCAATTATTGACAATCATTCTCCCGTATTCTTTGGTATCAAGTCGCGGTCCATTGCGCATCGTGGACCTCGTCTGAATGACAACAACCCCCGCGGCCGCGGGGCCACGCGACGACCGTGAAAACGGTCCAGCAACGTCGCCGCGATCTCAAGACGATGTCATAACGCCGGTCCGCGAGTCGCACGGCCACACCGATGACCGTGTGGATTGGAGTTCTTCTGACAAGCGAGAGGCTCGTGAAGTGTCGTCCGCTGGGGATACGAGCTCGGAAGGACGCAGCGGCCGGTGGCGGGGTTACTTCCGCAGAGATGGCAAGTTGAGGCCGTTCCGGCTGCTGAAGGAGGATTTTGGAAATTTCAGGCTGCGGTATTACTCCGACTGGACTGTCTTTAACCAGCTCGTGCTAGCGAGTGCGATATATGTCTTCTTCACCAACATCTTGCCCGGTATCACGTTTGCCAGCGACTTGTTCGTCCTGACGGGGAGTCATGGGGCACGATTGAGGTTGTGTTTAGTACTGGGCTTTGCGGTGTCATCTTTGCGATGTGAGTTGTTTCTCAAGAGGGAAAAATCTGGTTTGTATGGGAGGAGACTAACACGCCTTTTAGGTTTTCGGCTCAGCCGTTGACGATCCTCGGTGTGACTGGGCCATTTTCAGTACTAGCAGAGAACATATACAGTCTATGCGAGAACTCATTCAAGGTATGTTGGGCTCGCACTGCAGTACTCTATCATACTGACTCCTTCAGATCCCCTTCCTGCCCTTTATGGCATGGTCGCTCATCCATTCCGGCTGGATGCATTACCTCCTGGCCATCTTCAACGCCCACGACTACACCATGCAATACGTTACAGATTTCAGCGCCGACATCTTTTCCCTCCTCAACAGCGTCATTTACTTCCACAAGGCGGTCCTCGAGCTCCAGCGCACAAAGGCCATCGTCTCACTCGCCGCCTTCCTGTACTCCATCATCGGCGCTGCGGGAACCTGCCTGCTTGCCATCTTCCTGTCCACGGCGGTCTCGTGGAAGCCGTTGTTCCACAGATACGTCCGCATGGGCCTGACCGAGTACGCCGCCGCCATCTCCATCATCTTTTTTATCGGCATGCCGTACGTTGGTGACCTGGCCCACCTCGACCACAACCGGCTCGAGGTCTCCAAGACGTTCAGGCCCTCGTCGCCAAGCCGGGAATACTTCTTTGTCGAGTTCTGGAAGCTCCCCATTGGATGGATATTCATCGCCATCATCCCGGGCCTCATCATCACCGTCCTCTTTTACTTTGACCACGAGATCAGCAGCATCATCTGCACAGCCAAGAGGTACGGAGTCCAGAAGCCAGGTGGTTATGCGTGGGATGTCATGCTTCTCGGCACGACAACGATCATTTGTGGAATCCTGGGCATTCCACCGGCCAATGGGCTGCTACCGCAAGCACCACTCCACTCCGAGTCTCTAATGTACACGGTCTACGAGGATGAGCCGCCCATCGACTCTGGGCCTGGCGACGATCCTCCCGCGAAGCCCGTTCTGCGGGTGCACGAACAGCGGTACTCGCCGTTGATCCAGGCGGCGGGGATCCTGCTGTTCATCTCGCCTCCGTTTCAACACGTTCTGGGCTTCACGCCGACGTCGGTCCTTGCAGGCTTGTTCATGTTTATGGGCTACCAGTCACTATGCGTGAACCCGATCCTGGCCAGGGTCTGGCACCTCCTCACCCCGATTTCAGAGCTCCCTGCTCTACCCCAAGGCGCAAGCTGGATCGGGATCCATTTCTACACCGTTACGCAGTTGGTCCTGACGGGCATCGTGTTTGGCGTAACGTTAACCGTTGCCGCACCTGGATTTCCGATTATTATCATCATCCTGGTCCCGGTGCGATTGTTCTTCATGAACAGGATCTGGAGCCGCCAGACGCTACGGTACGTCGATGGGTGGGCCACCAGAGAAGGCAAGCCGGAGGACAACGAGGATGATCGCCGCCGGGAGGGTGTTGTGACTTCAGTCGATGCCACCAGACGGGTCGCCGATGAGGAGAAAGGCACCAAGACAGCATAAGCGTTGCATTTGTTGCTTGTTTAGAACTTAATAAAGAAGGGAAAAGGTCATTTCAATAATACATCTCCATTCGTATCACTCAGAATAGCAAATCATCGTCGCGCTAGCATAAGAGATACTCTGCTTTGAAAGGTCGTCCCGAACAGATACGGCCCCGCAGTCGACAGCCACTTCCATGTACTCCAAGTAACACTTCCTACCAACGGTAACCCTTTCGGATCCGAGTCTCAAGGCGACGTCGGATAAACATACCCGCAAACGGACGAGGGATACACCGATCTCTGTCTAAGACATACTTGCACACGGCTGAACTATTTCAAGGCGGCTCCACACACTCGTCGAGACAGACTTGTTCTGTCCTTTTGAAAGCCTTGTTCGCTACACGACCAATACCGCAGATTCCTAAAGTCATGTCGCTGTCTGTAGCTGGCAAATATGCCATCATCACGGGCGCGGGATCAGGTACGCTTGCCCTTCAAACCTTCCACAAACACACTTCACTAACACCTTACAGGCATCAACCTCGCCTTCGCCAAAATTCTGCTCGAGCGCGGCTGCTCCGTCATGATAGGCGACCTCACTCTTCGCCCCGACGCCTCCTCCCTCCTGAGCCAATACCCTCACCCGCAGCAGTCCAACCGGCCCTCGGCCCTGTTCCAATCCACCAGCGTCGCCTCCTGGCCGCAGCTCACGCGCCTCTGGGCCAAAGCCCTAGCCACGTTCCCCCAGATCGACATCGTCGTCCCAGGCGCCGGGATCTTCGAGCCCGCGTGGAGCTCGTTCTGGGAACCCCCGAGGACGGAGACAAATGCGCAGACGGAGTCTCGCGACAAGGCAGACGCGGAGCCCGGTACGTATGCCGTGCTGGATGTGAACCTGACGCACCCGATTCGGTTGAGTCAGCTTGCTATCGGGTACTGGACGCAGGAGAAGCGGAAGGGCTGTCTGGTGCACGTGGGCAGCATCGCAGGCTACGCTTCCGGGATCGGGACGCCATTATATTTTGCGAGCAAGCATGGACTGCATGGGTTCGTGAGGTCTTTAGGGGGCATGCGAGACCGATTGGGGATCCGATGCAGCGTCGTTGCGCCGGGGGCGGTCATGGTGAGTCTCCTTATACTGACCAGATCGAGAAGACTAAAATACTGAGGCATGACGGCAGACGCCGCTGTGGTTAGAGGACCCGGGGAAGAAGCACCTTGCAGAAGGCGAGGGCGGAGAGCTGTTTATCGAGCCCGAGGAGATTGCGAGAGGTATGCTGGAGCTCTGCGAGAACCCAGAGTACGGTGATGGGACGATCTTGGAGGTTACAAAGGGCGCGACAAGGGTTGTGCCCATGTATCATGCTGAGCCCCCGAGTGGCAAGGGGGCGGTGATACCTCAGATTGTTGACGAAGCTGAAAAGGTTTGGAAGGAGCTTGAGCGTAAGGGATTAAAGGTGTAGCCGATGACCTCGCTTCCACATTTCCGACACTTATTATTGCCAGTCACCGACTCGTAATGGTGTCTTGATTCCAAACAAGTTTTTTCAAGAAATAAAAATAAAGTGAGAGATAGGTAAGAGGCGTGTCAATACACGTAGAATCTCGTCTTATGACTATTCATCAAGAGTATTCCGACTAACCCCTTAGGAAGGCTCATCATACTGAAAGGAGCTGTAATAAGCTCGACCTTGTCACTGAGATACAAGTTCTGCCAGAACAAGAATTGAGCAAAATTTGTTTGCTATGTTCACTTACCTTTTCAACAGCATATTGGACGCATGTGGTAGCGGATTTATCCGAGTATGGGCCAGTACTGCTAACTCTAGAGCGACCACGCGAAGTCGGGCTCCTCAATAACTTGTTGGCGGAGAAAATAAAAAACTGTCTTGGCACATCGAAACTACCATACTTGACCGAACTACCAAATTGGGGAAGTCAACGATGTCGGTCGCAAAGCGCCTACAGCTGCGCCTCGATGAAGTGAGACATCGTTGGGCGCCACACCAAATCCTCCCGCCTTCCTGGCTGCCTTACGTCAGAAATGACATCCTTTCGCGATGGCGGCTCTGGAATTCATACTTGCCTTTCTATCAAGCTGGTGATTTCAGAATCAGACGCCACGACCACAGATATCGTTTAAGTGACGATGGTGCCCAGACGGCCGCATCTCGAACTGTTCAACCCAGCCCTCCCTCCGACTGGCCACGGCAGCTTCACCGTATTCCCGCAACTGCCTGCAGAGATCCGCCTTTTGATTTGGAAGCACGCCCTCCAGCGTCATCGTATGGTACATGTCATCCTCGAGAAGCAAGTAAAGAAGGGCAACGGAAACGAGGCGAAGACTGCTGAACGATACTCCCTCCTCAATGGCCTAGATCGACCTATAAGTGGGAACCATTACAACGTCGTTGTCGTGACACGACATGCTTTGCTTCCGGAGAATATCATGGTGGTGAACAAGGAGGCACGAGAAACCGTACTGGCCTTCTACGCCGTGCGAATCCCCTGCCACCTTAAGCCCAGCGTTGAAACCAAATCCAAGGTTCGGCCTAAAAGATCCATCCTGCGCCTGAACATGGACTGGGACTACGTCAGGGTCTCAGCCGAGAACGCACCCCTTCTCTTCTTCGACTTCCTCCACGACCTCCGCGCCTACGACCCACAGGGCAGCGGCCTCCGGCACCTGGTTATTGAAGACAACTACTTCCGTATCGCCGAGATGGCATCTCCTATGTCCGCCAACCTCGACACCCGCGCTCTCGCTGCGTTCAGAGCCACGCTCACAAAGCTTAAGACCATTTGGTTCAAGAACACGCCCCCCTACGGCCGCACTCTTGACGTGCTGACCTGGATGCGCGTCAACGTCTTCAACTACGGCTTCCCCGTGTTTCCAACCTTCACCTTCTTCGACCCACCTCTCCCGGACCCCCGGGACGTCTCCCGCGACCTGCAGAAAATCGGGGGCAGCGTTTGTGACTGGCGTGAGAGGCCTCTCGGATGGAGGATGATGCTGCGTAAGCTCGGCATACGTCCCGAAGACGTCGAGGGGAACCCCGACATCGACGTGCGAATGATGATCGCCATGGACCGGGAGAAGGACATCCGCACCCGCGGAGATGCCGCACGGGTGCTACATGAGGAGGACTTCAACTGGCTGCGGCTACAATGGTGGTTCCGAGGGTGGGATTTCCCGCAGCCCGGAGGCGGAGGAGATCGGCCGGCCGGGTGCTTCGCGACGGCGTCCGGGTTGCGGCCTACCTTGCCTGATCTCGATGGGCCCGAGGTTCTCGCTGCGGCGCCGCGGCCGGCGCTTGGGTTCTGGTTGTTCCCCGTTGAGGCGTTTGGGGAGATTTCCGAGGACAAGCATGCGAGTTTGTGGACCAGGCCGAAGGGCATCTTCGATTTGAGTTCGCATTGGCCCGACCTGGCGATGGTGGATGTGCCGCGAGCTGCGAAATAGTCATTTTGCGGCCCATCGGTGGTCCCCGACTGTTCTAACCATCTTAGACTCTCTTTGATTGCGTTGGTTAGTTGGTTCAAGCATGGGCACGGCACCGTTGCGCCGAGCCAACATGTGCCGCCGTGGTGACCATACCGCAATCTGCTGGCAAGCCAGGATCAATCATCTACGATGGGGAATCCTTTGAGGCGCTCAGATGTCCTCGCATTGTTTGAAGGGGACGAGGCCAATCGTTATCGACACCAGTCGGTCGTACTTTGGGAGTCTTCATCATCTGATACAGTCTTTTGACTGCGAATTGGCAACAGCTATCTGACTCTGCGGAGTGAAAATGACAAATGTGTATCGGCGGAACCCTCCTTAACTCTCATCGACTCTCTCTTCTCGTCAGTATCCATACGCGAATACAGTCTGGAAAGTAAGAGGCAGGAAGGGGAATGCTTTACTCGGCGTGAGCTTAGTCCAGAATGCATTGACTTTGGACACGATGGCCAGCGAAAGTGTACTCTGATTGCTGTTCAAGAACGGACGTTACATCACACTCTTTCGGTGGGGAAGCTTGGAAAACACTTGGACGCCGCTCAATAAGCCCTTCGATACATTGGTTGGCATAACAACCCCCAAGTAAGCATCAGACGAATTGATGAAGCTGAATGCCTGTCTAAATTAGTGGGATGAAATGAGTCACTAACTTTGATGATTCTCCCCAAAAGCAAGCACTTCGTCTATGTCCAACATCTTGTAGGGACCCAATTCGAAGGCCAATCCGTCCTCCTTCCGCTGAGGCGTCCGGACGGCTGAGCAGGTCATGTAGTCTGGGCCCAACGCCTTAAGGGACACGTTTGCGTCCTCGACCTTGGCACCCTTGAACACAATTTCATGATCCGTGACCGCCTCACCATCGGCCTCGAAACTCTCTGCGGGAGCCGGCGGCCTGAACTTCTTGAACTGCAAGTCTCCCAGCCACGGCGCGAGAAGCGCGTCACCTGTCATCTTGACATACGCCTCCCTCAAGCACCACAGTGCATAGAAGCACCGCAGCTTAAAGTCTGCCGCATCCTCAACCGAGGCCCCGGGCTTCAACCCCGGCGGGATGGCGGCGAGCACCTGCCACTTAAGGAAGCTCGCTTCGAGAGGCGAGAGCACATCGGCGTGGACTTCGACGAACTTGGGCCACCCCTCGCTTCTCAGCATGCTGTGGTCCCTCGTGCGGCGCTCCGACGTGCATACCACATCCACGCCGACGTCGACTGGGCCATTGGCGGGGTCATAGCCGTGGACCGCAAAGAGCGCAACGAGACCTGCCTGGTGGCTTACATTGAAGCTCAGCGGGGTGGTGCCGTCGGCGGCGCGGAAGATGGGCTTGGTGCGCTCGTCGCGAACGGCAGTTGCCTCGGGCCAGGGGACGCCGCAGAATCGGCTGATGGCGTAACGTTTCAAGAGATGCGAGCCCAGGGACAGCTTCGCGTCGCGGACATGGTAGTACTTTAGCACTGCCTTACGTTCTTCGGGTTTAAGGAGATCGAGGGCTCGGGATGCCTTGTAGTGGTTTCGCGTCAGTTCAATTCTCAACTCCCAGGGGGGACAGGGAAGGTGTGCATAGGAAGGGGGGCAGTTTTGGGATGGGGTTTTTTCTTCTGGAGTGTTCGCAGTCGGGACGGGTTTGGACGATAGAGTCGCAAAACGGGCAAGGAGCAGGCGTGAATTGGATCAAGGAAGGGCACACTACGTACCACTTGCTCGAGCTGCTTCGTTTCAGTGGCCTCCGGCCATAAATGCCGTGTATCCAGGATCCACTGTATGAGAGTCGGGGCCATCTTGAACAAGGTGGTCTTTGGGTGTTTCGAAGATGGTTGTCGGAACCAGAAACAATGGTTCTGCAGTACCTATGCTCGCTTGGTTTCCAACTGACGTAAGTCTGCGTGCAGCCTTGAGAAGAAACTCCTAGAAGTGAAGCCCTCCAAGCATGCATAAACTACAGGTAGGGCTGTTGTCCAACCGGCAAACCCGCCTTGTCGTCAGAAGAGGTGACGAAATGTGCCTGCCAAGAAACTCTGATTAAGGTTGAGGGATTGGCCACGAGTTGAAGCTGCGTCTCTGACACTCAATCGCCCCGCTGGCGCCGAGAGGAAGTTGACGAGACGACGAGGAAGCCGAGGCGGACGTTGAAGCCACTGCCGGCGTCGTGGATAAGCAATTGGACGACGAAGATTGGCAACAGGCGCGCGCGTGAGTGGCAGAGGTAAAGCCGTTCCTTGGCCAAACGGGCAGGTTGGCGATGTGTGATGGACGGATGGTTTGCAATCTCAAGTTTCAGACATCAGGCCATCGGGTTATTGGGAGGATTTGCGAGTCGTTCGTGGTTTCATTGAAGGGGGTTTGGGCCCGGTTGGTTGACGCGAGGGTGAGATTGTCACAGATGCTCGTGAGTGTTTGGAGGGGGGGAGGTTGAGACGTTTCCACCACCCCGGGCTGGAAACTGCCCGGGGGTTGGTTGGAAGTGCTACAGCGCCCAACCTCTCCCTGTTGGCTGCTCCCCCCCCCCCCCTCGGGGCCCGGAATCAGGCGGATCAACGCCCACTAGCGCCCTTCCTGGTTGGTGGTGCAGTGTCGCGGCTGCAGATCACACCGAACGGCCGCTTGGCCCGTCCACCTCTCTCGCCTTAAACCTTTTCTCGACTTCAACACTCTACCGGGACGTATTTGTTATAAAGACATCTTCGTCCGTCCTTCGTCTCGACCTGCTTCCCTCCCTTCTCCTTCTTTTCTTCAGCGCAATTCTACTCTCGCTTACAGAATTCGCCACGTAGTCGAGTCCTCTCAGCCAAACCCATACAAAGGTTCCTGCGTTTTCCTATCACCGTCTGAACCCGGCCTCCCCCGTTCCGCCGCCATGACCGTCAACCACCAAGCCCTGATCTGAACTCGGTCGAATGCGAGCCCAATAACCATGTTGCGACGTTCGAGCAGGGCCAGGAGTGCCACTTTCTTTTTATTGTTCCGCTGGCAAGGTCGTCTCTCTCTTAGGAGAGGCTTGATCTGAAGCGTCGAGCAAGCCATTTCTTGTTCGATTTTCCTGGTTTACGGCGGGGACGCCAGCCGAAGACTAGTCGAGAGTCAACCTCCTTTTTATTTTTATTTTTTTGAAACCACTTTCAACAACCGCTAGAAGGCTCCGCCGAGCTTTGAAGCTTCGATGATCCGTCCGAAGAGCCCACGCGTCGGGGGCAACCAAACGTACGACACCACCGCTAACGCCCCAGTGCGGCTGGCCGCGGATGACGCGAATTCGCTGGAAAGAGCCGCGTGAGCCCGAAGCGACCGGCGTCTTTGTATTCCTTTCCCGTTCCGTCCTCCATATGTTCCGCCCGCCTCGCCTGGACCTGGTCTCTTCGTCGAGATAAGGAGCCGGGTTTGAGAAGGCGGGAGCTGTCCATGCTCGCCTAGCCCGGTCTCTTCGTGAGATAGGGACGGGCTTGAGAGGGAGGAGTGATAGGACGGGAGAGGGGCGCCAATTTGTTTTCTCCAACTTCTATTCTTCTTTTTTTCTACACCAGCCCATCACAACGCCGAGAGTTGGGCACGCCCTGTGAAGCGCTTGGGATGAGCTCGCATCAGTATCCATACTTCCGCCTTGCGGGTAGAGATGGTGCGGGCCCGAAACTGCGCGGAGGGTCCCTTGCTGAGTCTGGACCTTTTCGTTGGTGCGGGGGATTAAGATGCTTCTACGGGAGCATCGACCAACCAGACTTTGGTACCGACGAGTGGAGTGGGAGAGATTGGGTAACGAGGGGGGAGATCGGTGGCGCTCAACGGATACCGATAAGATGAGCATTGCGCTACTGGAAGTTAGATCAGGACGATGACGAAGAGACTTGGATGCCGAAACATAGCAAAATCCAGTTATAATGTTAATCTTTGCTATACTTGCTTGTTGCACTGGGTTCATGAGATGCTCCCACACGATGTGCTTAGGAGGCAGCTGCGCGCAGCTGCCGACAGCTGTGGCCTCACAAATGTACCGCAAACCAGCGGTCTTGGGCCGCCCTACGTCATTGCTTACAGACGTTAACGCGACAGTATTAATTATCGTCTGAAGTTGCTGCCTGCGTCAGCCTCTAGAAACTGCCGCTGCATCTTAACTGGGACGCGGCCTTATATGGGGAAGATTCCTAGAACCAAGCAGCTCTAGTAAACGAAACTTTTCCAATTCGGCCAATCAACAGCGAAGCCGTGCAAAAGTTTACCTGATCCGGGGCAATGACAGCGGTGGCTTGCTTGCTGATTATACCAACTCACATCATCACTAGCCTTCTAAAGAAACCACATCAACAAGAGGCCAGATACCACTGGCGTTCCATTCGTAACGAGTGTTAAGAATTCTCAACCGCGACTTAAGACGCTGGCTTACTTTTTACACAAGGAAGGCATGCCAGCATTGATGACGTTCCTTATGACTAGCCGGATACATCATGATGAGTATACAAGCAAAGTCTGGAAGCACGGTGACAGTCTTACTTTGGAAACAAAGCTTGAGAAACACAGCGGGCTTGTATTAAAGTCATAGTTCGGCCATACTATGAAAGAATAGTTCAGGGTTGACTTTTTCGCTTACTTGACCCCGGCTGACATGAAAATTTCAGTCCACAGCATCCCCGTCGTCTCGCTAAAATTATTCTTGTAGCGAGTACGAGGCAAAGGAAAAACGATGTACGGCAGTTGCAGTTGTTTCCGCGATGATGCATACTGATAGGCTTTGTTTATTGAACGAAAATGGGACCGAAGCTTATTGGTCGGACTGCTTTGTTAATGCTGACCCGATGGTTCATTGGGCACGATCTCCCGCCGTTAGAATGCTCGGTACTTCGTCAGGCAAACCTTCGTGGTAATCTGTTTCTGCATAAAGCACCACATATGACCGTGCCCATTGGAAGACTCGAGATCTCGTCGGCTCTTCCATTAATAAAGGGCCAATATGGGTCGTCTTGGTTAATTGGGAGAGTGGAATACCAACTAATCGGGACTGGAGTGGAGGGCCACTCCAATTTTTCTTCCGTACATATTGACCGTGCCACCGCACGGGCCACCATGTCACCCACATACTCCGTCGACAATAAACCAACCTGGGCTACGCGCCGAGTACTAGTAGACGGCATTTCGGCCCTCGGGCGGGAGCCCGGGAGTGAATGTGAGTATCGTAGATTGTACCTCTGTAGTGCCGGGTCACTCGTTAAGAAATTCAAGACGAGTTGATCTTTACCATCTCTTTCCTCACTTACTGCGTCTATACCTCTTTTCTTCTGTTTCTCAACTTCCCTCTCGCCTGGTTTTTATTCGTTTGATTCTTATCGACTCTCGAAGTACCTGAAGGGGTGCAATGGGCCAATTCACCGTATGGGTAGGCACGATGGTGGATCTTGGGATGGGAACCGGGGTCGGGATCTTGTTCAAAAGGGACAACCCGGGCTCACCTGAATCGGCTAGGATCCCTCGATCTGGAAAATGGTTCGTCGTTTGCCAATAACAGAGCTTACAAGTGACAGGGGAGGGTTAAAGGGGTTACCATTGAGCGGCTCATCGGCGCAGGCAGAGCCAGGATACTGGTAATATGGCTTCTGGTCCTCGTTGGCGCCAACGTATAACATGTGCTGTGCTGCCGCTGTCTTCGTACTTGCTTTTGGTCTCTCTCTGCAAGCTCTCCGCTTGAAGCCAAGGTAATCACTCGTTCTGCCTTGTGCTACTGTCATTCGTTTGTCCATAACGGGCATTATATCCTAATCGTTACCAGCCAAGCCTCTTTGCATCGTGTATCCTTTGTCCTTTTGTTATTCCTCCCTCTTTTGGCTACACATTTGTGCCATAATACATTTAATCTTCTTGTCCATCCACTATGTTCTCCCTCACATCAACCCTCTCCTTGCTGGCCGTCGGGGCTATCCAGGGCGCATCAGCCTTGGACGCGGCTGGATGGCGAAACCAGAGCATCTACCAGGTCATCACCGACCGCTTTGCCACCTCTGATGGCTCAACCCCAGCATGTGACGTGACCCCGGGCCTGTATTGTGGTGGCACCTGGAAGGGAATCACCAACAAGTTGGACTACATCCAGAACCTGGGCGCCACTGCCGTCTGGATCTCCCCCATCGTCAAGAATGTTGACGGAATCATCGACGGGGCTGGAGAGGGCTACCATGGCTTCTGGACTCAGGACCTCTACTCCATCAACCCGCACTTCGGCACCGAGGCCGACCTGAAGGAGCTCGCCGACGCCCTCCACGCCCGCGGCATGTACCTGATGGTTGACATCGCCCCGAACCACGTCGGTCTCAACGCCAACCCCGGCAACTACACCCAGTACAACCCCTTCAACAAGGCCGAGTACTACCACAAGAAATGCAACATCAACTGGAACAGCATCCCATCCATCCAGGTCTGCTGGCTCGAAGGTCTGCCCGACCTGATTACCACGTCTCCTTATGTCCGCCAAACATATGCCGCCTGGATCAAGGACCTAGTCGCCAAGTACTCTATCGACGGTCTTCGCATCGACACGGCCCTCGAGATCGAGCCTGAGTTTTGGACCGAAGGCGGCTTCAGAGACGCCGCCGGCGTCTATCTGATGGGCGAGATTAGCCACACAGACCTGAATGTGCTTGCCCCCTACCAGAAGGTCCTCGATGGCTTCCTGGACTACAGCGCCTACCACTGGTTCTTCGACGCCTTCTCAAAGGTGGATGGCGATCTGAGCACAGTATACAAGGGCACCAACCAGATGGCGAGCATGTCCAGCATCGACACGACGGTCCTTGGCTCTTTCGTCGAAAACCAGGACCAGGTTCGCTTCGCCCACGCAAACAGCGACATGGCACTGGCCAAGAACATGCACGCCGTCTCCATGCTCCGAGACGGCATCCCCATCGTCTACTACGGCCAGGAGCAACACTACAGCGGCGGTGCCAACCCCGGCAACCGCGAGGCCTTCTGGCTGGGCGGCTACGACATCAACTCGGAGCTGTACGGCTGGATTCAGCAGACGAACAAGATCCGAGTGCACGCCGCCGAGGCAAACCCCAACTTCCTGACAACGGAACGTATTCAGGCCGTCTTCTCCTACAGCAGCAAGGACAGCAGCCGCGTCATTGCCTTCCGCAAGGGCCAGATGTTCTCCATGTACACCAACGGCGGCGTCAACGCCAAGAACAACGTTATGTTCGCCATAGCCCGCAACGTCCACCTTCTCGCCATCGGCTCCGAGGTCGTTGACGTGCTGAACTGCGAGACCTTCACGGTGGCCGACAAGGGCCGCCTCTGGGTGCAAATGCCCGCCGGAGGCCTGCCCCGTGTGTTCCTGCCCAAGGAGCAAACCGCCGGGCTCTGCAACGACGTCAAGGCGCCTCTGTCAAGTGCCACCATCAAGGTTGCCGTGGACAAGAACACGGGGTACAGCAAGCGGTCGATGCCCTTTGTGACAAGGATTATGGAATAGGGGCAATGTGTCATGGGATTGTGGGTTACGGAGGTGTGCGAGTGTTCAGCGGACCTTCTGGGGTTAGCGAATATGTCTGACGAGACTTAATGGATATATATGCTTGTGTAGACGTGTTCTAGATCTCAAGCGATTGTGTGTCTAGTACTTATAGTAATATGTGTAATGTGTGTAACCCTCTCCTTGGGTACACTTATAAGTCGTTGTCTCAAATTCGAGGTCAAGTTTCAACCTGTGGTGTTATCAACGGCACAGGCGTAGAGGCAGCCGCATGTTGCTAAGGGGACGGATGGCGACGAGCGTGCAACAAACAATGGGCAGGGTTGTAAGTGAACTACATCTGGCTAGTCGGCCGTTGGGACCAGGGAAGGGAAAACGGACTATACTAGAAAGGAGCGGTGCTGTTTCGGACAAGGGTAGGTACAAGGGGGATGTGTGGGCTAGGTGAACCCTCTTGGCAGGTTGGCATCCGTATCTGTCACCCTCGGAGGCAAAAGCCTGTCAGATTCGGAATGCCAGACTCCCAAAATTGGAGGATCGAACTCGCAGCTGGGTCGGTGACGACCAGCGAATAACCTGGTGTTGTAAGGTTTTTCTTGAGACTTTGTATTTTGCTCAGGTGGAGCTGAGAATGGTCCTGCATAAGAGACGGGCAGGAGAGGTCCCACACGATAGTAACGCAGAAAAAAAGCCCGCGCTATATAGAAAGACAAGGAACAGCCGATGAACACCCCTATTTCTTGGGGGGGGTTCGGCAGGCGTGAGGGACGTGGAGAGCGCATGAAAGCGTTCGCGGAAGAGATGAACTCCTGGTTTATCTCAAACAAGCTCCAGTGTGTTACTGCCGGCGAGAGAGCTAGCTACCTTGTTTTGAGACGCATTCAACATCGCATGGCTTGAATGCTGAGCGTCGGGCCGCGTAGGCTAGCACGGTCATGCAGTGCCAATTCAATATACAGGGGTACGTAGATATTATATATTGGGTGGTAATAATTGTCCTTGTAGCATTGTAGAAGCGATGCAAACAACCGGTCATCGGCGCTTTACGAGGCAGCTCTTGACGTTAATGTTGGCCACTTCAGGTTCTAGCAAACTTGTGTTTTCATTACATAGGAGGCACAGTACTATTGAATGAGCTGTCTGTCCTATTTCCTTCCATTTCAATGTGCAATAATCATTAGTATAACAATTGAAGCCTGGCATGACGCTGAATTCGACATCTGAATGCAACAAACGAAGCTGAAATGTTTAAGAGTATAAAGATAACCGAAATGTAGCATCTCGGTTCCCCGGGATGAGATGAGGCAGTACATTAAAGCCTCATTGTTCGCAGCCCGAAACCTTGCACCCATAGACCCAAGGTGGGGTCGCTTCAATATCAGCTGATGGCGGTCTGGGTCATGGCGAGTGGAAATAGGACAAGGCACGTGAAGCAGTGATTATAAAAGGCATAGAAGCAAACTACGGGGTTTGTACATTGAAAAAAACAGACATGCCCAATTCACCCATAGACCAGCTTCACTGCGGATGCTGCTTTGATATGTATTCTCGGAAGTGAAGCGGGCTTCACAGGCATTCACGCATGCACGTGGATAGACAGCCCTGTCGATTTGGTGGCATCTCAACTACAGCTAGCTGGTTTTCCAACATCGGGATGAAGTACCTCCAGGCCAGGCCATGCCTTTCAACGCTGAACCCGGTTGGCCAGAAGAAGCTCTGTTTTCATGTGAATCTTAGAATCCACACCTATGCGATTGTATGCTTTACTTCGTTGTTGAGTCGGGATGTGGTCCAAAAGGTGCAACGCGGTCTTGACCCATACATCCAATGACAACGACCAATTCTTTTTGTAAAACTCCGTGACGCCACCCGATGCCTCGCTCTCCAGATCATACACATAGTCTGTACAGGTGTTGTGTGTCCGTGCCCTTCATTGGCTGTCTCCCTCTCCACCCCCTTCTTCTCTCTCTCTTCCCTCTCCTTACTTCTTCTGAGCCGCCTCCTGCTCCTTCCGGTACTGTTCGTTCTCAACCTCGCGCCAGTCCCTGGGCGCGGGCTCGTTGCCGTCGGTCTCGCCCCTGCCACCAGCGAAAGCCGGGCGTCCGGCGTACAGCTGGTAGCCCTTGCCGGCCTCGGCGTCGTTCATGGTCTTGTAGTTGACGGGCATGTTGCCGCGGAAGCGCTTACGCATGTCGACCATGCCGCGCTTGCACTCTCCGAAGCCTTTCTTGAGCTGCTGGCACTTTGTGGGGAGGGTGTCGACGAGGGGCGAGCGGAGGCAGTCGGCGGCGCTGTTGCGCTGGACCATGACGCACTCGGATTCCTGGAGGCATTGCGCGAGCGCCTCGCCTGGGGAAGTCAGTCTGCTGATGTCGGACGGTGCCTGATGGGATGAGTGAGAGGGGACGTACGCAGTTCTTTGCAAGAGCTAGGCATGGTGACGACGGTGCTGTGGCATTCCCTCGGTGGGTAGACACAGATGCGACTTGTTGGTGCGACTCCTGGAGCTGTCGGAGCTTCGAGTTTGCGATGAGCACCGGAGGAAAAATCAAAACCCCTATGATTGGCCGGTACCAAGTCGCAAAGACCCGCCTCCGTGCAGCGGTTTCTGCAAGGTGCGAGAGTCGCAGAGGCCCGCTAAGGTTGACGTCCCTGCAGTCCTTCAATAAGGAAGCTCCACTCTTTCAAGGATCCAGGCCCATCGTCCAACCGCGTGCTCGCACGAGACAGCGTCCCTGCCACTGACACACCTGGCAGATCGGTGATTGGGGTGATTTGGGGTGGGAGGGAGGCGTGGGTGTCACACTAAGACACCTCCCAGCTCCCAGTGCAAGTGTGCTGTGACCTTTGGGACCTGGACCTTTTTGGGAGCTTCCTGCTCACAGATCATTGCCGTATCTTCACATGTGACATCACCTTCTCCCAACTCTCACCCGTATCGCTTTCTCCAGGTTTACTTTTCCACCGCCGTCCGCTTCTAGAAACGCTACGGTGACACATCCTATGCCAACGCCAACGCAATCGCCGTCACCATCGCCAATCCCCACACACTGGAACTTAAGCTTTTGTTGTCCTCGGTTTGCCAGCGATGATGGCTTGAAGCTCTTCCCCATTTCTGCACTCTTAGACATACCCCGTTCCGTCGCGCCACGGCTTTTCTTCTTTAGATTAATCTCGTTCCAACCAAATCGCATACCACGATGGCCATCCCTTTCATCGGTCGACTAAACGTGTAAGAGACGCTCAATACCCGCAGAGCTTGCGCTTCTCCCTTTCCCTCCCCTCCTCGTCTTTGAGCGCAAACCCCTTTCCTCCAAATGCGGCGCAACTCGCGAACAAGACTTGGCCTGGCACTGATGGCTTTGCGCAGCATCGAATATGTAGCTTTGGTGGGGTCGTTTCTCCTGGTCGGACTCGAAGCTATCATCCGCGTCTTGACTTTAGCTCTACGTATGAACTTGCGCCTCTCCCCAAGCGGTGGCGTCCTAGCTAGCTAACCCGGCCTTTCTCAGCTTCGCCGCTCATAGCTCTCTTCTATAGAGCTTCCCGTCGCCTGTTTAATCGGTTCTCGACGCCGGAGCACAAACGCGCAGAGCAGCGCAAGAAGTGTTGGTGCCCTGGATGCCCCTTTATCTCTACGATGCGACTGGGCTAACTGCAGGCTTTTTGCGCAGCGATCTCGACGTCCGTGAGAGACGCTTCTGACTTTGTGGACCTCTGTCATCTGTACGGATACCAAGCTGAGGAGCACATCCTTCAGACGAAGGATGGGTACCTCCTTGGACTACACCGGCTGGCCTGGAAGAAGGGAGAGGAGGACCAGAAGGTCAACAGCGGGCCGGGAAGTTTGAAGAAGAAGGTCGTGTATCTTCACCATGGTCTTCTAATGAACTCGGAAGTCTGGGTCTGCTTGACCGACGAGCAGCGATCTCTTCCTTTTGTGCTCGCTGAGCAGGGCTATGATGTTTGGGTCAGTATTCCATCTCGCATCCATGTGGGCGCAGCGCTGAAGGGTATTCAAGCTTGGCAACAACCGCGGCAACAAGTATTCGAAAAAATCGGTACACCACTCGCCCAAGTCGCAAGGCTTCTGGAACTTTTCCATCGACGAGTTCGCTTTTCATGACATCCCGGACAGCATCGCTTATGTCCTGGAGGCGACGGGGCAGGAGAGCTTGTCTTACATTGGATTCTCGCAGGGAACTGCGCAGGCCTTCGCCACCCTTGCCATCCACCCAAAACTCAACCAGCAGGTCAATGTATTCATCGCCTTGGCACCGGCCATGTCGCCTGCCGGCCTTTCTAATGGAATCGTCGACGCCTTGATGAAGGCCTCGCCCCAAGTCTTGTTCCTCCTCTTCGGCCGTCGATCTATCCTCAGCTCAGCCACCATGTGGCAGTCCATTCTTTACCCGCCCATCTTTGTTAGAGTCATCGATATGGGTCTTTCCTTTTTGTTCAACTGGCAGACGAAGAACATATCCCTCAGTCAGAAACTCGCCGCATATCCTCATCTCTACTCTTTTACCAGCACGAAGAGTGTGGTTCACTGGTTTCAAATTATTCGGAATAAGTCTTTCCAAATGTATGACGACGACGTTCATCCTCCTGTCTCGATTAGTTCCTCGAGCAAGTACACCAAGGTCGCGAAATACCCCACTCGAAACATCAAGACGCCCATCGTTCTCGTGTACGGCGGCAGCGACTCGTTGGTCGACATCAAGGTCATGCTCAAGGAACTGCCGCCCCAGACCGTAGCTACCGAGATCCCTCACTACGAGCATCTTGACTTTCTGTGGGGCCGCGACGTTGATGTTCAGGTCTTCCCCCACGTCTTTGATGCCCTCGACAGTTTCACGGATGCGCAGCATACCAAGGAGGAGTACGATCGATACAAGATCGCAAGACGAGCGAGTCTCCTGGGTTCCGGAAACGCTTATAAGCACACGTACAAAGACAGCGATTTGTCTGCTAGTGAGGCCTCAAATACTGTGGATGAGGGACAGAACGGCAACGGTCTTGAGACTCCTGTCTCACAAAGCAAGACTCGAGACCGGCCCTCAGGAATCCCATCACCACTTGGCACCACCAGGATGCGACCCAGGTACTCACAGGTTGTGAATGAAGACGAATCGCCATCGCCATCTCCGGATAGACCCGCTAGCCGCGCCGCTGAGGGAGAAGAGAGGCCTGACAGCTCAGTGGATACCCGCGATTCCCCGACAGCTAAGCTCAAGGGCATTGGCGTCCGGCGCGGAAGTGGAGGAAGCCATCTCAGCCTGGATAGCATGCGTGAGGGCCGAGGCATAAGCCTTGGCACTAGTAAGGCTCTGGGCGGCGTCGTCACCAAGAGTGCGATCGATGCCAAGGGGCTGGGCAATGCCGGTACTGATGAAAACAACAGCGGGAAGAAGAAGAAGCGTGTGACGGTTGCGCCATAGAAGAGAGTGTGTAGGTGTAGGATATTGTCTGAACCCAAACAGTTAAAACAGCACATCGTAATCTGTGTAATACGCTCACTGTACTCGCCGAAAATCGATCGTGGCGCGAGTATTCTGTCCGTGACCTGCCTGTCGCCCTTCAACTGTTCTTCGTTGGCAAGATTGGGTCGCAGTAACAGCACTCAATCTTGACGCCGAGCCAGCAACTCTTCCTCCTTTAATGGTGATGATCTTATAAGGCCGTCAAGAGGCCGTCGCATGCGGCAAATATTCCGTTCTCCAGAGTACTCGAAAGTCATGTTGTGCTCGGAAAGGGAGACGTTATATGTTAAGAGTACTAACCAGACCTGGCCAATGAAGACGGGAGGGTATTTTTGGGGGTATGTGTTGGTCTGATCTGAGAATAAGCTCAAACCGAGCGGGGCTTGTACAACACCTTGTTATTTCTCCGCTTTTCTGACGGCTCAACAGGGTGGCAGTCAGGTCATTCATGTTTGTTGGGTTTCGCACTTCTACCGCTCCCATATATCGAACAAGGTATATTGATCATCGTGGTTTTGAGCGACACTGGAAATGCCCTTGAACAAGTCCCAGCGGGGGTTTTGATATCCAATTTACCTGTTATGTTTCCTGCAATTGTGCCACTAGTTGTAGCCATCCCACCTGGGGTTGACCGCTTGGGAAACAGAAAAGTCCAGAGTTACTTGAACACCACATATGCCAAAAGAAAGGCGACTGAGGCCACGGGGGATCTTCCGTGATGGGTTTAGTTCAATACTGCTCCATAAATTATTGGTTTCTGGGGTCTGTCTGCCTTTTATGTAAGTGGTTGAGAGTGTCATTCACAATGCTCCGCGCCTGTTGTGTGACCGACTAACTGCTCAACCCTGAACAGATGGATGGCTTTATAGGCGTGTATCTTCGACCATTTCGACATAATCAAGGAGAAGACGAAGACCGTTTTAGTATAACTGGCCCAGTCATGTCGCTGGCCACGTCCACAAGTACCTCGTTGCCATTGAGCTTATTCCTCGGAGCATCCCAATAAACTCGACGATCCCTTCGGTACGACCGCATGTTGGGGGTAGCATACTTTTGTTGTGAGTAGAGTGACATATATCAAAGCACATTCCCAAGCCGTGTTGTCTCGTTTACGTCTTCAAAGCCTAACATCACAGGTTTGTCTGACTTGTCAGCGCGGCCAGACATCAAGACATAAGGAAGACCACCATGACGACTGCAAAAGACTACCTCGAAGCGGTACTCGGCCAGTATGGGTACAGCTTCGAGAACCCCCCGCCGAAGGAAATCGTAGACCACCTCAAGACGCGGTACGCTGACTGGATGCCCGCTTTCTGCTATGAGGAGCCCCGGAGCGACTACTGCGAGGGCGTGCCGTCGTACTACATGTACCGCATTGCACTCGCACCCAACGTCCTCTTCGTCGTCCTCTTTGGGCTCTCGCTCATCGCCTTCGTGGCCACCTACGCCGCCACCCGCCGCGGCTTGGCGTTCAACATCGCCATGAGCCTGGGCGTCATCACCGAAATTATCGGCTATGTCGGGAGGATCATGAGCTGGGGCAACCAGTGGGACGAGGTCGGCTTCATGATCCAGGTCTGTGCCCTCACCATCGGCCCGGCGTTCCTGGCCGCCGGGATCTACCTTTGCATCCGCCAGATCGTGACGGCGTTTGGGCCGGATAACTCGAGGATCCCGCCGAAGTGGTACACCGGAATCGTACGTACCTCCTGGCCCTCAACTTTCCTTCTCTTGTGCATATTTCACATAAACAAAAACCAAAACTAACAATTCCCCAGTTCATCCCCTGTGACCTGATCTCCCTAGTCTTCCAAGCCGTCGGCGGCGCCCTCGCCTCCGTCGCCAACCACCGCCGCGAGCCCACCCGCACCGGCGACAACATCATGATCGCCGGCCTCGCCTTCCAGGTCTTCACCATGCTCATCCTCATGCTCGTCGCCGCCGACTTCGCCCTGCGCATCCACCGCCGCGCCCGCCGCGCCCACCTGCCTAACCTCTCCGCCGCCCTCGACAACCACCCGGCCATGGTGCGCCTGCGCGCCTCGCGCCGCTTCAAGGCCTTCCTCTCCGCCCTGGCCCTCGCCACGGTCTGCATCTTTGTGCGCTGCGTCTTTCGCGTCGTCGAGCTGAGCGGCGGCTGGACGGGGCCTCTGATGGGGCGCCAGGGCCTGTTTGTTGGGTTCGAGGGCGTCATGGTCGCTGCTGCTGTTCTGGCGCTCAACCTGTTCCACCCGGCGTTCTGCAGCAAGGAGCTACTCGAGCCGCCGCCACGTAGGGAAGTTGCCAGGAGAACACCTAGAGAGGAGCCGAGCTTCAAGATGGTGAATTTTGTCATTGATAATGATGGGGGCTCCCGTCCATGACACCACCGGTAGGCGTTAATGGTTGACTTTGGAGGGGCCACTTTATTTTGACAAGGAGAGGCTCTTATGAGTAGTGTTACAACCTCTGACATTGAATCTTAATAGTACCGAGAATATCTATTGAGTGATTTTCTTGGTACAGGTCAAGAGGAGCTCTCCTGTAGAGTCTCGCTAGTGTCGTTTTCTCCGGGCGGCCCCTTTGAGTTTCCATCTCTCAGCTGTTCCAGGAAAAACCCCGTACATAAAGAGGGGCAACACAAAGATACAGGACGAACAAGAGAAACAAAGAGGGAGTATTGAGTGCATTTTCCTACATTCACCATAAAAGCTTATCGCCATGCTTTGGCAGGCTAGTTGTCAACCATATCACAGCAAGATGCTCTCTGATTCACCAAATAAAACATACAGCTTGGCATCATTAAGCAAAACGGTTAGCATGTCGCCAGGGTGTGGGATGCGCAGGAAGTTAAGACAAGATTCGATTTGTCTATGTACGACCCAGACAGGGCCAACGAACTGCTCTTTCGAGTTGACAGCAAGCACTCAAAGCTTTGCCATCCCTCAATAATCTCAATATCCAGAGTGGGTTTTCCACTCTGGTCCTTATTCTTTTGCCTACTTGCCGTTTTCCATTGTACCTGTGCCTCATTCCTGATATTTTCAGGCTGAATCACTTATAAAAGTAACGCAAGGAGGGGGTATCGTGCGAACGCCGCCCGAGGCCCTTTAGCTGGCTCTGGAGCCTTTGCTGGGGGGGTATGCGGGGTATGTAAAGACGAAGGAAATGAACAATATTGCCTGACGCCAAAGAAAAGGGAAACGAGCTTGGTACTCAAACAGGTGGTGTTGAAGGGGTATTACAGACGGTTGAGAGATATGAGCCGTGCCAGGCCAGTAATCTCTTCCGTCATCTAGATCGATACGTTGCCAAGTGGCAGGATCTTTGACGGATCGCCGGTGAAGCGATTGCGATAGTCGACAATGCCCTGTGCAATGCTGGGGAAGTCCTTGATGTTCTGCGATCTCATTTCTTGGAGCAGCTTCCGCAACCCCTCGTTAAACTTTGCCTTTTCAGGCCCTTCGAGTGTAGTACCGCCAAGCTGGAGGAGGATTTGGTCGTCTAGAGCGTGGGGGGGCGACCGTCAGCGCTCAACATGCTTCGAGAACATGCGACGTGGTCATTAGTCCGTGCAGGGTGAAGGCGACCTACCCGGCAGCTTCATGGACTCGAAATGCTGGTAAATGCAGTCAGCACCCCTCGGACAGTCGCGCCTGGCCAGCTGATCTGGGCAGATGGGGAGGTTCGGATCGATCCTGTTGCTGTAGGTGAGGGACCGAAGCCCGCCAGGGACGGTTTCAGCAAATTTGGGATGAAATCGGTAAGCACGGAAATACTGAAGCGGACTCTCGTAAGGGGTGAAGCGGTCGCCAGTCGAAGACTCAACAGTGCTCTGCGCAACGGGAGGGACCTGCTGAATAAGTCAGTTGTTGGAGCGAGCCCGTGGCATGAAACGAAGTGTACTTCTCTCACGGCACCGCCTCCCCGCTCGGGAGTTGACTCGTTGACTCCTAGAGAGATCTGCTCTGGAATTGGTGAGGCTCTAGAACTTGTTTGCTGCAAGTCAGTTTCACTATTGACCAGCGAGACAGTGCTATCCCCCGCGACTGGGCTAATGGATGGAGACTTTGTGGCCATGGTGGCAGTGGTATTCTCAGGGGGCTCGTAGACATCTGGAGATTGCTCTCGGTCTTGCTCAGAACTCGAATCATCAGACTCGCCCATGACAACATCAGAAGCATTATCACTTGTAGCAGGTCGCGACTCTTCGTCATCACCCAACACCTCGTGGTTGGCAGGAATCTTGGAAGCAGCAGACGCTGGGTCATCTGTGGAAGTGGGGGCTTCAAGGGGGCTCGTTGCGGCTTTACCAGTGGCCGCGACTTCTCGTGGAGGATAGAAGCTGTCTTGTCATGTTCCGTTGAAGGGGAATGGGCGGGGCGAACGACTGGGGTGTTGAAAGCCGAAGTAGGCATGCCGGCACTCTGATCCGCAAGGGCGATGGCGGCGGCAGGCAACGGGCTTTGCACCTTGGAGTGGGAGCCTGTCGACGTCTGAGTGACAACCGGATCGACTGCAGATGGGTTAGTTGTTTTGCGGGGAGGCGGATGTGCTTGAACTGAACACTAACCAGAGTTGCTCTTAAGCTGATTTTGGGGACCTCCCGACTCATCGGAGTCCTGGTCGAGCTGTTCCATTTCCTCTGTCAACTTCTGTTTCTCCGCCATCTCTTCTTCAATCTCCTTTTCTAGACGAGACATCTGGGATTGAAGAAGACGAAGCTTGCTCTTCTTCGCTTGCAGTCGATTCTCGACAAGTGGCAGGTTGGTGCTGACCGCGCGGAGCTTTTGGGCGCGGCTTGAGTCACCCTCGATACGCTTGTCTGACGGCTTGGGCAAACGCATGGAACTGCTGGCTTCGGCGACCACAGGTGACGTCTGACCGTTGGGTTGATCAGATGCACTGGATGCACCCATGGATTGAACTCGCCGCATGCCTGGCTTGCCAGTCTCCGAATCAAGAGCGGTGTCTGGTGTTTGTCCATTAGACTTCAGACCACCTGACTGACTGTTCATAGCAGCCTTTAATCTGGCGCGGGCTTCGGCCAGAGCGATCTTTCGCTTCATGGCCTCAATCTGTTTGTCCATGACGTCAATATGCGCTTGCTTTGGTTGAGTACCCATGACACCAGACTGAGGCGTAGCGACATGGCTCGGGGCTGGGCTGGAGAGCTGGCGCTGGGGAAGGCCTTCTGTAAGCGGGGGGAAGTCACGGAAAGAGGCCGTCTTCCGAGACGGCGTGTCGGTACGGTGTATGTTCGCTGGCTCGTCAGTCGGAGACCCTATTTCCATCTCAACATCCTCGTCGTCAGAAGCGTCGCTAACATCGATGACAAAGGGCTTGTCTTGTTGTGTGAGGCCGAACGGGCGCTTGTTGGCCTGCAAGTTGGACACGAAGTCAGCCGCAACCGGTCGTTTCCGCTGGTTATTGATAGCGGCAGATTGTGGAGTGGACATGAAGAGACCAGGAATAGTCGATGCAGGAGCAGCTTGAGGAGCCGATTGCTGGGAGAAACCATTCCGGGCTTGTTGGGTCGCGGATGGGCCAATCGGGGTAGCAGCGGTTGCCGATGAGGGTCTTCGGGTCGGTGATGCTGGGGATGCCTCCTTTGACTGAGAGGCCTGAAAAGATCCCTTGCGCTCCGCTGCTTTCTGGGCTCTAGCATCGCGTGACTTTTGAAGGGCATCTTGCTTCTGTTGTTGAACAGCTGTCTTGTCGCTCGCACCCACAGCCTGCGCACCGCTGTTGGTCGTCGAAGATGCGGACTTTGCGCTCTTTGCTGCCAATAGACGTGCGATCCGATCCTTCCTCTCTTCTCCAGCTGACCTAGCCGCCGTGGACGGCGCCTGATCCGTAGGTTTCGAGATTGCTGCTGACGTAGGCGCACTGACGGGCTGCGAGCTGGACTGGCCATACGACTGGGAGAGACCTGGTGAATGCGTAGTGGCCGGAAGACCTGGAATGGTGGACTGGCCTGAGGTGCCAGGATCTAGTTTCAGCTCGGTGAGGAGGTCCTTGACAATATCCTTATCGATACCCTCGTCGATATAATCCTGGTGGCGGACACCTAGGGGCCACAAGTTGAGAATAGCTGACTGGGCTCTTTGTCGAGCGTCCTCCATGGCCTTCTTGCCCAACTGCTGACCGGCGATGGCCGTGGAAGACTGAGGAGCTTGGCCACTGAATGCGTGCGCCGGAGGAGAGTTGCTGTGTTGGTTGTTCGCGTCGATGTGCGGATGGACTTCGTGAGGAGACAGATGGGGGGAGTAGGATCCGGACCGCTCTCGTTCTGCCTTTGGGTCAGCGTCGATCTGAAGTGGTATTCGTCCCATGAGGTACATACCATCAATATTCACAGCTGCGTGAGTCCTCATCCCTCCACTCTTTACACCGCCGTGCCAATCGGCGGTTGTGTATCCAGCACTGTTGTTTCCATTCTGGCTGGTCACATTCGCAGCAGCCCGGAAGCTCCCACCAGGACGTCGGGCACTGGTATCGGGAGAATTCTCTTGCGGTTCGTAGACATCGTCAAGTTCGCCGTCGCTCAGCTCGCCCTCTTCAGCATCGTCGCTCGTCGATTTAGCAAGGGCCTTAGGCGCAGTAGGCGGAAGTGCCCCCGAGGCCATGGGTGCCTGAGACTTGGGCGTATCGCCCGACTGGTAATACTGCGCTGCTGGAATGAGGTTGGGTCCCTCGCGCGGAGGCTGCCACGATTGCTGGTAAGGAACCTGAGGCGCCGCCTGTTGTTGCTGTTGCTGCTGTGGTGGCTGCGGCTGAGGCCAACCGAAGCCTTGAGAATGGCTATAGCCAAGGCCGGGGATCATTATTTGGCTCTGATCGTATGACTCTGGTGCTTGAGGACGGGTGTCAAAGGTGTTTGTGTGCGGAGCATAGGCTGCCGCTGGGGGAGGAAAGGGCGGCATGGTTGGGAAGTAGGGCTGCTGCTGCGCAGGTGCTTGCCCCGGGTACGGCGAGTACCCGTATGGGTAGTAATTGTTCATCCTGGATAATCGCGACCGTGTGCGCGCTTGGAGGCGACTGCCAAATAAAAATTAAGCAAAGGGCGATGCCTCAGAGGGGAAGAGGGCGCGCGCAACTGGCAGCAAGGGATGGAAGTGTGTGGTTTGGGTGGATGCTGTCCCAACAATCCGTTGGTCTGTAGCCGGCTGCGCTAGAATAATAAAAGCAGGCAAACAAAATCTGGGTACGTCGAGTCTGTGGTCCGGAAGAACAAAAGAAGCATGGCAATTTGCAAAGGAAGAGAGACCGGGGGTTGGTGTGGCCAAGGTCGTTGGTGGATTGCTTGCTTTGCTGGGCCAAGATGAGCAGAGGAGATTTCACGGCGCGAAAAAAAAAAAGCTCTCGTCGGAAAAACAATCGTCATGCACCTCAGATGTGGGCGCGTACCAGCAGTAGAGGTAGCGGTGGGCTATCCGAATTTGGATAGAGCAAGAAGCTTCTGCAAAAGTAAGCGATCCCAAAAACCTGCGTGTCTCTTCGTCCCGTCTCAAAGATGGATCTTTGAGAGCTGTGGAACGTTGATGTCTTGGATCGATCCCGGTGTATGTGTGGTTGGGAAAGAGATCAACGTCGGCATCCAGGTTCGATGCAACTGACTGACTGACGGCTGCTGACGGAGGTTGGGCGGCGGCTCGGAGACTCGAGTCGAGGATCCTTGGGGAAAGTCCAGAGCCGAACAAACTCAAGGCCGTGCAGGGGAAGGGGGCAGAAAGAGACTTGCGCTCCAGCACTAGTCCGATTCCAGCTAGCCTGACCTGCGACGGTCTCGCGTCACTATTGGAGTTGGCGTCTGTCACGTGGGGGCCCCTCATTGTTTACTTTGCTCAGGCGTACCCTGAGCAACCATCCTCCTGTATCCCTGTTCATGTGGTCCAAAGTCAACAATCTCCATCCTTACGTCGATTGTCCATCCTCCACTCCCCAGCCTCCCCAAGCTTGATTTGGTTTGTCTTTTTCGCAAAGGCAATTTCGCCCAAGAGGTTGCGATCCGGCGACTCCTTTCGCATTGTTTCCTTTCAAGATTTGTTGCTGTGTTGCCCTTCGTCAGCTTTGCTTCTGTCTTAATGTTTACTCCATGAGCGGACCATCTACGAGAGACGTTTTGCAACGACACGGAAACGACACAACCCGCGGTTCTGAGGACTGCGCTCTTTTAACGATACCATACCTTCTGTGATTCCCCAATCATGGCGCAACCGCGAAATAATCCGTTTGCTAGGACTTCGCCCGGTCCTAGCAGCAACCGGCCGAAGTCCGCAGTCTTCTCCTCGCCATCTCCGTTGTCGGCCGTGTCTACGCCCACATCGCACGTCAGAAACAATTCGACCGCCTCAATAGCACCCGCAGCGCCTGCCGCCCCAGTCATGTTCTCGGGGACCGGTCACTTCCGCCACAATCGTTCGGATTCGAGGAACAGTGGCTCTGGGACCTTTGCGCCCTCGTTCATCAAGGCCGAGGAGACACGCCGAGGCTCCGACACGGTCAGAGGCATCGAGGGAGAGAATGACTTCTCAGGAAAGCGTTATGTGTGGCTAAAGGACCCTCAAGCTGCTTTCGTGAGAGGATGGGTGGTTGAAGAAACAGAAGGCAACAAAATCCTCGTCCAGTGCGACGATGGCACAGTGAGTGTTGTAATCTGCGCATGCTGGTGACGTAGCTGATTCCAGCCAAACAGCAACGAGAAGTAGACGCGGAAAGCGTCGACAAAGTCAATCCCGCCAAATTCGACAAGGCAAACGATATGGCCGAGTTGACCCATCTGAACGAGGCATCTGTGGTCCATAACCTCCACATGAGATACCAAGCCGACCTGATTTACACCTATTCCGGTCTCTTCTTGGTCACGGTCAACCCCTACTGCCCGCTACCCATCTACACGAACGAATATATCAATATGTACAAGGGCAGGAATAGGGAAGACACAAAACCTCATATCTATGCCATGGCTGACCACGCCTTCCGCAACCTGGTGGACGAGGGCGAAAACCAGAGCATTCTTGTCACTGGCGAGTCCGGTGCTGGCAAAACCGAGAACACCAAGAAAGTCATTCAGTACCTTGCGGCTGTTGCTCACTCAGAGTCTCCGGTCAAGAGCAAGTCTCAACAGTCGAACCTCTCTCAACAGATCCTCCGTGCCAACCCTATCCTCGAAGCATTCGGCAATGCCCAAACGGTGCGCAACAACAACTCCTCGCGATTCGGAAAGTTCATCCGTATCGAGTTCAACCGGGCTGGCTCAATATCTGGCGCATTTATCGACTGGTACCTGTTAGAAAAGTCTCGTGTCGTGAGGATTAACGGACACGAGAGAAACTACCACATCTTTTACCAGCTTCTTAAGGGCGCGGATAGGAAGTTGAAGCAGGAGTTTCTCCTTGATGGCCTGGACGTCGAGGATTTTGCATACACGCGCGCTGGTCATGACACCATTGTTGGAGTTTCCGACCGCGAGGAATGGGACTTGTTGATGGAGGCCTTCAGTGTGATGGGTTTCTCAGACAAGGACCAGAACTCAATCATCCGCACCATCGCTGCTGTTTTGCACCTCGGAAACATTTCAGTTGTGAAAGAAAGTCGTGCCGCAGACCAAGCCCGGCTGGCCCCCGATGCCAAGGAACAAGCAGCCAAGGTGTGTAAGCTGCTCGGTGTCCCGCTTGAGCCGTTCCTGCAAGGCCTCCTTCACCCCAGAGTCAAGGCTGGTCGCGAATGGGTCGAAAAGGTCCAGACTCCTGAACAGGTCCGTCTGGGACTTGACGCCTTGTCCAAGGGTATCTATGAAAGGGGCTTCGGCAACCTCGTTACACGCATTAACCGCCAGCTGGATCGTGCGGGTATGGGACTGGACGATTCACGCTTCATTGGCGTCTTGGATATCGCTGGTTTCGAAATCTTCGAGGAGAACAGCTTCGAGCAGCTCTGCATCAACTACACCAACGAGAAGCTCCAGCAGTTCTTCAACCACCACATGTTCGTACTCGAGCAAGAAGAATATGCAAGGGAACAAATCGAATGGCAATTCATTGACTTTGGTCGAGACCTCCAGCCCACAATCGACCTCATCGAGCTGCCCAATCCCATCGGTATCTTCTCTTGCTTGGACGAGGATTGCGTGATGCCCAAGGCCACGGACAAGTCATTCACCGAAAAGCTGAACTCCTTGTGGGACAAGAAGTCGAACAAGTATCGACCCTCTCGGCTAGGCCAAGGCTTCATCCTCACACACTACGCAGCTGAAGTTGAGTATTCCACCGACGGCTGGCTGGAGAAAAACAAGGATCCCTTGAATGATAACATCACTCGCCTTCTTGCCTCCTCCACAGATAAGCACATTGCCGACCTTTTCGCCGACTGTGCCGATGTAGACGACGACCTCGGCGCTAGCCGCAACAGGGTCAAGAAGGGGCTGTTCCGAACCGTAGCTCAGCGCCATAAAGAGCAGCTTCACAGTTTGATGGCTCAGCTCCACTCGACTCACCCTCACTTCGTTCGCTGTATCCTGCCGAACCATAAGAAGAAGCCCAAACAGTTTAACAAACTTCTCGTCCTCGACCAGTTGCGATGCAATGGTGTCCTTGAAGGAATCCGCATTGCTCGAACCGGTTTCCCCAATCGTCTCCCCTTTGCGGAATTCCGTCAGCGCTACGAGGTGCTCTGCAAAAATATGCCCAAGGGCTACCAGGAGGGTCAAGCTGTGGCAGCAATGATGCTTGAGAAGCTCGGAATGGATAGGAGCTTGTACCGCGTGGGTCTTACGAAGGTATTCTTCCGATCTGGTGTCCTGGCCGAATTGGAAGAACAGCGCGACGCCCTTATCACTGAGATCATGTCTCGATTTCAGTCTGTTGCACGCGGCTACATCCAGCGGCGTGTTGCCTACAAAAGACTGTTCAGAACCGAGGCCACCCGGATTATCCAGCGAAACTTTAACACCTACCTTGACCTTATGGAAAACCCGTGGTGGCAGCTTGTTAGCAAGATGAAGCCCCTCTTGGGAGCCACTCGCAGCGCCACGGAAGTTAAGAAGAGGGACGCAATGATCCGCCAGCTTCAGGACAAGATGAGGCAAGAGTCTGACGACCGCCACAAGCTAGAGGAGGACAGACGTAACGTCCACAACGAGATGGTCCGCATCCAGCAGACATTGGAGAGTGAGCGTGCACTTGCTCTAGACAAGGAAGAAATTTTCAAGCGCCTCCAGGTGCGAGAGGCGGAACTCGAGGAGAAGCTCTCCGGCGCCATAGAAGACCAGGAGAGGCTGGAGGACCAACTCGACGACCTGCTGGAAGCTAAGAAGAGGGCCGAACAAGAGGTCGACAAGTACCGTGCTCAACTGGAGCAAGCGGCTTTGCTGATCGCGAGATTGGAGCAAGAAAAATCGGAACTCTCAACACGAACCGAAGAACTGGAGCGCTCCATCGAAGAAATTTCCCAAAAGCAGTCCGAGCGCAGTGAGCAGGAACGACTGCTCGAGGATGAGATCAAGATGTTACAAAGTCAGCTCAATCTCAAGGATCGTAAAGCACGAGACTTGGAGAGCAAGCTTCTCAAGGTAGACCAAGATCTCGAAGTCAAGTTGCGAACCGCACAAAAAGAACTTCAGTCGTCTAAGTCGAGAGAATCCCAGCTTGCTCTCGAGAACCGCCAGGTTCAGCAGCAACTCTCCGAACTATCAAAGACCTCGACAGATTATGAAGATCTTGTGCGGAAGAAGGAGAGTGAACTTTCCGTCCTCCGAGGCGATAACAAGAAGTACGAGATGGAGCGTCGTACCTTCGAGGAACAAAAGAAATCTTTGGTGTCCGAGAAGGAAAACGCTGCTGCTAAGCTTCGCGAGGTCCAGGCTGAGATAAGTGCCATCAAGTCGCAACAGTCTCAGCTTGAGAGAGAAGCTGAAGACGCCAAGAAGCTCCTCGAAACTCGCCTCTCCGAGGACGCTCAAGCAGACAAGAACCGTCAAGTTCTGGAGGCCCAGATCAAGGACCTCAAGGACGAACTCTTCAACATCCAAAAGGAGCTCAGCAGGGAACGCCAATCCCGCGATGACGTCCTCCTACTCAGCGAGCACAAGTTCAACGCCTTGCAGGAAGAGTATGATCACCTGAACGAATCGAAGATCATTATAGAAAAGGAGCTCTACGTTCAGCAAGACAACCTGCGTCGGACCAAGGAAGCTCGCGACATGGCGGAACGGGAACGCGACGAGGCGAGGCAGGAAATCAGACGCCTCCGTGTCGCTAAGACCCAAGCTGAAGAAGCTCGTATGCAAGCCGAAGTTGAAGGCGAACGGGCTGCTTCTCGAGCCGCTCGTGAGAGAGAGGAAAGCGTACGAAAGGACCTGGATGCCGCCCAAGAGCGACTAAAGTGGTTTGAAGACGAGTGTGCCAACCTCAATCGTCAAGTTGAGGACCTCAACAAACTCATTCTCTCTTCCGGAGAATTCGGGCTTAAGAATGATCAGGAGAAGGAGCGACTCGAGCGAGAGTTGGTTACTGTCAAGGGCCGTCTGACGGCCTCGGAAAACGACAATCGTGCCCTTCTCAACAAACTCCAGCAAAAAGGGCTTGAAATCGCCCGTTCCAGTTCGAGAGCGAGCGAAGCCTCGAGGAGCCAAGTGCTGGGCCTGCAACGTGAGAAGGCTCGAGCTGACGAGCAAAACACACACTTGAACAAGCAGCTCGGTGAGGCTCAATTCACAATCGCTGGCCTGGAGAAGAAGGTAGAAAAGTTGCAACTCAACTTGGAGGACCTAAACCACGAGGTAGCCCGGGAAGCTAAGACCTCGAGGAACGCCGAAAAGACCGCGTCGACGGCCACGGTGCAACTAGCGGAGGCCAACCGGACCATCGAGTCTGAACGTCAACTTCGCACGCAGGCGCAGGCCACTGCTCGCACTCTGCAGTCGACGATGGAAGCTAGGGAGAAGGAGTTGCAGGAGTTGAGAGCTCAGATGCTGAAGGTCCTCAAGACGGTCGATCCCGAAGTTGTTATCCCGCCTCAAGCGGACGGCACAAACGAGGGCGCGCTTAGCAAGAAATTCGACCTGGTTAGGAAAGTCGAGGATCTCCAGCAAAACCTTCGTGTCCAAACCGCTGCGCGGACAAACGCTGAGGCACAGCTGGCTGAGCTGCGCTCTGCCCGGGTTGACTCTCCCATAAGAGGCAAGCTCGAAGAGATCAGTCCTAATGAGGCCCCTTTCAATGGTTCGCCAACTTTCCGGCGGTCCAAGTTGCAGACGCGTCAGTACTCGAACAATTCGACTCCGACTCGACGATTCGAACCGGAACCTCTCGACTCGGCCCGCTCCGACAAGACTGCAGACATTTTGAGCTTCAACAACCGCATGGATCTGAAGGCCGAAGTTGAGGAGCTGCAGAACCAGCTTCAGGTCGCCGAAATGCAGAACCGGCATCTCCAGAGCCAACTCGAGCGTAGCTCGTCGTCTCCGGAAGATTTCGACGAAAACTCTTCGGTTCTTCGTGTGCAGAAACTTGAGAAGGTCAACAGCCGCTTGCATGACATGCTGGACGACTCGGCTAAGAAGGTATCGGCTCTGGAGAGAAGCGTCAGGACTGGCGAGTTGTCCCTGCGTGATATTCAGACCCGATCGCATGAGGAGATCCTTGACGCGCTTAACAGCCAAGAAGAGGCGCGTCGCTCACTTCTGCATAGCCATAGGGATGCCATCTCGGAACTTTCAGACGTCAAGAACCATTTCGAAAAGATGCGCCACGATCGGGCTGCCCTCGAAGTCGAACTCCGCGACACCAGGTCCGAGCTTGAGGAGATGACGATGGCTCGTGAACAAGAAGCCGCCAGCCGGAGCCAGCTCCTGCAAGAGTTTTCCGATCTGCAAATCCGACTTGACAACGAAACATCCAAACTTGCCGACGTTGGATCCAGCTTGAACTTGTACAAGAGTCGTGCTGATGAGTATTTCAGTAAATTGGAGCAAGCGGAAATTGCGGTTCTGAAGGCCAGCCGTGCAGAACAGTTTGCGAAGACGCAAGCTAAGGAAGCCGAACAGACATATGCCGAGATCATTTCCGAGAGGGAAAAGATGGACTCCACTATCGAGGACTTGCAACGCCAGAACCAGAGGCTCGAGGAGAAGCTCGAGGACCTTTCGACCGATCTGGATGCCGCCACCCAAGCCAAGAAGCGCCTGCAGCACGAGCTCGAGGATTACCGTAACCAGAGAGCCAATGATATCGAGGACAAGGAAATGAGCATGGAGCAGACTCGCAAGAAGTACCAGGCCGAGTTCGCCACGCTGACCAAGGAGCTGGATTTGGCCCGTGAGGAGAAGCTCTTTAAGCAAGCTGAAATCGCCCGCTTGCGTGAGGAGCTTGATGAGCTCCGCTCTAAGTGGGACGATGAAGTTCTCAACAGCTCGACGTGGTCTAAGGAGAAGGCCCGCCTTGAGTCAACCCTGGCCGATGTTGTGTCCTCGCGCGACGAGGCTGTGAATGCTCACAGCGAGGCACAAGGCAAGATTGTAACCCTGCTGTCCCAAGTTCGGTCTCTCCGCGCATCAGTGGACGAAGTCACTTCCGAGCGAGACTCACTGGTTCGGGAGAAGCGCAGTATCGAGGCTCGCCTGGAGGAGGCCAAGGCCGGTCTCGAGGATCTCACAAACGGCGACAGCGCCTCCCTACGTGACGCTGCAAATATCGACAAGGAAATGCTGGAGCTGAAATCTAATCTGGCACAGAAGGAGGACATTGCCGCCGCTGCGGTGGAGAAGATGAGACGCGCTGAGGCCTTGGCGTCGGAAATGCAAAAGGAAGCCATGGTCGAACGGGAGGCCAGCACCCAGCTTCAGAAAGACAAGGCTGCCCTTGAGAAGGCTCTCAACGAGATTCAAATCAGATGTGTCGATCTTGAAACCAAGGGCTACTCCAGTGCCAGCCACGATATCAAGTTTCTGCACAAACGCATTCAAGAGGTAAGTCAACGAGCCGGTCGCTGTAATGCCAAATGCTCACTGACATCTTAACCCTTAGCTTGAGTCCCAACTCGAAGAGCACGAGAACGAACGAAACAAGTCTCAGCGATCGGTCCGCAACGTTGACCGGATTGTCAAGGACCTTCAGGGCCAGATCGACCGCAAGGACAAGCAGAACACGCAGCTACAGGACGATGTGGCCCGCATGCGTGACAAGGCCGAGAAGCTTCTGCAAACGATCGAGGAGCTTCAGTCATCGGAGTCTGAAAACCAGCTCCAAGCACGCCGTGCTGAACGAGAACTCCGCGAGGAGAAGGAGAGGGCCATGCGCCTCGAGCGTGAGCTTGAAGGCATCAAGGCATTGAGGTTCGAAAAGGGAGCCGCCTCCGCCATGGGAAGCGTTCGCGGTGCGTGGCGAACGGGGTTCAGCGTCGACGATGATACCGCCTCGATGATTTCTGTGCCCAAGCGGAAAAGCAGCCTTAGTCGGGCGCCCAGTCTCACCAAGGGTTTCTTGTAAGAGATGTATGTGTGAGGAAGTAAAAGCATGCAGGACGTTGTAATGTTTAAATGGGGCTGGTTAGCGTGGGTTGTTTTGGCGTTGAACTACGGTCTGTAAAGGTCTGGAGAACAGGCAAGTTTCTTTTGAGGAGGGCGTGTATGGTGTTTTTGTTCTATAAGTACGGCGTAGGGTCTAGTATCGGTTTGCGTTTGGTTTCTGTCACGAAAATTACATATTTCGAGTTACTTCATGAGAGAACAGATTAGGAGAGCGAAGGTTGTCCCCTCCTTTTGACCTCGAGCCCTTACTTGCCAGATAGAAACTTGTGGCTGTCAAGGCGATAAAAAATTTTTTATCTTGGAAAGAATCTATAGCAATACGATATTCATCCTCAACAACTTGGCCGACGTCAACAAGTTTTCGCTGCATGACGGAGCTGCCTCTCGTGCATAATCAAAGGTTTTCAGTCGGCGGTCGACGCGAAGGGTGCTGTTCAGCATCAGGTTCCGGCTTCCCCTACAGCCATAGCGCATACAAAGCTGATGGCCCGTCGTCGGCGCTTGACGTGGCGATCGAGATGTACAAGGAGGTCACCATGATTATGAATCCGAGATTGCTAGAGATTTCGCTAACTCTGGCGTGCCGAACTTGAAAAACTTCAGTGCTGGTTCGATATGTTGGGAGCCCAACCATTGGTCCTCGTGATGGGTGATTGATGACCTGATAGGTGACTGACAAGGACATGTGCCAGCCGTAACCTGTTTAGACAGCTTCACCGCATCTTTGAAAGCCGTTGGCGACCACTGCCGTAATTCGAAGATCTTATGGAATACAGTGATATAGTAGAACATAACCCGCAAGTGATCCGGCCCATAGGAGCGCTGGACCCTTTTCGCGCCGTGTTTGACATCGAGAGGCGGTAGAAGCAACGCTGATTAGTTGCCGGACGGTTAAGTCTTGAAGACATCATCAGTTAGCCTCCCCCCGATGCTGGCATACTACAAATGTCCTGTATTTGTTTACTCTGGTTGCCGTGAAGAGAGGTTTAGTCGAGCGATTATCACAGCAGCACGCATACTATATCTAGCGGGTGAATCATATTGCTACCGAGCTATGTGATTTCTCTCCTAAATCAAGTACGTTGTATATTACGAGCATGCACTTAAATAATGATACCGACAAGCTCCCTACTAATCTTCACTCTATCTCAACCATGGAGATTAGTACCGATTCTGACGGTAGTACAATGCCTGTTCTTTTAATTGTATTCCTAGATTGTTATCCACGCATGCGATTTCGGTTCCCTACTTTGTACCATGAAGCTGCCCGCTGGCGCTATCGACTCAACGAAACGCCAGAATTTGTCCTGTACTGGCCATGGTCAAAGTCACCAAACCCGGCCAATCGTACATTTCTTAGACTGCCCTCCTCATCTGCTCCTGGATATACGATGGAACATGTGTTGCAGCAGACACCGAGACTGCATTCGCTGTCCTACAATCGTTATTTGCCGTCATCTCGATTTTGTTTGCACTTATCCGACCTCTGAAGCGGATTGAGATATGTTAGCGCCACGCTTCTATCTCTCCAAATCACATTCGAGATGTACGCCGTTGAAGCTATGGATGTTACAAGATCGGGAGTTGCATTAATAGGAGTACTTGCGCCCCTTCGTCATCTCTCTGTCCTGGAAGACCTTGAGGTTTGCCTAGGACTTCTCTACGGCCAGGAAGTCAAGCCTCAAGACGTTTTACCGCTCGCCGAAGTCGGGCCTCCAAGACTAAAGCGCTTAAGACTCAGATAAGACATGGTAGCCTACGACTGTTTCCATAATTGGAGAAAGGATACCTGGGAAGAGCTGCCGGCCATACCTTTGATCAGGTCATTCTTCAAAGGATGCTGGAAAACTACGGTCTCGCAGTTGCAAGACTTTGCGTTTGGTGACGACTGAATCCAAAATGGGGAGAAAACAATGTAACAGCGTGCCAAGAGTTACAGGAGTTGTGCGAAAGTCAAGGGGTAAGATGCGAAATATTCGACAATGAAGATGAAGATTGAAATGATAGTGAGAATGGGTTGGGCTGACTGAAGCACCGTCGGGTACTTGAGAATCGTCATACAAATTAGATTGCTCACGTACCGAGCCAGAAGTTTATAATTCCCAAGGCTACAGCAGTGCTTAGTAAAATGGGACTACGAACCTCGCCGGACGAGGGACACCAGACATTAGAACAGTAGTCGAAATCCAAGAGTTAGCCAACCTATCACCCACGAGCACAGCTTCGAAACTGGCTGCTGCTATGTTCTTTGAACACATTGATAAAGAAGACACGGACACGACAGAAACTCCGGTCGGTGCCTTCGGAGCCTATGGTCCTCTACTCACCTTTACTTGCCTTTAGCTTAGGTTAAAGCAGCTATATATCAATTTCTACACTCAATGCGGGGTTTGGATAAAGTTCTTGTCACGGGTAACTCTTCAGGCAGTCAAGTTGTTTGCTCTTGGCAGCTACACGTGATTGGTACTTTGCTGTAAACACGACCGACGGTAAGAAGCCATACAAGCCAAACATGTCCTATCATCAGACTGCGTGATCCTGCTAGTGTTACATGTTTCATGGTGTGACTTGAGCGACCTCGGACAGTTACTTCGATGCGGATAGCCGGGCATGGTGAAAGAGGGGGGGTTGACGAGGGAACAAAGCTTGAACGGTTCCTTCCTCTGCCCACCTTCATATTCCTCTTCTTTCTCTCATGGTTACTTTGATTCCATGATTGAAGCCTTATGTCGTTGTGAATTTGTCCGGTCCTTTCTCACTGTCTGCATTATTGTAGTAAACCAGCTAGTCTCTGAGTCTCAACAGCCAGCCAGGATGGGCGCGGCGAACAGTCACGAAATTCGCCAGATCACAGACGAAGTCGTCGTCGCGTTACGGTCCGGACAGCAACAGCAGTGTTCGCTCCATCGCCACCAGCCCCGCGAAGTGATCTCCCTCGACGACGACGGCGTACTTTTGGACGAGGGTGGCGTCTGTGGTGGGGCAGACTACTACGCAGACTGTGAAACCAAGGATGACGATATTTGGGAATCGGGTTACAACTCGGAATCTGATGGACCAGTCTGTGGGGAGTGCTGTTGTTCGAGATATGAGTGGATTGAGCACTGTTACGAGGCTGTGGAGTGCAATGCTGGCGGTGGAAGGGAAAGGGACTGTGGGTTGGGATATGAGAAATATGGCGTCAAGGCAGTGAAGAAGAAATGCAAAAAGTGCGAGAAGAAGCAAAAATGCAGGAGGTGTAGGAAGAAGGGGCCTTCTTTCTGGAGTCGGTGTTATCCCGTCAAGGAAAGAGGCGACTGTGGCGGCGACGTAGTCGGGATCTCAAGGTGTCCTGGTGAGGTGCGTTCCGCCTCATTTCTTACTTTCTTGATTCCCCTTTTCATCGATATGGGGAGTTGAGATTCGATACTGACGGAGGAAAAATAGCAAGATCCAAAGAAATGGGGCTTCAAACTCGACAACCGTTCCGGTCACTCGATGCCCAGGGGCTTGGCGGCAAGACACGTTTGTGGCGGCACCGACTCTTGCGGGGACTTACGACCGCCTTGTATGGAGACCCGACAACGATATGCAACCAATCGCCGGACCACGCGCAGACACCATGCAAAGGCCGTAGATGATACGGATGAGTTGCAGCCGAAACGCGGCCGCAGACGGACGCTAGTGTCCGACGAGTTTGAGACGTTTCCCCTCGGCGTGTCGGGCAGGAGGGATCCCGAGGACAGGTATCAATATAATCAGGGAAGCAAATTTGAAGGGATGGAATGGGGACGCAGACGACGCGATGGGGGCGTTGATAGGAGTTTGTTTGTGATGCATGGTGCGTTGGGTGAGGATGGGCGTCAAAGGGAGTTCAGGGACCGTGGCGGTAGCGGTGACGGTGTTGAGGATGGAGGTAATAGGAGGCGGATGCGGAGTTGGGAGCGGAGGTCAGATTTGGACGAGAGGGTCGGGGAGATTGATGATCGGTCTGAGGGAAGCTCGTTTGCGATTGGGGAGAGGGAGAGGATGGCTGTATCGAGGAGAGAGGATGGGGGAAGGAGGATTGTTAGGTTTGAGAGGGGTTGATGGTTTTATTACGTCTCAGTTCTTTTTATGTAAGAGCAAAGTAAACATCAAAATGGGGGCATGTTGATAAGATGGCGATTTCTCATATTCTCGACGGCGCACTGGATATAGCATAACAGTTCGTTCACATGGGCTCCTATACCGCATGGTCTCATTACATCTCTCATCCATCTCTTTCAAGTATTAAATGTACTTTTCCCTTTGGAAAAATTCTCACCGGACTTGCGCCGGCACCTTTTCGTAGCTCTTGACGTCGTTAGGCATGCGGTAAATGCACAGCTCCCTACAGAAGAGACCCCACTCGCCACTCGTGCCCTCTCGGACAGCCTCCTGCATGTCGCGGCCGTACCGCTCGCGGTAGGCGCGCTTGACGGCTTCGAGGTGGTGGCGGTCCCAGTGGAAGCGGACGAGGCGCGAGATGAGCAACTCGCGACGCAGGTCATCTTTGCGGCTCGCTGTGAGAGCGTGGTGGACGAGCAGGGCGTCGCGAACGGGTTTGTTAATGACGCCGTTGAGGATATGGGCCAGTAGTTCTCCCTGCGCAGCACTGTTAGACAACAATATTTCCAGATCAAAACAGGATTCACTTACCACAAGGTTACCGCTCTTCTTGAGTGCGTCGCGGGCAAAGTTGGACCTGTGCGTCCGCTCGTACAACTTGAGCACCTCGCGGAGATGCGAGTCGCTTCTTTGTACAACAATGCTGATCATGAGCGACTCACCGCCCTTTTCCGACTTGACAGCCTTGCGCAGGTCTGCGACGTCATCTTCGACGAGATGGTAGTCAATTGCCAGGCGACGGCCGTAAGGGTCGTACTCCTCCATCCTGCGTTCCTCGAGTACCAGCAGCACGGCCTTCTTGAACTTGTCCTCCTTCAACTCGGTCTTCATGCACTTAGTCAGGCTGTTATCATACTTCTTGTCGCTGAAGCCGTCCTTGATGAGATGGATCTCATGGTTCGTACGGCCCATGAGGGATTCGATGAGAAGCTCCCGGCGTGTCTTGTCACCTTGGTACCAAAAGTTAGCCCAGTAGGCCTCGCTCTCCCACTGGCCCAACGCGGTGGCGTAGCAAGCCTTCATGAGGTTCGGCTCGGCATCCTTGAGACGGGAGCGGATGTGCTTGGCCACGTTGACGCCCTTGCGCTCCGAGCCAGTCTTGACAAGCGCCTTGTATTCCTTTCGAAGATCCATGACTTGGTCGTGAGTAAGACCAGGCAGAATTTCGATCAGGGGCTCGGGATCGGGGTTTTTCCTGTCGCTGCGGAGCGCCTTCGCAATTCTTGCGGCATCATCCTCAATGTCATGGAACCGCGCCCGCCGACGTCGCCTACCCTCGTCATCAGAGCCGATTGGAGAAACAGGCTCTATGACCTGCAGATCATGTGATGAGGAGGCCAGGAGCATCGGCGATGGCATCGGTGACATATCTTGGTATGTACCATGGTACGACTCCAACAACGGCGATCCCGGTGCGTTCGCTAACGACATGTTCATGTTCAGTGAGTGATGGCCTGTGTTCACAGACAAGTTCGACATATGACGAGTCGGCGGCTGAGGTGACTTGTCGCGCTTGCGGCTTCCAGGCTCGACGGTCAAGATGTTGGATGAGACGCGGGGGTCATTGCCGTAGTATGCCTGAGCACCGGCCGAGATCTGTGGTCCTGGGCTCGGCGCGCGACCAGAGTATCGAGGCTCAGGGGCCAAGCCTGGCCTAGACGAGTGAGGGTCGAAACCGTACGCAAGGTTCTCTTCTAGTGCCTTTTTCTTCTCTTCCTTCTTCTTAGCCTTCTCATCGGTCTTTGCATACTCGTAAGGCTGAGGCTGAGCGTAAGCGTAGCCGCCGGGAGAGACGGGGCGAGGAGGCTTCGTTGGGGGGTAGAGGTCGCCCGTATCTGGGCGAGGCGGTTTAGGGGGCGCGTACTCGGCCTCGTTGCCGTATCTACTGTTGCTTCGGCTGTGACTGCTGTACTTCGCCGGCAGGTACTTCAACTTGTCATCGTCGCGAGGGTCGGGAGTGCGGGCTTGTTGGTCTTCGTAGGTTTCGCGCGAGTTGCGGTAGTAATTGTCTTGAGGAGACTGGGGCGGGCGGTAGGATGGTGCGCCGCGGCGGTCATCGTAATCGTAGAGAGACCTGGTGCCGGGAAACATTGCGTCGCTGCCGTCCTCTGGGTAGGGGATGGCTCCCGACATGGTGCTGCCAGCACCCGGCTCGGCGGTGACAACGTGCGCGCCTCTGTCACGGGCATATCTGTCGTTGAGGTCGTCATCCGGGTAAGCGTAGCTGGACTCGCGCGGGGGATCAACCATGGCCGGCGGCGCACGGCCGCGACTGCGACTGCGCTCGCGACGGCCCGGAGAGCGCGAACGGGTGCGACGACTGCGGTCGTCGACCTGGAGAGACATGGTGACTGCTAGGAGATTCCTGGGTTTCGAACTAGGTTTGTCGCTGTTTGTTTCGGTGGTGAGACGGCGACCTGATGCTTGGAGCAGAGGCCAAGTAAGGTGGGGTTTAGAGCTCGAGTTGAGACAAAAACGTGCGGGACGGGAGGTGAGGGGCTCGGTTGTTTTCGTTACAAGGTGGGTAGTGGACAGGGCGTAGGGCGACTGGGGCTCCCCTTTAATGTATCAGATGGGAGAAGATGGGATGTCGCGTGCTTCTTTGCTTCAATTGAGCAGCGCACGGCGGGGTTCAAGTACTCGTACTTTGTCCTCTAGCTTTGGGACGAGGAGTGGATGCAAGGAAGAAATATGATCAAGCTCGAGGAGGCAGTGAATGTATGTAAGAGCAATGAAAAGGGGTCGGCAGATGGGCCTCTGACGCCAGGGATATGGGGTAAGCATGGCCTTGAGCAGTCATCCATAAGTAGCAAGGTGGGCTGAAGGTGGTGAAACCCACCCAGTTGCATAGCTTCGCCAGCCCCTTCCTGGCCAGAGCAAGCCACAGCAACTACAGTACCGTGCAGGAAGCTAATGAGGCTCGCATCGTCCCCTCTCCTCTGTTGCTGTTGCAGTAGCTTGGCACCGCCTGTCATATGGGCTGCTGCTGCTGGCGAGTAAGGCTCCGTGGCATTACCTACCTGCATCACTGGTTCAGTGCAATAAAGTAGGTGTGCCTCTTGGATCTGCTGATCGTTTCCCTCCATTCTGGGCTGACAGGCGCTTAGGGCCGCGTGGTTGTGCTGAGGGGCCAATGGCCGTGATGGCCTCAAATCTAGGGGCCCTCAACAGTGTCGAGCCGGTCAACACCGCCCTCCCGTCCATGCAGCAAGACCCCTTCGGGAGCTGGGGAACAAGGTGAAGTCAGAGTGGGCCTTAGGAGGAGGCCGAGGGGCTGTGAGCGCCGGCAAGTCCGTAGCAACGGGGCCGCGGTGCTTGAGGGACGCTAGGCTCTCCGTCTCCGTGGGAGGCGGCGGCGGCAAAGAGGGGACTCTGCAGATGTTCAAAGAAGCCCTGGCCGCCGCGGTGCTGGGTGATGACATGTTGCAGCGGAGCGGGGCCGGAATACCCGCTGTGCTAAACTCCCTGCCCTATCATCTTGATCCCGCTGCGGACGCTGCAAGGGGCTCGGGGGCTGAATGCGTGCGTGCTGCTTGCTTCTTGCTGTAGGTAATATGTACCGTTTCCTCTGCTAGGCTAGTACGTAACTACGACTTCGGCTTCAGGGAGTGGGGATTGGAGCCGTTGGGAAGAGGTCATCTTGGGGTCGAGGAAGCCTTAGGTAATCAGTATTAGGTAAGTCGCGGGGAACCGGAGACATTCGGCACACTCCCGCGTCGCCGTTGTCGTTGCTGCGCAATCGGCATATCGGGATAAGCCGGATGCACGGGCCATCCAACGCTCCACAGGTGTTAGAGCTCCCCAACGGAACCAATTCGGAGGTGATCGAACTTCTGTTTATTGAGCCGGAAAAAACGAGTCCTTTTTCTCCTCTTATTTTCGTATCTTGAGGTCATCTGTAGATCTGGCATTATCTTGACGCGCCTCTTCCCGTCCGCACTCGAGGTCATTACACTTCAATTGGCTCGGTCCAAGTTCGAAGCGCCGCTTTTTCTCTCTCTCCAATTCCCCCATTTCTCCAAGAAAACGACACGGTCCGTCATGCTTCGTTCCGCACCAGCTCGTCGCGCCGCTTCCGGCCTGGCAAGGTCACGCCTTGCCGTTGGGCCGAGGACATGCGCGAAGAGCCTCTCCACATGCTCAAGCCGGTACTCTTCCCCCGCAGCTATTTACCCCGCGACGAACTCCTCCAGATCGACAAACTTCACCAGCCCCTTCTCTCTCCAGCGAAGCATTCACACCACCGCCCCCAGAATGGCCGAGACACGCACCGAGAGCGACGCCTTTGGCGAGATCCAGGTCCCTGCTGACAAGTACTGGGGCGCCCAGACTGAGCGTTCTCTCGAGAACTTCAAGATCAACCAGCCCCAGGACCGCATGCCTCCCCCGATCGTCAAGGCCTTTGGTATTCTCAAGGGTGCCGCTGCCACCGTCAACATGCGCTACGGCCTTGACGAGAAGATTGGAAAGGCCATCCAGCAGGCCGCCGCCGAGGTCGCCGAGGGCAAGCTGCTCGACCACTTCCCCCTCGTCGTCTGGCAGACCGGCTCCGGTACTCAGTCCAACATGAACGCCAACGAGGTCATCTCCAACCGTGCCATCGAGATCCTCGGCGGTGAGAAGGGCAGCAAGAAGCCCGTCCACCCCAACGACCACGTCAACCGCTCTGCCTCTTCCAACGACACCTTCCCTACCGTCATGCACATCGCCGCCGTCCTCGAGATTGAGAACGAACTCATTCCCTCCCTCAAGAGCCTGCGCGATGCCCTCCAGAAGAAGGTTGACGAGTTCGACGCCAAGAAAATCATCAAGATTGGCCGCACCCATTTGCAGGATGCCACCCCCCTGACCCTCGGCCAGGAGTTCTCCGGCTACGTCGCCCAGCTCGACGCCGGTATTAAGAGAGTCGAGACCTCCCTTCCCGACCTCCGCCTGCTTGCTCAGGGTGGCACCGCCGTCGGTACCGGCATCAACACCTTCCAGGGCTTCGCTGAGGCCATCGCCGAGGAGGTTAGCAAGATGACTGGCACCGAGTTCAAGACCGCCCCCAACAAGTTCGAGGCCCTTGCCGCCCACGACGCCATTGTCCAGGCCCACGGCTCCCTCAACACCCTCGCTGGCTCTCTCTCCAAGATCGCTCAGGACATCCGCTACCTCGGCAGCGGTCCCCGCTGCGGTCTTGGTGAGCTCATTCTCCCCGAGAACGAGCCCGGCAGCAGCATCATGCCCGGCAAGGTCAACCCCACCCAGTGCGAGGCCCTCACCATGGTCTGCGCCCAGGTCATGGGTAACCACGTCGCTACTACCATCGGTGGTATGAACGGCCAGTTCGAGCTTAACGTCTACAAGCCTCTGGTCATTCGCAACCTTCTTCACAGCGTCCGCATCCTCTCCGACGGTATGCGCTCTTTCGAGAAGAACCTGGTTGCCGGTCTCCAGGCCAACGAGGAGAAGATCGCCAGCATCATGAAGGAGTCGTAAGTTCCAACGGCCGTTTTCTGTTGACATGCTCATTCACTAACACTTGACAGCCTCATGTTGGTCACCACCCTCAACCCCAAGATCGGCTACGACATGGCCTCCAAGGTTGCCAAGAACGCCCACAAGAAGGGCCTCACCCTTAAGGAGTCCGCTCTCGAGCTCAACGCCCTCTCTGAGGAGGACTTTGACAAGCTCGTCCGTCCTGAGCTCATGATCGGCCCCAGCGCTTACAAGCCGTAAATAGGCAGCTGTAGGCCGTGTTTATATGTCCTGTTTTTAAAGTCTGAGTGGAGTGCTAACCACCCTACCACGCCTTGTGTAAAACTACGTAACGATATCCTGTTACCTGTGAAAAGGAAACAATGCGGTCCTTGTGCGATCCGTTTTGTAGAACTCAAACTCGTAAAAATTGAAAGAAAAAAAATCACATGAAGCCCAAGAGTCGCTAGTCGATGAACTACCCCGCCATTCTCACATGTGATGTAATTTGGACCCCGCACCACATGCTGGCCCCGTCTCCCAGATGCATCGTCTGGCATGTGCGAGATTCTAGATGCGGTGCAGCCCTTGGGCCTCTCATCTCAATGTTTGGATGATGTTTGTCATGTGTCTTGCCTGCGATGAGACGAGTACGCACGTTGATAGGTCAGCCGTGGCTCCCGCATGAACCGTAGCACTCTTTGTCAGGAACGGCTCATAACGGGCGTGGAAGGGGGTCGCATGACAAGTTTACCATTTCCTAGGATAACGCTCCCGGGATGATGTGGACGAGTAAATATGGATATTTCATGATACCATACGAGTTGCCCGATCGAGACACCGACCTTGCACTCCCTCAATGTCATTGGTCGACCGGAAGACTGTGCCGGCTGTCATGTATCCATGTTGCTCCGCCTCCGCCCGTGATTACATCAGACGGGAGGCTTGCAACAAACACAATGCCAGCCTGCTTCAATCTACACTTGTATTCATGGTCGACAAGTAGCATGTTTCCTTCCTATTCCAGGCACAGCCCTGACTCTGCAAAGCAGAGTCGGCAAACCGAGTCACGTCACACCATTTAGATATAACCCAAACGACCTACCTGTCACTGGGAAGCGAGCGCAGGCTGCGGTGACCAAGAGACTCATTCAAATTCCTTAGCAGCAAAGGCTCAAACTGTTTCTATCAAACTGGCTTCGTGTTTTTGATCTCAATATTAGCTAGCTACAAGCTTTGAATTTGGGCGTTAGTGACCAGCATCGCTTCCACCACCAAATCGAAATGACGGAGTGCCCAGCTCTACTCACACAAGGTCCTGCTAGTATAGAGATTATGGAAATGGCCGGGCATTTCATCCTTGTTAGTAATATCGAACGCGAAGTATTCATGGCAAGGACTTTAGTGATCTGAGGTCGTCGAGATAGTCCGCGTTCACATATGCCAATCTGGACTGCGGCAGGGAATTGATCTCGCCCCTTTCCGCACCAGTAACTAATGGTGAAGACAGGTTGATAGGTGATTAAAGGGAGGCGGCGGAAATTCTATCTTTGCTAGGCAGTCATTGAAGAAAATCAGTCAGAATCGAACATTCAACCACACATTTAACTAAACCTTTTTTTGCCTTGCTTTCCCTTTTCTCTTAGTGTCCATTCTAGAGCGCATTTATGGCCATATTTGCCAGTAATCTGTTTTCTTTTAAAGGCTTGTATTATTCTAAAGCGTCGAAGGTGAATGCCGTTCGTGCCAAAAGATATTCCAAAAAACACGCTGTCAGAAGCTGAGGCTCCAAGACATCATGCACAGCATTCTTCACGAGGTCTAGACACGAAGTGAATTACCCCCATAATAACAAACAGGAAATCTAAAGCTCCCAGGGACCACGCAACATGCCACAACACGCATGTATTTCAGTAGTACGAACTGTTTCAAGATGCTCCATGAAAAGACTCCGTGGCTTTGGTTAGTTCCTATTGGCATAGTCAACGGAACCCGACATATCCCCTGTCTCAAGAAATCGGCACTCGACAACCCAAATCCCGAAAAGAGCCCGAACACTGCAGAGGGGCCACAGCCAAGATGAGAGGTTTGCACCAAATAACACACAAACTTACCCTCTCCTTTTACCAATTAAGATCCGGGTGCTGAGGTAGTTTTGCCTTCGATTCCCGGGGCCAAGGTAGTCGAGCTTAGCATCGAGATACTCGATAGCTTTGTATCGCTGTACCTAGAATACGCACCCAGTAATGGGGAAGAACAACGTGATTCAGGGTGTGCTCATGTTGGTGCGTAAAAATCACTCACACAGGACATGCGGAGTATGTTCGAGATGACAGAAGAGTGTTGTTTCTCTACATGGGCAAAAGCAAATGCAGAGGGCAATGTTTGCAATTTCTCTTTAGTATTACTTTCAAAGTGTGTGGAGAGACTTGAAATAGGGGAGTTGAGGAAAATGGCCGGGGCGGGTTGAATGTGCCGATTTACACTACGGCACTGGTCATGACGCGAGACCCTCAGAGCTACAACCAGCGTCGTTCTACTTGAGAGGTCCTCATGTGATGGAGTTTGTCAGCGGCCCTGACATGCTTCTGCTCTTTGTTCTAAGGATCATTTGCTATGTTCTCCAGTGAAGTCTCAACTCCGACCATAAATCCCCTATTCTCCAGTGAGCTGTTTTGGGCCTAATATATCATGAACTCACCCACCACTGCCATGACGAACTTGGAATTCACCTTAATCACCTTGCCAGAGGTCTAATGGCATTCATTTCTGGTATATTTGGGCATCTTGAAGCCTCGACATAAAAGTCCCCATTCCCGAGCCGATGTTTCCGTGGCTCAACAAACAACCGGCAACTTTATGCCGACAGAGTAACGGGTTCCAGTAATACCCAGGCCGAGTCAAAACCCCACGCACCAGTCAGGACCCAAGACGGGGGGGCCGCCTTGTGCTGCCCATATTAGTCACCCGAAAACCTGTTCGTCTGGTACGGCAACCTCGATTGGGAAGCTACCTCGACGACAGAGCGTTCAGCCCGCATTATTCCGCCCTATCCCACCCGAGGCCGCGGTCCCCGTCGTCTTCTTCCGGGCATACCGGTTGGAATTCAGAAGCCTGGCAAGCGTTGACGGAACCTACTTGATGGCTGGCCAGGCCCGAACCCCGAGTTCTCTCGGCTGCATTCGCCGTGTCCTCTCCCGCACCTCTGGGATCCTACCACGAGTCTCGGGACCCGGAGCAACGCTCTACGGGGGGGGGGGGTGGTATTTGACAGGGTGGGGCCGTCCTGTTTTTGTACACGCTGGCACTGCGGACTGCGGCTCTGTCGGGACTATAACAAAGAGACGAGGTATTGTTTGGCAGCTGCCTAGTATACGGCGTCATTTCATAAGGTTTCGGCTACACGGTGATCTGTGGAGCGTGGCAGACCTTGTGCCATCGGGTCCACGTTGGAGCATCCTGGCGCCCTAGCTTGGAAGCCTGGAGTAAACGAGGCCGCGGCTTCCGTCTCCTTTCTCCACGTTTGCCGATCGTATCCCACCGAGGCGGACGTTGGTCGATGTTCCTCGCGAATTATTCAGCGGCGTCCTGAAGCCCACGCAGCAGTGCAACAGTCTCCAGAATCCCGGGGCCCCGACATGTGATTTATCCTCATGTGTGTCGGCGGGCTCGTCGTCATTAGTGCCAACGCGGACGGCTGTCGAAGATCCGGGTCCCGCTGGGACGGCCATCGCCGTGCCTAAAGTTGAGCTGCGCACCCTTGTCCACACTTGCCGTTCTTTACATGTCAATCTGGAGACGACGTGGGCAGTGGGTAGGAGACGTTGAGGATCACGGAGCGCGGACAAGATCGCCTCGCTTCGTGACCTGCGTGCGGTTGCCATCCCTCTCGTATTACGCATCTATCCTATCAAGACGCACATTGACAGACCCGCCACTTCAGAGGTTCAAACAAAAAGTCCTGCTACGTGAGCTCAGACCCCCAATATGAAGCCTAGAAGCTGTCTCGATGTCGGTCTCCATCTGCCTTAGCTATTCCCATTGCCGTTCTGTGCCGTATGGTTTCTTCGAGACTTTGGAGTCCGGCCTGAAGCATCACACATCTATAGGTAGCACGCATGGTGCTGACAACGTAGCTCCGTGTCGTAAGCTGATGCGTGTTGTGGCAGTTTACGTACGTTTATGCTGTACGAGGCACAGGCTCTAGGTGGTTGTTGCGTCAGCAACACCTATCTTCCCCTAGTATATTCCACGCAAAACCGGCTGCGCATTCCGTGACGACGACGACGACGATGGACCGTCAGTCTTCTCCCTCACCCACCCGCATGCCCGTGTAGCAACGGCGTTCAACGGCGTCCATGTAGAATTTCTCCTGTTGACATGACGGGATATACCGCTTAAGTAGTCCTCGACCCCAGATTCCGGGAATGAGGGCGAGATGGCCTGTGCCAGTCTGGTCGGGTCTGCGCCGTGCAAGTGTTTCTTCACATGGAAGACCACTACCTAGTCTGAGCTCGCGGGGACTCTATCTGTCAGGCTTGCGGAAAAGTCGCAGGTAGACGGCGCCTGCATTCTTCGGGGTCGCCGGCCCGACGTATGAGACCGCCCTCGGAGACTTGGTCGTTGCTCAGAGCTGATTCCCATCTGACCCAGCTCCTCGAGCCCGAAATTCGATAATGATTTTCGTTTCTCTCGCCCCTGCTTGCCATGCAGTATTGCCTCGCCCACCCCCACCCACCCCCAAATCGTTGATAGCCACAAATTCGGCTCACAGAGATACCTGTTGCGTGGGAAACTCATGGGGTGAAAGTATAATGATTCTTTTCATTCATGCCTAAACCAGCGCCGCGCTCTGAATATGTAAAAAAGATGGTATCGCAATGTCTAGTATCCACATTAAAAGTTCGTGTGTCCTGAGACTGTTTGTTTTTGATTTTGCTTTTTTGTCCTTTGCCCCTTCCGCCATCCGTCATCCGTCATGATCTTGCATCTTCAACCTCAAGCTCATCATCGTAGGGCACCGAGTCACACCGGAACGACGGCGACTTGCAAGGCTTTTCGTCTCCCTCCAAGCGGATCTCCCCCTTGGGATCGTAGTGCTTGCGGACCCTGAAGAATGTCAGTCGAGAGTATGTAGTGGTTGATGGTAATGTAAAACTCACCCTTGAACGGTGGTGCCAACGGTCTCTAGCACGAGGAGAACAACGACCAGAGCAAGCAGGGCCCCGAGGACAATCAGGTCGGGGTGCTGCTCAAAGAGAGACATGACAGGCGTAGGGACCTGAACGTGCTTCCAGCAGCCCAGGCGTGACGGCAGCAACCTTGCCAGACCCTCTTCGAGAGTCATGGGCTCGATCGTCTCAGGAGTGCCGTCACCCACCACGTCCACCACTCTGTCCTTTCCTGATCCCGGGTGCTTAGCTAGTGATTGAAGGTAGCTGGTCTTCAGTGGCCGAGGCGCGGCCAGAACAAGTGACGGGGGCGTGTCTTCGGATGGCGATACTGGACGGTTGTTGAATTCGAATTCGATCCTTTGTTGCTCAGAGTCCCTGACTTCCTTAACGGTAGAGACTGGTGGTGTTGTAGAGTACGTAGACACACGGGCGATCTTTGTGAGACGACGTGCCTCGATCTGGACGTGGGAAACAAGATCTGGAATGGTTGCTGGGACGGGAGCGGCCAAGCACAGCTGTCCAAGGCCCAAAGCGTAGAGCAAGGTTGAAGGCTTCATCTTGTCGTTGATGAGGTCTGAAGCAGTGTTATGTTGTATACAATAGTTGTAGGTAGCGAGATTATGTAGTGCAGGAGCAGTCGCCGTCGCGGAATCGCTACCGATGCTGTCTTTGGGTCCTTCGGATGAGACTTGCCGATGTTTTTCAGCTCTTAAACGACGTTTCGGGTGATCAACAGCGCCTGATCGACTCTTGAAGTACGTCCAACAGACTTTCGAAAGGTAGCGAGTGGCCACGAGAGATGTGCGGATGGCAAATCTTGAGGTAGATGTAAGTGAGTGTCCGTTGCGTCGTGATGGATTCCACCAATAGCCGCAAGCCAAGCCGCGTGATTGACAAGCCCGCCCAAGATTAAACCACCGATGGCGGCTGTAAAGATTCTGGGCAGTGGTGGGATGATGTTGTATTGCGGTGCTTGATGCGATGGGGGATGTGCAAAGCCGTGGTGGGATGTGAAGGAAGTCTGGGCACCAGGTTTATTAGAGGGAGAGGCGCGGTCGACGGCAGCGGCAGCGGCAGGGCTACCAGAGTCAGACTGGCACAGGAATCTGATCGCAGAGAGCCGGGGGTGTGGTGGGTAGGAAACCTCGCAGGCGAGTGAAACAAAACAAGTAACGGCTCTGGTGTGTTCCCAAGTTGCAAGGAATGAAGAGGATGGGACGGGAGGACTAATGTGAAGGATGAGACGCTGGGTGCGGAGGGAAGACGAGATGAGAAGAAGATGGGTGGTGTTCGTGAGACTGACGTGCCAAGGCGAGCGAGGTCTGAAAGTAATATAGGAAGAGAGAGGGAGAGAGGCCTTCGAGTCGTCTGGAGCGAGGAGACTGGGGCTAGAATGGAAGTATCCGCTGACCAGCTGTAAGTATGGTTGTGCGCACAGGAGAGAGAAGAAGCGGCATGGGTGGTACGGGGGTTATGTATGACCGGAGCTGAGTGGAAGGGAAGCAAGACAAGGTCAGGTCAACGCATTTAGGGATTGACAGGCCATTTTAGCTTGTCCCAAGACGGGAGCGGTAGTGTCTTCGTTCCTCTGTGAGCACACACTCTCTCGTCTTTCTTCTCAAGAGACCACCAGCCAGGGTCTTTTCCTCAGATCTCTCCCCTGGCTTGGCCATCTCTGCTCAGGAGCGGACGCTGTCCTTTCTCTGGCTTCGGCGGCAGGCCAGGACCAGGATCTGTGTTCGGCCATGGATGCAGGGATGGTCTGGACCCTGTGGGCTGCGGTGTGCCCTGTACAGGGCAGTCTGTGCCTTTCTGATTCAAACATGGCCACCCACCTTGCCCGCAAGCCTCTCTGCTACCTAGGCCTCACCGGGGCTTGTTCCCGGCGCATACAAAGAACATGGCGCCATCGCCCCAAGGCACCAACGAACATGCGCCCGAGGATCGCTCGTCTTTAAGCTTCGAGGCTGGCTGACAAGAGGTAGCGACTAGCAGCTCGCCTTTCGACTTGGACAATGCAGATGTTGCAATCACGGCGACGACGACGGCGATGGCACACCCAATGGATGGGCCATCATGGAGATCTGCAATGAGCATGAGAGGAGCCTGCCGAGTAGCCGACCTGCTTCATTGGACTCAGCGATCCTCGTTTCTTGTGAAGGCTCGCGGGCCTTGCAGGTTCCTCTGCGAGTTTGGAGGCTCGGTTTGCGGTTTGCTCGGCCCCTCGTTTTTGCTTCGAACTGCGACGCGAGAGGTCACCTTCGGGCCGACCAATGAGTTCCCAACGTGTCTCCGCTGTGTCGCGATTGAAGATCGAACGAGATGTTGGAAGTTGGTGCTGAGTTGGACGCGGGGCGAGTACAGTAGCAATACTTTGCGATCCTAGTAAACTCTAAACATAAATATGACCACCACCAAAAGTCATTTTAGGGTAGTTTGTATCCCTACACTGCCGCAGGAGGGAGGCTGTACCAAGTAGTTTGGGACCTCTGGACGCCGCCCTCCCCCATTGCGTTTGGGGGTTCAGTACCGCAACACGTCGACCGCAGGGCGCCGACCCGACTGACCAGGGATGGGCAGTGTTTGTACGGGCAGCGAAAGGGCCGCGGGATTCGAGGGACGCGAGAGATTGGAAAGCCAGCGTGAATCTAAGCAGGCATGCGTGCCAGCAGGTCAGATCTGATTTGTCACGGCCGAAAGCCGAACGAGGGGTTCCTTGCGCAAACTGGCGTCGACCGAGGAAGACAAGGAGACGAAGAAACGGCGGCTCCATTGGATTCCAATTGGCATGTTAGGGAAAGGACCCGACGCTTGCCGTCACAGGCTTGAGGTGAAGCTCAAAGGTGAGATGACTGATGAGGGAAGGGGATCCACGCGCTGCACCCTAACTACTATGGTAAGGTAAGCCTCAGCCCCATTGCTTTACTTGATTATCCCACCCATGCTTGGGCGAGGAAGTGATGCCAGGTGCCAGTGCGAGCGGGACGAGGCCGGTTCACACCATAGTGGAGTGCAGAGAAAGCCACGCAGAACGAGACGACATTGAAGTTGGAATCCCAAGTAGGGAGTGGGTATGTATGCGTGCATGTGGAAGAGTTGGGAGAGAAGAACGACGGGTAAGCGATGGCTCCCGCTGGGACGACACATTGTCTTATTGCACCTCGTGATTCGTGGATGCGCTTTCCCACATGGGCTCCTCTAGTGGTTTTCAGCCTGCCTGCGCAACTTCAATTCTACTGCATGGGAGGAAGAAGGTAGCACCATTCGAGCACCTCACTAGCAGGAACAATACCTGGGTGAGGAGTGAGGGTGTGTGTGGGAGTGAGAGTGGGAGAGGAACTGGGAGCGAGGGCCACGGAGCACAGCTGGTGCATCTCCCCTTTCCCACCTGCACCACCGAAAGAATCAAGCTTTCCAATTTGATCCCTCGCAGCCCCCCCTCCGCTTCATTTCCCTCTGCCTGCCGTCCACATGTGCAAGCGGAAGCACGTGGGCAGCTGCTACCCTGTGTGAGTCTGGACCTACGGCCGACCGAGTGCTGACCTGCCACTGAGAGATTGAAGAGGAACGCCCCGGTCCCGTCAGCTAACAATTTACTGTTGGCGAAGAGCGAATCACATAATACCTACCAACCCATGGCGAGCGGAACTCCTAAGCAACATGGCCGCGTCCAGCCCCCTTCGGCGGCGGCCCTGACCCTATCGGAGAAATAACAAAACGCCAAACACGAAGCAAGCGTGCAAACAAACAGGCAGTCATCGAGCAAGCCCTTCAGCGAGTGCGGAAAGGGAATCCATTGAAACCCTGCATCACATCGTGACCGAGACCACTGAGGGACATGGGCATCCATCTTCCCCCCGGCCGTGGTATTGGACGCTGACTTGCACAGCTTGGCCTCTTGCTCCTACGGCTCAGGTCCATGTTGACAGAGGGTCTATGGGGCCGTAGAATTGCGCACGGCACGCGGGATCCCGCCTCTTCCCACAGACTCGGCTCGCTGTTACTGTCCGTGCTGCCTGGCTCATCATCTACTGTAGAAGTGAGTGCCGATGATGGACCCCTTTTTGACTCGGCTGGGCCAGGATGCGTAGTCATGACCAGTCCGCCCAGTACGTGCTCTGTCACGATACTTGGCACCGCTGTGCCGCAGGTCTCGTACAGATGAGATTGCACAGCTGCGGTCGGCCTGATGCACTCTGCACCTCTCAGCCCTCCAAGCGAGCCACTGCCCCCTAGGATGAATGAGGTAGTAAAGGTCAGCAAAGCACCATTGGCTACCAGTGGACTGTCGGCAATAATGTGTCTCGTTATGCACTAAATGAAAGCCCTCTGGGACGACCAAAGTCGTTGCAATAAATCTGTTTCTTTTATTTTTAAACATTGCGCCGAATCACTCCACGATGGCCACGACCAGACGCCTACGAGCGACGGTACCGCAGCCCGGTGCGAATCGGTGCCAAAGGGCAAATTCAATCCTACCATAGTAGCAAACAATGGTGTGGATCGACGCCAAGGGTCCACGGATTAGCGCTCCTGGTGTCCAGCCCACATTTCGCTTTTGCTTTTGGGGGGGGGGGTTTTGGAATCGACACAGACACCACGAGGGGATGCTGGCATAGGTATTGTCTGTCCGCCAGCAGCGACAGTGGCACGTTTACTGTCTTGGGGGTATCATCCAGATGCGAGATGCTGTGGAAGTGTGTCTCTCTGGGGGGCATTCACAAACCAAAACATCCTCGTCCTGGGCAGCTGGAGCCCGCCTCCTGTGACAGTTTTGTTACAGCGCAGCCGAGGCCCACATCGGCAGAAACAGCGAAACCCGCCTGTTCTTGCCCTCAATGGTGAGGTTGTCCGAACGTCAAAACGGTTTCAACAGAGCTTCTCAGACCAACCCCCCCCCCCCCCCCCCGAGAATGGAACGCGATCCCCATCGAGGATGAGACTTGGCTGGACACAAACCCGCATGCACCACCAAGCGTGTCCGGCAATTCCTGCAAGAGATGCATGTATGGAAGAGGAGGTCGAGCCGACTTGTCGCAGATCGTCCGCTCGTTTGATGTCATGATGCCCATTTGTCTGAATTCGAAGAGAAGCGGATCGTCAATGGCACCTTGGCGTCAATCGTCCCATCGAGCTGAAGGTGAAGCCATTCCCACTAGGACAGCCGAAACGTTGGCGACCCAAAAGCGGGCTCCCCGTCCCCGTCCCCCCTGTGGCCGGATTTGAGTTATTCATACAGAGTAGACTCTCTCTATATCCGTGCCTTGGGGAAACTCTTCTGGTCCGCTCGCCAAGGTTCCAAATAAGCATTCGCATCCAAGTGAATTGGTACGCGGTGCCAACTTTGCACGCCTGCCAGCGCTGCAGTCTGCTTCTTTTTCCGGCCTAGCCCCTGCACAACGAGGTAGAGGGCCTGGACCAGTCGACCTTGGCAATGCTAACGCAAAGGGCACGGGAAAGGGCCCAGAAGAGCGGTAGCAGCATGAATGGGTACGTTGGGGGACGGGGGGACAGGCACGCGACCAGAAAGTAAACAGCCACCGAGCATGGCACCATCAGTCATGAAGCCTCAAGAGACGGGGGAAAGACTTCCAAGAAAGCCGGTCGAAGGCCAGGTCCAATGGACCAGGGGGCAAGCAGCGAACAAGCTTTGTGCTGCTGCGGGCCTCCTTGCGAAGAAGCTCCACGCCTTCTAGGCAGAGAGAATTCTAACAGAGGCTGCAGCCCCAAAGTGGCTCTGGCATTGGTCTCTCGTATCCCAACGGCGCAAGGGTTTGCGGGGTTGCGGTGATGCCGATTCTCTTTGGGGTAAAGTGGTGCAGACATGGCGATGTGGAACTCCGTCCGAGTCCATTTTACTCGGGAGTCGGGCGTACGCCTTACGCAACTAGTGAACCACTAATTACTACCCCCATGGTTCGGTGCAGAGAGTGCTGTGTGTGTGTATGTGTATGTGGTTGCGGTTCGCGCGAGTCCGTCCGGGGCTGGGAGAAGCGGGTGCCGCGGGTTGCGTTGCGGACGTATATATCCAGAGTTGTCGATGCTGCCGGTGGGACTCACACTTCGCTGCCTTCGCCGCCTTCGCCTCGGAAAGTCAGGAACCAACCAAGATGCTTCCATCTCGCGGCCGAAGCGGACGCGCAAGCCGCTGGGTTTGAGTTTTCCCGGACGGAAAAGGCCATCGAGAGATGCTCGGAGGCCGATGGCCTCTGATGGTCTGGCGATTGGCCACGCACCAGTCGTTGCCAACCCGACCGATTGGCTTCGAAATGCGATTGCGGAGACGACGTGTTGGGTTTGCAGGCAGCTAGCTGGCACTCTGCCTGCAGCCATCTCAGAATTCGGTGCTGGTTCCGAGTCCCGAGCCGGGCAAAAGAGAGTTAAGCTTGATGCTGGCAATGGGCATTTTTACTAACCCCTCCTCGGCTAGGGTACCTAATGCCAGTAAATAATGCAGTTCTGAACTAGTTAGGGATGGGACATACTCAATTCTTTGCCTGACGGCGGAAGCCGCTCCTTTCGGCCACCGACATTGACGCCAGCTGGGGGGGGAGGGAAAAAAATGGCTTCCCAATCCGGCGACTGATCCGGTGCTGCAGACCCATGTCGACACGACATCCTTGGAGCTAAGGCGCCCTTAAGCCCACTGACTCGGCTGCCCCCACCAATCTCCTTTCCCCGTCTGTGCACGCACCCTTTTTATTCTTGTCTCCTTGGTTCTGCTCCAATTGCCCAATCTGGTGCAGCCTTGCGCGCCTTCGCCCGACTACAATCCATCCGCGCCTGCGAGGCTGAGAAGGGTCTCGGTCCCGCTCCCAACGCCAGCAACCATCGATACGCACCTCATCCAAGCCATTGAGCCTTGCGCTCCTTTCTTTCTTCCCCCTGCCCATAAGCTGTGCCCGGCAGTCCCGGCCTGATGTCGCCGACGACGCCGACAGACTTTGGCTCCCTCCCTCCGCCCCTCACCCGCTCTTCCACCGTCCCGACCGGCTCCAGCACCGGCGGCACCAACAGCATCAACAACAGCAACATCAACGTCACGCGCCAGGACCGCTCTCACCTTGCCCCCGAAGATGCCTTCTTAGCGACCTCGCCGCCGCGCCGACCGGTCCCTTCCTTCCCCGATGCCTCCACCGGGGCGGACCACCGCGCTGCGCGCGCCCACCTCCGACACGGCGCCGTCGCCGGCTCCCGCTCCCGCTCCCGCCGCAGTCGCAAGCGCACCTGGAAGAAGCTCATGTGGGTCAAGCAGAGCTACCCGGACAACTACACCGACCAGGACACCTTCCTCGAAAGCCTGCAGCGCAACCCGCGCCTGCAGCCATACGACTTCTGGCCCCTGGTCGCCGACTCCACCGTGATTGTGCAGCACGTCTGCTCCGTCATCATCTTCATCGTCTGCTTCGTCCTCATACAGAAGCAGCGCGTGTCGCCCGTCTCGGTCGTGTCCTTCAGCAGCCTGGCGACCTTCCTCGGATGGCTGCTCTGGGAGCGCTGGGAGGCCGACGAGGAGCGCAAGGAGCTCAGCGGCATGGCCGGCAGCGCGACGGTCGCGGGGCGGAGGGAGCCCAGTCGGAGGACGGGGAGCATGCGACGTCCGTCGCCGCACATGGATGATACCTCGGCGGCGACGACGGCGACCAGCTCCCTCACGAACCTCTCCGCCGGCGCCGAGCGCTTGGTGCGGCACTCCCACTCCGCCTCGGCGAGCTCGCTCATCTCCACGACATCGACGACCTCGCAGTCCGCCTACCGCCGCCACAGCCAGGAAGTCACGAGCCAGCCGCTGCCGCGCCGCTCCTCGTTCCCCCTCCCGGGCGACGACAACAGCCGGCTGAACCAGCGCCTCAGCACGGTCAAGAGCGCCATCCTCATCTACTCGACGCTCCTCGGCCTGTCGCCCATCCTCAAGTCCCTGACAAAGTCGACCTCCCCCGACAGCATCTGGGCCATGTCCTTCTGGCTGCTGACCATCAACATCTTCTTCTTCGACTACTCGGGCGGCGTGCGCGTCAACATCCCCGCCTCGCTGTCGACCAACGCCGCGCTCATGGCCTCGACCGTGCTCGCGAGCCGGCTGCCCTCCACGGGCCAGGTCTTCAGCCTCACGCTCTTCAGCATCGAGGTGTTTGGCCTGTTCCCCGTCTTCCGCCGCTACGCGCGCCACCGGAGCTGGGGGTACAACTACGCCATGACGGTCTTCCTGGTCCTCGGCGCCGGCGCCGGCGTCGGCGTCATCATGGGCGACGACGGCAGCGGCTCCTTCTGGCCGTGGAAGAGCGCCGTCGCCGGCATGGTCGTCAGCGTGCTGATTGCCGCCATCGCCATGGGCGGGTGCAGCTGGTGGCTGATTGGGCTGCAAAAGTACAAGAACGAGATTTACGGGCCGTGGGACCCGGCGAGGCCCATCATCATGAGCCGACGGCTCTGGGAGGACGGATGATGCGGAGGTGCAGAGAAGGAGAAGGATCCTTTATTGTTCTTGCAGTGTAATCTACCTAGGCATGAATATAGTCTTGAGTATCGTGTTCGTTGTGTTTTTTGCGCTTTCGAGGCAACTGGGTCTATGCTGCGGCGAGGTAGTGCAGCTTCTGCATCTCGTCCAAGCACCCGCCCTCGTCAATCACTCCCCTTTGCCTTGTCTTCTCTGGTTCCCCCTCCCCGCTAGCCTTTGCCCTCATCTCCCAGCAATGCGTCAGGAATCCCACCAAAGCGCCCGCAGAGACAACGGCGGACAGAGCACAGCAACGTGCCGCCGTCTTCCTCATGAACCCGGGCGTGTCTGGCTCCTCGTAGCCGGATGGGCTTCCCTTGAGCCCGGGGCCAGCATCGACCGCCTCACAGACTGAGCTCCGAGCTTCCATGCTGATGTTGGCACATGGGTCCCGGCTTGCGATCGGGAGTACCGTGTCTGCGAACCTTGCTGTGTTGTAAACGTGTGCCGTTTGGGGCAGGGGTTGCGGTGAGAGCCAATGTGTCTTGCGACTTCGCCCAGCAGCTTGTGCTCGATCGCCGCGTTACCCATCGTCGGCGGCCGAACCGCTAGGTTCGTCTTGTAGATCTGGACTCTCGAGGCTTGGGGCGGGCCGTGGAGGAGGCTATATCTTATAAAGGTGTCTGTGTCCGGGTGTATGATTTGGGCGGGGGAGGAGCGGGAGCAGGAGAGGTTGCGGCGCTGGGTGAGATTTGAACTGAGTAGGTTGGATGATGGGCGCCTTATAAGCGGAAAACATGACGAGAGCAGAGTATTGTTGCGTGCGGTTTGGGAGAAAGGTGCGTGGCGTGATGTGGATACCGGGGTCCCGAGAGCAGAAAGGGAGATGACCCTTTGGGCGCTTCGTGGCAGTTTGGGTGATATCATGGTTGACGTTTTCTTTTCTGATTTCATTTACTTGCAGTACAAGGTTCTAATCAGCAAACGTGGGCCGGGTGGCCACCTGGAGATGTGTGTTCGCATGCTGACATCGGAGATAGCTGAGCAAAGATGAAGATTATAATATTCCAAGTTCGGTTTTGTCATGGTTCCCAACCTGAGTTTCGACATTCACTAGGATTCTTTCTTCTTCTCTGTTTCTATTGGGTTTGGGGTGGTTTACAATCCCTACCACAGCAAGGCGGAGATGGATCATCGAATCGATGAGTTAAGAAGTCGAAATGATAAAGGGCTGTGGTCCCTATCCGCTGCCTCATCAACAGTGTTTGCTTACTTGGTTCCGTACAATTTAGGGTTTGTTTTGGTCTCCAATGGAGATAGCTTGAACACACCCGAGTTCTCACCAATGTCGTCTCACCCTTCTACCTCATTCTTGTAAGCGGTTGTCTGCCAACAGCAACGAAAGCATCTACGGCGCATGCCAAGTCCGTGATTAGCCACCGCCGAGAGGGTGCATTGATGTAAACAGACATTTCCGAGAAATCTTTGCGAAGCAGCGGCTTGAGAGTCTTGGGGAGACACCTGCCCTTTCGTAATAGTGAGGGCAGGCTGGTCGTCTGCCTAGGAGCAGATGCAGGTTCCGGGCGTGAAGTAGGCCGGTGCCCCAGGTCAAGTGCGATTTGCATGAGATTGACTAGTCGCGAACAAGTCTAGGTGTCTGGGCCGGGATCTTGATACCACTTCGACACAAATGTGTTGTCTGTGCAAGAAAGTACGAATAGGGGCAAGCATCTTTGTGTTCTGTGTTAGCTTGATTCAGTCACCAAACGTAGACGAATCCCCATCTGTGAGGTTTCTGTCATCAATATCAAGTGAACAAGACACTGCTCCATATCAATCTTTGGTTCAGTAATAGTCAATGAGTGATATTGAACTGATCATCAAAATATCGCAGAAATGGCTCAATGATGTGTACCAGCGTATTATTTTCTACTTGGAGTTGGTGATAACTTGCGGCGCTATGCTGCGTGTCAGTCGAGCACTCGTGTTCACCTTATGGAAGCAAAGGCAGCATTCGCAACTGCGCCGGTCTAAGCAGCTCCACCTTCAACTCTATAGGTCTTGAACAACTCGCAAGGAAAGAACAAGGCAGTCAGGAGGCAGCTCCTTCCTCACCTTCGGTCATGCTTCCCTCCTCTCCACTTTAGGTATTGTACCCGTCTTTCGCCCCCAGCGTCTCTACCGCTTCACCTCCATCTTCGCTTTGCTTTTTCCTTTTGTGCGGACGGGTTTTTAAAACTTGGGAAGATCTACACAGCCTTCGGCTTCCTGCCAAAATCACACCAAGCTGCTTGATTCCCTCCCTCGACAACCTCCTTCAAACTCTCCTCTAGCATTGATGAAGTCCTTCCCGTTCCGGTCTCCGGTCTCACACTCATAATATCTCTTCCCATAATCCTTGCGTACGCACCAAACACTTCGAAAGATCACAAAGAACTTCGCCATGCCCCCGGGTGAGGAGGACCGCGGGCATCAACCTGCAAGGACACCACCGCCTTGCAATCGCGACGAGGCGGATGCCCAGCTCAACGATCTGCTACGCGAACGTGGTCTGTACTCGAACGATGGAATTGCGGATGGTTTTAAACACGGAATCATTCATAGGTCGCTGGAGATTCTTTCACAGCAGCTTTACAGCACAGAAACTCGCTTCATTCATGAGATTATCCAAAACGCCGATGACAACGCATACGGCAAGAGCACTGCGCGTGGATCACTCCCGAGTTTCTCACTGAGTCTAAAGGTTCATGACACTGGCAACAGCAGCCCTGTCCGCAACAGAACCGGGCACAAAAAGTACGTTCCGGAGACCAGCTGCAACGAGGATGGATTTTCCATTGCGCAGATTGCTGCTTTGACCGATATTGGAGCTAGCACGAAGACGAAGTGCAAGGATGTCCATGGAGGATTCACTGGCGAGAAGGGGGTCGGCTTCAAGGCAGTCTTCCGCGTTGCCGATGCTGTTTATGTTGCCAGTGGCCATTACCACTTCAAACTCGACAACAGCCAAGGCATGATCGGAGCCCTACGCCCACTCCCATTCTCCTTCCCGGCACCCGGGCCCATCTCTGATTCCACGCGTATGATGGTCGAGCTGAAGAGCCAAGCAGAGTATGAATCTATCATGGGAGATCTGGGAAAGGTTCATCCGGAAATCCTCCTCTTCCTCCGCCGTTTGAGGCAAATCTCGGTGGATACAGCAACGTGCAAGACAGAATACACAGCAACACACCGCGAATACGACAATGAGTACCAAGGCGAAATGAGAGCAGTGATGGTGCACAATAGCGATAAAACCAGAAGCCTAGAAACCAAGTACATCGTCGTTCGCAAAAGAGTTCAAAACATGCCAATCGAGCCCCGGAGAGAAAATATTTCGACTTCCGAGGTCACCCTTGCCTTTCCTTTGGATGGAAATGGAAGACCCAAAGTCCAACAGCAACAGGTTTTTGCATTCCTTCCGATTAACTACTATGGCTTTCGTGTGAGTTTCTGCTGCAAACACGTTCTCTTTGACGAGACTAATGAGGATTCCAGTTTCTCATCCAGGGTGACTTTATATTGACAGCAAGCCGGGAAAGCCTTGCCCCTGCTGAGTGGAATGAGAAGCTTCAAGAGGCCATTCCTAGTGCTTTTGAGGCGGCTATCCACAGGTTCAACAATATCAAGGGGGCCCTACGTTATTCCTGGCCACAATACCTGGAATGGTCGGCGACAGGTATCGCTTTCGGCAAAGATCTTGGGCCCAGGCTCGTCAAACACCTCAGCTCTTGCCAAATCCTCCAAACTCGTGCCGGTCTTGACTGTTTCCAGAAGCCTGGAAATTTGGTGTTTGTTCCACCTGAATTCTGCCTGGATGGAGAACCATTAATCGAGTCCCCAAAACAACGCCAAAATCATCTGGCCTTCGGATACACACCAAATAGGACACTGCGTTCCAGCCTCAGAGATCTCGGCGTGATTGTGATGAACAATCAACTATTCGTTTCCCAGCTTGCTGCGTGGGTAAGCCTGGAAAAGCCTGACCTTGACCTCCAGCCATTGGAGTGGCACAGCAAAGTGGCGGCCATTGTGGTCGAAAGTGGGTGCTCCAAATATGGACTCAAGAGTTTACCCATCGTACCAACACTCTATGGGGCTTTCGTTCCCGCATCAACAAACAACCTATACAGAGTTTCCAGCGAAGACGCTTGGGGTGCTCCTGGTGGCATCGGTCTGGAATTCGTGGACCCGGGAGCCAGATGTGACATAAACATGGAAGCTTTATTTCAATGGCTTGGTATCCAAGAGTTTACGGCTAGCGACATCTGCAAGCGGATTCTGGAGTTGCACGTAGAGAAGGATCCACGTCCACGAGAACACGTTGTCGAAGAGGTCATCTACCTGTTCCGCCATCGGCTTCTGATTCGCCCAACAGACAGGAAAGGGTTGGCGAAGCTGTGGTTCGCGACCATAAATGAAGAGAAACCTTTGCGTGCGCACCACGTGTGCTTTATCGACCCCGACATCCAGCACAACCTCATCCTCGAGCATGGTTCGAACACCTCTGCCTGTATGAAGGTGCTTGTTCCAGAGTATTTCGAAAATACTCATACCATGACGAATGATAGAGAAGAGGAAGACACAAAAAAGAGAGACGGCAGCCGAGGCGACGAAAAAGATGACGGTGAACACGAGACGCAGAAACGGAAGAATCCATTTTTCGAATGGCTCAAAAACTCTTGCCAAATATCAGTACTTCCAAGGCTAACTTACAAGGCTAAAGGTAACCTGGACAAGACCAGCAACCTGTGGAGGTGGCTGATCATCAACGATGCGCCTGGTCTTCTCTTGCTATTGAGAGATCACCTGAAGTATTACAGGCCCCAATTGTCAGTTTTAGGTCCAGAAGCTCGCAATCTGATGGTCGAATGTCGAGATGGCCATGAGCGGAGACTGGAGCATACAGCGGTGCCAACTAAGGCACTCCTAGAAACATGTCCGAACCTGAACTTTGCGAAACTACCCAATCCAGAAAACGAGAACTGGAAACCCTTTTCCACGTTCAGGGTGGTCGTGGAACCCAATTGCATTGCTCACCTGCGAGAGCTCCAGGTAATACGTCAACATCCTTCAGCCGAGGTTTCATTGAAGGATGTGCACCGGATTTACCAGTACTTGTCGCAGAACAGCGCCAAGATACAGGAATCCACGTGGTAAGATCTCTACCAGATCCCTTACTGTCTTCATCGCTCAAGTGTAAGCTAACGTTGAAAGCGAATCTCTTCGAGATGACAAGCAAGACCTGATCTATCACCCACGGGGTGGTTGGGTCACCATAAAGGGCTGCGTTTGGGAGAGCCCAAACGAGCTCAAGAGTACACTGGCAATTGCAAAAGTGTATCCCGATTGTTGCCAATTCTTCCAGGGCAAGTTGAATATGCAGAACGCTGGAGTTGCCGAGGCTGTTCAAGAACTAAATTGTCTTGCAAAAGTACCGGATCATTCCAAAAACCCAGAGTTGTTGAAGACGATTATACTCATCTTGAGTGGGTACTTGAAGAAGGATAATTTCAAGGAGAACGACTACACCATCGAGCTACGAGAACGAATGCTCCACATCAGGGTCTTCCCGATGATTCCTAACGATGAGGCATCGAAGGCATACCCGCGAACTTACAAATCCCTCGAGGACACGTGGTACATTAACGACCGAACTGCCTTGAAGAAAGCGTTCGTAGGAAAGGCGCACATATTGGATTTTGATGTTCAAGACATGGACCGGATTCTGCCCTTGATCAAGTGGCTCGGCCTCGACCAGCTTCTTCTAAGCAAGGCGGTACAAGAACGTACATTGTACCTTGGTACAGTCCAAATACAACAGGGCTGGTCTGATTCCATTCAGGAAAAGGCTCAGTTTATCGCGTTGTAAGCTGGCTGACACTGAGCCTTGAGTGTGAAAGCTAACTTTAGTCAGACTGGGTAAGCAATTGGACCAAACGGTGCCGACTTTCGAAGTCTTCCAGGCATCAGGCTTGAGAGTTGAAAGGACAATCGACAACATCCAAGGTGAATCCGATTCAGGGCATATCAACATCGACAGAAAACATGACACCATCCAAATCGTCGTTCTCCTAAATCCATTTGAAAACGTTTCTCCTCGGGTAGAGCGGGCGCTGGTTGAGTTCTTCAGTGGTCTCTTCCACATTACAGAAGTCAAACACATCCCGTTCATCTCCCAAATACTGAAAATTGATCTTCCAGAGATACCGCCGCTTTTGGAAGAACTCGATATCCACTGTCCCTTTCCCGGCAACTATGGCGTGTCTAGAGCTGACTCTCGTATACTCGAGAAGTCGGTTGGCCGCACAGCGGCTCCGCCGAAGGGTACAATTAATGCACTCACCATTGGGGCAGTACCCTCTCCCGCACCGCCTGTTAAATATTCCCTGGCAACTTGTGCAAGCGAAACCGCCATAAGACAGGCTCGGGAGCGTTTCGAAGAAATTGGTCGAAAGGCGGAAGCATACGTGAGTCAATATCATCCAAAGATGGAATGGTTCCTCTGACTATTATCTAAGGTCGATGGATTCTTCAAGAAGCGCGTACCTGACTGGAACTCCAATATTCATTGGACAAGTCATCTTCGGGAACATTACGGCCATCCGGCGTTCCTTGGTGACGAGTCAACAACGGCCGACTTCACGTATGTTGACAAAGGAGGTGAGCATATGCTACCGATGCTTCAGAAGTTAGGTGTTCTGGCGGTTACATGGTGTCGTCAGACGATCAAATACCATTTCGAGGTGAAAGGTACGGTGTGTGGCTGCGATGAGCCTTTTCACCTCAGCCAAAAGCAAATGGAGCTGGTAAGTCCTGTCTGGCCCATTGCCCAAAGCTCATGGAAACTGACTCCCACAGGCCTGTAAGTATGCCAAAAAAGGGTAGCGGAGTCCCATCGGACATCTTCATCATCGCACGCGTGTACGACGTCAAGAGGGCACCTGGTCTCCGGTTCTACACCGACCCATGGACGGGGATCTTCAAGGGTTCGTTGTCAATGACTGCATCGAACAGTGCGTTTTTGATCACCCCCCTAGGTGCACGGGCGAGTCATTGAGTATTTTGGAGAAGATAACGTGTTGGACAATTGTTTGATATAGAAGGATGGGCTCGGGGTCGTGGACTTGTTGAGACGAACACATGTAGATCATGTCGAGACACTATAGCCAATGGAGTCAAGTGAATTCCAAAGATAGTGCTGTGCTGTTACCGTCACCTATGCTTGTTTCAGCACTGCCAGGTGGAAGCCGTGGACACTTCGCCCAAGACCACTTACGGGGATCAGTAACGTGGAATCCCTGTGCCTAAACATGTTTATGGCGTCGACCTTTTAATGTCGACGAGGTCGCAGCCGACATGGGTTCCAATCTTAGAGCGCAACGTAGATCAAAAAGAGACTGCGAACTTCCCCAATACACTTGGAACCTTGCCGCAATTTTTGTGGCATAGACAATCAAGGAAACACAGCGGGGAACAGCAAAACGCTGACGGGCTCAAAACTGCACAACCCTAACATGATTCCTGTTGCCTCTATTTCTTTTGCTTCTAGTCGGTGTCGGGCTATTGTTTGGGAAAACAGAGGAGGATGGGAAGACGAAACAACAGGGTCCCATCGGCCACTGCTTAATATAAACAAACTCTGACGACCGCGGCCGACGACCCGGGTCGACGGACGGATTTACGCCGCGGCGCGACCAACCCCGTCAACGCTTACTGGCCTCTTGCACCGCTGATGGTAACATCACCGTCCTGAAGGAGTGACTATGCTGTGCTGTGTTTGGAAACTGACCGTTTTCATGGCCCACTGGGTTCATCCTACAAGTGTCTTCTCGCCGGTATGAATTAGTGCGCTTAAATTATGTTGGCTTCATTTCGAAGTCCTTGTGAAACATCGCAACCAAACCTTGTTTACCAGCAGAGCACAGGAGATTCCGCTACGAACGGCACAATAGGTTGTGAACAAGGCCATGATCAAGTTGCTCCACCGCCATTTCCCGGCCTTGTGGTGCTTCACGGCCAAGACCGTCAATGGAGAGACGAACGCACTCCGGCTGTTGTTAGGTTTCGGCCGCCTCTCTCTCACACCGTCTCCTGGGGTTCGCGCTCAAAAGAGGAGCGGGCCAAGTGAGCAGGAGTGCTTTGTTACTATTGCGATACCTTGACTTACATGCGGCCGAGACAGGACGACTCATGCGATGTCAGGATGCTCAGGGCCTCTCGATGGTGACCGTGGGGTTCTTCGTGGCCGATGAGATCCGCCTAAAATCGACCGACCCACGATTCTCTCTTCCGACCCCTGAGTATCTTGACACTCGTCATCCCGCTATTTAGATCACCGATGGGGATGGAATCGCGGCCCGGCCTTCGGCGAACAAGCGAGACATTAGCCAGGTCCCGGAGAAACGGGCGCTGGATCGCTGTCTCTCCTTGTCCGGCTGTCACTGTCTTCCTTGGTTTTCCCGAGTATCTCGGATTGTGACAAAACGAGGGGACCGGGCGAGGATTTAGGAACAAGCGAGGATGGTAACTCACGTCCGGCGTCCCCCCTGGTCTTCTCGACTGCGTCCAGCCACGCCGAGGTGGGCTTGCTGTCAACAGCGCCCGCCATGCCACCGGGACAGGATGACGGGCTTGGGTTGTTTGATGAGTGGAGCGCCGAGTTTATGTGCTGAAATTACGGCGACCGGACAGGAAGGCTTGGTACATTGTTGTTGTTGTTGACCTTCCACCTTCTACGGAGCATTTGTTGCGGGGAATTGGAGGCTGGCCATGGCACTGCCGCTCCTCCTGGGCAGAACAGGGGATCCGAGCTCGTGTCGAGTGGGTTTATTGCACAGCGGAGATCGGCATAGTAGCATAAGGGAGAACTCTGAGGAGGCCCGAACGTTGGTCAAGCGGACTCCACGCCGCGACCAGACGAAGGTCGGGGAAGACTCCAAGTCGTCCAAGTTGTGCTTAACGTTAGTACTATCGCTCGTGTTGTCTCCACGTCAAGCTTGGGGTCCACGGACGGCTCGCGGGTTTAACCACCACTTTTTGGATCAATACCGAGTGATCAAAAGTAATGAAGAGAGGAAGGACTCGTGTCAGGGAAATTATGTTGATAAAAAGACAAGAAAACCCCTCGCCTGATAAGGCAAGTCGAGAAGGTTCAATGTTTTTGGTTTTAGCTTTTCTTCTCACCTGTCAACGAAATTAATGACAAAACTCTACAGTACGTATCCCAGGGTCCGTAGGCTTGGTTGTTGCTAGAAAGCGTGGGCTACTACGAAATAGAGTAATTCATGTTTCCTTTGTGCAAGGAAGATACTGCTTCGCACGAACTCTGTTGAAATTGGTCAAATCAGATGCTCGAGAGCAGCCAGTGGTTTGCAGACTGTGGAGTGCTTTCTCGTCCTCCCGCATCCTAACCCCGGCCCCGGGGCGACCCCCCTTGTCCGCATGTCACATCGCACGATGTCATGCCAACCCGTCCGGCACTCGTAGCACCGGCCGACGACTCGCACTACTCGGATTGGATTTGTGTGTTACCATGACGGCGACGTGTCGGATCGACCAACGGCTAATGAACTCGGTCCAGCCAGCGGCGGCCCTGTCTTGCTAGCCGGCGAGAGACATTCAACAAGAGGAGGGTGGGCAAATAAGGAACACAGTCGACTGTGGAGGAATATCTTTGGTCTAAATCGATCAACCCAATGTCTCAACGCAGGACAGCACAGCCGACGGCGTCAACGCGCCCAGTCGACGAGCTCGAGCCACCTGCCATCCAATCAAAGCGCACGGGTGCCCGTATTTCTGTCCGTCCCATTCCTGCGGTCTCTGCTGTCTTTGCTGTCACTACCGCCACTGCCACATTTCAGGGCTGGAGCTAATGCGGGCAAGCTGCAGATAGTTCACGGACAGCAGCTGGGAGCTAGAGCTGAGGAGGGCTACTGCAAAGGAGGCAGACGGACGGACGGACCGTGGGGCGTGCAACCTCCCAGAAGAACCTAGCTCTCCCAGCCGGCGGCTCGAATGAGAGACTGAATAAGGGATGGGATACATAGCAGGCATTCGCCCAAGTCTCATTGGGCGTTGCCTCAGTCAATTGGATCAATCGCAGTACCCACGAGTTCGCCCGCGCCTTGGTCGAGCACGCAGCATGATTGTTCCCAATTTGTGACCCCCCTGCCAACCGTTGTCCCAGCCGGAGTAAAACCCAGATCACGGTTACATGTACCTGGTGTAAAAACCGGCAACCTACCTAGCAAACGGGTCCCGCCCAGGTCCGGGGCCAGGTAGGTATACATAGTAGCTCGGCAAAAGCCTCGAGCACCTCGACGGCCGGCTTACCCCTTGCCTTCCACCCTCCTCCCTGCCTCACTTCCCCAAGTCCCCAGCCCAATGGGCGAGACCGGTCCCGCGCCAACAGAAAAGGGAAAACGCGAAGCTAACGTTCCTAGAGCGTAACCCCCTCCCAAACTAGCAACGGCACAACGCACGCGCTGCGCGGTACGGATATGTGGAATAAGCTTTGGCAAGAAATGGCGAAGGGGGGAAAAGCTTCGAAGCTGGGCAGGGGTCTCATCTCTCTTCACGGTGGCTTGCGCGCAAGTCCAGGACGCATATTTATCCCCCCTTCCCGTCTCCTTGGGCCGCCGTTATACCTCGTCCTGATCCTTTCTCCCTTCAACCCTCACACACCTTAATACCAACGTCGGCTGTCCTTCGCTCTGTATACCACCCGCCAATACCAACTTAATTCAGTCCTAATACTTCTCTCACCAACCAACCAACCACACACCACATTCACAATGAAGTTCACCCTCGCTCTCGTTGCCGCCGGCCTCGTCGCCGCCCAGGACTTCTCTGGCCAGCCTTCGTGCGCCGTACGTGACGATCCCTTTCCCCGTACGACTCGTGGTCTCTAGGCGTTGAACTGACACTCCTCCCCAGATCCCCTGCTTGACTGAGGCCATCCCCAAGGTTGGCTGCTCCCTGACCGACACTGCCTGCCAGTGCACCGAGGAGAAGCAGCAGGCCCTCGTCCCCGTCGCCGCCTCCTGCCTGCTCGCCGCCTGCAACTCGGCCGACCTCACCAAGGCACAGTCCGCCGCCGCCGCCGCCTGCGCCGCCTACAAGGCCACCGCTTCTGCCACCGGTGCCGCCTCTGCTTCCGCCGCCGTCTCCTCGGCCGCTGCCTCCGTTTCCTCGGCCGCTGCTTCCGTTTCTTCGGCCGCTGCTTCCGTCTCTAACGCCGTCACCTCTGCTCTCGCCTCCGCCAGCGGCGTTGTGTCCTCCGCCGCCGCCTCGGCTTCCGCCGCCGTCTCCTCCGCCCACAACGCCACCGTCTCCGTCAGCGGCGCCTCTCTCACTGCCTCGCGCACTGCCTCCACCGTCAACCCCTCCGGCACTGGATCCGGCGCCAGCGCCAGCTCCACGACCGCTGGCAACGCCGCTGCCCAGGGCACCGCTGCCGTTGGCGGCCTGGCTCTTGCTGCCATTGCCGGTCTCGTTGCTGCTCTGTAAGCGACCTTGATTGGCGACAATGCGGACGTAAAAGGGAACATGAAGACTCGGATGAAGTAGGGACGACTGTACTAGACGCGTAGACGTAATGAGGACGGGCGGTGGAATCTTTCAAAGAAGAAAAAAAAGTTCATGATCATGGCCTGTTGGCTGCCTTTGGCTTAACGTCTTGCTGTAAGACACAGGGTAACATACTTTAATCCAATATACCAACAATGTTAGAATACACAAACTCTCTCACTAGGCGGGTGTAACGATTCGATTGTCAAGGTTGAACTTTCAGCTGTTGGCAGTATGCTCGCAATCGGCTTGTAAAGGCTGAGTTTGGCGGTACATGATGGTTGGAGTAACGTTCCATCCGGTGTGTTGACATGCAAATCATAAGCAAAAGCTTCGCTGTTGATGACCCTTGCTGACTGCTGTGTCTGTTTCATTGATGCTTTTTTGTTAAAGTATGGTGGGTTTCTCCAATTGGCTGTGGTGTCTCCTGAGTTTTCGGGTCCTGTGGAACTATATCGAACTATGTGATTTGACGTACCAAATACGCTTTGACGACACCTTTCCATAAACTACTATCTCTGAACAAAGCCTGCATACATATAGACCACGTCCAAATGCAAGTGATAATCTTGTCTGAGGAACCAACCTTCGATACAAGGTAGTGGTGCAGGTTGGCAATCTCTATCCTGTTCTCTATTCCGGTTGCAGGGACATCACTGGTGGCAGAAAGCTATTTGCCGGCTGTGGAGCTAGTCACACTAGCGGACCTGTTCCCATTTCCACATGGTGTTAGCCTTGGCTGTGAGTGAGCTGATACCAATGCTAGATATGCCCTCTCAAACAATTTAGCTCCGCTGTGCCGAAGCTGCAAAGAATTGAGGTAAAGCGCACGCAAGAAACCGACTCACTTGGTCCCATTTTCCCTGAGATCTTCAAAAAGGTGAGAACTCCGGTGCTGCTAGCTTCACTGGGCTCAATGCTATCCCGCCGGAATCGGACCCGTGAGGGTCGTTTCGGCGACAGAAAGCCCGTCCCGGCCGAGTGGGCCCGGCCGCCTGCACCGGATGCCGTCCGGCAACGTCGCCAAACCCCCAACTTTCTCAAACCGCTGTCCAGGATACGACCACAATCATGATAGCAGCGCTTGGGAGATTAAACACATCTTTGCTTATGGTCTTTTCTATGAAATATAAATCTCTCAGTTACGAGCTAGCGAGTGCAGCTGGCACCCCGCTGGTCTACGCCCGTCAGGTCTACCAGATCAAACACTATGGGCCAGCCTGATCTTACCGATTTGCTTTAGTTTAAAAAACGTAGTTCAAATTGATTCTATTTTTATAGGTTTTTTTCCTTACGTGTTGACGCATCACTGGGTGCCTTCCAACAGTAGGCTGCATGAGTGGCGGTGAGAACGGGATAGGGGATTCATACGCCGCACCAAGCTGGATGAACTGGGCAGATGGGTTGCAAGTCACGCACCCTCAATTCCTGAGCTATAATCCCCAAGGTAGATTCTAGCCGAACAGGAGTTACGCTCGCAACCTGCTTCCTAGAACCCTTCCCGCATACCCAAAGACGAAGAGCCCACCATATCAACGCCTCTGACTGCGCAGGAGTAAGGTATTGTCTGGCTTTTCCCAACATACCCTGCTGCAGCGTTTGTATTCCAGTCCGAAGTATAGCATGCATGTTTCTTCTTGCCCGTTCCATATAGCTTGCACGAGTGAGGATGCCTGGAACGTCCCGTCCTGAGTACTCAAGAAACAACCTATAGTTCCTAGTAAGGTACGCATTGACTTAATCGTGACCGGATACCTCGTTTTCGTTTTGCCCCTAGTCAATGATTCTGTAGCATACGACCCGGGCCTTCAACCCCGCAACGGCTGAAGAGAAAGAATCAAGATGCTACAGCTGCTTCACGGCAAAAATAGTCCTATGAAGTAACTGCTGCTCGCATATCTAATTTGGAGCCGCCGAACGTCAGTACATCGGGCGATCCTATTGATTGGAGATTGAACCCACCCCCCGACATAACGCTTCTCACTTGGATCAGATCTTGGACTGAACATCTACTCTTGTTGTGCCGACTTCAGGTTCCTGTCGTAGGCGAAAATCATTCCGCGCGGGTTCAGGAATGCTTCCATACTAAGAGTGGCTAGGAAGACGATCAATGAATAACCACAACAAATGACTAACACCAAGTCTTAGTGCATCCTCGGCACGTGTGATGTTCAATCGTTTAGGAACCAGCATCATTACCGGCTCTTCACTGAGTAGTGACCATGTATCTAGCATAGTCTCTACCGTCACTCATCTGTCAGGCTTGACAGCTCTTATGAGACATCAACAGAGCCATCCCTGGGAGGGATACACGTGGTTAACATCTATGTTCGTCCTACTGCTCAATTCAATGCTGGCAATGGTCCCGAAAAACTAATCTAACTGGAATCACCTCCAACGCTTCCCTCGAGCCTTTTGACAGCTACGACTTCAACAAATGACCCGCAGTGTGCTTTTTGTTACGTGACAAGTAGCAAAGACGTTTATCAAGAAGATACGGACAGACTACCCAGCGAAGAATTCACAAAGAGAGACGTCACCACGTTACCGTTTCCAACCTCCTAGCCAAACGCCTGCACTGCAAGAGATGGCAGTTACGATAATATTCCTGGTTTTTTGGCCTCCTTTCCAGAACCATCAAGCTTTCGATCCGTATTTCCAATGGTATATAGCAGCATATCCACGTGCCTCCCTCTTGGTACTTTCGTTCGAACTGAGTATGTGTTCCAGGTCAGTGCGTGGAATTACAATTTTCCCGCTCTACAAGTCCACCTCAACAGGACGGGTGTATGCCCAGATGAACCATCTCTTCACTGATGAAAACATGTTCTATGTAATAATACTGAGCTAACCCTTTGTCAGCCGTTGGACTATGCTGATCGGGTTGAATCTAGAGCGAATGAACGAGGGTTTCCCACAAGGTACTGAGTCGCACATGTTGAGGCACTCTAGCCTGGCTATGCACGATGAGTATTCATGTTTGTTATTGCCTGCTCATATACTTGGCCATCAAGGGGCAAAGGTCGAGGTAGGGAAAAGTGGCCGAGAATCTCACTTGAGGCTGCAAGTCATCATGTTCGGGGGTTTGGGCCTCTATGGTCTGTATGCCGCTGCGTGTCTATTTGGCAACAGGTCTAGGCTGGGGGTGAGAATGGGTTGCCATTATACCAAGTCACGTTTGGCTTCCTTCGACTTACCATCGGGACTGCACTAATCATACAACAAGTTTTCTACCGCTGGTATTAGAAGAACGGAACGGCCCCAACTCTTTGTAATGGCAAATGTATAACAGCCTATTGTCCTTAGGTCCCAAAGGCATGTCACGAAATGTGACCAGGGTGCTGCTTAGCACTGTTTGTAAACAGCAAAGAGAGAGTTCAAGCCGTTCCAATGGTGTTTCATGGAAGATGAAGAAGAGTAGGAAAAACCATGCTGCGTCAACCGAGTTGAAACTTCTTCCTATGCAAGCAAACCAAAAGAGGGGAGCTTCACTGTCGGCTATTGACGCCACCTTCTGCAGGTTGAAGCACGATGCGGGATATTTTCAAAGTTCAACAAACGTGTATGTGGTGCCCAGACCACCGGATCTAAGCCGCTACTGCTGGCGAGCTTCAGCTTCTCGCGATGGTGCCAAGTTGAAGAGTTGAGGGCTGCAACAGAAACGCAACCCATTCGGTGAAGGTCTGCAGGATTCGAGCCCCGCCAGAAACAAACCCGCGATTGGCGCCCACTACCGGCCTCCCCCCCACCATGGCTTTGGAAAGGACGCCAACACGGACCAGGTGAGCAAGAGCCCCGGCTGGCCGACGGGGGTCACGTCCCCTAAACGACCATGTTGGCCGGCGCGCCGTCCACTGGGAGGGCGAAACAGTGGAAAATCGGCCGGTCCCGCCATCCTGGACCGGTTGCGGTGCAGCGGTGGAAGCGGGTAGGCTGGCATTCCGGGCCAGTCAGACGAGCGGGAGCGTCACATGGAGAACCACACAACCCCAACCATCCAGTCAACCAGTGCGTCCCTCCCTCGTGGCGACTGCGATAGCTCCCCACTACAGTCCACCACTAACCCTTGGCGATAACGAGTCGTACAGTAGTATGTAGTTGAAAGGTTTTTTTCCCCTACCTTTCTTCTGTCGACTGACTAGGATGTCGCCGCGATAGAGGAAGAAAAAAAAAAGGCGATCCCTCCCCCCTCCCTTCTCCCACTTTGAGACCGATAGAAAGAAAGTTGTCGACCAGAGTTCCGCGCCGGTCTCGAATTCCCATTTCCGCATCGTCACGCGAGGCACGCTGAAGGCATACAACCTGCCAGCGACCTGCTACATAACTTCCGACGGCAATCATATGTTGCGCGCCGTCTCAGACCTCTACTTCACATACCACTTTCCGGCGCATCGGTACATGTGCCGTTCTATCGCAAGATAGACTAAACAGCAGGCGACTTGGAGTCTTTGCGCTTGCTGCCAGGGGACGAGAAAGACCAGAAAGCATTCCACGCTTCTAATCTATACAAACCACACAAGAATTCATCGCGGCGATACCTCTCAAACTCTCTGTTGAGATTATCCCGCGCAGACGGCGAACACGTTTGACTGAGCTCACGCGCAAGGTATGTCGAACAAGCCAAACGGGACGAATCTCTCTTCCGTTGCTGTGCGACAATGACAGTGGCTAACCGCATCACCAGATCGCTGCATGCCCAGTATCGCATCCCGCCTCGAGACCATCCTGTCGCTACCGCTTTTGCGCCTCCCCTTCGCCAGGACCGCAGAACCCGACACCGACCCCCGCCGACAAAGACACGCCTACGAGCCACTGCCCACCATGTCCGCCGACGACACTTCCAAGAACCTCTACACCGCGCCGGTGACGACGACGCAAATCACCGCCGGCGCCAACGAGACGGAGCTCGTGAACCAGGGCCTGAACGACATCGAGGCGCGCAAGGTGCACTGGTGGAGCTACTTCACCACGCTCGACTTCTGGATCGTCCTCCTCATCGGCCAGGTCCTCGCGCTGTGCATCACGTCGACCAACACCTTTACGTCCTTCCTCGCCAACAACGGCGTCTCCATCCCGGCGTTCCAGACCGTCTTCAACTACATCCTCCTGTTCCTCATCTACTTCCCCATCACCATTTGGAAGTACGGCTTCAAGAAGTGGGGCAAGCTCGTCGTCAAGGACGGCTGGAAGTACTTCATCCTCTCCTTCCTCGACGTCGAGGGCAACTACTTCACCGTGCTCGCCTACCGCTACACCAACATCCTCTCGGCGCAGCTGCTCAACTTCTGGGCCATTGTCGTCGTCATCGTGCTCTCCTTCTTCCTGCTGCGCGTGCGCTACAAAGTCTTCCAGATCGTCGGCATCATCGTCGCCATTGGCGGCTGCGGCGTGCTGCTCGCCAGCGACCACATCACGGGCTCCAACGGCGGGCCCGGCATCGACATGGTCAAGGGCGACCTCTTTGCGCTGCTCGGCGCCACGCTCTACGGCGTCACCAACGTCGCCGAGGAGTGGTTCGTCAGCCGCCGCCCCGTCTACGAGGTGCTCTCCTTCATGGGCATGTGGGGCATGTGCATCAACGGCGTCCAGGCCGCCATCTTTGACCGCGAGTCCTTCCGCGAGGCCAGCTGGAACGGCCCGGCCATCGGCTACCTCCTGGGATACACCTTTGCGCTCTGCCTCTTCTACAGCCTCGTGCCGCTGCTGCTGCGCATGGCCAGCGCCGCCTTTTACAACATCTCGCTGCTGACGGGCAACTTCTGGGGCATCATCATCGGCGTCAACGTCTTTGGCTACTCCATCCACTGGATGTACCCCATCGCCTTTGTGCTCATCATCCTCGGCCAGGTCGCCTACTTCCTCGCCGGCAGCATGCTAGGCGACTCCAAGAAGCCGTGGCTCGGTGACAACCAGGAGAACGGCGTCGCCGGCCTCGGCACCGCGAAGCTCAAGGCCATCAACGCGGCGCGGAAGCGGCAGATGGGCGCCGACGACGGCGTCCGCGCGAGACGGGCATCGGCTGATTCCGTGGTCTGAAGGACGGCAGTTGGATGCGACAATGCATGTCGCGGTACAACGCTGTTGTTCAATTCGTAGTTTTATGGCGGGTAGGAGGGGATATTGAGACAAGTGTTGGCTCACAACACCCTTCAGAGCCATTGTAGATTCAGCTGTGGCTTCTCCGTACTATAGCCACGCGTGCGCTCGTTTTCCAAGAGCGAGGATCAATATACTATTGGATACCAAGACTCACTCCGACTGTCTCTCACCATCTGCCGCGTCTCTGCTGCGTCGTAACTCCAGACTAATGCTCCCTAGCTTGTGCCCGAACTATTCGCTTCCCAGCTTCTACTGAATTCGAACCAAATACCACGTCTCCAAGTCTCTAGTCAGCCACCAGACCAGAGCGGGACAACGAGTGGAGAGCCGCACGGCCTCCTCTACGACGTTGAACCGTGAGGATGCGCGAGGTGCCGGCCGGTTGGGCATTGGTCGGCGGGTGGCCCCGGTCCGGTCGCCCAGGAAGATCGGAGATCGGAGGGGAGGGTGGGTTGGTTTTGTTTCCTGTTCTGTTTTCAATCGGGCGGGCGGCACGTTTCGTCATGCGCAAACCCCCCAAAGATAGCCTCGTGGCCTGCCGTCATCGTCGTCGTCGTCTTCGTCGCAGGTCTTGTGGCCCTTGGGCAGAATGTTTCGGGCGGCAGGTGAGGGGGGATGCCGACCGCGTACCACCCTCCCGTTTCCTCAAATCACAGTTTTTGTTTTTGCGCGAAAGAAGGGGTTCACTCGAACTCCCCTCCCTGCGTCCACGCGTACCGCATCGCTCGCATCGCTTCTCACCCGCCTTGCCGTTCGTCTTTTCTCTCTCCCTCTCCCTCTTTCTCTCTCTCTCTCTCTCTCTTCCCCCAATCGGGCTCCCGGACGCAACGCGACACAGCGCAACATAGCTGCAGGTTCCAGGTCCTCCTGCGCATGCCGGCCGCCACATGTCGTGCCAAGCCTTGCAGCGCCCGTACCTGTCATCCGCGACGTTTGCGCAGTAGCTCGAAGCGATTGGTTTTTTTAATTTATTTTTCCAACGAAAAAGCAAAAGGGGGCTGCGCAACTTTGGCTGTGCTAGATGAGGCCAGCCAGCCAGCCAGCCAGCCAGCTACACAGACACGACACGACAGGTTTTGTTCGTTGCCACGACGCAGCAGTCGCCCGTCCGCCGTCGCACATTAGACATGAGTATCTCCGCAGGCTTTCCGCTTGGGTTCTCCGCCCCCGCTTCGTTACCAGTATCGAAGATGCTTTCCCATCTCCGCTCGAGACTGCCCTCACCCGGTCGAGATAGGCCGCCCTGAACGCTGCTTGTGACCCGTGCTCCTTTTGGACTTTGTGCCAGGGCGAGAAGGAGGGGCGGTAATGTTCCAACGGACCTGTCCGCGGGCCGCTGTAGCCAGGGCGCCCGCCCGCCTTACCCAGATACAAGGTAATCGCCTCGCCAGCATCCATCATCCTTGCTGTCGTCGCCCATCTGTGGATAGAGTGGACGTCGGCCATGAAGAGACCGCCTCGGCGCGTCCTGCCGTGCGTTTCTCGTTTGTCAGAGCCCGTTTTGATGATCTGCGAACAAAGTCGGGCGCGGAGCCGACGTGTGTTGGGGGGAGAGTGGGATGCAAGCAGCGCAGCGTCGTCCGCTCACGAGCACTCCCTTTTGGGGGAAAAGAAACCACAAACGAGCCCTCATATCGGGCAATGAGCCGTCCTGTGCAAGTCTTCTCGTCCAGAGCAGACGGTGGTTGTGGGCACACTCTATGCTACGGCGCGTCTAGCCCAAGTAGGCCAAGATAACTCGGATTCGTTCTCGTCTAAGCCATGGCATGGGTGCAGGGTAAGGCGCCCGATTGGACCGTCGTCCTGCTCGTCACTCGCCTCCGTCACCCGAGTCGAGTTCGGCGACGGTGTAATTGGATCTCGGGAGAGTGATGGGCTTCGTGTATCCCGACTTTCGTCTCTCCAGGTGTGTACCCGTATCGCCCTGCGTTTGAGCATCGTCGTGCAAAGTGCAAGACTCCAGTTCTCTTTGGCTGGACCAGTCTTCCCTCGCCCGCAGCCTAAACTGTCTTATATCGACGCATCAGCTCTGTAATTGCATGATGTCTTTTCCGCGCGAGTTGCTACCCCTGCGTTGGCCGGGTCTCATCCATCGTTATCAACCTTTCACGTCCCAGTGTCCCCTCGACAATCAAACAGCCTTTCTTTTTGGTTCGTCATATAATCTACCGATTTAGCACCTCAAGCCCTGCCATCCCTACGCCGGGACGTCAAGGCCACCAGAGAGGAATCTTAAAGAAGGCCAAAGTCTATTTCCTCTTCTCTTAGAGTTTGAAGCGCAATCGCCGGACAGCCCGGCAGCCAGTACCTCCGCGTACAGTCCATACATCAGGGCCTCCCCCTCCTTGCCTTCGTCTCAGGCTTACAAGTTCTCTCTGCCTTGGGCCTCTCTCTCATCTTCCGATCTCCTCATCCCATCTCCCGCTGCTCTGCCCCCCAGATCTGCTGCCCATGCTCATACTTGTTTGATCCAATCCGGCCTCTGCTTCTACCCGGGACTGGCTTGTTAGAAGGAGTCACGGAGCGGACGATCCACCAGAGGGACAAAAAAATAAGTGTCCCTCCATTACAGCCTCGACTCGGCGGACTGCCTCAGCGAGGAGGACGGCAGCTTACGAATCGTCGCAGCAGAACGCAAAGTCTATTGCCCAAACCTACCTCACACACTCACCAGTACAGTGGGTTGTTTACTCGCGCTGCGCAGAAGGCGAAGGTCTGAGCTCAGCCACCGGTTCGAGCGTCATCTGATATAGCGCGGGGTGTTCGCTCGCTTTCTCTGGGGGGAAGGTGTGGACGCTCAATATTTCTTTCACTTGTACTCATACACAGAGAAGCCGTCGTCGACCAGTTTCCTGGGACGTCAACTTCGTTCAACCTGTCAAGTCATTCCGTCGCTGCATTGACAGGAACTTTATAAGAGGACAACTCAAGGAGAGAGCGCAACTCATCACCAAAGGACCATGGGTCCGACACACGGCCCCAAAATGATCAAGAGCCCATCTTGGTGGGCCCGAATAGGTGGCAGCGCCTCCCGCCGCTCCAAAGTCGTCTTTGCAGCCTTGACACTCTTTCTCGCATCGTCGGTTTTCATCTTACAACCAGACTGGCACGTTCCCAGCTCCGGGCTGCGCGTGCCCGACTTACACCACCAGCCTTCGTCGGGGCCATCGACAAGTCCTCCGACTGAGAATAGCCTCCGACCTCAGAAAAATGCCGGCGACAACGGATACAGCCCCCGGACTGCCATTTTGTCGCCCGACGCAGATGGTGTCTTGTTGTCCGCAGGAACGCCCGTCTTCACTTCTCCAAGCGGGCGGTACTCTCTCATCCTGCAAGATGACGGCGATCTCGTTCTTAGTCGCATGGAAGAGGACGGGACCGCTCATCCCGTGTGGTGGACCGGGACGGGTGATATGCACAGCGGCGGGCGTACCGTTGTCGTCGAGAAGCAGAAGGACCACTTCCGTATCGTGTTGAACGCCATGTTGAAGAACAAGTGGACGACAGTGTGGCATAGCGACCTGGAGCCAGCGTGTAAAATCCAAAAGAATGGCATCATATGGCGCGACGAGAGCGACAGCCATTCGCAGTCGACGGGCATGTTGGAGTTGACAGCCGGGCAGCTCGAGCTTTCGGATCTAGGAAGGCTCTCGATCGCCGGATTGTGCGACCTATACGTCTCACCAAAGGAGCGTGAGAAAGAGCGCTCCCTGGCCGTCATCGTCGCAGGGCTTTACAGGACCAACCACATGACCTGCAAAACGCATATGACCAACCTCATCGCCGACCACTCGTCCTTTGCGAGAATCGATGTCTTTGCCTACGTGCTCTTTGAGCCTGCCGACGTCAACGTATTCAACCGGACCAAGGAGTCCATCCAGGCGGAGCTGCGGGAGTGCTACGGCTCGCACCTGCGGTCTGTGGATGTTGTGCCCGTGGAGGAGGAAGAAGAAGATTACCCCGGCGGACAGGAGGCGATGGAAGCGACGCCTTGCGGGAAAAAGTTGCGGAGGCTGAACAACCAGTTGAAGACGGTAGCGCAGGCGGCGGAGAAGTGGTGGGCTTGGAGTATTGCGAACGGCTTCATCCACGATACAGTCCTGCGAATTCGGCCCGATACGTCACTCAGGGCGAAGCCCGAGTTCAAGAGCCTGGAGGCGCTAGGGCAAAACACGCTCGTCCTGCCGCACCCGCACGGAGAGCACTACTTTTACTGCGCCCGGATGTGTGGACGAGTTAGCGTTGGTAAGTGACTCGCCCACCTGAAAAGGCTCCGCTTCGTATGAGAACGAAAGCTCACCAGTGTACCCCAACAGGACCGACCGACCAAATCGCCTACGGCAGCGCGGCTGCCATGGGCCACTGGCTCTACATGTACGACAGGTTCCATCAGATGGTGGAACTCGCGGCAAGCCCCTCTGGGCCGGCACTGCACGACTTCTCCGGGTGCGAGGTATTGCCTCCGAGTCCGCTCGCAAGCGACTGCCCGAAGCCCGCGCCGTGCTCGATTGAATGTCTGGTGGCATGGTTCCTCGACGCTCGGGGGTTGGACTTCCACGTCGAATGGGGCTGGGAGCAGAACCTGTTGAGGTGGATAGATCTGGGGCCGCTTGGCGCGGAGGAAGAGAGACTGGCTGATCACGACGGCGATGATGATGTGGACGATGGACTGGCGTGGGGATAAGGAGCGGGGACGATCTCTGCGAAATGGCGCGATTGGTCTTCTTTTCTTTCACTTTCATTTGTTCATTGGATTCTGGGAAAGCGCGGTGTTTGGGCGAAACGGGATACACGCGGATTGTTGTTCTTGGGTTCGAGGAGAAGCAATCAAGGAAAAGGGAAATGTGAATAGGAATGCATTGGGGCCAAGGGCTGTGGAAATGAGCATCAGAGTGGCCAATCGGCAAGGTATCAGCAGCTCCAAGCTTTATGGAAGTCTGCAAGTCGGATCTTGTCGGGTAGACAGAGTTTACCCAGCCCAACGAAGCGTTGTGAACTGCAGGACGCACTGAGGACCATGTTGGTGCTGTGAGGAATACCAATCAGCCATACCCGGGATGCGTGTGCACGATGCTGTAACTTTCCGCTGACAAGGTGGATGAGGTTCTGAGACTCAAGGCGGAAGACTAGTCCCCCTTTCGAACAAGATACAGATGTCGTCAACCTTGCGCTCGCGGGTGTCGATGAAGTTGAAAGAAGCAGATGTCGTCTTCAGGGGTAGAAGAGTCTGGGTGGGGGTAGGCGGATGTGGGCTAGTCTCAACTTCCTCTTGCCGGCTTGAGACAGCACCCATGAAGACACTCAGTTTCTCTGTTGCAGAACACAACAAAGCGATGTGCTGGAACTGTTCTAGTAGAAAGTTGCATATACACAAGTAAGGAGATTGGTCGACATGGTTAGGAGAATCGGAAAACATTATCATCTGACGGCTGGGGGAGTTTCTTCAGCGTCTCACACATCACAGCATCACTGGCTGGATGGAGGCGTAAACACGTACAAACAGAGCGCCGTTCGACTATACCAAACCAATACTGGATTGTGCGTGCACACGCAGATGGCTTGGATACGTGATGTGGTTGAGTAAAGCCACACCACCCCTTTTGGGAAGGACAAGACCATTGCCATGGGATATAAATTAGAATGACACCACCTGACCATGGCCGCTGTCACCAAGACCTTGATGCCTCTTGGCGAATAACAGACTCTTCTTCAATCTAGCCATGCGTGAGTGACGCATGTGAGCGAGTGATGCTCGCGACAGCTTGGCCTCCTGAGCTAAAAGACACGAGCCAGAGGCACAGCCAGGGTCTTGGCGAATGAATGAGGGAAAATAGACGCGCTTTGGGATGACGTGCGGGTGAAGACCTAGCTTCGTGCGCAAATTTGGATACCGAACATGAGCGGGAAAGAAAAGAACTTTGGGTGGTGATGGTTCTCCAAAGTCCCAAGTGACTGGGATCGTGCTTGTGCCTCCTTCCTGCAGCCACTAATTTACCGTCTCTCACCGTTTGGTCGAGAAGGCGCCTTAGGCCCGAACGGGTAAAACGTGTTTGGACGGATCACGAACGGCCAGTTTAGCTGACCTGATGTCTGGGTTCATGTCAACGTGTGACAACTGCTTGTCTGGGTCTTCTGTCTCGCAGACATATATCATCAAGGGTGTAGTCGGTTTAGGATCAAGGTATACTGGGAAGATGGCAGATCATAGATGGATTGGGGGCGAAGAAGAACTCTGATCTTGCCCCTTGCCCACCAGGTGAACGTCACATGTCGACCTCGCATGTGATGCTGGCCTCGATCCCAACATGCAGAAACCCCTAACCCAGTGCAATTTACTCCCTTGCGGGTTGACACGCATCCGCAGTTGCAAGAAATGGCCTCAGCTCACCTCGCTTCCCCAGACTGGCAGACAAAAGGCGGCCAACAATTCGCCGAGAGGGCAGGTTCTAAGATTACCATGACGGCTTGGCCAAAAAGGCCCGTCTAGAGGTCCCCTCTTCCCATCTCTCCACCAACTGGACTGAGAAAAGACTCGAAGGATGAATTCGAGGCCGGGACAACGGGCAGTTTCTGTCGCCCAAGGGACCAGGGGGGCCCAGCGCTGTAGGTGCATTGGCGCCGCTGACAGGCAGCTAATTCAGGGGACCCGGCCAGTCAGAAGAGAGGAGCGACCATCCTACTGTGCACGTCGCCTAATCGATCCGGACGCGCTATTCCTGTTCCTGTTCATCCAGCAGCCCGGCGCATTTTCCCGAGCTGCACCAGCACAGACAGTCAGCTCCTGGGCCGCCGTTCTCTGAACAGGCGGTTGCCCTTTTGGGAAGGGGTGCCTCGGTGTGCCAACAACCGCCCACCTCGTCTCTTCCTAGGTTCGTCACGACTCCGACCTCCACTCGCCACGACGCCGTCGCCCACTTCGTGGACACGCCCATTCGCTAACACTAACCTCCCCCCCCCCCCATCGTCACCGCTTAACCCGCGCCGCTGAAAGGCGTCAACGCCTGGCTTACCTACCTTGTGGGCCATGCCTAACCTCTCAAGCGTGAGGTAGTCTGCCTCAAGGGAGATTGGTCCCCTTCGCCGCTACCATGGCTTACACCCACGATGTGTGTCGCTTCGAGGCAATATTCCTTCGCTCGTCGCCCCGATGAAGTTAGTCACTTCGCAAATGTGCAGCCCTCTGGGTCTTCCCTCTGGGGAGAGGTAGCGGCTCCGTTATGAATGGGAGCCTTCTCGCACCGTCGACGGATCTCGTCTCCTTCTCTTGCTTCTTCTTCACCCCCATCTCTGTTCCTGTCAAGAAGCCAGAGACGACGGCGTGCGTTCTCAGTCGTGCAGACATTTTTGTTTGCGTCCTCTCGTTGATCCCAGATCACCATCACACTCTTTCCACGGCCTCGGCCATCTCACAATCGTTGCACCAACAAACAATATTCCTTACGGATACTCCCTAATTCCCTAATTACAAACAACCGTAAATATGCTCTTCAAGAAGTCTTTCCTTGCCGCCGCTGCGGCCATCGGCCCGGTTCTGGCTCATTCCTCATCACAGCCCCAGACCAAGGCCCCCCAAGCCATTGGAAACCTCAACCTCTACTGGGGACAGTATGGCGATACCTCCGACCGGCTGTCCAGCTACTGTGACGCCGCTGGTGTTACCTCCGTCTCCGTGTCCTTCGTCACCTACTCTCCCAAGAACAGCGGTGGATATCCCGGTACCAACTTCGCCGGCCACTGCGGTGGCGAGGTCTACTACAAAAACCCCAAGACGGGCGAGGACACAAAGTTGATCATGAACTGCGACTACATCAGGCAGGACATCAAGTACTGCCAGACCAAGGGTATCAAGGTCCTTCTGGCCATTGGCGGCTACTGCCCGACTGGTGGTCCCTGCAGCTACGACATTGACAGCGAGGATCAGGGCCACCAGTTCGCCGAGCTCTTGCACAAGACATTCGGTCCTTATGACCCGACCTGGACCGGACCCCGTCCCTTTGACATCAGCAGCACCGAGCACGTTTCCATTGATGGCTTCGACTTTGACCTCGAGTTCAAGTACCGTGAGTTCCAGACTTTGCCCCTTCAGGGGGGGGACATGAGAGACTAACACAGCCGTCAGCCGACCAGAAGCCCTGGATCAAGATGGTTGAGAAGCTCCGCAGCGTCGGAATCTACCACATCTCTGCTGCCCCTCAGTGCCCGACTTCAGACACCTGGTTCCAGCTCAAGGAGCTCATCTACAACGCCCAGTTCGACTCCCTCTTCATCCAGTTCTACAACAACCCCGGCTGCCAAGTCTCCGACACCCCCAACTACGATGACTGGGAGACCGTCATCTCGCAGACCTCCAAGAGCAAGGACGCCAAGCTCTACATCGGCGTCCTCGCCAGCCCCGGCTCGGGCTGGAACGGCTACGCCCCTCCCTCCACGATCAAGGACCTGATCTGCAAGTACAAGAGCAAGCCGCACTTTGGAGGCGTCTCCATCTGGGACGCCACCCGCGGCGTCATGAACCAGATCAACGGCCAGACCTTCCACGAGGCCGTCGCCGATGCCCTCAAGTACGGCTGCGACCCGATTCCTCCCAAGACGTCCACCACCAGCGTCTCGACCTCGACCTCGACCTTGGTCTCTTCGACCAGCACCTCGTCTGCTATCGTTTCCACCACTTCTTCGGCAAGCTCCAGCTCCGTCTCCAGCTCCATCTCTAGCTCCGAGTCTGTTAGCTCCACTTACTCCGCATCGGCTTCGGCTTCGTCGTCGGCCTCCGTCTCCGTCTCGGCCACGGCTTCAGTCACCGCTTCCGCTTCCGACTCTGCGCCTACCAGCGCTTCCGCTTCCGCTTCTGCCTCCGCTTCCGCGTCGGCATCTGATTCTGTCTCGGCGTCCGGATCCGTCTCTGCCAGTGGCTCAGCTACTGGCTCCGCTACGGCGTCTGCATCTGCATCTGCGTCTCCGTCTGCATCTGCGTCTCCGTCTGCTTCCGCCTCTGACTCGGCCACCCATTCCAGCACCATCACTTCGCTGAGCAGCAGTGCCAGCGCGAGCGCCTCCGCAACCAAGTCCGCCACCACCTCCGACACTTGCGATGAGGACGACGAGGACTTCCCCACCACGACTCTGAGCACCTCTCACTCTGCTACTGCCACGCTCACCGGCAGTTTCACCGGCTCCACTGGGTTTGCCAATGTCACCAAGACAGCCTCCAGCTCTGCCAGCGTCACTGACAGCAGCTCTGCCTCTGGCTCTGCTACCGGCTCTGCTTCTGGCTCTGCCACCGGCTCTGCTTCTGGCTCTGCCACCGGCTCTATCTCGGACAAGCCCACTGGCACCGCCTCCGTCACCCAGTCTGCCAAGAACACTCTCACTTCCTCCGAGGAGCTGGTCACCAGCACAGTCTACACCACCAAGATCACCACCGTCACCTCTTGCAAGCCTGAGGTGCCGTGCACAAAGGGCCAGGTCGTTACCGAGACCATCCCGTGGTACACCACCGTCTGCCCCGCCACGGCAACGTCGTCTGCTGTTGCTGTGCCCACGACCACTGCTCCTCCTCCCCCTCCCCAGTGGACCACAAGCACGGTCTACACGACCAAGACGTACACCATCACCTCGTGCGCCCCCGACGTCCCCTACTGCCCCGTCGGCCAGATCACCACCAAGGTTGTCCCCGCCTACACCACGGTCTGCCCGTACACCAGCACAACTCCCAGCGGCAGCAAGCCTTCAGGCGATGCCCAGAGCCCACCCAAGCCTTCCGGCGATGTGCCTCAGCCCCCCAAGTCTACCGGCAAGGCTCCCAAGCCTCCTGTTAGCCAGGGAGGCGACAAGCCTTCCGGCGACATTCCCAAGCCTACTGGCGGCCAGGGCGGTGGCAAGCCTTCCGGTGACGCTCCCGCTCCTCCCAAGCCGACCACGACCCCCGCCGGCCCTGGCGGAGAGAAGTGCCCCGGCGGAAAGAACTGCCCGGGTGCTGAGGAGGACAAGACGACGTTCATCTACACGACGCTGACGGTCCCTGTTACGGTCGGCAGGTACAACTCCACACTCCCGGGTACGGGCTCTAACTACAAGCCCACCCCCACGGGCGGATTCCCCAGCTATACGACGGCTGCCCCGGTGCCCAGCAAGCCCGTGCAGGCCGGAGCCGCCAAGATCGGTGGCTTTGGCATTGCGGGCCTTGTTGCCGTTGCTGCTGCTTTTGTCCTGTAAAGCGGTTGAGTGATGTTGGGTGAGTTAGATGGGAGGCTCAGTATTTATATGGTTCGATTCATGGGATGTATAAACATGACACTACTATTCTCTATGTATCCTGCACTCTGGTCACGTAAAAAAAGGGGGGGCTTGATTCCTGGAATCTTCATGACAGGGCATTCGTTGACCTATTAGTTACCTGAGCTTGTAATAGGAATCTGTTTCAAAGACACGTAATGCAGTCCTTTGCCGTGAATCGAGAGTTTTGATGCATCGAGGCACCCGCGTGAGAGGGATTCGTAGTTCCAGAACAACCTGCAAAGGAATACCTTTCGAGCCTTGTGGCGGGCGCATTGAAATGCTGGTGCGTGTCGATTATGCGGCTGGATCAGCAAGCCGGGTAGATCTTGGAGATGACACCAAGATAAGCTTCCCCGCTCCTGAGTTCGCAGGCCGGACGACGAACGCGCCATTCCCTGCTGGTACGGTGACTTAATCAGGGCGATTATGGCCAACCAGTCCCAATGGAGAATGATGACAGGACAATTACTCTCCAGTTTCCGTGGTGGTTCTGGTTCGCCAACGAACGCCACAGGGGGGGGGGGGGGGAGGAGGAGGTTGTCCTTTTCCCCTCATACCTTACCTTTGGTCGAGAAGGTACGTATCGAAAGGGGACAGCAGGCGTTCATAAGGCCGCTCCCTTCCGTTTTCATGGAACGAGGAAGTGGCGGGGTTTGATTGGTCGGCATGGCTAGGGTAGGGTGGTTTCGTCACCCACCATCCAGGACGGGAACGTCATTTCGTTGGATTTCCTGCAAGGACCTCGTGGACCTGAGAAGGGAAGGGAGCAAAGCAAGAGGGGCGGCGCCGGGAAATGCCCGGAGCGGACGCTGAAGATTGAGCATAATATTCCAAAGGCTTCTTGGGGGTTGACGCACTAAACGGAATATGGTAAGGAAGGGCCGCCTTCTTCGATCGTCGTCGTCGAGACAAGGCCACGAGAGAGTTTCTCAGGTCGACAAACGGGGCTATGTAAAATAGCGTTGATACCTTACGTTCAAGTCGTCTCGACTCCAAACCCAAGCGGTAGCTAATAAGGCAGAAAAAGGGAACAAAGAACAAAAAGAAAGGAAGCAGCTGAAGGGCCACACACCATCCGTCCCGTCACTGTTTGTCCCATCCCACCTTTTCGCCCTCGCTATCGTTCTCGCGCAACTTGCAGAAACTTGGCAGCAATAACAACGACAGCACCACCACCATCACCACCTAATCCGTCCTGCCCTGTCCGGTGTAGATCCTCCTCCCCAGCATCAACACCGGTGATTCAGCTCGTTGCCCGCAACCATTTCTCCCGCCCGTCGATTGCTCACTAATTCTTCCATTCCTCTTCCTTGCCACCGTCGTCCGTTCTCTGACTGTCGCCGACCGAAGCACGTCTCACAGTTCCCAAAGCCCGCATCGACGTCCCTCATCGGCTCATCCTCTTCGTCCCCTCTTCCGGCCCCCCGCCTCCACCACATTCCCCCCCTGGCCTATCAGCGGGTGCGAGAGTCCCCAATATTTCCTGCGAGAGCATAAACTACCTTTACCCATCAGTCCCATCCCTTCAGCCTGCCCGTCCCTTGTTCACCGGCTGCTCCATCCATTTTACATTGCCTACGGAGTACGGATCCAGACAACTCATATAAACTCACGCACTATACTTACGAGAAAGTGGGGATCCCACTGCGCTGGCCCGCGTCGTAAGCTTATTGCTCTGTCTGAAGCTTGGCTTCTTTGCTGCTCTGCAACATGTCAGACGCTGGCGATAGGTACGTGATGCTCTCTCCATTGTTATGCGTCTCGGCGGCCGTCCACCAACTCACCCTCCCGACCCCCCCATCGCCGTCCTCTGGATCATTTCCTTGGCCGAGGGTCACCGCTGCATCCATCCCGCCCCCCTTCCTGCAGCGATAGCAACAGCAGCTTCAGAGCCTGACCTTGGCGGCAGACAGGCTAACCCTCTCCTGATTCCAGCACCCACAAGCGGTCAAAGTCGGCCGCTGCACTCTCCCTCCTGCGACGGAATCACTCCCGCGGCGACGAAGATCCTTCCAACTCGGATGACGGAGCGCCGCTGACGTCGCCCCCATCTGCTGCGGCATCCCAGTCCAACATATCCATGGCTCAAAACTCTCCTCGCGGCAACGGGGCCAACAGGCTCTCCATCTCCCCTTCCATGGGCCGAACCCCTTCCCACAACAGCCCACCGTCAGCGACCGCCTCCAAGATGAGCACCACCACCGCCGCGACCGCCGCGGCGCCCAGCGAAAAGGGCGTCTCCCTCGAGCAGTCTGTTCGCAAGTTCCGCATTGTCGAGGCCCTGCGGAGCGGCGACACCGCCTCCATTTCCAAAGCGATACGGGACACCGCCGAGGGCGGCCCGCGCACGAGCATCTCCTCCATCAACACTCTCAGCGGCACCGGCCTCGACGACACGACCGTCCTGCACCTTGCGATACAGTGCGCCGAGTACCAGGTCGTCGAGTACGTCCTGTCTGACGGCGCCGGAACGATCGACATCAACGCGAGGGACAAGGATGGAAATACCCCGCTGCACGTCGCGGCGGCCCAGGGTCGGACCCAGGTCGTCAAACTCCTGCTCGATCAGAAGGACATCAACGACGCCGTCGCCAACTACCAGGGCAGACTGCCCATCGACGTTGCCCGAAACCCCGACATCTTCCAGCTGTTGCAGCTCTCGCGATCGCTCTTCGCCGAGAACAAGGTCAGGCAGATCCAGGGCTTGATCGCGCAGAATGACTACAAGGCCTTGGAGACCGTGCTGGAGGAACCTCGCCTCAAGCAGATCCTCGACATCAACAGCACCGAGTTCGCGACCGAACCCACGACCGTCCAGGCCGGTGGAACTCTCCTCCACGAAGCCGCCCGCAAGAAGAACACCCAGCTGATCCAGGTACTCCTCCTTCACGGGGCCGACCCCTTCCGCCGAGACCGCAAGGGCAAGCTCCCCCAGGACGTCACCAAGGACGATGTCACACGCGCTATGCTGAAGCGCTCCCCCGCTGCCGTCGCGGCTCAGAGAGGCATCCAGGAGAAGGCAGTTCTCGGCCAGGCGGCTTCCCAGGGCGCTGGAGCCTCTGCCTCGGGAGACCCCGTTGCCGGACGGGAGGCGCGAGAGATGAAAGGCTACCTGAAGAAGTGGACGAACTACCGCAAGGGATACCAGCTCCGATGGTTCGTTCTCGAGGACGGTGTCCTGAGTTACTACAAGCACCAAGACGACGCCGGCTCCGCCTGCCGCGGCGCCATCAACACCCGCATTGCCAAGCTGCACATGAGCGCCGACGAGAAGACAAAGTTTGAGATCATTGGAAAGTCGTCCGTCAAGTACACACTCAAGGCCAACCACGAGGTCGAGGCGAAGCGCTGGTTCTGGGCCCTGAACAACTCGATTCAATGGACCAAGGATCAGGCCAAGGAGGAGGAGCGCCAGAAAGCTCGTGGCGCCGAGCTTCTCAGACAGGCGAAGGCCGAGCAGGCTGGAAAGTCGCCCGAGCTTTCCATCAACGAGGCCCATAGCGAGAGTGCCAGCGTGGCCGACACAAGAAGGAGCAGCGTGCAGATCCCCAGGACCATGTCGCACGGCAAGATGTCTGTTCCCAGAAGCGACTTCGCTGGTGCGAGCACCATTGCCAGCAACGACGACGATTTTGCGGACGCCGCAACGGACGCCGGCCAATCTAGAGCAACCAGAAACGGCCAGCATGCCCCCGACGACGACGATGACGATGACGATTTCGAGGACGTCAGCAGCCGCGAAGAGCCTTCTGTCTCCAAGGACGCATTCAACATCACCGCCCAGTCAGCCAAGCTGCAGCTCGACACCATTTCTGCCGTTAATGCTGCGATGCTGGCGGAGGCCTCCAAGAACCCCAACACTATCGTCTCCGATGCCAAGGTCACCCAAGCTCTCACGACGTATGACGCAGCTGTCAGAAGCTTGACGGGACTCATTGGAGATCTCATGCGCATCTCCAAAGATCGCGACGCCTACTGGCAATACCGCCTGGACCGCGAGATTGACATGCGCCGCATGTGGGAGGAGAGCATGGCCAAGGTCGCCAAGGAGCAGGAGATTCTGGAGGAGCGCGTCGACCAGGCTGAGGCCAAGCGCAAGGCTGCCAAGCGTGCACTCCGCGAGGTTATGAACGAATCGCCAGCCGCTGCCAGTCAGAAGGTCGACGGAGACAAGGTCGAAGGTACAGAGACTGTCGAGGCTGCTGTAGGAGCCGACGCCGAACTCGTGCCCCCACCCAGGTCGCCCAACAGACCCCTTTCAAGGAAGCAGACGGTTCTGGACCAGCTTGAACTGTCTGACTCTGAGTCGGAGGACGAGGATGAGTTCTTCGACGCTGTGGATGCCGGAGAGGTCGAAGTCAGCCAGTTGCCGCCATCCGACGTTGCAGGCACACCCAAGGAAGAGAAGAACGAGCAGCAGCTGGTCGTTTCTGGCGGCATGGACATTAGCAGTTCCTTCAGGGGTTACGAAAATGGTATCAGAACACGCCTTAAGATGGATGCTGATGATCGGCCCAAGATCTCACTCTGGGTAAGTCCCCACGGTACCAGTGTTATTCATTATCGATTCACTAACTTGTGCGCAGAGTATTCTCAAGTCCATGATTGGCAAGGACATGACAAAGATGACCCTGCCTGTTTCTTTCAACGAGCCCACGTCGCTTCTGTACCGCGCCGGTGAGGACATGGAATACGTCGACCTTCTGGACCAAGCTGCAGAGCGATCCGACTCGATTGAGCGTCTCATCTACGTGGCCGCCTTTGCTGCCAGTGAGTACGCGTCAACAATCGGCCGTGTTGCAAAGCCTTTCAACCCCCTACTCGGAGAAACCTTTGAGTACGTCCGGCCCGACAAGAACTACCGCTTCTTTATCGAGCAGGTCAGCCATCACCCGCCCGTGGGTGCTGCGTGGGCCGAGTCTCCCAAGTGGACATACTGGGGTGAATCAGCCGTCAAGTCCAAGTTCTACGGCAAGTCTTTTGACATCAACCCTCTCGGTACCTGGTTCTTGAGACTTCGTCCTACGTCTGGAGGCAAGGAGGATCTCTACACCTGGAAGAAGGTCACGTCGTCTGTCATTGGCATCATCACCGGTAACCCGACCGTGGACAACTACGGCCCTATGGAAGTCAAGAACTGGACGACAGGCGAGGTGTGCCAGGTCGAGTTCCAGCCACGTGGTTGGAAGGCATCCAGCGCCTACAAGATTTCTGGCAAGGTTCTCGATGCCGACGGCAGGGTGCGTTACAGCCTTGGAGGCCGCTGGAACTCGAAGCTGTACGCTCGCCTGACCCCCGGATACGAGGCCACGGTTGAGGACCCCGGCGATTCGGCCTCGGTCCACAAGGGCAGCATCACCGACCCCAACAGGGCTTTCCTCATTTGGCAGGCAAACCCCCGCCCGCCCAATATCCCCTTCAACCTTACGCCCTTTGTGCTCACCTTTAACCACATCGACGACAAGCTCAGGCCCTGGCTGCCGCCGACGGACTCACGCCTCCGTCCCGACCAGCGCGCCATGGAGGACGGCGAATACGACTTCGCGGCCGAGGAGAAGAACCGCTTGGAGGAGGCGCAGCGCGCGCGGAGACGGCAGCGCGAGGAGAAGGGCCTCGAGTTCCGGCCGGCGTGGTTCGAGAAGGCGACGTGCGAGGTCACGGGCGAGTCGTACTGGAAGTTCAACGGCAAGTACTGGCAGCAGAGAGAGAAGGCCGGTCCCGAGGGCGACCCGAAGCAGGCCTGGGACGGCTTGGAGCCCATCTACGAGGACGCGAAATAGGAGCCCCCCGTCATCGTTTTGGGTGATGCGGAGAGAAGTCGCGAGGCAGCTCCCGGGAGTGCTTTGAAGGAGAGGATGGCACTGGAGGGGAAGCAGGTACGGCTGTTGGAGGGGCCGAAGGGTATCCGGTGGACTGTTACTGGGAAAAGGTAGTTCCCCCCGTGGCCTCGGAAGCCGGGTTCGAGAGTGTAACATAGATGACGATATTGAAATAAGCATTCGCTCGCTGTTGGCAGATTCTGGTTCCCTGGCAATAATGTCATCTGTCATGCCTAACGAAGCATCCAACACGGGACCAAGGTCCGTTAAGTTTTGTGATTTTGTGACCGTGCTGGCCAGAAACTGTGTTTTGGTTTCGTAGCCATTACAAGCAGAATAAGGAGGTCCTGAGGTGAGAGCACTGACGACAAGGGGTATAGTAGTAGCTTGCTCTTATGATGTTACCCGTGTGTTGCGTCGTTTCCTTCCGTATGCGTATTCGTTGTGGAACATATGTGTGGCAGGCGGACAGGGAGCCGGGAGGTGCCGCAAAGGACCGGGACTAGGAAGGGGACTGGATTTTCTTGGTGGTAAACGTAGCCTGCGAGCCATTGGACGAACTGGGCCCGTCTGAATTGCGACATGCGAGGCAGAACCTTGGATCATCAGAACTGTAGTGGTTGCAGAGGCTTGTTGAACTCACTACAACGATGGATGCCGTCTTTGCGCATGAGATGGAGATGTCTAAGCAATGGAGTATATTAGCAATGATGATACTCTCCTGTGATTCAAGCGCTCCTGGATTCTGGCTTGCAAAGCCACATCCCGAACTGCACAGCATCGTACACAATGCCTACTAGCGATTCATCAACTGTCGTCAGGAGACATGTATACATAGACGGTTGACGGCAGATGAATACGCCATGGCGGAAACCCCGAGAGACAAGGGCAAATCTTCGGAGTGGGTGCAAGTTAAGAAGCAGCAATCAGGAGCCATTGTCAAACGATCGGACTTTCAACGGAAGCAAGCCGGGACAGAGCTGCCCTAAGCCGTGTAGGCAATCCTGCCCAGGTTCTGAGTTGCTTCTCCCGTTACTCTATTTGGGGTTCGGACGGCGTGGTCAGGTCGTCGTCCTGAAGACCACAGATGAGGAGCCAAGATGCAGCTTTCTGTGAACCGTGGTCCGTCTTCAATACTGGCTGCCTGATGTTGTCGGACCGTAGTCTGGGACCTGCCAAGAAGCTTGTGATGCCGCTCGCACTCGGGCGTGGCGCAGATTCGTGCGTGCACCGGCCACGGTGCGGTTTGGCAGCATGCAACGTCCAGGATTACTCGCCGTTCCGAGAGACCTCGGTGAGGCAGTGGTGTGTGGGGGTGCGTTCAGCGCTCGGCGATGACATGAAGGGCCCCCACCTTGGACCTCGGCACTTTCCCTGCTGGGACACTGGCCAATGGGTGATGCATTTAGGGGACCTGGTCGCGCGTCTCGACCGGATTCCTGGGTTCACAAGCGAACATCCCTACATTGTCAAGTCTTCGTCCATCTCATTCATTCCCTTCGTCATCTTTCTCGTCCGTCCTATCCATCGTTCAAGACGTGTAGAAGTGCGAATCTCATAGCGTCTCGAGTCTAGCATTGCGAAACGCCAAGCCGAGATTTGTGAAGAAGTTTGTTGAGCACGAATTAGGCTCACCACCCACGACTAGAGACGACGATTTTTAGGGGCCATTCTTCTGAAAGAAATTGAACCAAGATGGCCAGTGGAAGATCAACAATCATCAGGCCGCCGCCGGACGACCCTAACAAGGCCCCGATTGAGAACGTGCTGGAGGTGACGGAGCTCGGTGTGCTTGGCCCGGTGAGTGATGTCTAGCAACCGCGTTCATCGCAGGTCTCTCTGGGACCGCTTATTATCCTTCCTTACATTCGAAACCGGACACTCACTCACTGGGAGACAAGACTGACACTCTGCAAGGACATCTTCACCAACACACGCCAGCCGTGGCACCCCCCAGGCGCCCGCGGCATCTTTGGCGGCGCCGTCATCGCCCAGTGCCTCGCCTCCGCGCAGAAGACGGTCCCCAATGACTTCTTCATTCACTCGTGCCACTGCTACTTCCTCCTCGCGGGCTCCTCCGAGATTCCTATCCTGTTCCACGTCGAGCGGGTGCGCGACGGACGCTCCTTTGCGACGCGCACGGTCCAGGCCCGCCAGCGAGGGCGGTGCATCTTCACGACCACCGTCTCTTTTGTCAAGGAGGGCAGCGGCGGCGAGAAGCAGGTCCGTCACGCGGCGCCGCTGCCCGAGGGCGTGAGGCCGCCCCCGGCCGAGTGGAAGGGCGAGCCGGAGTGGAACACGCACTCGCCGTTCCAGACATACCGCATCTCCCTGGTCGGCGCCAACGAGGGCAAGAGGCTCGACGAGCTGAAGAGCCGCAACTGGGTGCGCGCGCGGGGCCGCATCTCGGTCAGCGGCGGGCACCAGGCGCACCTGAACGCGCTGGCGTACATGTCGGACAGCTACTTCATCGGCACCGTCGGGCGCATCCACAAGCTGTGGCGGTTCCCCTTCAAGCCCGAGGAGTTTGCCGACCTGCCGCCCGAGCTGAAGGAGCAGGTGGAGAGGCAGAACGAGTTTGAGGGCAGCACCGAGGCGGGCGACATGGAGTACTGGAAGACAAGGCCGCACCTGGGGATGATGGTCAGCCTGGACCACTCCATCTACTTCCACGAGCCTAGGAGGGTGAGGGCCGACGAGTGGATGTTCACGGAGATGGAGAGCCCGTGGAGCGGCGACGGCAGGGGCGTCGTGCTGCAGAAGATTTTTGCGAGCGACGGGACCCTTTTGGCGACTTGCGTTCAGGAGGTGAGTTCTGACGCCCTTGGATGATGCTTGAGATTCGTGTTGCTGACTGACTTGACACAGGGCGTTGTTCGGTTGAAGCAGGAGGAGGATGAGGAGAAGGAGCCAAAGTCCAAGTTGTAGAAGGGGACGAAGGCATGTGTGAGAGTGTAGAGGTATTGTGCCATCTTGGGATATGTTTTAGTTTCACAGATAGACCAGGCCACAGCTATCTAGCTGGTCATGGATCTGACTCTCGCAAAACGAGGTTAGAAAAGGGGATTACACGCATGCATAAGGGACCTGGCTTTTCTTCTTTTCTTCTCTGACAACCGATTCGAAAGCCATGCTATTCTCGTAAGTCACCGCGGCACAACCGACATCTGGCTAAGAATCATGTTCGAGTCAAAGAGCCGGCCAAGAGGATGTCCCTTGGGGATGTCTGAGCGATTCCTCCATTCGTGTTATCACAGCGGTTTTCGCTGGCAGCTTGTGCGTTAGGGTCCACGAAACGCATTCGTGTATCTTTACATTTGTTTGTTTCTTATGTGTTACAGCGGCTCGACATTCTTTGCCAGTGTGTCTAGGCTTTTTTCATCAACAAACCTAATGTCGGGATACGTCTCTCTGAGAGACGTCTGCATTGTAGGTACGTCTCTCAGCGGAGGCATCGGCAGCTCTTCCTCTCCTCGAGCCGCCCTATTTTCCTGATCATTTTGCTCCTGGTACTTGTCTAGTCTGTTTATGCACCTCTCTTTGTTGTATTGGTCTGTGAAGATGCCCTTTTTGCGGTATATCTGTGCTTGGGGCGTATCTGGGCTTGTATAGTGTATATGTTTTCTATTTAAGGTAGTCTGTATTGTAATTAGTTGAGTTTTTAAACCAAATTACCTTAGCATGAAGATATATAAATTGTCCTAGACTTACTGAACCTTTCCTTGGCTATAAAGAACTTGTAGAACGTGTAGGTCTTAAACTTGCGCTAGGCTTCTCTATCTGGTGCTTCTTGTAAATTATGAGATTAGTAGCGTTTTTATATTATAATGAAAACTAATATGAATGGTAGGGAGGGTTGTGTTGTTAGAGGCTTATAGGATCTGATAACCTATCCGCTCTTACTCCTTCTCACAACTACTCGCACAGCTCTCTCGCTCGTCCAGTCTGTCTGTTGCTACTGCTGCTGCTGATGCTGTTTTTATTATTGTTCTTGTCCCGGCTGTCCCTCGGAGGCGCGGATTCCCGTTTCCGTACAGCCTCGGCATTCCTTTCCAACGGTTTGGTGGCACGTCGCCCGCTTGTTCGTTCACTTTTTTCCATGTTCCAGCACTGGACTCATCAAAACTCATTTGAATGTTGTTTCCCTCAATCCTGCCGCGAGGACTTCCTGTGTCTTTCGGCCTTTCTTCGAAATGGCTATGACATCCGGGAGGATGGCCACTATCTTCTTGGACCTATGGGCTCTGGGTGCCTAGATGTATTCAACAATTTTTGTCTAGGTTGAAAACTCTGGGGTTTTCTGTGATTGTAGGTTCGTGTCTGTTTATTACGATTACCATCCGTGGCGTTGTACTATCCGCCATCATCAATCCGACCTGCTGTTGTAAGCTGTGCTGACGACGATACTATTACTGTATCGTGATACTGTATTTTGTATCAACTATGGTGTACCTGTGAAACCTCAGGAGAGCCCGCCTTGGCTACATTTCTTTCTATTAATCCAGCGATATTTCATACTTGAAGACAAGAAAAGAACTTATAGTAACACATTCGATGACTGTTTCATAGGCGGATACAGAACCGCTCCAGGAATATATCTATTCTGTCTACTTACATCAACACCAGCCTCGTCGACGTTTTTCAACGCGCAAGCTTTGTTCACCATGTCCCTTCTAGTAGGCGCCCTAGCTTCCACCCCAGTCCTTCCGATCTATGACTCGAGTATATGCCACGGACCCTGTCCCTTCATTCAATGACAAAATAATGCAACTTCTCCCAGATCTTCAGATCGCCGGACTCTCTCCAGGATGGGATATCTGATTCGTAGGCACACTCAACTGCTGTTTTTAGATCGAACAGCATCACGTCTTTGAACGCGTGAACAGGCGTCAATGTCTCTACGAATCTGAATTCACAGTCTCAGTAGTATGTTCAACATCGTATACATCCGTGGTGCTGGCTGAGATGAATTGAGCGACATCCACGGTGTTTAATATATATTGATTTTGCATTGGGGCTTACGTGATACATCAGAAGGACTGAGTAGCCAGTAAACACTGAAATCCAGGATTATGATAACGAGGGCCCCCCTTTTTAAGGTTTGCACCTGGTCCCCTGAACTATATGTGATCGACTCAGTTGTTGGCCATCCCTGTTCGACAGACACTCAAAAGGTTTGGGTCACGATATCGGGTTACACGACAAAAGGTCGTGGTCTTGTAGGTTCATTGCAGCATTTTGAAGAGGTATTGGGAGTTGGAGCGTATCATGGCGGCTAAAGTGGCACCTTTTCACTCGTCTTCCTCGGTTGCTTGGAATTGCCTACGGTGATACCGGTGCGTTACTTTCCGGTGGGTTTTCTACGGCTGCCGGATTTCCGATGCGCCCCGTTCTAGTACTCATCTCCTTATCTTAATCAACGTACACTAGAACATCAGTACGCTTTCGTGCTTTCTTCTAAGTTATTTGCCTTGAGCATCTGCCAACAGCCTTCTCAAACAGTTTTGTCAAAGCGTTCTACTGAAACGCCTCCGTTTTCAGTATTACTCCTCAAGACTCATCTATTTTCAGTTAGTGTATAGTGGAGTTGCCGCCTTGTCAGATTACAACCGTTAGTTATCTTCTGTTATCAAGCTGGATGAGCTACCTCTGACTTGAGTTTGTAAGCATTATCTTACACTTATAACTAACAAAATCAGATCTTTAGCTCCTGTTCTGTAGTATCGACCTCAGCTACCTGTTAGCAGGAAACATCACTGTCGGATATCTGACCGTAACATGACAGAGCCGATGTCACAGGCAAGAGAATGACTCTCTAACGGAAGACACTATTTTCATCATCAAACGAGCCTATAAGTCACGGAATGTTGACGTTGACTCATTGTTGCAAGGTTACGAGCCTTCAGCCGGAACGTCTGGATGATTATCCATGTGTTCTTTAACTCTCCTAGGCTCTTGCAACTGTTTGTCGTCTGGGAGCCGAGTTTTAAGTACAATGTTATGGCCCTTCTTACGAAACACTCCACCTGATCCCGTCTTCTATGGCGATTAGTTCTTGGTGTCCACTTTCCTTCACCCTTGTTTCCCTGGAATGCTGCTCAGCCTGCTTTCTACTACCCCCTCGTTCGACTTGTTGTTGTACCGAGATTCTATGTCTTGTATAGCTCCTGGACATGGTCCAGTGGAAGTCCCAAAACATCTGCCGCTTGGGGGTGTTAATGACTCCCTTGCCTGCGTTACTAAAGATGGAACAATAGCCCGGGAAACAGGTTGTTCTAGAAGCAATCTCTCAGGAACAGACACCAGTGTAGGTTTGGCGAAGACCTTATCAACTGGTGCCTCAGAGTCTGCAGGCGGCATGGTGCTGGTCTCACAGCTATGGTTGAGAGCGTAAGCAGCAAATGTGAACCTCCTGCGACATAAAGACCGTCGTTCAGCTCCATCGGCGTATGTGTATTTGCGCCTAAGCACAGTAAGTAACAGAGAGAACCTGGAAAAAGGTGGCTCCAGTAAGCTTTCCTCATGCAATTACTCGCACATGAAAAGCCTCCCCGATTGAAACATTTGCTCCTTCTAAGGACAGTGAAAGACTCGAGATGAGTTGACTCAGGCTCTCAAGCTTCCAGGTGCGTTGTCAGAAACCCAATTTCCAGCGGAGCCCATCGAATTTAGATCCCCATCCACCACGAGAGCCATGACTCAACTACCTATGTCTTAAGCATCGACTTCAAGCCCGTAGTCAGAGAGCTGGTAGTTCCATTACAGAATAGTTCAGCACTTTCAGACCAAGACTCTAGAAAACTTATCACAAAAGTCACACAACGTCAAGACAGTGCCTCGTCTTGTCGAAGAGGTCTGTATCATAAGTTGTGGAGGAAATACAAGCTCGGTGCACGGCACTTTGTGACATGATGCTTTACACTTACCATATCAAACCGAGTGCCAAAGTTCCCGAGAAACTCGAGGGCAAACTAAGCTCTTACTGGCGACAGGCCTTATTCATTGGATAAAGAGGGCCCAAGTAAGCCATCAGTTGGGACTCAAAACTCCTCGTAGCAGCACAACCAGTCCTACAGATCATTGAAGGGAAGCAAAACACTATCACTCCGCATACAACAGTGAGCCTCCATGAAGGTCTACCAACAGACAACCTTGCAACGTCTGGGCCCCTGCTCAGAGGCAGGCACTTGTAGCTTAACCCCAGTCGAGCAAGAAACTCCAGGGCAAGACGGAACTCGAAAGCCTCAAACCCTGTAACTTCCCGTCGAGAAAACCGGCCACGTGTTTGAGAACCCGTTGCTATCACCCGCGGCAGCGATCTTGAACCAAGAGATATTTAGGTCCGAAACAACCTCCTGCCGGCTACTTGCATCCAGCCAAGAGAAATTCCCGAGGGCGGCCGAATCGGAAACTGGAGTCCCGTTTGAACCCATAGCAGTGTTACACAACTAAACCTCTGGATGGAAGGACCGGACAGTTTAAACTCCCCGACGTTGGACCGTGATGGGCTGCTCCGGTCCGTTGGATGTGGGCCAACTAGGCGAGCCAAGTGACATGGCAGTGTTGTATGGATCGAAATGGGCCCCAGTTCCCCAGGCTATGTCTGGCGTTCCATGGTACGTGGATGATGGAATCTGGTCCTGGCAATGTCAGCGATGCGGGTGATGTCTGTCGATAACCAAGCGGCTCTTGCCCATGTGACCTGATCTGTATCGGGGCGGCAATCCCAGGAGATTGGAGGTCACTCACGGCTTGCCATCAGCCGTTGAGGGACAGGCTATGTCGCCTGAAATGGAGGCCAAGCAATCAATATGCCTCAGCAACCAACGGGAACCAATGAAGTCGAGATCGCAAAGAGCCGAATCAACATCCACCCAATGCCCGTAGCGTGGTCTTCGTTGCAGGGGCAGCGAAGGCAGCAACTTCTC